AGCTTTCTATAGGTGAAAGATTTTTTAAATTAGTTGAGTAGTTTTTCTAATTCAGTACACGGCTAGGTTATGTTCTAACTTAATGCATAGGAAACCAAAGTATTTATTCTGCGCATATCAATAATAGTTATGACAAAAACATAAACAATTATAAATTAAAGAAAATGAAAATACATAAATAAATTTATACCTAATTACGAATGATGCGAGCAAAATGGTCACCACTCAGCTAAGTGTCTAGGCATTCGTATATAATGCCTAAACGTTGGGTTTCTGTGGAATCAACGGGAGTGAATAGGGTACTTTTTATACCTGTAATACAGGTATTGAAATACCTATCTCAGACACTAGTCTGACACATGATATTATATTATATTAATATATCAAATATTTCCTAATTTTTCCTCTATTCAATAATGCACCGCCTACTTATTTCTCGATTTGTCAAATTAACTGGTAGAGAACACCGTCCGGTGTTAAGTCCGCAAAATGTACATAGAATTTTACTGTGCATTAAAGTTTAAATAAATAAATAAACAATTATATCACATAATTAAGCGACGGTTACCACTTTCCATCAGGTGGGCTATCGCCTTGTTTACCATTCTAAGTTGCATAAAAAAATGTATGTTGTATTAGTTTAAGATTGGACTATTTTATTTTGTATAATTAATATACACTTTATATTTATGTATTTATTTTACAAATAAGTGTGGGCTTATTTATTTTAAGTATTTTTATTGCAATATACTTAAATCGTATGACTGCCTATTTTTATTTTTAAGTAATTTATATAACATGAAAATGTTTGCTGAAAGAAATCTCTTATTAGAGATAAGCCCTTGTGCATTACGTTTAAAATTAAATGTATATTACTATGTTTTTTTAATAGATAATAATGGGGTACCAATGAGGGATGATAGGTGAGAATGAAAAGGCAGATCAGTTAGTCCACCGTGATGAATACACCTGGAATTCAGCACAATGGTTTCCAAGGAAGACCGCATTACTAACAAACTGACCTTCTCGCCAATTTCACTAATGTTTATGTACAATAATTAATAAAAATATTGTATATACATCTTGTAAGAGAGAAATACATATGTTATCATTCACCGATTCATGTGAGCGAAACCGCGGGAAACAGCTAGTATACCATAATTATAATCCGCTGATGTACCTAGCTATAGTCGCGGGTTCGCCACGGCTTACCTACCCTCACCGCGCGCGGGGAATTAGGGCTGCACGCACGTCGCCGATCGATATCGCGTGATTATCAACGATAATAGCCGAACGGCCGCCGTCCGCGCGTCCGCGGCCGCTCTCCCACGACATGCCTGCGGGATCAGTGTGATTCATGAGGCCAGTAGTTTAAATTTTAAGGAAGTGTTTTTTTTTTTAAATAAATTTTTGTAAATATAAATCAGGAAGTTGAAAAGTTAATAAAGTAAAGCAGTTGTGTTTGCATGGCTGTGTTTCGGTTTGAAGGGTGGGATATTGCGTGAATTTACTGGGTACAGAGGAATAACACCTGAGTCAATGGCATGGCAACGCATGGGGGTATCATGGGCGAAACAGTATACTCTGTTATGTCCATGGTACTGTTCATGTCTATAGGCGACGGTTACCACTTTCCATCAGGGAAGGAAGGTGGGCCGTCAGCTTGTTTGCCATTCTAAGTTGTATAAAAAAAAAGTAAGTATTACGTATTAATTGAGTTATCAAATGAGCAGAAGTATCTAGTATTTGCCATTATGTTTCTGTGTGTTAACATCTAATATATTGTGTTATAGCAATATAATTTAATTTAAATATAGATATAAAACAGTAGAGAGATAATGGGTGAGATGATGATGATGATGATGATGATAGATATAAAAATCTTACTAATGTAATAAAATTGAAACTAGACAATGTCTGTAGGGTCATGGGAAATGTTTAGGAAAAATATGAGTAGTTTTAAAAAGACTGATAGAATAGACGGGATTGTTAGTAGTGTGGATTACTAGTCCCATTGCTAGTAATATTTGCTATCAGATCGGTCTCCTCGTGGTTCTTCCTGAAAACCGTTGTGGTGAATTTATCATGATGGGCTAACTGATTTGTCTTTCCATCCTCACCTATTATCCTTCATTGGTGTCCCGTCAGCGTATACCGTTAGCACAAACGGGGTTACCATTTTATTATCATCCATTAAAAAAAAAAAATAAGACTAATAAAGACAGAAAAATATCTGTCTGTATGTTTGTTTCGGCATCATCCAAAAACTACAGCACCATATTGAAATTGAACAGTTGTATTCTTGAAGGTTAACTTTAAAACTGATGTATGTTTTAGAAGTTTTTTATTTCATTGTTTTTCCTACTTTTAAAATCCACAGCAAAAGTAGTAGTTTGAAGAAAATAAATTATTTTAAATTATGAAAAACGTTTCCATGACATTACAATTGAACGTCTTTAGAATCGCCACCATTCAAATATGCTAATACAATTCGTATTCAATGTCTGAGTTGCTACGATTTGCGGTTTTCATTATGAGAAATTGAGCTATTTAATAAGTTTAACAATCACTGTTTTGGGTCTCTCCATAGATTGCCTAATAGAACTTTCCCGTAGGGTGACTTAGTAAAGTTTCAAACATTGATTTTAAGTTAAAAACATTGACTCCCTGTAATGTATTTAAGATTCATAGTGTAGCTATAGAGTCAGTTTAAAGAAATTAAGTTGAACTACTGTTTTTATAATATTATACTGCACCTAAAGACCTATGACGTACCCCCAGCCGTGTTATAATTTGACGGCATAAGGGGACGCAAATAATGGTTATTTTGCCACGCTGAGATGCTGAGCTGTAAAACTTATTAATGCATTTTGTAGATCTTTAAATGATATTAATGGTTTGTTTAATTGTGTATATTTATAGTGATATGTGGTCAATTTATCGATGAAATTAATAATTTATCGATATATAAGAGTTAAATTAAAATTAACTAGTTATTTCCAATAACTAGTGTCTAACCAGTTCCAAATAACATAAATCACAAATTATGTATAAGATCGTAACTAAATTATCGCCGAGATATATTCTTTGATATTGTTTTTCAATTGCGTTCTTTAGAAGTTTCTTTCTTAGGCGTGAAAATGCTTCAAGTTGCTCAACTAGTTATTGAAATAACAAAAATTCGAGATGAGACCTACAACTAAAATGATTGACATATTTCGAACGATCAACAAACTGGAGCGGCAATGGGCAGGCCCTTTAGGTAACTTGAGCAATCGATAACCGCAACTTGTACATAACAAACACAAGCATTCTAGGGTAAATGTCTCAGTGATGAAGTGATGACCTGAAAAATTATGCAAGTAATCGATGGATGTTGGTGACTCAGGGCCGTACCATAAGGGAAACCAGACCTATGTTCACATGTGGACGATGGATACCTAGGTTAGAATAACAAGATTGAAAATATACATACTAACTCCATCCATTGATATCTATCATTTATATGAGTATTTATTTTTTTCTTAATTTATATATTAAATAATAAATGTCAATAATATTAACATCAAAATTACAGATGGGCAAAGCACCGGGTTTAAACCCGGTGCTTTGGTAAAAACCCAATAAACACCCATAAACTCCCATAATCACCCAAAAAAATAGGTTTTTACGTATTTTTTTGAAAATATGTAAGTAATACCAATAAATTATTTTTATAAATTGTATTGATCAATTCTACAATATTAAATAAAACGTTAACTAATAATATTTCAGGAAATTTTAAAAATCTATATATAATAAAATGAAAGTAATTAATTTTCAGTGTTTTCATGTTGCAGTTGATCAACATGTTGGCCTTTTGCTTCCCGTAGATACTTTAAAATTTCTTCATAACACCTCGTTCGCACACATGGCCGTATATATTTAAATTCTTGAGCCACTAACAGTCCGAAATACTCATTTCTTTTATCCTCTTCTCCATAAATTAAGCATTTAGAACAGTTTGTTTCTTCTTTCAGTAAATTTTCTTTTACTTTATCCTCGTTTTTTTCTTTGTTGCGACGACGCTGGGTAAATCATCTGGACACTGGGTCTCACTATCGCCAAATATATTTGGAGATCGGCTTCGGCTACGGCTTGGCAGACATTTTTTTCTTTCTACAATTTTAAATTAAATTTATTAGAATAAATGCTTCGAACACACGCGATCTAAGTACCTTTTGTGTTTATTATACCTTACCTACCTAGGTATAAAAAGAGTACTTACGTAGATTTTCTTTTATTAACTGTTTTATACGAAGATCTTGATCTCTCAAATTAGCATCCATTTTACTTCCAGTGATTATCAACTAAATTAATAATCCACAAAGTATTAAATAACGTTTTTATGAAATATTTAGCACAAAAACAATACCCTTTAAATATCGATCGTCAGTAACTGTGGCTGACTTACCTATATTCTAGCAAGCAGGACTGCCAGATGTGAAGGGGAAATCCCCAATAAATTGTTGCATGTGACTGATGATGTGAGCATGTTCGTTTCATAATAAAAATGTTGCCAGGTAACCAAAAAGTCGTATGTTTTTGTGCGAATTACGATCATAATCTTTACGATCGTACATTAAAAAATAGACAAATAATAGTATGAGTACGATTTAAATCGTATATCTGTCAACCCTGCTAGCAAGACAGCGACAAAATCACGTTGCATAACAATGTAGCCCAAGCTTATATCTTATGAAATATACGGAAGAGATACGGACTTAGAAAAAACAGAAATGTTGTTCTTTGTGGAAGTCATTGATGAAATTCTATGTATTTTAGCCCGCAAACTTTCTTCAAACAAAAACAGCGCCATCTAGTATCGAGTTCTGTAATTATCTCTTTGTTTATGGATTTGAAGTAAGACCGCCACGCATGCAATACATTATGACTGGGGATTCCCCTATTCGTCGACGCTGAATATGAGGCGACGACAATCACTGTCAAACGTGTTCACTATTACTCTGACTCTGGTAACGTGACTTCCTGGTAACGTGTTAGGTAGGAAAAGCAGTAAAAAAGTGCATATTAAGGGAGCAGATTTGAAATAATATTTATACTTAACAAGAAATAATTAAAGGTAAGTGGATTTTTGAATGATACAATTATATCATGATCACTTAACAATTTTAACTTAAAATTAGATGTATTATTACAAGCTTTTATTTAGCTTGCGTTATGTAAATAAAAGTATGTAGGTATGTTCGTATGTTGATGCAATTATCCTCAATCCTCAACCGACTGGGATAAAATTTTCCATACACGTTTATTTTGGATGATAGTGCATAGTTAGCTGAGAGTCGTCATTGGATAATAATGGTGGATAGCCTAAGATGTGTACTAGATATTTATTTTTAACATAATATGCGTAAGTACCTAATCGAATTAAAGAAGTTGCTGAGAAAAATACAGAACAATACGATAATAAACTAGCGTCTGCGTTTAATCCTCCGAGGAGATGTAATTTTACAAAGGTTTTTTGTATTTATTTTATTATTTTTTTAATAAATTTATTGTAAATAACAAGAAATAATCATTGTAAAAAAATAGGCACTCTATTGTTGAATTTTCGTCAGACCAACTAATCATCGTTCATTTTTTTAGGTTCAATGGGGAGACCTAAAGATTTACGCATATGGGAGCACTACCGTACTTTACCAAACAAGTCTGTTTCTTGCAAGCTTTGTAATAAGGTCTACAAATTCAGTAATGCTGCCAAAATGCTTCAACATCTTATCACTTGTCCAAAATCTCCAGAAACATTAAAAGACTCTATGAAACTTATAAAAGATAGCTCGTCCAAAACCAAAATGTCTGGACTGTCAGAGATAGAGACAAATGATTCTTTTATAAGCCCCTCGTCGTCTGCTAACACTACAATAAATGCTGAGTTTCAAGACACCGATGATCATATAAAAACAGAATTAGCGAGAGCTATATTTGTAACAGGGACGCCATTATCGATGGTGCAACATCCTTTATGGATACAATTTTTCGAAAAATTGCAACCAAAATTTAAAATACCTTCACGTAAAGCTTTAGCGACAAAATACTTAGATAAAATATATAGAGAAATGCGTTTTGAGTTAAATGAGGAACTAAATGCTTGTAGTTACTTACACCTTCAGTGCGATGGCTGGTCTAATTTAAGAAATGAAGGAATAATAAACTTTCTTATATCAAAACCTCAACCTGCATACGTTAAAAGTTTGAATACAGAAAGTAATCCTCACACTAGTGAATACCTTAGCCAAGAAGTTGAAAAAGTAATGAAAGTGTATGGAGCAAATAAGTTTCTTGTACTTATTGGCGATAACGCTAGAAATATACAAAAGGCATTCGAATTAACAAAACTCAAATATCCACATGTTGTTCCTCTCGGTTGCTGTGCACATATCCTTAACTTGTTGTGCCAAGATATTGTAAAGATACAAGAAGTAACTGTGTTTATTATGCAAGCCATAAATATAATAAAAACTGTTAAAAGGAGTCAACGATTAAGTTCCTTGTTGATAAAATCAAGGCAGGGTGAAGATTCTACACAAACACTAAAATTGCCTTGTGCTACAAGATGGGGAAGTCATGTTACTTCGTTAAAAAGTTTGAAAGCAAATAAGATAGCTTTGCAAATATTAACAGTTAGAGAAGATGTGGTAATTTCAAGAGATATTAAAGATTTAATTCTAAGTGATGATTTCTGGACGAAGACAGGGGAATGTATAAGTATTTTGGAACCAGTCACTGAAAGCATATTTTACTTAGAGAGCGACCAGAATCGTTTGCATCGCACATACATTACATTTAGAGATGTACAAGCTAAGATACGTTTTGCATTAAATGAGATTTCGACATTGAGCGAAGAAAGCAAACAGCAGATTCTAACATCAGTATCTTCAAGATGCAATATGGCAATGAGGCCAATACATTTTGCAGCATATATTCTAGACCCCAGGACTCTAGGAGTCGAACTTACTCAAGAGGAAGAACTTAAGGGTATGGAGTTTATCTACAATTTAAGCCAACACTTAAGTTTGTCAAATGTAATGGCAGATTTGGCGTGTTATAAAGCTAAAGAAAACTTTTGGGCCAGAGGATTTGTATGGAGCTCATTAGATAGCATTGAGCCCCTAATATGGTGGAAAGGTATTTGTGGTTCCACTGAGTTAAGCAAAGTAGCGATTCGTATTCTATCAGCTCCCTGTACTTCGGCAGCCACTGAGCGTTCCTTTAGTATCCAAGGCTACATACATAATAACAAAAGAAATCGACTTACAACTGAAAGAACTGAAAAAATTTCATTCATTTGTTATAACTGGAATCTTAAACATAAAGCTGAATGCGAGGACATTCAGTTTAATGAAGAAAATACCTTAGAAGCTTTCATTGAGCAAGTAAATGAACATAACAGTTTAGACGAAATAGAGCCTATCGAACCTATACAATTCATCGCTTGTAATAACTCTGAATCTGACAGTGATTGACTGTAGTTTTACATTTTACTTTCATCTCTTTCTTAATAAACTCAAAATCAAATTAAAAGTTTTTTATTCTGTAGGCTGCATAATAATATTGTCTATGTCCAGTATAGTGGACGTCTTGCGGCTGAGATGACGATGATGAAGTACAAAATCATAAACACCCAAAAATTTGGGTGTTTATGGGGTTTAAACCCAATAAACCCAAAACACCCGGTTTTTACCCACCAGACTTTAAACCCACCCAGGTGGATTGCCCATCTCTAATCAAAATTGAACCTAAGAATGTTAACCCTTTTACCATAATTGTGAGATTTTTATATTATAGGTATGTTTTTATATAGTATACCTACTGTAAGGTTTATACAATGTATATGTATACATTTAGTTTACACAACTTACTGAATTTAATTAATGATAATAGATAAGTATCGATAGCACTGAAACCAAAACGGCCTCAAGCCATTCGCCTGAATAATTTACTGCGTTTTGATTGGTCATCCCGGCCGAGACATTTGCATAATTGGCCATTAGTAACTTTTTGTTTACTGACGATCGGGATTCGGGCAATCGTGCAAAGTTGGCGTGCGTTGCTCGAGGCAACATCTACATTGGCTAGTTATTTTATTCAAAAATGAGATAGCGTTTTGTTATTTTACTTGTAAAGAATTGTTGCCTCGTCCGTTACAGAGTTAAAAAATAGGGATGGGAAACGTAAAAGGAATTGATCGAGCGAATGATACAATTAATAATAAATGGACGCGTTGAAAACTGTTTAATTTATAAGACCCGAATACGAGAAGGGATTAACGAAACCCAACTGGGCAACTCATCAATAAGGGTCCGAGCGAAATTCCGTCTCAAATATCTTGCGCGGCCCCCGTTTGTACGTAAACACGCAAAATCCCTCTAAAGGTACGCCGCGGTCTCTAGACATGTGCGGGACATAAATTTGGCGAGCGTTACGTAGGTAGGTACAGGCCGGTCGCTATGTGCCTCAATACATAAGGCGTACCGCGTACCTATGTACGGAGCAACACGGGCGTCACTTATCCGCGAGGAGGATGCGGTGGCCGTCCGATCGCCCCCGGCCACCCCCTACGGGCGCGCCCCACCCCCCTCGCGATTCATTAAGTCGGGCGCGGCCGGCGCGGCGGACGCGTCGCGGAGTCTCCGTGAATTCAAATTAGAGGCAGCTCGGACGTCGTACTTTAGTGATGGGGATGATATATGTTTGTCGAAGTAAATTGATATTTCGACAATGACATCATAATTGATTTAGGTGAACTTTTGTTTCATTGTATTCTCTCTTTATAAAAGACAGATATTAACCTATTATTACCTCACAAACTAGAAGACTTTTATTTTGAATTTTCCTTATCTTGTTTGCTTCTCTTAGTATCGTACTTTGTTCCCGTGAAATCAAGATATCATAGGAATATGACCAAGCTACTTGCGATATCTTAGGAATCAAGAGAACTAGTGACGTTGTATTCTTTATTCAATACTACCTACATGATACTCAAATTTTCTCACTAATATAATTAGTTTTAATGAATTTTAGTACCATTGATTTTGTAATTAAGGGCTGTTCCATTGAAAATTGCAGTGAAAATTCTTTCTAATAAATATTTACACAAATATTAAATTAAATTAAACTTGTTAATTGTTATTTATTTATATTCCAAAAAAAATTAATTAAATAAAACTTAACTTATGAAGTATACTTAACTTATTAAGTATAACTACATTCAATTACTTTCACAAACAAGCTACAATTTATTGTTGTTGCGTAATAAAAATTTGCCATTACACATTAATCTTTTATTTATTGAATACATTGTTTAAATTTATTGCAACTCTTAAACTTATTTATTAAAAACTTTTTATCGACATTTAATTAATCTACGGCACAACACTATCGCCCCTTTGTCTCGGCAAGACAGACGCGCAGCGCGGGTGCGGGTGGCGATGGCGTGAGCGGGGCACGTAGCTCGCGCGGGGGGCGATCACGTGCCGTGCCGGACGGAACTCGCGCGGGGCGAGCCGCACCGCGCTAAATGATTCAAAACTCGCCCCGGACCTGCAAGATTTATGCCCCTACCCGATCCCTAGATTAAAGATGTCGCGCCTTTATTGAAATACGTTAAAATATTCGCAGACGAACGCCGCCCGCCGACTGACACCAGTTTTCCGACAATTCATTCAGATTCAGTTCTCGTACTCATTTCATTCAGATCTTTATTGTTTGTTTTTCGCTCTGTTTTATTATGAAGGGTGGTGCTCCTCATTATTCTCTTTGCAAAATAATGGATAATCAAAGTCATTACTCCCAACGCTAATTATGATGGTATTTATGTATGTAAAATGTATTCTGATGAATTTTCGTATCAAGTGATATATTTTTCTGTATTGGATCAAGCAAATGATATTTTTTTCCAGAACTAAAAATTTATAAATAAGTTAGTATTAATTTTTGTAAATGCACAAATATTATAAATGCAAAAATATAATAATGTTTGGAGATATGACAATTAAACAGATATTTTGACTAAACGGTAGATGCTATAATAAATTAGAATAAATTTTAACTCAATGTATATGACTAGTAATATTTGAAATTCAATCAAAACAAATTTTTAAAATTGTGTATGAAATTATTTCAAATTTAAAAAACGAGTAAACTGTAAAATTTTGAGCATTGGTAAATACGACACTAGAGTAGTTTCATTAATTTAGACTTAGTACAAACTGCAATTCCAGTTTTACAAAACGTTTAGAACTTCGCGGCGACGGGTATGTAAATGCTAACTTTCCCTCTTCCATTGGGAGGGCGACGCAGTCCGGTTGCACTTGGCCGATTTATGTTACGATTCCCAACCTTTCAATTGATATTCATTTGTTTGTACATATTACACACGAGATTTATAAGTGGCACTGAAAAGTGACTTTAGGTATGTTGCATTTTTAATATTGTATTTTTATTATTTTTATAACAAAACTAAATAAAATCTACTAATTTCGATTATTTGAAAGTTAATCTCAACTAAATATCATCTAATAAACCATCAATATTCATGCTGATAGGTACTGGACTCTCAGCAATAACGTGTTTACTGGCATTTTTACTTTTTAATTTCATAACTAAGTACCTAACTATAAAATTTCATTTCTTTTCGAATCTCCTAATTATTTGAAAACTTTAATAGCGGAAAGGTGCAATACCTTACAAATTACATTGAAACAATTCTGTAGATATAACGTTCAATTCAGACTATTTGACATATTGTATAATTTAAGCATCTGTTCTAGAGTGAGTAGTAATCTGTCTTACCTATTGCACAAAAGGGAAGTCCAAGACGGTCTTAGTTCTCTTGTTCCATATCGCTTGAGAAATTAACGTGATTGCGAACCGTCGTGTATACGGAAACAGCTCGAAATAGAGATGCATTTAGCTAAGATTCGACATGCAATAGGCTGTACACAGACGGCTAGGATATCAAAGCAATCTGGCCGGGTGGTCCGAGGCGCAATTTGGGTTGCTCCTTGCGCATATTGCATGCACGTACCAATGAAGTTTGCTTTGTAGGCGGTAATCTGCGGGGGTGTATCGGCTGGGGTGGTGGGTGGTGGGTTATGTACACACGAGCCCGAGGCGTCGAGGTAGGCAAATGGCCGGCGAGGCGGGCGCGTAGGCCGAGATCTCGAGCTGGCGATATCGATCGGCCGGCCTGACGCCCGCGGCCGTTCGTCGCCACGGACACGACTCGCGGCGGGAGGGCGGCGCCGCGTGACAAAAACAGTCCTTTGTTTGCTGGAAACGAAGCGTTCCGCACCATCCTTGGGAAGGACACAATGTTTACATGGGCAATGACGGCGTCGTCGTTTGTAACAACAAACAACGACGGTTGTTGTTTTAGCAAGACGTTAATATTGAATAACATTAGCATTTTGTAATTCCCTTTAGTATTAGTCAATAGTCGAGTATATTAAAATATAAGATATTTTCTAAAGTAACTGATAAATAAGCAAACTTATCGATATTTGCAAAAAAAAACATTTGGTGACATCACTAGTCGCGTCGCGACCGCGCGGCGACGGGTGGCGCAAATCACTCGCGCGGACTGCCGTTCTTGGAGCGCGCCCCTATTGCGGTGCGGTCGTTTGCATCCTTTTATTTTTATTTGTCGATGAAAATAAACCGCTAGGTATTTCTTGTTACGGTCCTTATAAACTTATTTTGGTTTAAATTACATAGTAGCAATAGTCATAGTCCTAATAATTCATTATCGTCTACATAATCCCATTGTTAGCAATATACCCAACTAGGTCGACCTCCTCGCGGTTTTCCCTGGAAACTATCATGGTTAATTCCTGATGAATTAATCATGATAGGCTAACTGGCCTGTTTTCATTCTCATCGATCACCCTTCACTGGTGCTCCGCCAGCGTATCTCGTTAGCGCAGGCGAGGTTACCATACCATTTTCACCTATCAAATAAAAAAAAAAAACGAGGATAACCACAAAGTAACCGACATAGCCCTAAGGATAAGCAAGCTGGCGACCCCCACCCCACTAGATGGAGTTACGACCTGAAATGCATTGCAGGGAGTCAGTGGATGCAGGTGGCTAAGGACCGTTCTTTATGGCAGTCTATAGGGGAAGCTTATGTCTAGCAATGGACAGATAACGGCTGAAATGATGATGACAACTTTAAAAAATATATACAATGTAAGTATTAGTGATTCCATGAGAAGGAAATTTCTATTTCTGGGTGTTTATTTACAACAAACGAGTAACTCTATTGTCTTATAACTGTAACTTTTCATATTTTTTTTTCATTAGACTAGTAAAATACCTGCAAAGTCAGTACAGTATGTTTAACGTTATTTATTGCTTCTGTTATTGAGAACCTAACTGTAAAATAAGTTTCATATATATATTTTTTTATTTTAATAATAATTATAATCTTGATTATGTTTGTGAATGAATGGTGACTTAATAAGAGCATACCTATAAATATATATGTTTTGTAAAGTGTATGAAAAACTGAGAAATAAGTAAAGAGTTACTATTTATACTGCAGTAAAACCAAGTATAATTTGTAACAATTATATAACAATTTATCGATAGTCGATATCGACGTAGGTGTCGCAGCGTATTCAATTAGAGGCACAGCACGGTTCGCATGAGTGGCGTTTGTACGCGTCGCCGACGCTCGCCCACCCCTCGCCGCGTACCACCGACCCAAATCGATAGCTCGAGTCTTGGCATCGATAACGATATGCAGGTGCACATCTCTAGTGCGGGCGTCTTGTTCGAATTCCGAATAACGGTTGGTCAAGCTTTACTCAAAGCGAGGAACGTGGCGGGTCTAATTTGCAATAGTTCTACTGTAGTTTGGTATCTACGTATCTAACTAAATACAGCTTTGAAATTGCAAATGTTCGTATATTTATTTAGTACAAAATTGTAGATATATATACTTATGTACAGAGATTTTTAATTAACATATCTATACTTATATTATAAAGAGGAAAATTTGTTTTTTTTTTTTGTATATTTGTTTGTAAATACTTTATAACTACTCAACCAATTTTAAAAATCTTTTACCTATAAAAAGCTACATTATCAACGAGTAACATGTAGGCCATATATTATAAAAAAAAATGATTCCTAAGAAAATTACAATAATGTATGCCTGAATAAAAAAAATTGCCTAATAAAACCAATATGAAATTTCAATTTATCTACCTGTGCGAAGCTGGGGCGAATCGCTAGTTGCTAATACGATTAAGATAGGAGGATAAGAGAGATAGTTTAGAAAATAGATATTTAAAGTATTTTTAAATAAAATAAATAGCTTAAACTTTGAATCGAAACATGGTCACTTTGGGTCAAATAACAACACTTTTGATTGCAGTCAATCATTCAAACGATACATATTTCCGCTATATACCTGTGTAATGTTTTTATTTATTCATTAAAAACTTTTTAAGCCCTCTTTGAGAAATATATTTAGTTTTAAAGCATCTTATTGCTTAACTTGTTCATTATTTCGATTTTCTTTGGTTTTCGAATATTAAATTAAGATTTTTATTTATTTATTTATTTATTCATTAGTACAAATATGTGTACATGGCGGACTTAATGCTAAAAGCATTCTCTCCCAGTCAACCATAGGGAAGTGTCAGAATACTCGAATGCGGTACTTTTCTAACTATATAAGGGACGTTTTTTATGTAACATACAGAATTGAAGCTTAACCTTGAAATATAATATCTAATTAATAAATAGCAACAGGTGAATTTAGTTTGATTTACGTATTTAAACTACAATTAACGTTATTTGTAATATAATTAATTATAATAGTACTTAAATATAAAACTTCAATATTTTTTTTTATTCTATTTTATTTCGATAGGTGTATCTATTATTAGAGAGAATTAATAATGTTATATTAATTTATACGGTATAATAATGTTTTGTTCAAGCGAACCCTTCAAAAATATGCGTACACAGCATGATCAAAACATAAATACACAGCTAAACAAGTATCTAATTAAAAAAATCGCGCTGTAACGAAACATAAATGAAATTTGGTACACGGGTAAGTTATATTCTAACTTAACACTCTTAACACTTTATATGCTGATCCACGCAATGAAACCAGCAATAGCTAGTAAGTATAAGAGAGTTCAAGTAGATTTTGCACTGCAGCAAATTGCATATAGGGGATAATTCTAGTTATGAATATGACATAACTGAGTACAAAGGCATAAAATAAGTAAATTTCTATTCTTTTTTACAAAGTACCAGCAGAATGTCAGCGCTGCGGGTACTTCGGAGCTTAATGCTGAGAAGGTTACCTTTTTCACCATAGAGGTACATAAAATCATCTACAAATTTTTATTTCGCACATAAATGTATAAATTATGTGCTTGTAATGGTGAATAAATAACTTATCTATCTATCTAGCATACCATAATAGTCTTCAGAAATATCAATGCATGGTAGCGTGGTTTTTTTTTTATGATGGATAATGGTATGGCAACCCAGCCTGCGTTTACGGTATATAACTAGCGGGGCACCAGTGAGGGACGATAGGTGACGATGTAGCAGCTCAGTAGGCCCATCGTGACAAATTCAAAAATAAAATTCATCAATCACGACGATCACAGTTATTTTGGTATAAAAATTAAATTACCAAAATAGCCAATCTATAAGTATATCCTTTCAAATTAAAAAAAATTCAAATCGGTTTAGAACTAACAAAATTATGAGGTAACAAACATAAAAACATTACAACCCAAATGAGAACCTAAATTTTTTTGAAATCGGTTAAAAAATGAAAATAAACCTACAATTTCTTGATGACTTCATAATTTTTACTACACCCCTAATTTTGCCGCCTTAATATGTGCCGCCCGCGCAAACGTACATTTGATTTGATTTGCGATGGCGCCCTTTTCAAACGACCTCCAAAGGACGAGATTCTCAATCCATCTGTATTTTGCTCTCTATGCTACATGATTGATTTCATCGAATCAACTCGAGAGAAAATTCTAACGAATACAAAAGAATCAAAATTGGATGGTAACGTACTAGCGTAACAGCCATGAGTAAATATAGATGAATTCTGAGTGCTTTTTTTATAGTATTTGTATTATTTAAGTCGCTTAAAAAGAAAATTATTCTGAATAAAAATAGAACAAATAGTAATATATATAAATTAAGTGGAAATTTGCAAGTTTCTAAACCCAACAGTGTTCTAAAACTACGTTATCAAGATTAAAAATTAATAAATTTTTATAACAGTAATCTATGACTATTATATACGAAATCTCCCTGTAATCGATATACTCGATTGCAATGCCTTAAAAATATTAATAAAATACAAAAATCATATTTCAATATTTATTGTATGATCAAATAAAATTGAAAGCAAATGGGATTTGTACCTTATACAGTACCATTTTCAGTGGCATTATTGGTTAAAATCGAAATCATTGGCATTTTTTGTTTGCATTTGCATGTAATCTGCAAAACAACAAAAAAATTTTGTGTCTACCATATTAAAACGGCTTCTGCAAAAGTAAAGTTAATATGACGGGACAAATTTGTAGTAACAAAAATCTATAGAAAGTATAGAAATACAATAAACATACAAAAGCAATTGAAAATAAAAAAAAAACCATAAACAACGGAAGTGCAAGAAAAGAAATCAGAATGGGAGTTGATAGCGAAAGCGCTGAAAAGTTTTCAGCGAAAAGTGAAAGTTCCAGTCGCAAAAGTTGCGGCGGCCGACTTTGTTTTCGTTCAACTTCGAATTCTATTTGAAGGGTGGCGGGTGAGCCCCCACCCCCTGCAGCCCTTTCATAACAATACAGGTTATGATTTTGTTGGATAACAAACTCTGAAACTTTTCGAGTCACGCTTCCAAAACATAACATACCTACTCCTTTAAAATTGTGTATTTTATTTTTATATTTAAAATATTTAGAATAGTTACACAACATTTATATATCAAATTTAAAATATGTATTCCACCTCATCTGTCCATCATAAAACGGTTTACCAATTACTATTAAAAATATAATAATTGATATCAACTAACAATAAAAATAAGATAATCATATATTTCTGTATATAATATTGTAATAAAAATATAGATGAATTAATTATTTCAATATAAAAAAAAAACATTATTGTTATACGAACTTTTTGTGTCTAGTGGCGCAATCTATGAGAGCTATCTAAAACTTTTCTCTTTTGGTCGTGTAGCGTTTGGTTGATTTAAAAGCAAAAGTGTTGCTGATGTTATAAAAGAGATGGTGCTATTTCTATCTACGCTCTGGAAATAAATAAACCTAAATAAATGAACCCAGTAATTTCTCACCTTCGCCTTGAAAATTTTTAAATAAATAATTATATACTATATATATAGTCGCCATAAAATTGTTATGCTTATTTTATTTTAAATCTTTTAGATCATAACGTCTACTAATAATTAATTTTAAATTACTTAACCTTTTAAATTAATCTTTTCAGCAATTTTTAAATTGCAACTTACAATATTGCTATGTAAAAGTATATTCTGTTTTATATTTGTATTCTTCACTATCACATATAATGATATAAAATTTAGATATAAGTAGCTTTGCTTTAGAAACTTCAATTTATTAATTTTAAACTGATGAAAATTGATAGCGATTAGATGACATTAATCAATATAAGTAATAAGATTAATTTAATATGGATCTGATTCTAAAACTTTAAAATCTAACTTATATTCTTGAATTATATTACATTATAAAATTCGAACGGTCTCCAGTACTCTGAGAGAGAAAATAGTTTTTTTTTTTAATTGAATGGTATAAAATGGTGACACTCCTTACATCATCATACCTTCACAAGGTTCCTCTGAACACCAATGTTGTTATTTTCTGGTAAACTTGTTACGATGGGTCAACTGACCTGTTTTCCTCGGGAAGAAGGGATTATTACTAATGGGAACTAGCACACCCATCGTTAACAATATCCTCTTTCACGACCGACCTCTACGCGGTGTCTCCTGGAAATCCTCGTGGTTGATATTTGGTGAACTCATCACGAACTGACCTGATTTCATCTTCATGTATAATTACTCATTAGTACTCCGCAAGTGTATATCGAAAGCGCAGGCGGGGTTAGTATTATCGTTAATAAAAAATACTGCTTTCAACTTTAGTTATTATCCCTCACTGGGCCAGTGCTGATAGCACGTGCAGTGTTGTAATCCATTTTATCCCTTAAAGATGTCCGATCTCCGTGTTTTAAAATAATTATTGAGTCCAGAGACATAGTGTGCTCTGGTCTCTTTCTTAACAAAAACGGATACCAATTCAATAAGATTTACACAACAAATCGTTTCTCCATTTCAGCCAGAACGCCTGATGTCTCCGTACACAGCTATCATCCGTCGCAGCGGCAATCCTTTCGAAATAGCCCACGTCCTGGTCTCCTGGCTCATCGGTGCCGGATACGACGCGTATATAGTGGTAGGCTGCGCCAAGAGGGACGTCTGCATGGCCATACGATACCGGACTGTTTGCCCTGATATACCGGACGAGAGTGAGGTAAACATACGAGGAATAGGAAATAAAACGCTTCACACACTGATCGTGCCAATAATTCAGTGAAAGAGGGCAGGAACCGTAATACTGAACGGTTAGCGTATGAAACACTTTAAAGGTTCTCTCTGAATAGGTGAAAATAAATGACTAACCTAAATAAATAGGAATATAAGAAAATTATTAGTGCAGTGTCCTAGTCCTTTCCGCAGCTGCAGTGTCCTCCCCTTTCCTTTCCCACATAAGTCCCTTATTCTTCTTATTTACTAATTTCCTTTACACATTTCCAACGTTCCCTTCCTTTTTTTTCCTCAATCCTTTCCTCCATACCGCAGGTGGCGGAAACCACCAACAAATGCATTCCCAAAGAGGGTTGACGTAAGGCAGACGGCCGGTCGTAAAACTAAAAACCAAATCTTTTTGTAATATGGATAAAACCATATTATGCCGACCCCAAATAATAATTGGGATAAGAGTAGGAAGATGATGGTGATAAGAAAATTATTAGTATCGTCATAAGAAAATATTAAAGAATATTTTTCCGAAAGAAATATGGATCGCAGTGAAAAAAATTTGAGCTATATCAATATGGTGTATTTAACTGTTAAGTACCAGTTAGACCTCCGAAAATGTGAACAGCATGTTACCAAGTTATTTACACAGAAATCAATTTTCTTTAAATTGCTCAGAGGCCATTTTGAAAGGAAAGTCTTCAAATAATAAAATAAAAAATAATAATAAACAGAATCACGTAAGACTTCAGAGAAATAAACAAAAATACATTTTAAATTTACTTGTATTTAACGTCATGAATATTTAGAAAAGATTTTGTTTTCCAGATAGTGGAAGAAGTACCACCGCCAGAAGAAGAGCCTCGGTACCGTCTAGTGCCTCTACCAGATCTAACCTCCAAATACTGCCAGCAGATGAACAAAAAGGAAGAAGATAAGAAGCAAAATGAATTAGATAAGATCGAGAATGAAAGAATGAGGAAAATTGCGGTATTCCGATAGTTCATTAGTGATTCAGATTCCTACTAATTTTCAATACCAGTCATCTCTTACCTACCAATTTTGCATTTGTATATATAATACCAACGATTACAGACAGATATATAATTTTTTTGAAAAAAAATTTGTAGCCTATGTGACTTACTCATAATGTAGCTTCCTATAAGTGAAAGAATTTTTAAAATCGCTTGAGTAGTTTTTGAGTTTATCCATTACAAACAAACAATCAAATACTTCCTCTTTATAATATTACTAAAGATCTACTAAACATACCGAGTACTTAGCTTGTGATATTTGTTATTCCTCTTGATTTTTTCTTTCGCCACAATGGACTTACTGACATGACTTCGTTCTCTTTGAACCCCGCTATTGTTTTAACTAATACACCATCCCATCTCTATTCAATACTAAAGAGTCCCAGCTTCGCATGGGTAGATAATGTGGGGATCTCTATTTTTTTTTTAATAAAATATAGGTGACCTGCTGAAGAAGGGCCAAATTAAAAGTACCCGTAACCGGCGAGCGTGTATGAAAAGATTGATGAATGTGAAAGAAGCGAAAGTGGTTTGTTTGAATCGAAGCATTTGGCATTCCATTGTTTCTGCCTACCCTAATGGGAGACAGGCGTGACAGATATGTATGTATGTATGTAAAATATAGCCCATATTACTCGCTAGTAATGTAGCTTGTCTGTAGATGTAAAATTTTTTAAAACAGGTTAAGTTTTTCTGAATTTAGCCAGTGCAAAAAATCAAATCTTGTCGCATTATATTAAAAAAATTGTTCTTGATATTTCTCCTCCTTAATCATAGCAATTTTTATAGAATATTTTATTTTACTTTCATATTCTACCCTTCAAACAGAAATACAATCATATAAGTATAGCTACAGATTGGAAGAACCAGTAGTAATGTTAAAGTAAACGATTTTTATACAAAATCTCTCTCTGGTAAAATCAGGATTTGGAAAAACCGCCGCACGATGAAATCGACGGCTGGCGGACGCACGCCTGGATATTAGTTTTGCCAGGCAGCATGGGTGTCGAAGAGCCATTCTTCATAGAGCCCAGTGAAGGCAACCAGTATCCGCTAGAAGCGAAACAGTACCAACATCTGGACAGTGTGTATAATCATGAGAATTATTATGTAAGTGTATCATTCATGTGTCGTGGGATTTCATTACTAAATAAATTCTTTTATATATCACTCATTTATTTATTATATTACCAGTTTTAATTGATCGTCATGAAATAATATTTTTTTATGCAACTTAGAATGGTAAACAATCTGACGGCCCACCTGATGGAAAGTGGTAACCGTCGCCTATAGACATGAGTAGTACCATGGTTATAATAGAGCATACTGTTTTGCCCATGATACTCTCCATGCGTTGCCATTCCTAAGAACTCAGGTGTTATTCCTTTGTACCCTGTAAATTCACTGCTATATCCCATCCAAACAAAAACACAGTTATGTAAACACAACTGCTTTACGGTACAAACATGAATGGAACAGAGGTACCCAAGCAAACGACTTTTGCACAAAGTTTCCATCTGGTAATGAAATTGAAATTATCATAGAAATACCTTTCAAAATGAAATTAGAAACAATCAATTAATCGAATTTTTATTTATATCAACTACTTGTAATATAAATGTCAGGCATACAGTAAGCCATCCCTTCCTTTCTAATGGGTGTCGTAAGAGGCGACTAAGGGGCTTAATAGTCGAAGGATGGATAGCAGCGTCCCTTTTAAAACATCACCAAAAGCCTATCTTCGATTGCCAACGCGCCTGATAAGCGTGGTAACTGCTGGTAAAACCCCCCTTATGGGATAGGCCTATGTTCAGCAGTGGACAGTTAACGGCTGGTATGGTGAACTAGAACTAGTACAACAGAATACTCAGATGAGTTTAATCTGCCCAGGTGAACCTTCAGAGTTGCGACAATGGTTTGAATAGCCTCAACTATGACTTATCCGATATAACATGCTGGGAACACCTTCTCGCTGGCGAGCCATTTTCTAGAAGACAAATGGTGGGAATCGACACCGCCGACAAAAAAACAGCAGTTGACACCGAGAAGCATTTGGACGTTCCAGCTAGCTGGGTGGAGAAGTTGGATATCACTGCTGATGGTTATAATACAATATTGTTCATTGGTAACAATGTACTCTATCAGATCGACCTTCACATGGTTCCCTTGCAAACTTTCGCATTAGAAAAACACAAACTTCCCACTTTTGTAAATTAGTACCTCATTGACGATACGTTAATGGAATGGTGACCCTGCTCGCGCTATGGGAATAAACTCGTGGGTTATTCGAAAAGGATGATATGTAAAGATGAAGTCAAGTTTATTGACCCATCGCGATTAACTAAACAGAAACTAACCACGTAGGTTTTTAGTGAGGACCACGTGGAGGTCAATCAGACAAGGTGTTCAGCGATAAGTAGTAAGCTATATAATACTAAAGGATCTTTCTTTAGCTCAGAAGAATAAAAAAAATATCTTCGTTTTCTTAGAATACGAGCAGAGATATCCAGGCAGTCACAAAGTGATACACTACAAGAAGGTGGTACTGGAGAAATTTTCACCGTACTCACAGAGAGATGGCATCGTGAAGAGAGTCAAGATTTTTGATGATTATGCTCTCACTATACCTCTTATTACGTAAGTTGTTTATATAAATTAGAATAATTAAAATAATGCCAGTGATGACAGGATCCGAAATGAGGATATCCGCAAAAGAACAAAGCCATCGATGAAGCCCGAAGGATAAGCAAGCTGAAATGGCAATGGGCTGGTCACATAGCTAGAAGAACTAACAACCGATTGGAAAGAAAGGTTCTTCAGTGGTGATCCCATACAGGCAAACGCAGTGTAGATGGAGTGACGACCTCAAATGTATTACAGGAATTTAATGGCTGCAGATAGCTCAGAACTGTTCTTTATGGGGGAGGCCTATGTTCTGTAGATTGATAATGACTGAAATGATGATGATGATGATGATATAATAAATGCCATCCAATCATGCCAATTGCCTATACCTCATACTAGGATTCTCTTTGTTATGAAGAACCAGGCAATAACCGTATGGTGGCACCACCCAGAACATCAAGCAGAGACAATTCAGAAAAATTCGCTTCCTAAATTGGCCCAACTGGGAATCGAGTCCAAGTTTTTATTTACGCAAAACAACATGCCAAACAAAATATGGATGCACAGATGATGTTATTGTAACATATCCATAGTAGATACGGTAATAATACAATCAATAACATAAGCCCAAGAGGTTTAAGTGGTACTAAAAATCCATAAATTTGAAATATATTTACATGCTAATTAAATAAAATATATTAATTAAAAAAAAATTATGGTAAAATTTTTCGTAAATTCTAATACAAAAAATATATATGTCTTCTAGTTACGAGTGGTATAAGAATAGGGTAGACAAAATGGAGACTGTCAGAATAGACCATGTCAAAAGACAAGTATTGGAGAGGTTCGGAGTCGGCAGAAGGGATCACATAATAAGTTCGTATACTAAGCTTTTGAATTTTCTCTTATTATATATATATTTAGGGAAGCCAAGGAGTGTTTGTGTTCACATAAATTAAATATAAAAATGTTATTTCTATTATTGTTATATAGTATTTATCCTAATTGTTATCAGTATGTACAATGTCTGTTATTGTAGGTACTGCTTTCCTGGGTGAGCGTATTGAGAGACTGTAAAGCTCACCCAGTTGATCAAATAAATAAATAATCATTGCTAATTACACAGTCAAATATTATAATCACATATAGGTACCTATATTTTAGTCTTAAATACCTACAGATAATAGGTAAATAAATACCTATTACGTGCTATTGCACAAAACAATTATATTAAAAATGCATTAAGAATGCAATATACTATCATAATTTTCACTTGAAAAGGTTTGCTTAAAGAAATCTCTTATTAGAGATAAGCTCGCCTTTGTACATTATGTTTAAAATTAATAGTTCTTATTATTATGTTTGTGTACAATAAAGAATAATGATTCATGATATTATAAGATTGAAATTTTCTAAAAATGTTTGGGTATTAATTAGTAGGAATGTTTAAGTGGTCAAGTCAATGGGCAGCAGCGTCCCTCTTAAAACATCATCAAAGCCTAACTGCGGTTACCAACACGTTTGCTTGGCGGGTAACTTTTTTTTATACAACTTAGAATGGCAACCAAGCTGACGGCCCACCTGATGGAAAGTGGTAACCGTCGCCTATAGACATGAGCAGTACCATGAACATAACAGAGTATACTGTTTCGCCCATGATACCCCCATGTGTTGCCATTCCTGAGGACTCAGATGTTATTCCTCTGTACCCAGTAAATTCACGCCATATCCCACCCTTCAAACCGAAACACAGCCATGCAAACGCAACTGCTTCACGGTTGAAACACGAATGGGACAGAGGTACCAAGCAATCGACTTTTGTACAACGTCGCCCTCTGGTAATGTAATATGTTTAAATATGTAAGTACTCAACGGATTTGAATTAGATTTGGTAAGCGGAAAACCATATTTTATACTTGGATATATCTAGCTGAAACCTTTGTCCACATGGATGTTATATTTTTCTAGAACATGTCTCATTTATATGGATAAAGGTTTTGGTTATCACAATACACAATGTATTGTTCTATAGAGCATGTGTATTCAATGGACGCACCGGCCGTGTCGGTGGAAGGCGATAGGACCTTGGAGTTCAATTATTACGCCCGTCTCGATCACCTCACGAAGCTGGTCTGCTCGCCGCTGACCTTCGATGAATACTACACCGACAGGGATGACAGGTAACATTTTGTTAATTTAAATTGTCTAATAACAATAATTAATATTAATAACATAATATATTTAGTATTATGGTCGACGGGTAGACAGCAGCGTCCCTCTTAAAACATTACGCCGAACTTAAAAAATCGAAGGGACTTCAAGAGAGCTATCAAAACAGGCTCCTCTTCCACTGGCACTGACTCTGCTCAACGGTATCATGAGCCAGTATTCGGACTTGGATATATTTTGTCCAATAATTAAATGTTATTATTATTTGTATATATTGTGATTGCAAAGGAAGCAAATTAGGAAACTGGCAAGCTCCCTTAGTTGGTAATATAAATAAATAAATAAATCACCAAAAGCCTAACTGCGGTTGTCAACCCGCTTGTCAAGTGTAGCAATTACTGGTAAAACCCTTCTTCTAGGAGAGATCTATGTTATGTGAGACAATAGCTGATATGAACAATTAATGAATATTTCATAATAGCCTGGCAACTACCGGAAAAACTCCTCTTATGGGAAAGGCTTATGCCCAGCAGTGGACTGCTGAAATAAAAAATAATTTAGTAATAGAAGGTATGCGTTGACAGTTAGAAGTCAAGTGTTCCAATTTAAACAGATCTCTTTCACCTCATAATACACTAGGAAACACTAAGATACAGTTAAGACAAATCAGACAATGAACATCTAGTTAAAGAAAACTCCTTGTGTTCTTTCACTTTTTAGAACTTTAAGATCCAAGACAATGCATACGTTTCCTAAATTGGTTTAACCAAAATTGACTCTTGAGTATATCTTACTAATATAAGAATGTCAATGTCAGTACATTTTTTTTTATACAACTTAGAATGGAAAACTAGCTGACGACCCACCTGATGAAAAGTGGTAACCGTCGCCTATAAACATGAGCAATACCATGAACATAACAGAGTATACTGTTTCGCCCATGATACCCCCCATGCGTTGCCATTCCTGAGGACTCAGGTGTTATTCCTCCGTACCCAGTAAATTCACGCCATATCCTAGCCTTCAAACCGAAACACAGCCATGCAAGCACAACTGCTTCACGATTGAATCACGAATGGGACAGAGGTACCCAAGCAATCGACTTTTGTACAAAGTCTCCATCTGTCTATATTTTTGTTACGATATCTGCAAAAGCCACTGCATGAAATTGGATGCGGTTTACAAAGTTGTATTCCTGAAGATTTAGCTTAAAAACTGGTGGATGCTATATCTTGATACGTCATCCAGACTAGTAGTCTAATTCATTGATTTTCCTACTTCTAAAATCCACGTGTAGAAACTAGCGAGCAATAAGCTAGCTTGAAATAATTTAAATTAACTACTTCACTTCAAACATCAAAACTAAACCTGTAATGAAATTGCTCATGTATTCATTTCACTTTACAAATGTTTTCAGGTTTTTTTTTTATAGGTGATAATGAAATAGTGACCCCACCCGCGCTATCGGTATACACTGGCAGGGCACCAGTGACGGATGATAGATGAGGATGAAACAGGTCAGTTAGTCCATCGTGACGAATTCTACGAGAATTGTTCACGATGGTTTCCAGGGGGAACCACGTGGAGGCTAACCTGATAGCAATGCCTGATAGCCTGATATTGCTAGCAATGGGGCTGTCAAACTCCATTGCTAACAATCCCTTCCCCCCAATGTTTTCAGGTTAGAATCTAGAATGATCGTGTACATAGAAGGCACCAAAGCGGAGCCTAAACGTCAAATGAAGGACATAACAGAAACATACAGGAGGAACCCTTCTATACCAGCCAAGGATGACGTTTTTAAGAAAATCTTTCATATCCAAGATAACACAATAGAACTGTTCTACCATTACGCATATAATTTCATCACGAATAACACTAGGAGCTATATTAAGCCGAACTTAGCTGAGACCGGGGGCAAGATTCTTTATTACCCTGAAAAAACTTCAGGCTACATTGTAAGCTTTTTTTCTATTTTTTAATAGACTTTAAAACAAGGAGATTCTAAATTCGGTTGTACTTTTCTTATGTTTGTTACCTCATAAATTCATCAGTTATAAACCAATTTGAAAAATTCTTTCTTTATCTGAAAGGATATTCTTACAGATTGGTCTCATATAAACTTTATCAAAATCGGTTCAGTGTTTTAGTTTTTAAATCAAAATAATTGATTTGCCATAATTGAATACGGTTTTTGTTTGTGGAACACAATTTTAATTATTATATAACCTCAGGTAGGATGACTTATTTACGATTCTTTTCCAGGCTGACCCATGTGCTAAGCCCCCACGGCCCCTCAACATCTACTACGCACTATGCGAAAATATGGACTGGGAGTACAAAACCAACAAACACATCAGAGATCGGGAAACAGATATCAATGGGTATTTGAAACAGCGATACAAGGAGTTGACGGAGCCCCTTTTATTTGTCGCGTTGTTTGATACCGAGAGAAACGAAGCGGCAAAGAAAGGGTGGAAAGAGCAAGTAAGTTTTAAATGAGGGTTTCTATATACTTAAAAGAAGTGTATGTAGCTGTAAGCGTAACATATGTAAGCTGATGGCCCACCTGATGAAAATTGGTAACGGTTGCCTATAGATATGAGTAGCACCATAAACATTACAAAATACAAGTATTATGTCCATAGTACACCTCATATCAATATACCTATAGATATAAATAATACCATGGACACCATAGAATCATCACAGTGTATCAAAATACACTGTGATGTCACAATCACATGTGTGAAATCACAAATGATATCTATGATGTTGTAATTTGTCTTTTAGGAAACACAAAAAGCCGAGGTGACAGAACGAGAGAAAGAAGCTGAGATCGATCCTCTGGCTCCCTACCTCGCTCGTATGTTCGGTTCTGGTCGCGGCACTGGTGCACCGCTTACGATCAAGGAAGCGACCTTAGTTCGAGAACAATGTATCAACGACTTCAAAGCTAAACAACTGGCCAGACAGAATTTGGTACAAGAAAGATTCGACACGGTAAGGTTTACAAATTATATACATACATACCTCAAATGAATTTGTACTTACCGTAGTATTGTAGTATTAGTAATGTAGTTATTTCTACTAGGAAAGACAAAAATATGAAGCCATACAGCCTAATCTTTTTGGTATGGAGAAAGTTTCTATCCATAGAGCTTCTATTGCCATTATGCAGTTACATATTTTAAAATATTTCTAACAGCAAACATCAGCCGTATTGTTAGTAAACAAAATCATTGTTTTTATAACAAATCTGTTTTTTTATGACAATTAAATGTACCACTAAATCTGATACAGATGCAATACCAAAAATATCACCAGGACGTTACCTACTCTCGTAACAATATACGTCTTTAGTGACAGTAATAAACAAATTCATTTTTGTATCCCACACTTCAAACCGCAATACACAATGGGATCAAGTATTGTTTGACAGGAGAAATTGACGAGACGCAGACCTAACACTGTTCGTGCAGACAGACTACAAATTCTTTGTGTAGGAACAATTTTCTTTTTTTTTTTTTCAACAGTTTTGTTTTTACTGATCTATTCTGTACACTAACTTTCTTATTATCGTTTTGTCTATGGTTTTGTTCTCTTATTTCAATTTTTTCTTATACTTATTTCAATTTGCATCCAGCTAAATAGTGAATACAAGAACAAGAGGTTGTGGTATCTGGCGAACCAGTTCATTCTGACGCCTGAAAAAGAGAGTGCTTACTTTGCTGCTAGGTAAGAAGTACTCAATTAATTATTACTATAACTGTAAAATTTCTAGCTTTGACTTCCACGAGACAGGCTTTGCCTAGTGTGGGGTCATAGTTATATTGTACTACAGGCTAATTTTGTTTAAGGGAATAAAGTTATTATTATTATTATTATAATTATAATACTCGAAGCGAATGTGACAAAATACTCTTTGCGCCAATAATATAACATATTCATTATCATTCCTGAGTGTAGATTTCAGTGGATTCAGTGGCGAATTTATACATTCGCCGTTAGCAAGCTGTTTGAAACCCAATTTGACTGTCCTCTACAGCCGATACAAATAAATGCCCCAAATATGCCACCCCTGAAATCTGTTGCTCTAAGCTCCAGCCTACACAGCCTGCTGGCAAATTTGCCACTGAATAGAGTAATTTCACATCCATACACATATTTAGTCTTCGACAATTCGGCACCGGTTTTAATGATTCTTTTTATAATGTCTTAGAAATATAATAAAATACTACAAATAACACGTAAAATTATGTAGTATTTTACTTAATTATAAATACAGTTATTTATTTAGGTACTATTGACCCGCCCCAGTCTCGCATGGGTACATAGAAAATAGTATAGAGCTCATATTGTTGATAATGTAGCTTACTATAGGTGAGTTTTTTTTTTCAATCCGTTGAAAATTGGGCATGATGGTTTCCGGGAGGATCGTGTGTGGGTCGACCGGATAAGGTATATTATTAGCAATGGGGAGTAACCTTCTCATGACTAACAATACCTTATCAGGGGGAAGCGATTATTAGTGTCTAGCGACCCTATTGCTAGCAATACACCTTATCAGGTTGACCTCCTCGCGGGAACCTTGCGTACCCTGGATACCATCATGCTTAATTCCAGGTGAGTTCGTTATGATGGATTACATCGTCATCCATTAAAAAAATCATTGAATATTTTTAAAATTTATCCTTTAGAAACAAACAAAAAAATCTAATGTTTCCTTTTTTTAACGTTAGTATAGATTACTTATGTAATATTTTCTCCGTAGCGCCGAATTAGCGTTCAAGGTGCACGCTCTGGAAGTGAGACTGACCAGGCATAAGGATCTGTCAGAGCCACGCTACAAGATTCTCATGGAATATCTGGACAAGCATCCGCTCCTCAAGGATTATAATCGAATGAGGCATTACTATGGCGTCAAATAAACGCCTCTGTTCAGTTGAATTCACGTTTGGATCAAGGGTTGAGAATAAACAGTGGCAAACGAAAACGTTTAAAAAAAAACAATACAAAACTAATATAATATGTACTATTCATAGACAAAATAAAGCATTATCTATTTTTTATATGTTAACTAGCTTTTACCTGCGACCTTTTCCACGTAACAAGGATACTTTTACCGACCAAGATAAAAAATAGCTTCCTTCTCTATCGCATATGCCATATACTACTTGTATAACCAAATTCATAGTTAAAGTGCTATATGATAACAGACATACTTATATTTATCATATCCATAAAGATATATAATTTAGAATTAACGTAATATATAAAATTAATGCACAAATAAATAATAGCTATATTTCTTTTGTTGAATTATATTGATTCAAGTTCTTAACTGTAACTGTGAAGAGTTATAGGATAAAAAAAAAAAAAACAAAGAATTATGTAATAATTGATTTTTATTAAATTTCGATTGAAGTATAAAATAAATTTGTGTTTTTCTAAGAGTATATTTTAATTACACTATACATATATATATATAGACTATTCACATTTTTAACATAAATATTCAAGATGCATTATTGGTTTTGAAAAATAAGTTGAGTTTAAAAATTAATGTTAATTTTATAACTTTCTTTAAAAAAATCTGTTCGAATTTTAAAATAAAGCTAATTAAATACTCAAAGAATTCGGAATTCGGCAAAGGACATTTAGGAAGGAACGTAAAGTCTGATCCTTTTTCAAATGGTCATATTTCGAATCATAGAGAGAATAGAGGGTAGTTCTAAATATGACCATTCAAAAAAGTAACGCACTCTGATCGGTATATATAGAAAAATATGGGTACATACATTTGTACGTGTACAAAAGTCATCTGTTTATGTAGTAGTAGCAACTGATAAAAGCCGCACACTATGAACTCATTTGTCAGCAAAATTTCTTTTTATGAAAGACATGTACTTTCCACAACACATGTGTAATTTTAAGGTTTTATTATGACAGGACTAACATAATTTATACTGAGAATTGTCTATCGTCGAACGTAAAAACCAGGGAATGCGAGAGCAACATAAAGGACAATTTAGTCGCAGACAAAATGTCTTCAATCTGCGCTGGTCATAAGATTTAATTTGTTCTAGTGTTTAGGCAATATCCATGAGGGTTGCGGATGGTTGAGATCGGTATTCCAGTCGCCGGCTCCGCCCAGCAGGTTGCCCCTACCGTCGTGGGTTGCCAGCGCTAATCTCGATAGCTTGTTAGCCAACCGCCGTTGCGGAGAGTCAGGTCTGGAGAGTGGTGGCAGTGATATACTGCCGGAATCTGTTAAAGGCAGAACATATTTCAGTGATCTACTCTCGACGACTGGCTACACTCTAGCGCCTCACTAATACTTTTATCTTCTCTAATACCAGTATTCGTATGAGGGTCCTGCCCTCTGGTGACAAAAATCTAGGCCACTGTCATTATATACGTAAGCGGTTTCTCGGGCTTTTTACACATCTTACCATGCGATGGCCAAAACACGAAACAAGTGACAAATTTTAAATAACTTATTCCAAACTTAATTTGAAATTCAGAGGTTTAAGTTGTAATTGAATTTTGGTATCCCTAGAGCCGGATCAAAGAGCAAAATACCCGGGTAATAGTCAATCGTTATCCAACTGAGCTATATCCACCTTTCACGCTTTATATTATTTATTTATTTAACTCTTTATTGCACCATAAATAAAAATATACAATGACAAGTGAATAATTCAAATGAAATACAGTAACATAAATACAGATTGAAATATACACATAAAGGTACAAAAGGCGGTCTTATCGCTAGAGCAATCTCTTACAGACAATCTTTAGTTAAAGGAGAACAGATAGAAAAGGGCAGGTGGCGCAAGAGTGAATTAATAATTTTCGTGCATAAAATACAAAAACATGTAATGCACAAAAATATCAAATACATATAATTTATTAAACTACTTATATTACAATATTTCTATCACTGCACCTCAGAAGTTATCTAACTGGTCTACTAACCAGAGTGGTAGTCATAGTTGGCGTGGTCGCTAGGCGTCTCCTGGCCCAGCCGTTTCCGGTACTCGCCCGCGAAGTGTTCTATCAGCGTGTCCATCATTATGGCTTGCTTCGAAAACACCTACAAACGAAGTTCATTAGTTGTCCATTTTTTATAGAACTTTCATCTTCCAATATCTGCTAAGGTTTCATATTTCCCTCATCTTCTTTACATGCCCATCTCATCAACCCTCATATTATGTTAGGGAAATCAAGACACCCGATAAGTATTGAGTGACTATTTTCAACTTGGAAAAACAATTTTATTTTTCTACATTATGCTGTTGAAGTTCACCTATAAATAAACAAAAATGACGTGATCCCTGATAGGATAGACAGAGACATTAGTTGACTGCTGTGAGTAACTTAATAATGGGCATGCCCACATTTCGCCTAACATATTTTGATCCTGTTTCTTAATGACTTTTGCCGCATATCAGTTCTTACTTTAGCTTTTATAGGAAAATTCAAGTTTTAGTTCATTTTGTAGAGACAAAATGAAGTCGACAAGACTCAAAATATGAACATCTCTGTTTATTCTATTTCTTCATCAAAGTGGATTTCTTGGATGCTATGTTCTAGCAATCCTATGATGAAATTATATGACAGTGAGATTGCTATGCTATTGTCTCTTAAGATTCTCATATTACGAAAGTCAGAAACGTGAGTTGCAAATATGCTTGGATGCATCCCATTTACAAATTAATTATCTTTGTCGTAATAGTCTTCATTACCAATATCATTTTAGCTATAGACTCAAAAGAATAGTCTTTGGCTACCTAAGATCCTTACTTTTAGTGGATAGGAAGTCCTACACCGCGTTTGCTGGTAATACAGTAATAGGGATAATGCTGTAATATTACCCCACATGAACTTTTCCCCCGTCAGTTGTCAAAACCTTTTTTATATTTATTTATCAATATAGTACAAACCTGTAATATCTTGGAGACTCGTAGCCCATTCTCTACAACCATGAACTGCAGAAATAAACAGGGCAGGCAGTCTTCATTGTCATCTGATGGTAAACCGAAGTCCCAGGACAACTCCTCGTACAGTAGCCCAAGGAGTACCGTCTGCAGGGAATGGAGTCTTATAAAGGACATTCGAACGCTCGTTTTTTTTTTGTTAATTTCTTTTATATACTTTCTATCTATAGACCCAAATATATCGATGCTGAATAGGAAAAAAAAACAACTAAGCAAGAGGTGGACATATCATCTTCTTACTCTTATCCCAATCATTTAGGGTCGGCGTCATATGATTTTATCCATATTACAAAAGGATTTAGTTTTTTTTTTAGTTTTACGACCGGCCACCTGCCTGACTTCAATACTCTTTGAGAATGCATTTGTTGGTGGTTTCCGCCACCTACGGTATGAAGGAAAGGATTGAGGAAAAAGGAAGGGAACGTTGGAAATGTGTAAAGGAACGGAAACAAAATTCTTTTTACAATTCAATTTTGACTTTGTTTCTTCAATTAGAAGAAATAATAATAATCATAATGATAGACCTACAAGTAATTGATATACCTAATCATAGTTTAACGATAGTACTAGATGGGTATAATTATATTAAAGCTTGATATTTTTAACTACTGAATTTCTAAAAAAGACTAAAGCTTGGATGTACCACTCACACTTTCTGTGTCGTCAATGACGTAAACGCCATTGGAGTTGATAGCTACAAGTACGGGGATGTCCTCGTGGGCGAGTAGACTGGTCAGGCTGCGCACCGGCTGCTCGATCTGACCTTGGAAAAATGCCGCCCTGGAATAACAGTGTATTTATTTGTACGACATCAAATGGCCAACTGACGGCCCACTGATAAGTGACAATCATCGCCTATTGTAAATATTGTAAATATATATTTATTTCTCTCACAAAATAACAACATAATAAAACTTACAGTAATATATATAATCATATAATATGTATAATATACACCTGCGCTACCGGTATACGCTGGTGAAGCACTAGTGAAGGATGATCGATGAAAATGAAAACAGGCCAGTTAGCCCATCATGATGAATTCATCAGGAATTAACCATTATAGTTTTCAAGGGGAACCGCTAGGAGGTCGACCTGGTTGGGTATATTTCTAGCAATGGGATTCTCAGTCTCCATTACGAACAATCCCATTCCCCCCAATGCCAGTACTAGGATAACCCGTCTTACAGTTAGGGGGAAAAGGGATTGTCAGTAATGGAGACTGAGAATCCTGTTGCTAACAATATACCCAACCAGGTCGACCTCCTCGCGATTCTCCCTGGAAACTATCATGGTTAATTCCTGATAAATTCATCATGATGGGCTAACTGGCCTGTTTTCATTCTTATCTATCACCCTTCACTGGTGCTCCGCCAACGTATCCCGTTAGCGCAGGCGGGGTTACCATACCATTTTCACCCATCAAAAAAAAACCCCGTCTTACAGATCACCAGACTCCCAGACTCAAGGACATCTATTTTACTTGATTTGTAAAGGTAGTATACAAGTATATAAATGAAATTTGAAAAAAAAATTATAAGCTACGTGTATGTACTAGTATAGGTAAGAGGGAAATTGAAAAGTGAGCGAATGCGTGTGAGTGAGTGCATAAATTACCATGCCTATAAATATGAACAGTGCCATGGACATTACAGGGTTCACTTTGATGCACATAATATACTTCATGAGGGAGGAAGGGATTGTTAGTAATGAGAACTGCTCGCCCCATTGCTAGCAATAAACCCTGTCAGGTCAACCACGCTGCGGTTCCTCTAAAATCATCGTTCTGAATTCCAGGTGTGTTCATTACGATAAACTAATTGATCTACCTTCACATCTTTACCTATAATCCCTTACTAGTGCCCCGCCAGTGTATACCGTTAGCGCGGGCAGGCCATCCCATTATCACCCATTAAAAAAGCAATTATAATGTGGACTTACCCATAAGCGGAGTGTGTCCGAATATGAGCCAGATATTTATGTCGGAGTTTCCTAGGTGGCGCTGCCGGCGGTCTCTGAGCTTGCTCCAGCAGTTTGGCTTCGGGGCTGCCCTTTCGCCCCGCTGGCAGCAACTGGGCCCATCGACCAGAGCGTGCATGCTTCGGTAGATATTTATCCTGATGTTCCCTAAAAATCCATCCATCGGCGTGAATTTACTGGGTATAGAAGCATAACACCTGAGTCCTCAGGAATGACAACACATGGGGGGTATCATGGGCGAAACAGTATACTTTGTTATGTCCATGGTACTGCTCATGTCTAAAAGCGACGGTTACCACTTTTCATCAGGTGGACCGTCAGCATGTTTGCCATTCTAAGTTGTATAAAAATATATATATATAAAATTAAAAACAAAAAACAGCAAACAAAAATTGTAGTCTCTTGGGAAACTCTAAAAAAAGAGGTTCAATGATTTGACGATTTACCTGAAAAATTTCGCCGTATGTCTGTGAGGATCGTACGGTCCCAATTGAATTCTAGCTTGGAGTCCACCCAACATGACAGCTTGGGCACTTTCCAACGGGTACCGGCCCGTCACAACGTTGTATCTTGCTTCTTCGTATAATAATTCTTGTATTTTAGAATCCCTTAAAAGATTTTTTTTATTAAAATGGTATACTTTCTTTACTTTTAATGGAAAAGGCGTTCGGGGTTCGAATAAATTTTTTATGCGAGGTATGATCAGCAGCGTCCCTTTTAAAACATCTCTAAAGCTTAACTGCGGTTTCCAATCCGCCTGCCAAACGTAGCAACTACAGACAAACCCCTCAAGGTGGAGGCTTGTATTCAGCAATGGACAGTTAAGAGCTAATATGATGATGATAATGATAGTACATTAGGTACAGAGTTCTTTTTTCGATCTTGCGTTATGGTTCTAGTTCTGGGAATGGGAAAAAAATAAGTGGTGACAATTGTATTCTCATTCCTTCTCCATACAGGTCTGTTTTTTTATGATACTTAGAACGACGACCAAGCCGATGGGCCACTTGATGGGTAAATTCTATTATTCCTAATCATCATCAACATAATACACTTCATCTATCGTCAACTACTGAATATAGGTCGCTCTCTTATTAAGCCAAAAAATATGATTAAGTTCACATGCATCCATCACCTCTCTGCTATACTTGAGTGTTGACCACTTTATCTTGTGGAACTTGCCCCATATTATGCTTGCATACACCGAGTCACCAGTCACAATAGATATTTTTTCCAAGAATTATTAATAATACTGTATTTGCATTATTTTTTCCACTTACTTGATGCCTTCTTCCAAATGCTTGGGAAAGAATACATTTCGCTGTAACCTCAACACAGGTTGGTCTTTCGCCCGCCTCGATTCAGATCCGTGGCCGTACCTCTGAAGTAGTTTTTGCCAGTTCGCCCATAACTGCCAGGGGCAGTGATGTGGTTTTAATTGGATTTCTAAGCAAAAACATTTTAAACTAAGACTTGGAATTTAGATTTCAAACTGCTACGCAAAATAAAAGTTGATCAATGAACAATGCAGAGAACTTCATATTATCTATGGAATATAGAAAAATATTACTAAAACGATGGATATGAAAGTAAGTTTGTTTGTTTTCTTCTGGCGCATGAACACACACAGAAAAATCATTCGTTTTAAGATTTGGCATACATGCTGAACTAAGAAGGCATTAAAAGGTAAGAGGAAGATTTAAACAAACATAGATAAAGACTAAAATAAAACACTTAAAATACACATACATGAACTGAAATATGATATGGACAAAAAGAACCGTGTAGGTCCAGGCATAGCATATGCCACCTCGTCCTTTCCCGTGGGTGTCGTAAGAGGCGACTAAAGGAGCTTATGGTGGAGATGGATAGCAGCTTCCCTCTTAAAACATTACCAAAAGCCAAATTGTGGTTGCTAATTCGCAACCGCAGTTTGGCTAAGTGTACCGCGGTGTAGGAAAACCCCCTTATAGGTAAGGCTATGTTCAGCATAGGACAGTTATAGGCTGATACAACGATAATTGGAATAAGGGTACGAAGATGACCAACTATATCTCAGTTATATGAACAAAATTGCGGGTAAAAACTGGAATACTAAAAGTAAATGAGTACACAATTGCTTTATACGCACCTAACAATGGACTGCACATCCACAATGCGAATACATTAGCGGCTAAGCTTCTAGAGCTGGGCTGTGTTAAACCCAACTCTTCGGCTGCCAGCACTCCATTGAGGAACCGTGCCGCTGTCACACACAACGGCACCTCCTCGGAACTCATTTCAACCATGACGGCGGTGCGTGACATTAAATACACGTAGGTCACGGGATTCGAAGACACGGTCGACGATGACGCGGTACTGCCCGATGACCCTGACCATAAGGTGGTTAAATTTAAATATTGTTAGGTGCTCCTTCATTCTCTTCTGGTTTTCTCTCAACAACCTTTTAACATCACACTTTCAATTTCGCTTTTACAACATCATGGTGATGTAATATCACAAGGAGACCGAATTACTATTTGTATTTTTCTTTACATGAGGAAAATGAAGGATTGTCTTGGGGTATTGGGGACTCTTACCGGTTTAAAACCCAAAAGCCTTCGTCCTCTGGTTTACCAAAACTTCGGGTTCAACTATATTATAGGCTCGTAAAATCATTGACTAATGGGGGTAGTTTAAAAACAAAACTTTTTCAAATTCAATTTGAAAATTCTTATAATCTTCTCCACTCCTGACACCAGTGTGAGATGAAAACAGGTCAGTTAGCCTATCATGACGAATTCCACAAGAATCACAATAGTTTCTAAGAGGAACAGCGTGGGGGACGGCCTAATAGGATATATTGCTAACAATAGGGTTATTAGTTCCCATTACAATACCTTCCCTGTAGTAAATCGGGGTTGTCTCCTTATCTACTAACCATCCTATCCTTGTACATCTCATAGTTAATAATAATAGTATTTACCTGGTAATGGTGGGGATATAGCGCTGGAAGAGCTGCCACCACTTGTAATTTGTTCTGTGGTACTGAACGAGCCAGCGGCTATACTGCTTGATCCAGTTTGATTCGAACAACTACTTAAGTTGGAGCCTGAAAGATTTATTGTTCATACAAAATAAAGCCATTGCTGTATGGTTCCGGCATAGAATAGGTCATCGCTTCCTTTCCCGTGGGTGTCGTAAAAAGCGACTAAGGAACCTTAATGGCCCAGGAAATATTCAACAATTCAAAATGGTTATTTATTCATGTTCACTTTTGCAGTTACTTTTTAAAAGCTAAACATACTCGTATTTGCTCGGTCGCAAACGACAGGGTAATTTTCAATCGATTTAAAAAAAGAAGGTTCTAAATTCAATTGTATTTTTTTTTATGTTTGTTACCTCATAACTCAATCCGTTCAAAAACGATATGAGAATTTTTTTTCTATCTCAAAGGATATATGTATTTACATTTAGTCCCACAGATTTTTTTTTTAGAACAAATAACGTGATTTTTGTCTATACGTGTATGTATAACAAAAATTTTATGAAATTACTACATTTGTCATTTCCGACAATTGTTTCGACTTCATCCGGAAGTCTTCTTCAGGTGTAGTACTCGTTAAGAAATGAACATTAGTTTTAAAAATAATTTTATTTTTAATTATAAAGAAGTAAATGTTTATAATGGTGTAGTGGTTTTTGAGTGGCGACCCCATACGAGCAAATGCAGTGTACCACGACCCCGCACTAGATGGAATGACGCCCTCAAATGCATTGCAGGGAGTCAGTGGATGCAGGTGGCTCAGGACTATTCCTTATGGTAGTTTATGACCTATGTCCATTATTGGACAGATAACAGCTGAAATGATGATAAAGTGTTTTTTTTTTTTTTATGGGTGAAAATGAAATGGTAACCCTGCCTGCGCTAACGGGGTACGATGGCGGAGTACCAGTGAAGGGTGATCAATGAGAATGAAAACAGGCCAGTTAGCCTATGATGATAAATTCATCAGGAATTAATTATGGTTAACCATGATAGTTTCCAGGGGGAACTACGAGGAGGTCGACCTGGTTGGGTATATTGCTAGTAATGGGATTTTTAGTCTTCATTACTAACAAGTTTTAGTCTAGTTTACTAACAATCCCTTTCCCCCCATGATGAAGTGTTTATAAGTATTTAAAATCATTACCCATAACACTCTTCTCGAGTGAATCCGAGCTGTTACTCTCTTTGGAGTCTGGCTGAAGGGGCTTGTGAGGGTCATGTTTGTCCCAGTCGCTGTGACGTCCCAGAGGGCTATATGACAAATGTGGCAGTCTCTGTGACACAGAGTACAGATGAGCATTCACTTCAGCTTGTAACTTTTGACTTTGTACACTGTAATACTCTTCACGTGATCTAAATTCGCTGAAAAAGAAGATACGTAATTACTTACATATATTTTTATTAGCTAACTGGATGGGTACTACTATTTATATTTTTATGCATTTTTTTTTTATTTTTAAAATGACCATTTGTTCTTTTCTCTTCATGTCACGGGGACTTAATTTTAAAATATCATATAATATAAAAATACTATAACATTTAATACCGCTAGATGGCGTTGTACATAAAAAGTACAATACCAAACCAAGATCTTTGTAAATATTTTAGTTACAAAAAAATAACTATTAAAAATATTTAATGAATAACAATAAAAAAAAATTAATTAAGAAATTACTAATACTTAAGAATATTGGATAAAAGACCCTAATATTTTCTTTCTCTTCAATTATTTTTACTTATCTATTTATTTCAAAGAACTTAAGTCCATATGGTTACTATGTATACTTGTAAATAAAAAAAAGTTAATATAATAAAAAAAGCATATTTTTACTCAGTTTCCAGTTAACGATTTTAAAAAGATGTATATTCGTAAATATTACATACATAAATATTTACATAGTAATTGATACTAAATACATGATTTAGTATCTATACATGATTTACTATGTAAATATTTAATAATAAACTTAGGTTTTGTATATTTTAAACATTTCTTTATAGATAACCCTTACTTGTATTGATACTCTGCTTGAATAGGATATCCACGTCTTGAATAATCAACAGGAATAATTGTTATATAATTTCCATTGTTTTGAACATTAGGATTTTCACCATAAGCACCCATTTCTGTTTGATGGTCCATTTATTGTATAATTTCATAAGTTAAAATATATTTCTCACATTTATATTTCACATACATACTCTTTACAAAATATTTTACTAAAATATTGATCGGACTTCGCGCCTTAATTAGTGTTGCCATATAAATATCTCTTTACCCTTTACCACGTACAATAATGTAAATCCCTAATAAAAATGTATTCGTGAAATTTAAAATTCAATTGAATATTCAATATTGATAACTTTACTCCTATTAGGAAATATTGTTATTTATTGCATAAAATTCTTCTAGGAAGAAAGTACCTAACAAGTTGTCACATAAGCCGTCTGCTGTCAATGTTGTCAAAATTACCGTTGATATTTTGATAAACATAATTTGACATTTCCTGTTTACGTATCTACTATCTACGAGTTGATCTATATTAATTTCTGTTTTCTACTTTGTTTTATATAAAGAAATATAGTAATTATAAATTATTTGGATTTAATATTAAATAATTATGCTATATTGAACATTTATAATTCATTGTACAAAACCTTGACTGTGCCCATGTTTTACTAATGGTTCAATAGGTTTTATATCACTAAAAATTGTGGGTTTATTGAAAAACTATCATAATATTGATAATTTATATCAAATTAATATTGCAATAAGTTATCCTGATATAGTTAAGGTGAATATCGAACATTAAATTTTAAAATAACTTGATCAAACTCTAAATCTTGTATCCTATACAGGTTCGTTTGTTGCTTTTACGGATGGAGGCAAAATTGAAAGAGTACCGTGCTCTACGACGCCGCAAAGAGTTGATTGATAACGCCAAGGATAAACTGGAGAGATCTAAAGAAAAAATTGTAAACTTTTTAGTGCCTAAAATATTTACAAACATGGATAAGGAAAAGAAAGAGGATGAAGTTGTTTTGGTAAGTATAAATGTACTCTAAATTAGTATAACATTTATAAAAGCTATATTACTACTTTCATAATTGTAGGAATTTTATCTATAGTCTGGATTGCAACTACCGATCAGGACGGGTTATATAAAACAGCTGTTTTACAAAATTGTACTAGGTAGTACTTCAATATTACATTCTAAGCAATAAATGTCCGTTAATTTGTCCATGTATTTAAAGTCAATCCTGTAATCATTAATCAATCAATTTCCCATGGGTGTTGTAAGCGGAGACTAAAGGAGGACTTATGAGGATGAGGAATGGGTAGCAGCGTCCCTCTTTAAATATTGCCAAAAGTCAAATTTCGACTGCCAACCTGCCTGCCAAGCATGGCAACTACTGGAAAAATCTGGCTTATAAAGGCGGCCATGTTCATTAGTGGACAGTTAACAGCTGATATAATATGAAAAAAATTCAAAGTTATTCATAAAGGTTATTTTAAAGCAGCTATTTATCTTTCGAATTTAGTTTAATTATTACCTAAAACTACTGTTTTATGAATCTGTACTTATTAAAGCAGATGAGTTTATTTGGTTGAACACACTAATCTTTGGAACTATTAGATGGATGTGAATTTTGCATTTATAGCTCAAGAAATGTTATAGGCTATTCAGTATCACAATATGATGATAAAATAATAAAAATTATTAATTGGATAAGAATAAACTACACTTCTAAATTTATCAACTGTCATATGATCTATTCCAGATGGAAAATGAAGAACCACCAACACCAGAATTAATTATCCAACCTGAAGATCCTGGTGTGAGTGAAGAAATTACTTCAGAAGTTAGCGAATTGGAATCCTTTGAAGAGGAGAAACAGGAATCGTGGCGATACTTTACCATAAAGTGGTCTATTTACAGTCTTACCTGGCTAACGTTGTATATATTTTTCTTAAAAATACAATTTGGTGCTGTATTTTTTGTCCTATCTGTGTTATTTGGTATATATTTCAATACAAGAACACGACCAAAGAAAAAAGGGGAAGTGTCAGCATACAGTGTATTTAATGAGAATTGTGTTAGTATAGATGGTACCTTAAAAGCTGAACAATTTGAAAAAGAAATCATGTACGGAGCGGGCGGTGTAAATATATTCAGATGAAGGCTGTTTTACAAGTAGGTACTTAATAAAGACAGAGGGTTATATCTGGAAATGAGATATATATTATTTTTCCAAATTCAACATATAGATACAGAATTCATGCCGGTCAATATTTTTAAAGTATGTATATATCAACGCATTGACAGTATGATATGTAAAAATGTGACAATGACCTTGTTAATGTTTACTTACTGCCTCACCTACCAATGGTTGAAGGTTTGATTACTGCACAATACAAACATTTGTATTCATAAGTATATCTGTATTGGAGTTTATCTTAGTTTGAGACTATATGATGCCATAAAATATGTTCCATGATATATATTATTGAAAAAAAAAAGTCTCCACAAGGCAAACATAGGTTAAATGTGCTCTTATTAGAAAAATGTCTTCAGTATAATTTCTATCTGTATAGTCCTGCTTCTTTCTATATATAAAAATGTATTATCTGTGGTATGGGTGTAATGTAGTCTTCTCTCTATTTCATTGTGATTTTTTACAACAAATTCTATATTTGTGGAAAATTGCTTATTCTATATTGCTTATTATAAATTTAATAGTAGTAATAAAAATGTAAAAGTGACAATTTTCATAGTGGTTTGTCAATCAGTGTTAAAGTCTCAAACAGATATACCAACATACATCTTCTTACCCATATTTATTAGGGTATTTAAAATTATTTTTTAGAAAGCCTGGCTCCTATAAATAGGTGGATATGTGCTTTCCACAGATCTTTGTTCATAGCTAAAAGCTCTACTCGCATTCTGAGTAAGCATTAGCCAAATCTGAAGTGAGCACCTCACCTAGTTCCCCCTAAAATACGCCTGTCCATACTTCGAGTATGGATATAGATAATAATTAATGAAATAAAAAAGGCACAGACTAATACTGGCATGTTATATTATATTTAAATATAATTACCATAGATATATAATATCTATGGATATCTACTATTATTTCTAGTATGGCAATAGATGAGATTTGTAATTGATTGATCAGTGATTTCATATTAACTTGTGACATTAACGTTAGCACCTAAGTGTTTTCTATATAACTTTGTATGACACATATAAAGTTAAATATTATATAAATATTAATATTATGGTAATAATTATAGCTATAAATGAAAATAAAAGTCTGAAGTAATAAACTTGATTTTGATTTAATCACATTTATAAATTGACAACAAATATAAAATCAATAATAAGAATGCAACATAATATAAAATGCACTATATCCAAGCAGCATATACTGCTGGTTAAATAAATATTGCTATTTCACATAATTTTAGTAAATATTTCGCAGAAACAGGTTCCAATCGACGATTGATTAGATTTAGAATGATCAATTACAAATACTGAAACTTTTTTTTTTAAATTGACAGATAATTCCGACGTTGTCACACTTCCATATAAAGGCTTATAAAAATGAAATATAAAAACCAAATGTCTAAATGATCGTGATTGCCTTTCTTATAGAACGACAGTGGCGGATTTACACATTTGCCGCCAGCAGACTTCAAATTTTGCCGCTTCTACCGACCTCTACAATTCAGTCTATCAATTCTAGTCAATCATGCATAAAATATATTTTAGCATAAAATTGCCGCCCTAGTCTATCCGGACTACTGGTAAACCCACCACTGTAGAAAGAGCCTCTAAATTTCTACCTATAGGACTATACATACTACGACAGGCGAAGAGTGGTTGGAATGAATTCAATATAAATTAGTACTTAAGGCTATGAGTTAGAGAATATAATACTATGACGGCAGTTCGTTTTGTCTGCATATCTACAAAGATAGAATTCATACTAGAAATCTGAGGGCCTACCATGAAATGTTTTCCGAAATTTCGGAGTTAAACGAAACACAAATATTAAAATTACATTATACATGGCGTTTGGAAATATTAAAAATGATAAACTAGTATTCCTTTGAACTTTTATGATAGGATGTATGACGAACGAAATGTTAAACTCTATTTATTGATCCGATTTTGGTATAAACAAAAACACGAAATTGACTCCGAAATTTCGGAATTTCATTTCATGTTAAACCCGCTGGTATGGCTCACGTATTCTCATATCGTCGTAATATGTATATTCCAGGATACGAGAACCAAAATAATCTCAGTTAACTCGTTGAATCTCAAGCATCGTATATAAAACACTTTCTATAATATACAATCTTGGTAATCTTTGGTATCCATCTACGTATGTTTCACATCACCTTTTCAAATTTCACAGAAACCCATTTTATGGAGTAACTAATATTTATGTTAGTGCGTGCAGTGCTTTAAAAGTTTTGTTTAGTTATAAATTGCTGATTTAGCACTGCACACATAGAAATATCACCCCACTGTTATTGTATTATTTCTCTTTATCATGTACTATATAAGATCTTTTTTATTTATTAATTTTGTCACTTAAAAATATACGATGTCGTCACTACGATCTTATCGTATCAATACAAAGCTTAATTTGATTTAAACTTTATAAAATAAATAGAGGAAGCGATTGATAGCTATTACAAACAAAAATTTTTACCAATTTATGAATTTTTATAAAAATAATACACTTTTTATTATTTATTGGCCCCAATATTGGGTTTACATAATTTTATTTTTCACTCTCATAGACCTCGACGAACGTTCAATGACCATTTATATGCCATTCATCATACAAAACTATCTACATATACATTTCAGTCCATTTGGCCATACATACACACTATATTCATTTTCATCATGAGTAATTTAATTACAGGTATGTTTAATAATGTAGGTAATATTCAAAAATCATTTCAAAAATATAATAAGACGCGTAAAAGATAAAACGACGTGTAAAAGACAATATGACGCGTAAAAGATAATATGACCCCGTAAAAGATAACAATAGAGCGTAATAATAGTTACGCTAATGTCTTAGATATTCCAGAAAATAAATACAAATTAAAAATACTGGGCACTTAACGTGTCAATGACTACCCGTACATAAATTGATCACAATATACAGCCATTATATACAAATGATATCAAAACAATGAACTCGGAATATTTCTTTAGAACAAATATTAATAGCAAACAATCTTTACAAAGAATCATAATCAATATATATAAAAATGAAATCATATTTTGAGCAAGAGAAAAGCACAGGAATGTAAAATTCTATTAAACTACTTAACAGACCAAAAACTTTTGTCTACAAAAAACAAAATGAGTTTTTGCCAACGACACGACGCATAAAAGAATAAACATTATGAACAAAAAATACCCAGAAGACTGTACTTAACAATCACAAATATGTACATACATAAATAACACAAAAGGATTTACATTGACATAAAATTTACTATACAATTTTAATATAACGTGGCTTTATCTGGTAGTAACAACATCAAACTAGTCGAATTGCGGTCATTTTCCCCGTTCAGAGATAAAACTATAAGGCCCTGCGCAGACGAGAAACTATTCATCCAACGTCCCTCGTCTACGTAGCCCTTAATACTTCGAAAGGACATTTAAATATTACACTAAAGAGCCGATATACTTATGTATTAACATAATAATTCGGCAGACATGCAATAATTCTTATCTCGAAGATTATGTACTTACAAAATAGTCCTTATGATTATTACAGCTTAGTTTAATACATATTATGTATTTAACTATTACACATATAAAAAAAATATTATATCGTAATGGCACTGAATCCTTTTATTTTTAAGATGATAGTGGACAATATAAGGCACCGTTAAGAATTAACTACAAAATTTGAAATCGAATCTTACTATTAAATACGGTCAGCATCAAAAGTCGATGGGCATAAATAGATTTTCAAAATTAAAATCGTTACAAAATCAAAAAATATTTAAATTTTGTTACTGACCGTACAATGTTTGAAGTAAATTAAAATAAAAATAGTTTATATCAAAAACGTAAAAATAAATAATATATTATAAAAAATCGTACTTATATTTTTAACAAGGTATTGATTATTAATATTATAAATTGTATTTAATATAATACTAGAATATGGCATTTCAATACTCTTCGAAAAACAAATATTTCTATAGCGCGTTTTCGCCATTTTTTTAATTGCTAGTCTAATAAATAGTTGTGCAAAAATAAAATATATCGTACTTCTTTCATCCTCAGGGTTCAAGAGGACGAGTTTGTGACTACAGTGTTACTTGATGAGTTATGAGTACTGTAAATATGTAACACATCTATTAAAAAAAAAAAGAGAAAGAAAGTAAATTTTTCATTTTTGTAATATTTGTATACAATTAATTACCCATGGAAACAAAACCTATAACAATTTAATCATACTTACTTATTTTAGAAGACTATTCCCAATCGTGCCTCTAGCTCGTTTAATTAATTATACATGTATTTGACACAAAAAAACAATTTACTGTGAAACAAAGACCGTGTTGATAACATGTCTAGTTGCTTCAACGTATCGTGAAAGACTAGCATTATGTTATAAAAACACCCTTTATTAATAATGTCTTTTTACTATTACAATTTCTATAAATAATCTCAATAGGTGTTTATTGTCACTGACTTTTTAAATTAGGTGGGTTAACTAGTACACAAGTTATAACTAACTGAATATTTATCTATAACTGAACTATAAGATCGGTGAAACCCCCAAAATAGATTGATAAAACGATATAATATTATATAGAAATAAAAAAAACTTTATTAACATTTGTAAAAAAACCTAAATGTAGAATAGTTAACAATCGCATTTTATTTTTATTTACCTACACACATATAATGCAATATGTTTTTGGAGTGTTTTTTTTTTATGTAACTTAGAATGGCAAACAAACTGACGGCCCACCTAGTGGAAAGTGATAACCGTCAATTATAGACATAAGCAGTACCATGGACATAACAGAGTATTCTGTTTCGCCTATGATAGCCCCCATGCGTTGCCATTCCTGAGGACTCAGGTGTTATTACTTTGTACCCTGTAAATTCACTACCATACACCACTCTTCAAACCGAAACACAGCTATGTAAACAACTGCTTCACGGTAGAAAAACAAATGGGACCGAGGTGTCCAAGCAAACGACTTTTGTACAAAGTCTCCCTATGGTAAATTTCAATAAAATTTATACTATGCCACTAATAGCGAAACGTTTATTAAATATATAAATTATTTACAATACCTAATAGCATTTTTCTAAATTTCAGACACTTAAAAGAAAATTACAAATTCGTCTATACTAATTTACATTATATTTTTGGTACAATATCACAAACATGTATTTGTGTTGATTGCCAATTATGGGGCATTCAGCAAATGTTTATATTAATTTCTTTAATTAAACACCTTTAGTTTATCATAGATGTATTATCTACTTGTAGATTGACAGTGCAAAAGAGGCAGCGTAGTAACTTATACTCGTATGGTTTTTTAATGACCAGTAAGAGATAATAGGTGAGGATAAAAGCAGGTCATTTGGCCCATCGTGACGAATTTGACACGAACCATGACAGTTTCCGGAGGCAACCATTGTATAAATAATTTCACGGAACCCTGGTGACTTTTTTAAGTTCCGCGGAACCCACTTTACAAAGCGCTGTTATATACAACTAGATAAAGAATTAAAACCTATATGTGACGGTTACTCCCCTCCATCTGCTGGGCCCGTCAGTTTATTTACCACTACATGTTAGATAAAAAAAAAAACAAAAGCACACATTATACATGACTAGTTTTTTAATATAATAACCGAAGCCGCGTTATTATTGGTTTTGTTCAACAATTCTGAATGTTGGTACACGTAGAGCCAAAATAGTTATAAAAAGAAACTTTACGAAGTAGTTTGAGAAAAAAATGTATACATTAATTATGAATTATAAAAAAAAAATTATAATTCATAATTAATGTATATATAGTTTGAAGCAAATCGGACGATGCAGTAAGTTTCCTTAAGAAAAAGTAGCCTATAACCGTCTCCAGGGGCACATCTATCTCTATACTAAAATTCATTATAATCGATTCAGTGATTTAGACGTAAAATCGTAACAACAAACAGACTTTCTTTCGCATTTATAATTATTAGTTAGGATATACCTACTCTCGCTGTAGACACTGTATCGCCCATTTATATATCAGTAGATAATAGCTCCGATATCTATATATTGGATTTCTTTTGTACATTGATTGGCGGTATGAAGGTCATCACCTATTTCAATATCACCCACACCAGTTGGATAACTATATTCATTTCATTCAGGTTTTTCAATTCAATATATTGGATAACCGAGATTTAATATATTTGTTATTAGGCCAATATATAGATATTGCAACTACAATATATATATATATATATATATATATATATATATATATATATATATATATATATATATATATATATATATATATATATATATATATATATATATATTGATATATATTACCTATCTCTAGTAGATAATACATTTATGTAGATTACAATCACAACTTACTCCATCAATATTATGCCATAAAATGTAGTCTTGTGTAGTGAAAGATTTTTTTTTTAATACAATATTTACCCTATTCCTATATTGTCTCGTGTATATTAATTACATTTAATATAACATTCATAATACAATACTAAAACATTTATTTATTCTGTACCTGTTGATGACTAGTAGAAAAATGCGTTATAACATTTACCTCTTAAAAGCTATTTATGGTTAATTGCACCTTAAATGCGTATTACATAGGGTTGAAATTAATCAGTCGCGATCGGCGTTTGAGTTCTACGGAAGAAATTGCAGGACGGCAACCTACAATAGTCCGGGCTCGGCAGAAACGGGTTACTGTCATCGCCACGTTTATTATCAGGCAAAAGAAACACTACGCTCACAGCTACAATCATGTGCCATATCGAATGCACCACCTTATAATTCTGTTCGGTTTGCAGGAACCCGTAACATATTAAGCCTATAGAGACGGAAACGAGGCCTAGTAGCAAGTAAATTTTGTAGTATGACCTTGGAAATTTCATTTTACGGTATTTCCTGTAATCCAAGTACCAGGATAACAGAAGTATGAAGAGTCCGACGGCTACTGGGAGCACAAACGCCATAAAGGAACGTCTATTCCAAGTGGTCAATAATGCTATGACTATGGCACCTATTAGCTGCAGTGAAGATCTGAACCTCTCGTTGATTATACTCATCGCGAGCAATGTCACCCAGAAAGACATGATACCGCAGTAAAAGTCTCCGAATTGGAGTATGTTACCTGTAAGGATGCAGTACGCGACTTGAGCTGGTGCGTCGCACGCATGATAGAATGTTGAGAATATCATTGTAAACCCGTACATCATGGCTTCCGTGTAGTAGAGACGAATGATGGCGATGTAGATTGACAAAGAGAACAGAAGGTTACTCAATGTGAGAAGCAACACAGAGACGAGCATGTAAAGTTTGCTGTCCATTCTAGAATCGTCTGAGCAGTCCCAACCTGGAAAATAGAATAAATCTCTATATAATTCATTCAATTAACCTACCTAGGTTCTACATGCTGGGCTTGTTATGGTTATTATATATATATATATATATATATATATATACATATATATATATATATATATATATATATATATATATATATATATATATATATATACATATACATATATATATATATATATATATGTATATGTATATATATATATATATATATATATACATATACATATATATATATACATAAAAAAAACTCACCTCCGTATCCAGCAGAACACGAACAGAAGGACATGACGAGTCCCCCAAATGTATTCAGAAGACAGTTGCCATGATTACTGCACTTCCCCGCGACACAAGACGTTGAAGACACAGATAGGACCACTGTAGCATTACACTCCGATGTGCCTTCCCTCCAAACTTCTTTAGTTGTAGAATCTTGAATTGCATCTTTGTCTAACGGCGTAGAGTCCACGTAATACTTTGTACCGTTATCTGTAGTGCGACATGGACAGACTACGTCATCGCAGAATATCCTAAAAGTCAAATACCACGTGCCACTCTCCGGAAATGGTATGATCACTTTGTCATATATTGAGTCAGAATCAGTGCTGTTCAAGATAAAAAGCGCGGGTTTGATATGATCATTGTATTTACAGTAACCATTTTCTAATGGTATACTGGAGTAGCCGATATCTAGACATATAACAGCTTTGAAATACTGGTTCTCCTCAGTGAACGCTAATAAAGCACCTTCTTTCAACTCTCTTTTATATCCCATGTAGTATTTAAGACTCATTAAAAGACTAGCTTCAATTGACAACGAACCGCCTATATCCAGGAATTGATGGACTTTAAATCTTAGTGTTTTTATTTCGTTGGACGATATATTAACCAAGCTGGTTGTATCTTGTAAATCGGTCGTTGGTAAACCATAATCAAATGTGAAAAATCTACCTCTATCGTCTCTCATAAGTTCTAAAATTGTATAGTTATCAGTTTCATGGTCGTCGTTAGTTATGTAAGATTCACAGTCGGCAATGTTTGTGGAGTTATCAATAAAGTCCAGATACAAGTAATGCCATTCGAACAGATTAGGGATAAACACGACTGACTGAGTACCAGAATTTGGGTCAAAGGCGCAAGATAGAATATGGCTTTCGTCGGTTGGAAGCGACAATGTCTGAATCTTCAATAATACTTTTTTAGACCCTATTGGAGCATTATTGACAGTTAAATTGAACCGTATCGGCTGTACCTTGTCTCGGGACATGCATTTGTAGTAAGATGGGATCTGTGTGTAGTTGACCGTCAATCCAGAATAACAATTAACATATTCTATATCTTTCACTCTTTTCACTTGTAAATCGGTGTAAATGATTGTTTGGCAGTCAGCCACGAGACCTGAAAAAAGGGTAAAACATATTAATATTTATTTGCTTATTTGCTAATAATTGTTTGCTTGCTAAGCCGTGTAGGTATACATAGAATAGACCATCCCTTCATTTCTCGTGGATGTCGTAAGAGGTGACTAAAGCTTATGGTGGCGAGATGGGCAGCAGCGCCCCTTTTGAAACATCACCAAAAGCCAAACTGTGGTTACCAACCCGCCTGCCAAGCGAAGCAAATACTAGCAAAAACTCTTCTTACAGGGACGGCTATGTTCAGCAGTGGACAGTGATTGGCTGATATGATGTAAGATAGAGTAGTCAGAGGTACTACACTACTTTTTATAAAAGCCTATATTAATCCAAACAATTTTTTGTTTTGCCAATTGGTTAGTAGTTTACTAAATTTTGAATCCAATGTGATAAACCTACAGCTACAAATTAATTTGGTCGATTGACGTTTTTTTTTCTATCATCAGAAAGTTAATCGTGGTGCTGTTCAAGTCTAATCTATAGCAACTATACCATTCGGACCATAAAATCGTTTGCCATATCGGTGATTCAGTTTTTAGTTTAGATTATTATGGGGCGGATCCGGATTTTCCTTTTATTATCAAACTTTAAACATTAGTCATCATAATCAGATTCACTTCCCTTTAAGAACGTAATCTTCAACACAATTCATTTGTACTATCTTTGATCGTGTTTTTATACTGCCATGATGGCAAACAAGCATATGGTCTGTCTGATAATAAACAATTACCGACGTCTAAGACATCAGGAATGTCGTTGCCCATTGCCAAGCTTACCTTTGTATCCATCCAAGTTAATATTCACCACCTACTTTAAAATATCGAGTTCAGATCAATCTTACTGCTATTATAAAGGCGTAAAACTGTGAATATGTATGGATATTTGTTACTATTTCACGCAAAAACTACTAAACAGATTTGAATGAAATCTAGTACACAGGTTATATCCTAACTTAACATATAGGATACTTTATATAATAATTCACGCGGGTAAAACCACGAGATTATAGCTAGTGTTATTGTATTAATAAACAATTAATATGTATACCCCATAAAACAAAAAATCAACTTTAATCGTGACAAAACCAGTTTTTATGATCTAAAAACTAAACTATTGAACCGATTTTGATAAAATTTCTATTAGACCGATATGTAAGTTTTAGATAAAAAAAATAATTGTTCAAATCGATTTAGAAGTAAAGGAGTTATGAAGTAACAAATATAAAAAAAAAAAACTAATTGAGAATTTAAAAAAAAATTCGATTGAATTATAAAAATTCATTTCGCCATCGATCCAGAGATAAGTTTAATTAAGTGACAATCCTTTTCAAACTGCATACATATTATGTCCCGTAGCAACATTGTGTTGGACGGTCATGAGTGATACAATGTAGGGCAGGATGTAGCTGAGCGCACAATCAAGTCAATACGGCCGAGGTCGATCCGGTTGGCTGTGTGGAGCTTTATCTGAATACTGTCCCCTTAATTTAAATGGATATATATTTCATGGAATAGAAAAATATATATACTACGGACCTACATATCGTCATAGTCGTAGATTAGTGACAGATCTTTATATGTAATCTTCGTAAGAACCGTCAGTATTCTACGACTATGACGATATACAGAGACGAGGGATTTTTGTCATTGGAGAATATTTTTTATGGAAGCTTGCGATGAATAAGCGTGTGTAAACAAATTTGAAAAATTTTAAAGTCCCACCACAAGATCATAGAGTGTGTTAAACCTAAAGGCATATTTAAAGGACGGCCGAGTAGGCCGTGCCCACTTTAGAATCATTTGGTGCCCAAAAAACATGCACAAAGACCCTTGTAAAAACACATCTGAAAGTACAAGACATATTCTAAAGGGGCTAGGTCCCCTTGGATAATAATCTTGAATATACCAACTTTAATGGTTTGCCTTGTCCGTTCATGCTTTTAAAAATATCAAAAACAAATTTCGGTCGTGGTCACGACAGAACTACAACGTGGTTATCTTTCATAACGTTAAGTCTCGATAGTGTATTTTTAAAAATGTGTAAACAACGCGTAAGTTTAAAATTAGTTAAGTTTGTTCATTATGCAATATATTGCATATCAATAATGCTTATCAAGGACTCCGCATACAAGTTCAGAGACCTTTGCTTGCGTAATATAAAGTGGGATGTAACCTATTTGTTACCGTCTCCACTTCACACACGGAGATACAATGAGTAGGGTATACATTATGTATGTATAGAAGCATTGTCTACTAACAGATAACTGTTACTCGATAACCTTTCAATTGGTAATGTCAATAAAATAAATATCAGGACTAATATAACTATAGCAATGAATGCTAATTTTTAACCAGTTATCATACCATTATACCAAACCAGCTATTAACTGTCCACTGCTGAACATAGGCCACTCCCTATTGGGGGGTTTTTCCAGTAGTAGCCACGCTTGCCAAGCGGATTGACAACCACAGTTAGGCTTTAGAGATGTTTTAAGAGGGACGCTACTGCCCATCCCTCGACTATTAAGGTCGCCTCTTTCGATAGCCACGAGAAAGGGATGTGTGGTCCATTTTAGGCCGTGGCCACACGGAACTAGTTAGTTAATAGCTAATACATACTTTTTTTCGCTATAACATCGCCACTTTGCTTATCATTATCATCATATCAGCGTTCAACCGTTCACTGGTGAACATAAGCTTCCATCGTGGAGAGTTTTGTCAGTAGCAGCCACGCTTGGCAACCGCAGTCAGGCTTTAGAGATGTGTTAAGAGGGACGCTGCTGCCTATCCCTCGCCCTCCCTTAGTTGGCTCTTATGACACCCACGGGAAAAGGAGCGAGCTATTCTGTCGGGATCACGGCCACTTCGATTAGGTTAGGACTAAATTACACCATTTAATATGTCCACTGGTATTAATTCATTAATTATAGAGAAAAAAGAAACTTGAATATATAATACAAACTTATCGATCATTACAATTCCTTTATGGGTAGTACAGATTAGATAGCAGAGTTATCAAACAAGATTTATTTTACTCACAGAAAACTAGTTATCGGTGTTTTACAAAGAAAAAAAAATACCCCATTAGACAACAGTTTTTTTTTTAGTTGAATAATGCAAGCGCGTTTATCACCTCATTTCAAATCATGCAAGAACAGAAAGGTGGCAGAATCATCAAATGGAATAGAGATATTCAAATAGACAGCTTTAAAGTACCACTTTTCCTTTTAACCTAAAATAAACCTTAAGACCATTTCATAAAATACAATTTGTTTCAACATACCCTGCTGCTCAAGTGCTTGAGTTCTGGGATCCTCCCATTTGATATAAATTAAAGCGTACCACTGGCCCGGTTTTGGATTCTTTATACTGTACGTCCGGTTCCTCCCATCAGACTCCAGTTCGAGAGTATACAGGTCCTCCCTCGTGGCCGGATCCACAAAATCCTTCGGGAAATCATATCCATCAGGATTCACGGCTGCATACGCCCCATACTTTATATTTACAACAATTTCTTGTGGATCACATGAGCCTAAAAAGAATAAAACTATTATTAGCTTACATTTCTAAAATGGAGAGATTGTTAGTAACGGCGAATAGCCGCCCCATTGCTAGCAATAATGCCTGTCAGGTAGACCTCCACACGGTCCAACCGTAGAGCCTAGAGAACATCGTAGTCAATTATTCCAAATGAATTCGCTACAATTTTTTTTTATACAACTTAGAATGGCAAACAAGCTGACGGCCCACCTGATGGAAAGTGGTAACCGTCGCCTATAGACATGAGCAGTACCATGGACATAACAGAGTTTACTGTTTCGCCCATGATACCCCCCATGCGTTGCCACTTCTGAGGACTCAGGTGTTATTCCTTTATACCCAGTAAATTCACGCCATATCCCACCCTTCAAACCGAAACACATATGACTTATCCAAACAGTTTCAGTTATTCTTGTCGTGCAGATAACATACTGATATAAGTATGGAGACCTTGTACAAAAGTCGATTGGTTGGGTGCCTTTGTCCCATACGTGTTTCAACCGTAAAGCAGTTGTGTTTACATGACTGTGTTTCGGTTTGAAGGGATATGGCGTGAATTTACTGGGTACAGAGGAATAACACCTGAGTCCTCAGGAATGGCAACGCATGGGGGGTATCATGGGCGAAACAGTATACTCTGTTATGTCCATGGTACTACTCATGTCTATAGGCGACGGTTACCACTTTCCATCAGGTAGACCGTCAGCTTGTTTGCCATTCTAAATTGTATAAAAAAAAAGTATATAATTAGATATTATCAAGATTCAAGATTGGCAAAATATGCAGCAAAGCATATTTTATAATATCCAGGGCATTACTCAAATCTATAGGTGTATTTGTGTTGTTTAAATCCTTTGAACTACAAATGGGGCTGCCATTTGTTATTGCAGCTTTTAGTAATACCTACTTTTAGGTTAAAATCAAAATTATTAGCATCCTTTTACCATAAAATTATCCATTACCAGAGAATATCGTAGCGTGCAAATTTTAAAGAAGCACGCCAATAAAATTAAATATTTCTGACGATTCTCTAAAAGTCTGACCTTTGAGTAGATTTTCACCTATTAGATGAATACCGTAATTCGTATCTTTTTAGACAGTTTTATTTTCTCAGGAATATCTTTACTTCTCTTACGGTCTCTGTCATTTTTCACTGGCAGTAAACAAAATAATAAAAGTGCTGAAAACTACAAATTAAAAAAATAACTGAAAATAATTTTACTTTGGAAGTTTCTGTGCTTATTTTATTTAGTTCTATTGTGTAATAATCTAATATCTTCCAAGTAAAAACACAACAATTCTAACACATGCAAAGTTAAAATGAAAATGCTTTGGTCTAAAAACGTTAGAAACACTGTCCCATTTTAATTACGAGCTATGCAATTTTTTACATTTTTCTTCTTTTCCGATGTATGTTGGAGTGAATGTATATTTTTTAATTAGGTATTCATTAGATTATCAATTAACTTCAAAAAGAAGGAAATTTTTACTTCGGTTATAATGTTTTTACGTTTCTTACTTCATAACTCCATCCCTTGTAAACCGATTTGGATAATTATTTTTTTTATCTGAAAGCATATACTTACAGATTGGTGTCATAGATGTTTTATTAATATTTGTTTAGTATTTAAGTATGTTTTTATATCAAAATAACTAGTTTGCCATAATTGAATTGGTTTTTTTTTTTTTGGTGGAACATTTATAATATAAATATTTATTGGATATACGGCGAATTGGTGGTAAAGCTATCATCATCAATTAATGGGTTCTTTCCGCTCAATTTCTACAAATATACTCTATCAGGTAGACCTCCAGGCGGTCTTCCTCGAAACCATCATAATTAATTCTTACGGAATTCATTATAACTGCATCTTCACTTATCAATCCTCACCGATGCCCTGCCGGTATATACTGATAGCGTTGGCGGGGTCACCACCTCATTGTCACCAAAAAAAGAGTAGGTACCTACTTGCGTCAACCGGGGGAAAGGGATTATTAGTAATGAGATCTAACTGACGATTGCTAGTAATACACCTTATTAAGTCGATCTCCACGCGGTTCCTCTTGGAAACCATCGTGGTTAATTCTAGTGGAATTCGTCAGTTAGACCTGCTATCATCGTCACCCATCATCGCTCACTGGTGCCCCACCAGCATATACCGATAGCGCAGATAGGGGTACCATTCCATTATCACCCATTCAAAAACTTGCATCAACCAAACCGCAGATGTTAATCAAAATAAATTAGAAACAGTAAAAGACAAATCTCTGTTAAAGGATATAATAATATTGTATGCATTATAGAAAAGATTGTTAGTTTACATTTTTAATAACTGTATAAACAGTATAAATATTATCCAATAGGTATATATATTCTTTGTCTTTGTACACGAAAATTTACATTTACTAATCTTTACAAAATTTCTTTGGTTGGATTTTATAAAAAAAAAAAAAGTTTATATTACTATCATTGATTTATAGTCTCTCACAAATATTTTTAAATTGTAACCTATGTAGCTGTAAGACTTATTATGTTGTTATTTTGTGAGAGCAATAAATACATATATATTTACTATAATAACTATATTTCTACTCTAGCATCCTTATGTAGGAAAAACAAGTAGGTACCTGATAGTTATAGGTACCAGTATACACCAGATAGTTATAGGTTTTTTTCAATGGACAATAATGACCAGCATACTATATTAATGTGGACATTAATAAAGCCACTGATATTGTGGAGCAAAATTTTATTTGTTCCGGTAGTCTATTTAAAAAAATAAAATTTCATTTTATTGAGAAAAAATGTAAGCAATAAAGAGAAAATTTGATAGGAATAGTAATGTGTTTAATAAACATAAACAAATATATAAAAAATCTAATATTTTCTGTTTATAATATTAGTAGTATAAGAACTAAATACCCAATAATACATTTTCTATAAATAGCATACATAAAGTATCTATTACTTACAGCAGTTCAAGATTATTCTATTTATCAGTATGAATATGATAAGCCAATCTATTCTAATTATTAGATTAGATTAATTTCGGTCAGTATATTCAATATTGTATCATATAGGAATTTCTGATACCTAATGTAAAATGAAGTTGGACCCCTTATGCATTGCCATTCTTAAGAACTAAGATATTATTATTTCATACACTGTAATTTCATAACCAGATAACAACCCTTAAAATTGGAAAAAGCTGTACTAACATACATTCTTGGTAGCAAAAACATTAGTTTGATATGGAAAGGGATATTAATGCAGAAGACTTTTAAACAGGCTCTGATAAAATATTTGTATTACATATCATGATTGACCACAATTATCACTATTGTATAAATGATAGTGAGCATAGTGTATTCCTTTTTTGAGTGGCCAGCAGTATGATCTATTGGCATCACAGATATTCTCCATAAAGAATTACTGTCAAAAGCATATTATATATTTTCTACTTAGTTTCCTTTCTTCATATTTGACCTTTGAGCCTGACCATCTGGGACAGTGTTCATAGCTTCTTTTAATGGATAAATATGAAATAGTGCAACCACATGCCAGTAGTATTCAATAATGGAACACACACTAAAGAATAAATTAGTTAAAACAGATCAAGTAAAAATAAACACTACTGTTTTCAAGGAGGACTCTGCATGGATGTTGACCTGAGTTGACCAGCAATATAGGGAGCAAAGGGATTGTTAATAATGGGGTCTTACAGCCCTGTTACTAGCAATACACACTATTAGGTTGACTTCCTTACAGTTCCCCCTGGAAATCATTGTGATAAATTCTTGTTGAATTTGTTACAATGGGCCAACTGACTTACTTTCATTCTCACCTATCATCTTTTACTTATGCTTGATTAGAATATACTGACTGCAAAGGTAGACTACCCTTCCATTTTAACTTTTAAAAAAAGCCCACCTGTTACCGCTATTGCTGGCATTAAAAATAAACTCAATATGTTACCAGTAGTAAGCCACAGTTTCTTTTCTTTGTTTTTAACTCAATATCAACTTAATATCTAAGATAAAAACAATTAAGTGGTTTTTTATATGAACCTATATGAACTTGACATTGACAAATCAAAATTAAATGAATATATGTAATCTGTGCATAAGGTTAGAGACAAACAAGACAAATATCCAGTAACTGAGATTAAAGCAATAAGTAATTGTTGATTTCAACAAATAATACTTATTAGGTTTCATACCAATATTTTTACATGCAGGAATAATATTTAAAAAATGCATGCAATGTAGGAAGAAATATCAACAACACATTATTTATTACAATTGTGTCGTATTGTTTTTGTCATATTAAAATAAAATAAAAGTATTTTATTATTCAAGTAAAATTAATTATAGCTGAAATTGTGATAATGATGAAATTTTGTACAGCCATTTTTTAAAAAGAACACAATAAGTGAGTAAAATCAAAATCCATAACATCATCATAATGAGTTGTATCAAAAAGACTGAACTTTTTCCCCAAAGAAACAAGAGTAAAAAAAATTAAGTTTTGCACTCCCACTGCATCACTTCTATCACCAACTCAACATTGACATAATTTTAATAATTTAAGATTTTTTTCCACAAAACACTAACTTTTAATATATTATTAACATGGGGACAACATGGGAGTATATCTATTTCTCCTTTATCAATTGCTATAACAATTATGATAATTAGTTTAAAATTAATAAAGATATTCCATAACATAAACAAAAAACATACAAATGGGAACTTTACTTTTTAAAGTAGATAAAAAAGAATTGGCATTCAAAATAGATTCATTAAATGCTTGTATTCTGCAGTTATTAAAATCTGTTTTCCTGTAAATGGAATTGAACTATTAACTTAAATATAGGACCAAAATCAACAATTGTTTATATTTTGTTACTAACTAATAAAACCTCTATTGGGTCAGCAGTAAACAACCCAGTGTAAAATAAGTGCCAGAATACTCACTGTCAGTGCATTTGATATTTCTCCAAATAAAAGGTACTAAAATGCAAATTAAAGGGTGCACCTACCAATATTATTTAAATGAAGCTCTTCAGACTGGAATGTGAACCGGGCATCACTAACTTGTCTCATAATTGGATAAAAAACAACAGAGACAGTACGGTAACTTCTGAACATATATACATCTGTAGCAATTTGCCTAGTAACCAACTGATAGTCTTCATGCAACACAGTACGCGTCCGAGTCAACTGTTCAATTATTCTCTTCCTGTTTCTATCTTCTTCAATTTCTTTATCGCTATTACTTGCAGCACTACACACATATACATACACCAATAAAAAACACAAACTAGCCTTCATTTCGAAAAGTTTCCTACCTGAATATTTTTTCACGCCTATATCACATAAAAGCTAAACTAAAAAGTCCTAATTTAATTTATATTCTGTTAAGATATAGTTCAAAAGTTCGGTAAAATAATATTTCGATCAGAACAAACAAACAACCGCAAAGACAATTGGACAATGCAATGAAATGCCACTGCGACATGCGGCCAGCATTGCCAGATATCAAATTCGATTTTTACTCAAACATCATTCTGTTTCTTTTTAACCAATAAAAAGCTTATGGTCGCTTATCGCTACGTTTTGCCAAGAAAACGACTAAAATGTAATCCATCCGTTTCGTTTCTACTTTTAACTTATATTACTCTCATCTTTATTATCCCATCTTGTTTTACTACTTTCATTAATATGTTTTATTATGCTTATATACCTCTATAGAGTTTAAAAATACTAAAACTATTACTTAAAAGTAAAAAAAATTATCCAAATTTCTCCAAGCCCTTTTTTCTCCAAGAGTTTTATTTCCCCAAAAATTGGCATTCAAAAAATTTTTTACTCAAAAATGCGAAAAAAGCATTTAATCTAGCAATGCTGCATGCGACATATGACAAATCTTTGCATATGACAATGTGTCAAAGAAAATTAACGAACGAAATAGATAAAGCATAGGTAGGTACAGGTAGTAAAAAAAATATATTTCGTATTCCTCGTTGTTAGAAAACATTAAATGTAAACGACATTTTTAACGACATTACACATTTGGTACTTTTTAACAAATTGGACAGAATGTTTTAGCCTAGAAGTTAGAGCTACTATCCTTTATCTATGTTAGAAGCGTATTATTATTTAACAATTCCTCTGAACTCAGTACAAGCCGTAGAATATGCAGAGTGAGGCTAAATCTCTCCTAAGACAAAGGTTCGATACTGCTTGCAAGCCTGAGTTTATCAACAATCCTAATAGGTTGCTCATCTTTGCATTGAATCGAAGGGTTCAAGCTGCTATTTATGTGCATCAACTCATAAGAAACAGTAATACTCCATATGAGGCCGAATTTGCGAATTACAGTGCATTAATTGTTGATCCGGCGTGAAGTATTGTTTCCCTCTATTAAGCACGCTAAGTTTTTGGATATTTCATCTTCAAGTTGGCTTCGGAACTATACGTCATTAGAGCTATTGACACCAAGGATTTTAATCTTTTATGGTTGTTAAGGGAAATGCCCTAAAATTGTGGAACCACAGAAAATGAACTTTTTTAGCGGTGAATACGCAAGCTATATATATAACTACAAATGATTAATTTTATATTTCGGATTCATCTTATCATCTTACTATTTTTAATTCTACCAATTATTATTTGGAATTCGGCTAATGCCTTTATTTTCGTTTTTGATTGTTAACTGAATATTGATATAATTAAATATGCCGCACCAGAATATAACATAAATTAGACAAAAAAAAAAACATCTAATTATATAATTTTCATGTAAACATGCTTTAACAAACTTACTGTTTAGTAATATTTTGTTATGTTCTAGTTATACTCTTTCAAATTGAGAAATTAGCGTAAAAGACAAACGATGTTAGCACTTTAAATGTAATATGTTTAATTCTGTGTATACTACTTAATTAATAGTAGTGGAATCACATTCACATCACAATCACAGCGTGATTATTTTGTAAACGTGTGAATGTAACGATTCTATATTTATAAGTAATAGTATATATATATATATATATATATATATATATATATATATATATATATATATATATATATATATATACATGTACATACATGCATATAAACACCTACACAAATACATAAAAATATATAAATACTGCTCACATGTATACGTAAAACACTAAATCTTTAATGTCTGAAGAAATAAGTATGCTAACCAGACATAAACAAATTAAGAAGATGACAACTTGTTCAAATAAAAATCTTAGCTTTATAGCGACTATGTAAAGTATAGCCATATCTAAATTATTTATCTCCGACATAGCCAGTTATTACTTATAATCATCTTCGAGTGGGGTGGGAAGGGATTGTTAGTAATAAGTTCTAACAACTTCATTGGTAGCAATATATTCTATCAGGTTGATTTCCACAAGGTTTCTCCTAGAAATAGTTCGTTGAATAAAAAATAACAAAATCGCATCATCTAACTTATATATTGCTACTTTGAGGATCAAATTCAATGTAATGCAGCTGAGCAGTTATTCATGGAAATAGCTAACGTTAAGCATAACGCAATTGGGTCGATTATAATGAATCTGTCATACAAGACATCTAAATAGCTGGCTAATTAGCCAGCTATTAACCCATGAATAGTTGAATTGTTTAGTTTTGCCTAGTTACATTACTATTGCAAGTCAAATAAATAGTTCAGTGTTGCTCACTTTGCCTATCGTTTCTTTATCTAGCCCTTTTCCTATATATCTTATTTTGTGTTTTAAATGTATTTAAACTCGGACAAAAGGCCAGACTGTCATAAAAAAAATACTAATTATAACAAATTTAATCAAAACAGCTGATAAAGGTCAGGACTCAGACATTTTACTAAATACTGATTTATTAGATATCTTGTAAACATAAATGCTTTTAAAATTATTCTAATATTGTCTTATCGTTCACAATTATAATTATTATTTAGTAATATAGCTTAAACTAACACACTGATTTATTATAAATTTAGAATAGCCTAAGACTCTGATATTGAGATGGCAACATTCAAAATTTTTTTTTAGTTATTCTGAAACTCGACGCGCGCACTTATCATTCTTTCGTATTACATTTCTCAACTTTGCAATAAATAATGACCTCGAGTGTAGATTCAAAGCATACCGAATTAAACGGCGAGTTATCTTCATGTCCGTACAAAAAGTATAAAATGGATAATAATAGAGTGACTGTTGTTTTGGGTGCTCAATGGGGAGACGAGGGCAAGGGAAAAGTTGTGGATTTATTAGCTTTAAATTCAGACGTCGTTTGCCGCTGCCAGGTAAGAATTTGGTAGTAAATAATGAATTTATATCTTATTTCTGTATATCATAAAGTTTTTATGAATTTATTTTTTGCATTAGTAAACTTAAACCTATTTACTATTGTTGTCTACATAGTCATAAATGTTTTTGAGGTTAGAGGAACATGAGCGATATTTAAAAAAATACATGTATTTAAACAGAATAATTTAATTGTGTTCTTTTATTGCTAATCGTAGAAGCTAAAAAGTTTTCTTTCGAAGCCTTTATTATTGGCGGTCAGCCAGTTTGTTTGAAAACATGCGAATTGTGAAACAATGTTTTTATACAAAATCTGGTTTTCGCGACTGGTGCCAAGTATTATAGCGGGAATCAACCAACGCTTGTTCGCCGTTGCGTAAACTAGTCATGTCCGGGAATCATTATGTAACAGTAAACATAACTTTAGCATATTTACGGCGTGTATTGTAGTCATATGACTAGTTTGAAGCTTGATAGAAGTCAGTTGCATGGCTACGTAATCAAGACCTTGTCATTGCTATGCATGTTAATTATTTATTACCACTAAGGTCTGGGCTGTATATTCATGGCCACAATACTGTTGATTTTCATGGAATATTATTACTACCTCTGATATTTTTTTTGTCTAGGGCTCGTTTAATTTTGATTCATTCAAAAATAACAGAGGTCAATGGCTTTTAGCTATGCCATAATGTCTATTATTGCAGAATGTTATTTTTGTTCATTAGTCTTGGGTAAATTGTATCTTATGTATATGCTACTAGCATTCTAAAATTATGAAAGTTTGGTACCCAATCATGCTTAATAGCTGAATAAATTTAAATGAAGTTTATTATATAGTTAAGTTACTTACTAGAATAATTAATATAGTAATTTTAATTGAGAATTCATTAATAAAGCAGCAGGATATTGAGAGCTACTAATATTAATAAATGTGAAAATTTGCAAAGACTCTTGGATGTTAATATATTTGTTACTTAATTACATTTGAACTGTTAAATGAATTTGAATTAACTTTGCTAAATACCATGTCCATAATAAAAAAAAAAGATATAAAGTATTTTTCTATTATTATTAAAAAGTAACTAAAATAATTAATTTATTTAAATTTACATCCTGTAATCGGAGTATATTTATGATTTTTCCTATAAATTTAAAATCAATAGTATATTTTTAAGGGAGTTTTCTGATAGTGAAGTAAACAATATATTCTAAAAAAAAGAAAATAATGGGAAAATTTTATTTTTGCATTCATAATAACTTGAGAGCTGGTTGTGTCATCTTTTCTTTGAGGGAAATGTACAGTTTTTCTTGTAGAACATTGCCTTAGAATGATGTTAATGATTTTAATTTCTACTATAGAGCTTTCTATATAAAAAGTAATCCCCTTATTCATAAATCATTTTAACTGCTTTGACAGTATTGCTTTGCTTTCAAATTGGGAATTTAGAATAAAAGAAAGAGTCAAAACAGGTCAAAGAGGTTTGATGTTTTTATGAATAAGGGAGTAAATGTATTCAGTAAAACAAAAACAAACATTCTGCAATCAGAACAATATGTATGTTAGTGCATCAGTTACTATAAAAATATATATTGAAAGAACTTATTTTTATTATGGGTTACCTATAAATAAGAATTGGTTAATAATTTGGCTTCAGAAATAATGTTCAGTGTCTTGCATAATTTAATTATAATCTCTAACTTACAATATAAATGAAATGTTAATCTATGTTACATATTTGTTATATGTTACAGGAATATTAGAGTACAAGGGATTTATAAAATACCTAGGATAATCACAAAGCTTCTCTCTTTTATATTTTACTAGGTACAATTAGTTTAATGATGTATTACTGCTAATATTGTAGTAGCTGTATAGGTCCTCGCATAGAATAGGCCACCCCTTTTTCTTCTGTGGGTGTCATAAGAGGAAGCTAAGGGAGCTTATAGTCGAGGGATGAGCAGCAGCAGCCCTCTTAAAACATCACCAAAAGCCAAACTGAGGTTGCCAACCTGTCTGTCAAGCATGACAACTACTGGCAAAACCCTCCTTATGGGGGGGGGGGGGCTATGTTGTGCAGTGAACAGTTAACGGTTGATACAAAATACTGTATTATTTTGTTATATCATTACAAGATGAATATTGACGTTGTTTGTGATTTTATAGTTTTCCTAGGATATTTTACAACATTCCTAATATCCACATCTTTCTGCAACATATATATCATATGTAATGTTATCTATAATGTACATAGCAGATAAGAGTAATGAGCTTACAATGAGAACAGATTGTATTGCCTCAAACTGCTTATTATTGACAAGTGTTTGTACAGATCAAACATCATGTGTGACTGGTTTTTCTATGTATCTAGTGTTATCTATAATGATTACTATTTTATACCTTTGTCATTATAAAACTATGTCATTGTTTACAGTAATAAAAGTGTTGCCTATAAATTATTGACTAATTATGAGATTTCTAAAATTTATATAGAATATACAAATTTTCCATAGTTGTTCATATGACTTGATGTTATTTACTGGTTGAATTTATGTATAATTTTCGTCTTTGATTAGGTGTCAGAAAAAATGAATATTTGCTGCCAATAAATGTTAACTTACAGTTACTTTTGATGCTCTACGTGCTTGTCCGTTTGTAGCTCTTCAATGATATTATGATAAAAGAAAAAAAAATAATTTGATGATGTCGCTGATTAGCACCACTATAACATTTGCATACACTTTCGCGTAAATGACAAATACTAGCCATCTTTTTTATTCTTATTGTTTTAACCACTCCATCTCTTTTATTTGATAATGTGGTGAAATACCTACATGTTATGTTCAGAACATTTTTTTTCAATCCTTTCTTAAGTGTTTATTGGAGTCCATTCTGAGGTGTCATGTCTTTAAACCTAGCTCTTAACCTAATATTTTAATTCGATACTTTCACGAAACTAATTTTATGGACCATTCTAGACTTACCCCCATATACATAAAAATGTCAAACCTCTCATTACCTATTATAACTGTTTTGCCTTTATCTTTTACGCTAAATTCCTAATTTAAAAGAAAGTGACAAAACAGTGTTATATTTAAAGTAGATTTGTAGAAGGTTTTAGTTTTTATGAATAAAGGGGTAATTTTATAATATTTTTAAATTAAATTAAAAAAATTTGTTTGGTTCTTAGAATAAAGATTTCGCTGTAATGTCATTAAATTGAAATGATTATTTAAGAGATGGGTTTAAAGAAATGTTGCCTCAGAATCAGCGCCATATTTATTCTCTTTATAAATAAATTGCGCTTCCTAGATCGGGACGCGCTGATTGTACGTTTTGGGTTTTTTTCTTCTTATCAGTGTATTGATAGTAATATTTAGAGTACCGACGTAGTTATATATGTCATGAATGTATCATAATTTATATCTATGAGTGCTAGGACGGCAAAATGAGCACGTCTGCGGTTTTCAGACGGGTGATAATTTGAATCAATCAAATTATCACCGTTATGCTCCTTCAACTGGGACGAGAGATAATGTGCTAAGTAGGGTCGAATGTATAAGGAATAGACCTGGAATCATTTCCACTATGTATGTATTACTTACCTATTCATATGATTTTTTTATTAGTGAAAATGAAATGGCAACCTCGTCTGTGCTAATGGTATACGCTGGTGGACCACCAATGAAGAGTGTTAGATGACAATTAAAACAGGCCAGTTAGCTCATCATGATGAATCCATCAAGAATTAACCATGTAATTTCCAGGGGGAAACCGCGTGGAGGTGGACTTGCTTAGGCATATTATTAGCAATAGGGCTCTGTCCCTATTACTAACAATTCCTTTCCCCCGATTAATATCATTGTGAAGATGTTTCTTAATCAATCATGCTTGCTGTTGATAAACATTAAATTTTGTATGATTTTTTTTGTACATAGATCGGGTCCTACTTTATTATATAATTTATTTAGTTTATTTTAATTTATATTGACCAAATTGCGGGATTCATTTAGTATCTTATTAATGTTAAATGTGGAAATATATAAAGAGGCTTGCATATTAAATTGTTATTCAATAACGTTTAAACGGCTGTATATCTAATACGAGGTTTGTCCGGAAAGTACGTATAAAAGTTTTTAAAAATTTTATTTTACAATTATTCAGGTAAATCAATTTTATCCCCTTCAAAGTACTCCCCCTGTGACATAATGCACTTGTGCCAACGCCGTTTCCACTGTGAGAAGGCTCCTTGAAAGTCCTCTGGTTGTAGGTTTCTCAGCTGCCCCGTCGTAGCTTTTTTTATCTCATTTATGTCCCCCAAATGCCGCCCCCGAAGTACCAATTTGGTTTTTGGGAACAAGAAGAAGTCACACGGGGCCAAATCCGGCGAATAGGGGGGTGTTCGGTCACCGTAATGGAATTTTTACTCAAAAACTCACGGACAACAAGAGAGGTGTGGGCAGGGGCATTGTCGTGGTGAAGAATCCAACGCCCCTCTCGCGCCAATTCTGGACGAACTCGTGCCACACGAGCTTTGAGGCGTCTGAGCACATCGACGTAGAATTTTCCATCAACTGTCTGGCCTGGAGGGACGAATTCTTGATGGACAATCCCCCGAACATCGAACTCTTTCTCGGCCCTCTCTGAATCTTTTTAGCCACTTGTGGACGGTTGGTTCCTTCACAGCATCATCCCCATAAACTGTTCTGAGATCGGCAAAAATTTCACGGCCATTCTTGCCGAGTTTCGAGAGAAACTTGATTACGACGCGCTGCTCTTCAACGGAAGCGGGCTCCATGCCGACGGGGTTTCGTTAAGAGGTAACTTCACAGATGGCGTGACAAGCCAGTTCGCACCGCACGGCGGTCAGACCAGAACTGAAGCATTGTTAGGGACATAAGGAAGGGGTCCTGCGCTTACCTGGCCTCCCCACTCCTCTTTCTCGCATTCCAGAACACTTTTATACGAACTTTCCGGACAGACCTCGTATGATTCAAAAATAAATAATAAATATAATAAATGATAAACTATTACATCACATTATGAGCCGTCACACAATATAAATATCTTATTTCTCTTCCTTGTAGTAGTATTTTTGTAATAAGTACAAATAATTTAAGTAATTCTATATTTTATAACATGATTATTATACAGCCAATGATGTGTACATCTCTTACTGGCGTGTATATATTGCCATGTCTATATTAAGTGTTGTATTGTAAACTATATGTAACACTGTTGATGTACCAATAAATGAATAAAAAAAATAAAATTTAGAGGTTGAGATTCGATCTTAGCATTCCTGGACCGCAGACAAGAGTATTTCTTTTACAAAATCGTAAATCTGGTAGTCGGACAAGGAGAGATATCAAGTGACTGTCGCTCACAAGACAGATGGACGGACATGTTTTGTTACATGACATGTGTAAGCCCTCGTTACAGTATAAAAAAAATATGGCCTAGTACAAGTGTTATCTGAAATGTGTACAAAATGTTGTGAATCTATTATATGTAAATTATTGTAAATTATTTTAAACACAATTGTATGATTGTTATTGAATAAATGAATATGAATTGTATTGAATATATATATATATATATATATATAGTATATATGAATATGAATCTGACCTTTAATTGGCGAGGAATGGATTGATAGTATTTTAGGGAAGCAATTAATATTGGGGACTAGCAACCACATTGTTAGCATGTACCCTGTCAGGTCGATCTTCTCGTGGCCCACTCCCCCAATCACCATCATGTTTAATTCTAGCTGAATTTATCACAATGCACTAAGTGCTTTTTTATCCTCACCTATCATCCCATATTGGTGCTCCGCCAGCGTATACCGTCAACACAGGCGGGGTTACCATTCCATTATTATCCATTATGATATGACACATCTAATGTTCTTTACGTTATTTATCCACATAAATAGTTATTTCTAAGTAAATAAATAAGTATTAGTAAGTAGTGTATTTGCAATGATATCTTTAGAAATTGAACCCAGGACCTTGGCGTAGATATTTAGATTTCACTCTAACTATTTGCAACACGAAATTGCAACATGATTTTATCATTATAGGTAAACAAAAGTTGTTAGACTTTATAGCATACTAACCTATGTAGATTAAACTATGGTTACCTTTCTGTTACTGGCTAGTTACATTTAAGATAGATGTTATTCTGTATTTAAATAAAATTCTGCCTATTTTTCCTTTGTACAATTCGTTATCATATTTTTTCTTAAATATTTTAATAATAAATAACATGGACTCTATTTGTCACAAAGAAAGTATTAATCAAAAACGCATGGAATATTGTTAATTAGATAGATAGGTAGATATAATTTTCTTTACATTAAAGGACACATATCAAGGCTCAATCACATATGTAAATGACGTAAATATGAGTAGGAAAATATATTCAAGTTTTCATCTATAATTAATAATTTACAAATAATATTGAATATGTTAATTTACATAGTGGAAGTACATTTGTACATTTCGTATATGTATTACCCAGCTGAGTTTAATAGACATCTCGTACTGAGGGCGTAACTTTAACGAACTAGCTCCTTTAATTAGTGGGTTATACGTTATGAATTATAAGTCAATGAAAGTGACTATTATAATTTCTCATAAGAGTAAATCGTTGGCCAATCAGTCGATTGAAATCATTCCCGACCATAGCCGAATACATTATTCATGTACTTTTATTATTTACATATGTAGGTATATAGAGCTGTTTTTATTGTATTATATATTAAATTTTTTACTGGGTATTATTTAGTTTATCATTAATTGTACGGTTATTACCGTTATACATTTTATAGTTTTCTTTCAGCTTCTCAAAGGTTGACTGTAAGAGATCCCTTTATGGGATAAGTCGGCCATTGTATATTAAATCATTTATCAGTGCTTAATTTGAATTATGTACAATAAAGATTTTACAGTACAGTACAGTACATTATTAGATATCGGTGACCTACACTGGAATCGCGAGTTTTTTTTTTTTATAAAATATTCCGCATTTTATTCACAAATAATATAACTTTATATAGGTGAGAGACTAATAATATATGTTTATGAGTTTCAGTTGATAAATAAAAAATATTTTTCTTTTTCTTTATAATATAATTTTGGATTTTATTATCTTTCAATCGACTTCAAAAAGAAGGAGGTTCTCAATTCGGGTGTTTTTTTTTTATTTGTCTTCTCACCACTCCGTCAGTTGTAAACCGATTTGGAAAATTCCTTTTTTTTTATCTGATAGGATATAGCTACAGATTTGTCCCATAGTATATCGATATTGGTTTAGTAGTTTAGTTTTTATATGAAAATAACTTGTTTTGTCGGTTTTTTCGGGGGAATCAATTTTTTATAGTAGATTTTTCTTTACAGGGTGGCAATAATGCTGGACACACGGTCGTGGTCAACGGCAAGGAGTTTGATTTTCATTTATTGCCGAGTGGCATCATCAACCAGAAATGCACCTCTGTAATCGGTAAGTGTACAATGTTCAGTCCCACTGGTAAAACATTCAACAGAAGTAATTCTCACGATTCCGAATTCTTCCTCTGGTAGAACTCTAACAAAAATAAACTTAAAATAATTTAATAATTTTTAAATGTCACATCTTTCTCAATTGAACGCAAAGAGAGATGAAGTAAAAGCTCGATCACCAGCAGCAATATATTATCTTTATGACAGCAATGATCTGCTTGCATGCGCGCTATGTGCAAGGACCTTTATTAAAAAGATGCGTTATGTAAGCCACATACCAACACACCAACGTCAACAACAGCAGACGATTAATTAAACATAGCAGAGTCAAAGCGGTTGCTGTGACCGAAAACGGTCAAGACTCATCATCATCATCTTTTTTTTAATGGTTGTAAATGGCATGGCTGGTCACCAGTAAGCGATGATATGTGAGGATGAAAGCAGGCCAGTAAGCCCATTGCGATGGATTCGTTAAGAATTAATCACGGTGGTTTCCAGGGGGAACTGAGTGGAGATCTACTTGCTTGCTGGTAATGACACGTTTCCAGCGATATCCCCCCCCCCCCTCCCACCTACCCTCTCTTGGGGAAGGACTTGTTAGCAATAGGAAGGTTTCCCATTGCTAACAAGTCCTATAGGAAGAGGGGAAAGGGATTGTTAGTGATGGAGACTGAGAATCCCATTGCTAGCAATATATCCAACCAGCTTGACCTCCTCGCGGTTCTCCTTGGAAATTATCATGGTTAATTCCTGATGAATTCATCATGATGGGCTAACTGGCTTGTTTTCATTCTCATTTATCACCCTTCACTGGTGCTCCGCCAGCGTATCCTGTTAGCGCAGGCGAGGTTACCATACCATTCTTCTACCATACCGTTCTTCAAAAGAGTGGTAAAGAGGTTTCTTCAGGTTTGGCAACGCGCGCGTAATACCTCTGGTATTGCAGGCGTTCATAAGCTACGGTAACCGCTTACCATCAGGTGGGCCGTATGCTTGTTTGCCACCTCAGTGGCATAAAAAAAAAAAAAAAACCATTTCCACCCATCAAAAAAAAAAACAAGTCCTCTCGGAAGTTTCCATTGCTATCAATATACTTTATTAGGTCGACTTGCCTTTTCATCTTTACCAATAATCCCCTATTGGTGCTCTAAGGTGTAGGTGATGTCCTCTAGCAACGCCTAAAGAAGTGATTTCCTCCGCAAATTGCGTTTTTGGCGATATTTAGAGGACAGGTGGAGAAAACGTCACAGTACGTATCTTTGTCAATAAGAAGGAAGTTGATAATGAATGTAAATATAGCATCATGATTATTGACCGATAGCATTGGCCGACCTTTGAATGCTTGCCAAATGTACATTTTATGTACACTCGTGTAGACAGATATAAATGAGCCTTATTAGCAAAGTGTAAGGTCTAATTTTACACGTGTTTATATACATTGTTAATAATTGTGCTACGCGAAAATGGTACATATGTAATAATTATTTCCGTAGTATGATGTTTAAAATGTGTTTGAGATAGCAATTAGTTGATACAAGCTGCAATTCACAACTTTGTCCTCGTTACCAAATTTCTATTAAATCCAAACAGTCATACTAACTTACCCCCCTTTTGAAGAACCCCATGCTGTAGTCTCTTGGGGAAACCTCGGCAGGGAGTTCATTCCATAACCTGAGCGTTTGTGGGAGAAAACATCTCTGAAACCGCGTTGTACGCGAGCATCTAGGCTGTACAGTATGAGGGTGAACTCCCTGTCGATGGCGAGCCGTACGATGATAGAAAGTGGAATTGTTCAATATGATGCCCACGGGCATCATATTGAACAATTCCTCTGAGCACAATCCGTTGTATAAGCGGTAGAAAACGCAGAGTGAGACAAAATCTCTCCTAAGACTTAAAGGTTCGATACCGTTTTTAAGCCTGGGATGATTGACAATTCTCATAGCTTGTCGTTGCAATGAGTCGAAGGGTTCAAGCTTTTAAATATTACCACAGATAGCAAATTTTACCACAATTAAAGTCGGTTTCTTTGTGGAACGCAATCTTAAACTGTTTAGATAATGTATCCTTGACGCCAACATTATCATTAAAATAACCACACCTCCTTTAGAAATCACTAGAAAATATTGTGCAACTTGGAAATTGTTTTCGGCAATGCAAGCAATATCATTGTTGTAACCAACACACCTACTTTACAAAAGTGCTTACAAATAATATTGCGCAATCATCAATATGCTTACATTAAAAAATGTTTGTTCTCGGTGCTCCATTTGGCACATTAGCGTAAATGTATGTATGTGACGATATTTGTGAAATTACACACACTAAAGTATTATTAAGGCCAATACAAGCGTACATACAAGTACAATATACCCACACTCATGTAAACTGCACAGTATATAGCTTATCAAAATTCATGGTGAATGGAAAGAGTAAACACATTTGGTGCAGGGATGAATGCAATTACTAGAGAAGCTTCAGTATAAGTATCTAACGTCATTTATCTGATATAAATCTAAGAAAAGCATTGTAATGAACTAGTACATGTACATTGATAGTTTATATAATGCATATTGTGACTGGAGGAACAATAGATACAGAATATCATGTTAAATGTATATATAAATTTGAATAACAAAAAAAGGTGTGACAAAACAGAAAATAATATTAAAATGAATAACATAATATATATATATATATATATATATATATATATATATATATATATATATATATATATATATATATATTCGTGTACAGTAGTGTTTTTAAAGATTTGTCTAGTCATTGGGACAATTTGGGACTTCCTCGTTATATGACCTTATTATCTCAGATTTTGGACGGATAAATTTACTGCAGAACATAGATTTGGATGTGTGGATAGTTCGACTGGAATTATCAATCATTATTATTAATTTACTATCTTTATCACCAAAAGATATCATGTTTATTTTTGAAAAAGAAAATTATATAATTCGTATCTTCTAATTCTATAATTTATTTATTTATTTATTTATTTATTTATTTATTTACACTTTATTGCACCAAGTAAAAAGAGAAATAACAAATACAGTAAATATTAATGAGAAGTGATACAAAAGGCGGCCTTATCGCTAAGCAATCTCTTCCAGACAACCTTTGGGTAGAGGACATTGAGAAAAAGACAAAGAGTAGGTGGCGCACTATTATATAAATATTATCATATACAAACATATATAAATACATACATATATAATATATACACAATTAAATATATACATAACATACATACATACATACACATACATATATAATATATACACAATTAAATATATACATAACATACACATACTTAACAGCATACATACAACAGAAAAAAATGATGAAGGAAAACGAAGAGAGAACACAGGAAAATAGTACTAAAGTGAGAGGTAGTAAGATTTAACAGAGGTTTTGAAGCTAGTAAGAGTTTGAGCGCACCGAATAGAGGTAGGTAGTGAGTTCCATAGACGAACTGCCTGAACAGTAAAGGATCTAGAATAAAAGGAAGAAGAATGAGTGGGAAATTTAAGTCGGAGGTTATTGACACTGCGTAAAGTATGATCATTAGCCTCACTGAGAAACAAGAATCGGTCTTTTAGATAATCAGGAGCAGCAGGATTAAAAAGGATTGTGTAAAGAAGAGACAGGATATGCAGATTACGACGAAAACGGATAGAGAGCCACTTGAGTTGAGTACGAAATTGAGAAATGTGATCATATTTGCGAAGACCAAATATGAAGCGGATACATAAATTTTGGAGACGCTCAAGCTTGTTTAATTGCTCTTCGGTGAGGTCTAAATAACATGAGTCGGCATAATCAAGAATGGGTAGGAGTAAGGTGTGTGCGAGCGCAATTTTGGTGTTAACTGGGAGGAAATTACGTAGTCTATTTAAGGCAAAAGTTGCAGCAAACATTTTTTTACTGACCTCCGAGATTTGTGGAGACCATGACAAAGTGTTATCAAAAATAATGCCAAGATTTTTTACTTTTTTCTGGTAATCTATCATAACCCCATCAAAAACCACAGGCGGAAGACTGGTCGAGGAAATTTTGGAAATAAGTATGGGACTCCCAATAATAATTGCTTGTGTCTTCAAGGGGTTTATAACAAGACCATGAGATTTACTCCAGGCAGATATACATTCCAGATCGGCGTTAACAGTAGATATTGCTAAAGAGATATCAACCAGAGGGGCTAAAGAGTAAATCTGTAAATCATCTGCATAAAGGTGGTAGGAAGATTGAAGTTTCGAAGTGATAGTGCTAATAAATAAGGCAAATAGAAGAGGAGATAAGACGCCACCCTGCGGCACGCCAGCTGACGTATGGCACCAAGAAGATAAAACGTCATCAATGCGAATACGTTGCCGACGTCCAAACAGGTAACTACGAAACCAGTCAATTGCCGTTGGAGATATGTTGAGAGAGGTTAGCAATCCTAACAAAATATCAAAATCAACAGTATTAAAGGCATTGCTAAAGTCCAATAATGTTAAGACCGTTAATTGAGAATTCTCCATGCCAAAACGGATATCGTCAGAAATTTTAATAAGAGCAGTAGTCGTACTATGACCAGGACGGAATCCAGATTGAAGAGGATTTAAGAGATTGTTTCTTGATAGGTAAAAGTTAAGTTTTTGTTGGACAAGGCGTTCTAAGGCTTTGGATAGAAAAGGGAGTATAGAAATTGGACGGTAATCTGAGAACGAGGAAGGAAGTTTCTTTTTTGGTAGAGGGATTATGAAATCAATAATCTTATTAGATAGATAATTTATTTGCATTACTTACGTACGTTGTTGTTGAATCATCGTTACATAATTTGGCTTATCTTTCATTTATACAATTCTTATAAAAATACATACATAGTTTGGTGTTCGTTACCAAATTTTTATAATGAAACAGATGACAAGTACTTGACTGGTAGTTCGCATTACTAAGAATTCCCGTATTAATAACATATCCCTTCCCCCCTTTACTGCAACATGTCTTCTTACTTTTTATCCTGTAATTTCAGTCCCCTTCAAATTAAAACCTAATTGTATGCAAGTATGCAAGCACACAGGAGCTTGACGGCAGAAAAATTGAATGAGACAGACGACTTAAGTACAGTTTCCTAAACGATTGCTTTCGCCGCTAGATCGATTGTATCGTGCTATACAATTGATAATGATGTAAAAAATATAACAAAAGAAAAACAAGCATTACGTGAGCAACGATTACAGTGCCTGTGGCTACCAGGTACCAGTGATTTAAATTAATCGTGGCCTCAAAATTACTAATCTGACCCCAAGGTCTTGCTTTATGGTGCACGAATCGTCTGAGTACGTTCTGTGACAGGATCCAGCAAGTACTGGCATTGTCGTTAGAGTAATCGGTACTTATGCTGCTTATTGCGTTTTAACTACTTTGAATTTTAACTATTAGAAATAATAATACTACCCATTATTTCTGGCTTATATATGTACATGAGACGAATTATGGAAGTTTTTTTTTTTTATTATTACAGCACGACATTTTATCCTGAATACAGACAATATGGTCCTTGAATACGATCAACCGCTTGACCGCACTATGCCGTCTCATGATTTTTTTTTAAAGCTACAGTGATAGAAGCAAAAGATGTATATCTATGTAGAGACCTACAGCCCTTTTTTCGGAGACGAAGTCCCGTGTTCCCGGTAAATGTCAGTTTAGTAAAAAAATCTAAATTTGTTCAAATTCAAATCATCTTTATTCAAATAGACTTATTTACAAGCACTTAAATCGATGTATTTTAAATCTACTGCGGGGTTCAGAGTTGTTATCTGTAGAGAAGAGCGTGCAAGAAATTCAACAGTTACTGTTTTAAATATCTAGTATATATTATAAGTATACATATATTTATTTATGATTATGTCTAAAATTACACGATCATTAAGATGCTTGTACATGATCGACTAATACCATGCACGCTTGTCATTCAAGTATCGTTTAGATTGTAATAAGCTTTGTTCAATAAGTAGTTTTTAATAACAGTTTTAAATTTGTTAAAAGGTAGATCCATAATATTCTTCGGTATCTTATTATAACATTTAATGCCCATATCCATAAAAGAGCTATTAACTTTTTCTAAACGATACTTCGGAACAGTGTTCGGATTTGGGTGTTCTGGATGGGGTACCCCCATATATTTGTCGCCTGATTCCTCATTACACAGCGTATTGGTTTGATTGTGAGGCCCTTATTATTGTGTAATTCGTGTAGGAAGTTGTTTACTAAACACAATTATCTCGTAAACGTCTGGTACGGAGCCAAATGCCATTCAATTTCACGCTCTTGCACATGCTTACGGCATACCTAATTTATTAAAACGGTCACCTTATGTAGTATCTAGTTACTTTACTGGCAAATTATTAGCAGAAACTTCGCAAATGATTTCACTTTAGAAATTTTACTGTTGGAGTTTTTTGGTACTATTTATTGATGGATGAAAATGGAATGGCAGCGTCATCTACGCTAGTGGTCTACGAAATCTGGTTTCAGTGAGAAATGATAGGTCAGATTGAAATCACGGGTATTTTTATACCACTTCGTTTGTGTTTCTGCTGTCAGGTGCTTACATATATTTTGGTGGGATATGATATGATTGTGAAACTACAGGAATATGTGACTAGAAGGTAGAATTACGAATACTGGAGTCGCTAATCCTTGCTATTAAACAGACCCTCTCCTTTAGACTCTTCTGTTTATGAGGATAGAACTATGTACAAATGGGTCTATCCACAATAGGCTATCTCCTGCGCTTGTGAGGTTCACAAGCGGAGGATATAGCCTACTACTAATTTACAATAAATTATTACTGCAAGTAATAATTTATTTTAAATTACCTCATATCTGAAGGCGTGTTTGGTTTTCTTACCTTCACACTGTCACATTTAAACTTACACAGATAATCATTATTATTATACGAAAGATTATTATGTTCCTTAAAAGAGGTTATAAATTGTAAATTGTTTTTGATTAGTTTTCTGTAATTTTACTAGATTTTAGTGTTTTTTTTTTATGGATGATAATGAAATTGTATACGCTAGCGGGACACTAGTGAGGGATGATAGGTGAGAATGAAAAGGCAAGTTAGCTAGTTCATCGTGATAAATGCACTTGGAATTCAGCACGATGGTTTCCAAGGGGGACCATGTGGAGTTGAAACTTACAGGGTATATTGTTAGCAATGGAATTGACCCTCCTTTCCAGTTTTCTGTGTTATTGCATAACAATTTATTTGTTTATTAAAGGAAGAAAACACTGAATGTTTTGGATGACTTTGTACAAAATTCGTTTGCACAAATTACACATCTCTGTCCCATTCGTGTTTTTACCGTGAAGCAGTTATGTTTGCATGGCTGTTTTGGTTTGAAGGGTGGAATATGGTAGTGAATTTACAGGGTACAGAGAAATAATACCTGAGTCCTCAGGAATGGTAACACATGTGGAATATCATGGGCGAAACAGTATACTTTGTTATGTCCATGGTACTGCTCATGTCTATAGGTGATGGTTTTCAGGTGGGCCGTCAGTTTGTTTGCCATTCTAAGTAAAAAATTAAAACATCGGTTTTACTTAGCTCGGAAGTCAGGGAGTTTACAACTTAGCTATATGATTTATGTCAATTAAGAGATATTATTATGTTTATTGCTACGCTGACCGGGCAGTTTAGTATAGGATTTTATCAAGTACATATAATATTTTTTGTCTTGCATTGGTATATTTATTGAACTTTGTTCCTCTAGTCGTCAATTTACGACATTTTACCGCGTCGTCACTTCCATTTTGTTTATTCAGCAGACATTAACAAATTGTAACAAATAACGGTTTACGAAACAATGTAACTACTTATACCGAGTATTATTATGAGCTAGGATTATACACTACTAGCTTTTACTTGCGGCTTTGTCCGCTTCGTCGAGATATGTTCACTGATTGGCAGAAAAAGTAACCGTCTTTAGAGTCTCATCTATTTCTATACCAAAATTCATTATATTCGATTCAGCGGTTTAGACGTGAAAGCGTAACAAACAAACTCACTTTCTCATTTATATAAGTTAAGGATTAGGAGACAAAACATTTATGTTTTTTTTTTAATGGATGAAAATTGAATGCTAACTGCTCCTGCACGATCAGCATATACTGGCGGGGCGTCATTGAAGGATGGTAGGTGTTTTGTTCAATGGGTGTAAATGGCATGGAAACCCCTCCTGCGCTATCGGTATATACTGGCGGGGTACCAGTAGAGGTGATAGGCGAGGATGAAAAGACAGGTCAGTTAGCCCATCGTGACGAATTCAACGATAAATTAGTCACGATAGTTTTCAGGGGAAACGGCGTGGAGGTCGATCTGCTAGGGTATATTGATAGCAATGGGGACTAGCCTCCCCATTATTAATTATAGAAATACATAAAATAAAAATTATTAACAATCCCTTCCTCTCAGGATGATAGGTGAGGATGAAGCAGCTCAGTTAGTCCATCGTGATTAATTCATTTAAAATTAATAAAAGATGGTTTTAAGGGGAACCACGTGGAGGTCGACCTGTTAGGGTATATTGTTCCTAATAGGCCTGTTATATTTCGTTACTAATAATCCCTTCCTTCCCCATTAATGTTATTAGCTACATATATATTCTGTTGTCTATTTTCTTATTAAATACAAGAAAATATTTTTTTTTGTTATAGGTAATGGCGTAGTGATCCACCTGCCTGGCCTCTTTGAGGAGTTGAAGAAGAACGAGCTGAAGGGCATGGAAGGATGGAAGGATCGGCTCATCATTTCAGATCGTGCGCATTTGGTGTTCGACGTTCACCAGCAGGTAAGCGAACTAGGGATACAAGCGTTATAGTAAAACCAGATAATTTTAATACTGCTAGCAACGCGAAACGAGCTGTCGACGGTTCATTGATGGAAAGTGGTAACTGTCGTCTGCAAACATGAATAAAATAATGTACTTCACGGAATAAACAGTGACGGTTATAGCACCACTTATTTGTTGACGTATTGTATGAGTTTCAATCACTTAAATGTTTATTATATTCAGGTTCGGTTTGAAGTATAATATATTTTGCGTTTGAGAGCAAAAATCTCAGAGAAGAGATTGATTTGCGTCCTATTTCGCGGCGGAAAATTGTAGTTTTTTTTTTACTTGGAAGTGGAAAGACGTGATCTGTGATCTACTTTAGTTTCCCATTTAAAACTTGCAAATTGTTTTGTTGATTGGGATTAGAAAGAAGCGGGTTATAACTCACCACCAAAAATTTGATGGTAAGCTAATTATGTTTTTGAATTTTAAAGGGTTAAATAAAATAATTATCGCACTCAGTCGCACACTATTAGTTCAAGACAGTCTTAAAAAGGAATGTTATCTTTTAAGGGTTCATATATGTCAGTTTATTTATTTGACTATACCTTCTAAACTTCTGAACAGATATGCATGTATAGAGTATCTTTAGAATCCTTATATCATCCCGAGTGACACTGGCCATAATTTCTTTGTAAAAAAAAAACAAATCAATATGGCTGTATGCTATTCCTTTTTCAAATTAAAGGTTATTTTATTTGCCAGGACAATCGTGTTCTTTATTTAATTTTTTTTTTTTATTATAAATGCGTGTCCTATTATAACCTATTGCATCATGCCGGATTTAATTCACATTGTATGACGATACCTTCTCCATAATCGTTCGTTGTTGGAATCATCTATACTCGTCCGGTGATTCACACATTTGTTTATGTATTGCAGCATATGGTATCCATTCATTTGTATATATAAAGTTACATATCTATTTAGAAATAATGTCTGCAATACCTATTTAGTCATAATGTTGTCACAGTACGCCAAAACAATATAGATAATAAACGGAATAAAGATAAGTTGCCTGTTAATAATAGTTTCTTGTATTGAGAGCTTGTATAGTTTACAATTGAATTTTAAAAAAAATAAGAACCTCAATTTAATTTAATTTTTTTTTTGTTTCTTATCTCATAACTCCGTCAGTTGTAATCCGATTTCGAAAATTATTTTGAAATCTTTAAGGATATACTTACAAATAGGTTCTATAGATTTTTTTTAAATCCGTTCAGTAGTTTAGTGTTTAAATCAAAATGACTAGTATTATCACAATTGACGTCGGATTTTAGTGGACTACTTATATTTTATTATTTATTATATATATATATATATATAAATTTAATGAAATTTGGAGTAATAGTCGTGATAAAGGCTTATCAATCACGTGCCCAATTTACTGTTTATTGGGACATTAAAAGTGTAAAAAACAAAAAAAAAATCAATTATATTATTTTTTGTGGTACTTATTACGAGACATCTTCACACGTTTATTTTTTAATCAAATTTACTGTCGTTTATTCTTTCGTTGGCATGAAAAAGAAATGTTATTTCCGCCTATGATGAGTGATGGTAGGTGAAGATGAACAGGTCACGTGGCTCATAGTGGCAAATTCTCTAGGAATTAACCACAACGGTTTCTAGGTGATCGTACCGAGTTTTTTTTTATACAACCGAGTATATTAGTAGCAATGGGACTCACTAGATAGACTCCATTAGAAATAGCCCTCTCCCCCAATTTATTACCTTCTCAATCCCATATCAATATAGACAAGATTGAAGTGTTTTTTTAATTATATGGCCCCATGCAATAATAGTAACAAGAAAAACATTTGTATTGCAGGTGGACGGCCTTCAAGAAGCAGAAAAAGGGAAAAACTCTTTAGGGACAACTAAAAAGGGCATTGGGCCGACTTACTCATCTAAAGCCAGTCGTAACGGCATTAGAATTGGTGACCTGCTTGGCGACTTCAGTATATTTGAGGAGAAGTAAGTATGCGCTGTTCGCAAATAAGGCCTGGCGTGGGGGGGGGGGGATTGTTAGTAATGCGGATTATCTGTCCCGTTGCTAATAATATATCCTAACAGGTCGACCACCCCGTGGTCCCCCCTGGAAACCATCGTGCTGAATTCCGCTGAAAAGTGTATTCATTACGATAGGCTAACGGACCTGCCTTTTCATCCTCACCTATCACCCCTCACTGGTGCCCCGTCAGCGTATACCGTTGGCGCAGGTGAAGTTACCATTCCATTATTGAATAATAACTATCGGGAGTCATGCTATACGAGGTTTGTCCGGAAAGTACGTATAAAAGTTTTTTAAAAATTTTATTTTACAATTATTCAGGTAAATCAATTTTATCCCCTTCAAAGTACTCCCCCTGTGACATAATGCACTTGTGCCAACGCCGTTTCCACTGTGAGAAGGCTCCTTGAAAGTCCTCTGGTTGTAGGTTTCTCAGCTGCCCCGTCGTAGCTTTTTTTATCTCATTTATGTCCCCCAAATGCCGCCCCCGAAGTACCAATTTGGTTTTTGGGAACAAGAAGAAGTCACACGGGGCCAAATCCGGCGAATAGGGGGGTGTTCGGTCACCGTAATGGAATTTTTACTCAAAAACTCACGGACAACAAGAGAGGTGTGGGCAGGGGCATTGTCGTGGTGAAGAATCCAACGCCCCTCTCGCGCCAATTCTGGACGAACTCGTGCCACACGAGCTTTGAGGCGTCTGAGCACATCGACGTAGAATTTTCCATCAACTGTCTGGCCTGGAGGGACGAATTCTTGATGGACAATCCCCCGAACATCGAACTCTTTCTCGGCCCTCTCTGAATCTTTTTAGCCACTTGTGGACGGTTGGTTCCTTCACAGCATCATCCCCATAAACTGTTCTGAGATCGGCAAAAATTTCACGGCCATTCTTGCCGAGTTTCGAGAGAAACTTGATTACGACGCGCTGCTCTTCAACGGAAGCGGGCTCCATGCCGACGGGGTTTCGTTAAGAGGTAACTTCACAGATGGCGTGACAAGCCAGTTCGCACCGCACGGCGGTCAGACCAGAACTGAAGCATTGTTAGGGACATAAGGAAGGGGTCCTGCGCTTACCTGGCCTCCCCACTCCTCTTTCTCGCATTCCAGAACACTTTTATACGAACTTTCCGGACAGACCTCGTATTGTCATTACTTCCCCCCGCGGGGGGATAATGGATTGTTAAAAATGGGGATCGACCTCCTCGCGATCCCCGTGTTCTATTCCAAGTGAATCCATCATGAAGCTTTTAACTATCAATGATCACTCTTCACGATGGGCTAACTGGCCTGTTTTCGTTATCATCAATCACCCTTCACTGGTGCCCCGCCAGCGTATCCCGTTAGCGCAGGCGGGGTTGCCATTCCATTTTCACCCATCAAAAATAAAAAAAAAACCAGAGAAGCCTGGTGGAGGTTGATCTGACAAGGTATATTGCTAGCAATAACGATATTATATTATTAGCAAATATTCTCTCCATATAAAATCATTATTCATTATTAAGATTAATCATTATCTAAGGTTATTGTTCGTATCATGGAAGGTTTCTTATCAGTTTTACATATATTACGCCGCGTCTATGGTAATGTGTCAAATAGTTCTTTTTGAACAGTTTGACTAGGATCTTATATTTTGTAATGAACAAAATGCAAAACATTTTTCTGGATGAGGAATTTATAGACACAGCAAAAGACTAATATATATATATATATATATATATATATATATATATATATATATATATATATATATATATATATATATATATATATATATATTTATATATATATATTTATATATATATATATATATATATATATTTATATAGCAATTGATAAAAATATTAAATTTTCCAGATTCAGAACTCTCACGGACAATTACAAACGCATGTTCCCGTCTCTGGAGGTGGATGTTGACAGTGAACTGGTCAGGTATCGCAAGTATGCTGAGCAGATCCGACCATTGGTGCGAGACACCGTGTCTTACTTGCACAAGGAGATCAGAAATGGAAAGAAGGTGCTAGTGGAGGGCGCCAACGCCGCCATGTTGGATATTGACTTTGGTAAGATTGTTGTGATTTTCTTTTATTATTACAATTCTTTATTATGCTTTGAATATTTAATATTAAATTAAGCCATATTTAATTAAGCCATGTGATTCCGACATAGAATGGATCACTTTCCCATGGGTTTCGTAAGAGGCGATTAAGGGAACTTAGGGATGATAGAGGAATGGCAGTAAAGTCCCATTTAAAATATCACCAAAGCTAAACCGCGGTTGCCAACTGGCAAAACCATCCATGGGGGAAGCCTTTGTTCAGCGATGGACAGTTAACAGCTAATATGATCATTATAATAATGATTTTGTAAGCAGTATAAGCTTGTAAATAAAAAGTTATACAAATTTCTTCAATCCCGTTTCACTGTTTTCCAATCATTTCTCCAAAATTTCGTGTATAGAAAATTTGTTATCTAAAGTTGCGAAAAAAAATAGCAAAAGAGAAAACATATATTGACATTATAAGATATTCGATTCATAATTATTAAAAAATATTTTTCTATTAGCAAACTGTAAAGTACTAATCGAAGTCACTTTCACAATTTGAAACGTAGTTTTACATAATAATTATTTGCAATTTCTATGACTGTATTGTGAAGTACTCAAATTATGTGTCATAGTATAACGGCCAGGTAACTGATAAGCAAACTCAATTACTACACTTCACATAATGAAATGTAAACATTATGTTAATCAGATTATTGTGTTGAGTGGGTATTGTACTGGAGCGTTCATAACTTGATCGTACCGAAGTGTGGCAACGTCGCATTTATCTGTCAATTTTCTAAAACAGTTTAACGAGTTTCAATGTCTCTAACTGATTACTAAAAAGTTCTCTGCTAGCTAATTACAACATTAATGATGCAATAATTATCTTATGAGAATTTGTATTTGATGGCAATTGTTGCCATTGTATTTGAAAAATTTTGAAATGGAGTATGACGTAGGTTTATTGTTTTTTTTTTATGCTATTTAGAATGGCAAACAAACTGACCACCCACCTGATGGAAAGTGGTAACCGTCGCCTGTATTTATTAATTATATAAATATGAATATGAGACTAAATCTTCACTCTCACTCCCTCTTTTTTTTATATATTTTTTATGTAACTTAGAATGGCAAACAAGCTGACGGCCCACCTTTTGGAAAATGTTAACCGTCGCCTATAGACATGAGCAGTACCATGGACATAACAGAGTATATTGTTTTGTCACTAAATTCACCGCCATATCCTATCCTTTAAACCGAAACACAGCCATGCAACATATCTCGATCACGCAGATGAAGTCGCGGGTCAAAGTTTATATTTAAATAAATTAGTAATTAATTTTTTTTTGTATCGATGATATGTTATAATTATAAAAAAAACTGTTATAGGTACATATCCGTATGTGACGTCATCGAACTGCAGTATCGGCGGCGTATGCACCGGGCTAGGGTTGCCGCCGAGCGTCATTGGCGACGTGCTGGGCGTAGTGAAGGCGTACACCACGCGCGTGGGCGACGGGCCTTTCCCCACGGAACTACATGACGTGAGTATTTATTTTTTATTTTATTTAAAGCGGTTTCTAACAGAGACAGGTTTTCAGTTTGCTTTTAATTTTTTTTTTTTTAGTATTTTACGCAGTGTCTTCTCAAATTCTAAACTGTTGTTAATAACTTTTTTTGCAATAAAAATAATATTATAATTGGACAATCACATAAATCCAATGTTTATATATTGGTCTCAATAAGTTACAATTATATTTTTGTGATTGACTGAGGTGTGTTGACTTTTTCATCTGTTTGCATTATGCGTGCGTGTACGTATACGTGTATATATGTGAGTGGGAAAGGGAGATAAATGAGTGAGAGAGAAGGAAAGAGCGTGACTCAGTATTCCTTCCGGTTTATTACTGCTTTAAATCTGCACTACTTTCTGCGTTAAGTTAAACTGTCTGTTTCTGGAATATTATGCGAATTTACAGGGTACAGAGGCATAACACTTTAGTTCTTTAGAATGTCAGCGCATAGGGAGGATCATGGGCGAAACATTAGTATGTAATGCCATGGTACTGTACATGTCTATAGGCGACAGTTATCACTTTCCATCAGGTGAGCCGTCAGCTTGTTTGCCATTCTAAGTTGTATAAAAAAAAATTATTGGGAGATAATGCTGTACAGCGTTAAGTTCATCTGTTCTATCAAACATTTTTTGAATGTGGTTCATAAAGAATAAATAAATAAATAAATAAAAGATTTATTAGTAAAGGAAGTTTTAAATTTGTGCACTCAGGAGACGGGGCAGCTGCTGCAGTCGCGCGGGCATGAGGTGGGCGTGACGACGCGGCGGGTGCGGCGGTGCGGCTGGCTCGACCTGGTCGTCGTGCGGTACACCGCCCTCGTCAACGGTTACACCTCGTGAGTATTGCACTGCACTTCCTCTACTCTTAGTCTATCATCATCATCATATCAGCTTTTAACTGTCATTGATCAGGGGGAAAGGGATTATTAGTAATGGAGACTGAGAATCCCATTGCTAGCAATATATCCAACCACGTCGACCTCCTCGCGGTTCCTCCTGGAAACTATCAGGTTTTTTTTTTATGGGTGAAAATAGTATGGTAACCCCGCCTGCGCTAACGGGATACGCTGGCGGAGCACCAGTGAAGGGTGATAGATGAGAATGAAAACAGGCCAGTTAGCCTATCATGATGAATTCATCAGGAATTATCCATGATAGTTTCCAGGGAGAACCGCGAGGAGGTCGGCCTGGTTGGGTATATTGCTAGCAATGGGATTCTCAGTCTCCATTACTAACAATCCCTTTTCCCCCAACTATCAGGATTAATTCCTGATGAATTCATCATGATAGGCTAACTGGCCTGTTTTTCATTCTTATCTATCACCCTTCACTGGTGCTCCGCCAGCGTATCCCGTTAACGCAGGCGGGGTTACCATTCCATTTTCACCCCCCCCCCCCAAAAATACTGTCATTGATCACTCTTCACCATGGGCTAATTGACCTGTCTTTATTCACCTATCATCTCTTACTGGTGCCCTGCCAATGTATACCAATAGCGCAGGCAAGGTTTTTTTTTATTGGATGAAAATGGAATGGTTACCCCGCCTACGCTAACGGGATACGCTGGCGGGGCACCAGTGAATGGTGATCGATGAGGATGAAAACAGGCCAGTTAGCCCATCATGATTAATCCATCTAGAATTAATCATGATAGTTTCCAGGGGAAACCGCGAGGAGGTCGACCTGGTAAGGTATATTGCTAGCAATGGGATTCTCAGTCTCCAGTACTAACAATCCCTTTCCCCCCGCAGGCAAGGTTGGAATGTTATCCATTTTCACATATTAAAAAATTTCCCAAGTGACTACAGCATGGGGTTCTTTAAAGGGGGGTTAAAAAGGTTTCTTCAGGATCGGCAACGCGCGCGTAATACCTCTGGTATTGCAGGCGTTCATAGGCTACGGTAACCGCTTACCATCAGGTGGGCCGTATGCTTGTTTGCCACCTCAGTAGTATAAAAAAAATAGGCCTCTTATAATGAATAAATGTAATATTAATGAGAATCCAGTTTTCTTCAAATCTATACTTATAATAAATCCGTAGAGAGGTCAATTCTGTACATGAAATATATTTCCAAAATAACTATCAACGGATGATTAGTGATCGATACTGATGCCAAAAATGCAATCAGTAAAATTTTTGTCTGTCTGTCTGTATGTTCGTTATAGAAACAAAAACTACTCGACGGATTTTAACGAAACTTGGTGCAATTATTCTTCATACTCCTGGGCAGGTTATAGTATACTTTTCATCTTGCTACGATCAAAAGGAGCAGAGCAGTAAAGAGAAATGTTAAAAATTTCTACCCGTGCGACGCCGGGACGGGCCGTTAGTATTAAATAAATAAATATTTTTTCCAGCTTGTGCTTGACCAAGTTGGACATCCTAGATACATTGAAGGAGATCAAGATCGGCGTAGCGTATAAGTCAAATGGAAAGAAAATTGACTATTTCCCCTCTTCAATGGCTGAGCTTAGCAAAGTAGAGGTAATTAGCCAACGCTTTTTTACAACAATCTCTTTAATTATGATCTTTCTGTAAGTGGAAATACAGTTTAAAATGGAGTGGGAGACACATGTACGAGTACATATATACACACGTGCACTAGATGTGCATGTGTGAATGTATGCACTACACTACATGTTACTTAAATAAACAAATTTCATACACGGAATTTTATTTGACTTTTTAGGTCTTTTTTTGTAAGCTCACCATGTATATATATATATATTACATATAAAATAATGTATTTTATAAATGTTGTGAGCAAGGGTGGACTTATCTCTGACAGAGATCTCTTCCAGTCAACCAACCCAGTACAGTAAGAAAGCATTTCGTTAGCGGGCAGCTGAACTGCTATAACTATTAATACATAAACAAATATACAGTCAAATAATATTATAATATACAGTTAAATAAAATATTAAAATATATAATATTACATAAATACATACACTATAAATACATATAATACCTACCTACTTATATAATAAATGTTAAAATAAATGAATATCATATATCTTTTATGTCCAAATGAAGCCACATTTATATACAAACTTGTATAAGCCATTGTGATGGGGCACATGTCATCTGAAACACAGGTTTCTCTAAACATACAGCAAACACCAGTCTTATGAAACGAATCTCAATAATTTCATTATGCCTAATTTTAAACCATTTGTCTGTTACTGTTTATGGAGAGAAAATAATTCTTTCACTCATGAAAATCAGGTGGAGTATGTGACAGTACCGGGCTGGGCGTGCAGTATAGAGGATGTTCGGAAAATGGACAAGTTGCCGGAACAGGCGAGGAACTATGTCAAGGTCATCGAAGACTACCTGCAAATACCTGGTATGTGCTAAATAATTATTACTTCTTGTTTCTCGCCTTCAGTATAGATTATATCTACGATGACATGGCATGCTCGTTTAAAATACAAAGAATTAACAATATATGCGTAAAATTATTTACAAAATTTTGACTTGGCAATATAATATTCCATTGTCCAAATTGCAACTGAAGTTGTTTGCTCACAAACAAACAGAGCGCCATGTATATAGGCACACGCATTAAAGTAAAAAGGTAGACGGGTGTGCCGTGTTACAGTACAAAATTTATACCATTAACTCTATGGTGAATGTCTATGTACACATCATAAGGAATCATTTCCTAAGGGGATATTATGAAATATATAGCATTTGGGCCCAAACAATGTACACCATACATTAAAGACGCGAATCCCAAGTGTATTCGAAATTAAAGCATTTCTCCTTTTATTTAATTTGGCTTCATTTTTTGACACAAATTAATTTTGTATTTAATTTATTTTCGTAATTAATTTCGTAAATAATTAGCAACAAACAGTCAGACACGGTGGAACATCAATGCCATTTTGAATAACATTTGCCAAATAAACATGTGAGAATTTTTTTTGTACCTATTGTTTACCTATTGTTTATTTATCTATGACATTCTCAGAAACATCCCATTTCCTTTTCATAACTCAAGTACAATGTATTTTTATATTTGGCATAAACATTCTTGGCATATAAAAAGGTATGCTACGTTTCATAGTCACATAGTTGGAATAAAGAGATCTCTGTAGTAATTGATTATTATGTAATGTCTTAATTTTACATTGCCAGTTTGGAATAAATATAATTTGTTTTTTTTTTCTCAACAAAAAAGAACTTTATTTTTGATAAAGTTAGTATCAAATCAACATGAGAGGAGATTAGCAAATATTGCCATATAAAAAATAAAAATAATTAAATTTTGTTCCACAATAAAAACCGATTTCAATTGTGACAAAAACCAGTTATTTTGATATAAAAACTAAACTACAGAATTGGTTTTAATAAAAATTTTATGGGACTAATTTTCAAGTACATCCTTTGAGATAAAAAAAGATTTTTAAAACTGGTTTATAACAGATGGAGTTATGAGGTAACAAAAATAAAAATAAAAAATACAATTGATTTGAAATACGCCGGCGGAGCACCAGTGAAGGGTGATAGATGAGAATGAAAACAGGCCAGTTAGCCTATCTGGATGAATTCATCGGGAATTAACCATAATAGTTTCCAGGGAGAACCGCGAGGTGGTCGACCAGGTTGGGTATATTGCTAGCAATGGGATTCTCAGTCTCCATTACTGACAATCCTTTTCCCCCCTCGTATGCTTGTTTGCTACCATCATTTATAAACCAGTTTGGAAGGTGCTTTCATATACCTGAAGGCATGTACTTTCAGATTATAAATATATAGTCCCATAGAAACTTTATTAAAATCGATTCAGTAGTCTAGTTTTTAAATTGAAATGACTTTTTGCCTCGACTAAAAGTGGTGTTTTATTTTTGCTTGTGGAACGAAATATATTTGTTTAAATATGTTTTTTAATTTAACCTATTACATGTTTACAGTTAAATACATCGGCGTCGGTCAAGGTCGGGAGTCCATCATCAATGCGGATTAACACAGGCGGATATGACGTCACTTTCCGATAATATTAATTCAGTTAATAACGATACTTAATTAAGCGCCGTTGTAGCGAGTTAGTTGAATGCGCAGAAGTAAATCGGGGGATAAAGGCTTCTATAGTATTGTTTGGGCTTGCGCAGATGGATTACAGATTTCAGCTTACCTGATTCTAACTTGTCAACGTACTTTTGGTATAAAGAACATTATGTGCATCAAAAATATACTGAAAAGTTAAATATAAAAATACAAAGTGCTAGAGACCATTTTTTTCTTTGTAAAAAAGGTGTTTCTTTTTTTTATTTTTATTAAGGTGAGAATATTTAGTTTCAATGTCTTGTGCACGTCACGAAATGTAATTTTTTTACTTTGATGTAAGAAAAAGTATTTCCAAGGCAACTACCATCTGTGCAAGCCTTTATTTGTTTAAGCGTATTGAACTCTATTTGAACGATGTAAAGCACAAATTCAATGTTTGTTTTGTAGAAAAAAAAAAACATATATTAATAGTGATATAAAGTCCGACTTAATATAAATCTTATGCATTGAAGATAGAGTTTAATATAGTACTAATTATACCACAAAGTGGTTTCGAGTAAGCAATAAAGATTTAACAGATTTATACGCTTTTTTTTTGTTTGTTCAATAGTATTTAGATTTACTTCTGCGTTAATAAAATATAATAATAACTATTAATGCTATTAATGACGACATTGAACTTAAAAAGTATGTAGGTAAGCTTCAGTTTGGATTGGAGAAATAAATGGTAGGCACGGGTAATGTCCGTACCATTTATCTATATATTAGATATTCCATTGGGCATTGACGGCGTAAAAGGGTCATCATCCATTTGGACATCGCCCATATCAGTGGGATATTTATGTTCATTTTGATCAGGTGTCTCATTTCGATATTATATATTGGATAACAGCTATATATATATTGCTACAACAATATATATTGCTGTATATTACCCATCCTTAACAAATAGTATTATGGGACAAGTTAGTCTTATGAAAATTTTTTGGTATTGAACATACAAGTCTGAGAGATAGCAGCATTGGCGTATTCAAGAGTGATCCAGGTGGTCTGTGCTCACCCTAGTATTAGCTGGTACCCAGATTTATTCTGAACCTAGAGAGGATCCGTGCAAAGCGTTCAGCTATTCGCAAAGGTATCTCTGAGAGTAAATATATGTACCTATTTCAACCGGCTTCAAAAAGAAATTTTCAATTCGGTTGTATTTATTTTTTATGTTTATTACCTCATAATTCAATCAGTTCTAAACCGATTTGGAAAATTCTTTTTTTTTTTGTCTGAAAGGATATACTTACAGAGTGGTCCCATGAAGATTTTATCAAAATCGGTCGAGTAGTTTAACTTTTAAATTAAAATAACTGGTTTTGTCACAGTTGAAGTCTGTTTTTTTTTTGTGGGATCACTAATTATTATAGAACAAGGAATGGGAGAATAATCTTGAATACATCAATGTAAAATGTTCCTAGTAATCGTAAGTGTCAATAATAAATTAACCAGACTGATTGTTATTAAAATTTCAAAAATGTAGCAATCAGTTTTTTATACTTAATAGACACCTCGTCCCACGCGTATTTCTGACGTTAATTAACTATGTACATGGCTATTTGAAGGACATAATAGTGAAATTATTGGATATAGAAGCGTTATGGCAATGCACGAATGGTACCACGATGCATTCTGTAACATATATGGTGCTGTTTATTTATATCCACAGGTGATGGCTACCACTTTTTAAGGGATGATAGCTTGCTTGCCATTTTAATATGTATAAATAAATCAGCCAGTATTCTGTAATTAATTAATGAGAATTTATAACAATTCCTAAAAGGAACAAGTAGTCACTATTCTGTTGAGTATAACAGATGCAGAAATGCTTAATATTAATTTGAAAATTGTATCAGTTATAAATTAAATATATCTACGTACAGTGTATCTATTATTGTGTGTGATTCATATAGTTTTAACTAGTATAGTGTCCAGCCCTCTGTAATAAGTGGCGAACTAATGTAGCGGTGGATACGTTATGGCATTGGAGAGAAAGAGGAAGACTCTGCAATTTTCTGTCTTGTTTTATCCTGGGGCATACGTGCTGCAATGAAAATGTATCTATCAATACATTGGTTCAATTGTCTGGGTACATGTATAAATTGATATCATTGGTGAATAGATTCTATGAGTTTTATGAAAAACATTTCCCGATCCGAACTGTTGATAATTGTTGTTGGTAAATGGCAAATGTTTTTACCAAACAGCCAAATGGAATTGTACAGAACAGATTCTTTGGAATGCTCCCGTTTATAACCTACATCAGTATTGTCTTTAGATAAATAGTAGACAATGTATTGGAAGTCTCTCCTTTTATTATTTTGCTCATCGAATGCTGCCTTACCGTTATAAAACAAATATTTAATTGAAATTCACGATTGGGACTTAATGCGATACGATTACAGGTAAATAGTACGTACATATCTGATTTAATTTTTATGTTTATTAAAATTTAGCTATTTAATTTTATCAACTATGTTACGATTGTTTCAAAATATTCCCTAGATGTAAACACGAAGTAAAGGGAACTGTAATTATATATGTGTATTCACAATAATTACTGATATTTGTAACTAATAGCAATGCTTGGGCGCACTGATGCGTCCGCATCATAAGCCATAATAGAGGTAATTTATATTACCCCAATATGTTGATATAATTTGGTATTTTGTTTTTTATACTTAATTTTTACGGGAAAGGCTGGAATGTTTGGTTTACAATACCAAAGTGTATAACTGTAATTTTTTTTTATATTTTTTTAAAACCGGTTTTATATGCTTATCGTAATATTGGTGCTGAATATAACTGTTTTCATTGAATAAGTTGGTAACATATTTCTATTAAGGAAATTAGAAATAAATTCACGTGTATTGTTATTGAACAATAATTTATATATATTTTATTAACCAGAGCCAATTAAAAGAAATATGTTATTGGCGAACACGGATTTGTTTATAATATCGAATAAAAATAATATTTGTAAATTATTTTTGCCGTGACATTTGTGATTTTCTCATGTGTATGATTAATTGAATAATTTTGTTTCATTCTGTTTATAATGAGTAATGGATGGCAACACTAATACGAATAGCAATCCGACGTTTAAAATTAAGAGCAAGCTGTACTAAGTACTTATTATTTCCAATCGCCGCAAGTTTCATTGGTGTCCCTTATAACAACTATTGTCTATGGTGCATTTCTATAATAATACTTAGGTAATTAATAAACCAATAAATAATATTTGTGACTTTTTACTTTTTACATAGCACAAATAACGTTTTGAAATGAGTTATAAATTTTCTTTCTTTTATACGTTCTTATTACTAACTGTAATCAATTTTTAATTTGATTTTTTTTTGCTTGTTTTTTTTTTTTCTATTACTTTGACAGTGGATAAATCGAATGAAGTTTAATTAGTTATTAGTTTTAGCGGAAATTCTCATTCCAAAGATCTTTTATTAATTCCCGTAGCCACTTACATTGTTTAGTAAACAACTTTTTTTATTTGCTTTTACAGTTTCTGTGAGGTGTTTTTTGTGATATCTATGTTATATTAATGTAAATATTTCAATACAGTTATTATACCAATAAATGATGGTTTATTCTTTTAGAATATCTTTTATTTTATTTAAGGCAACACATGTCCTTGTAGTGACGTATTAATTAAATATATAAGGTAAGTATAGATTCTGTTATTTTTCGTTCTGAGCAACATCCTTAACGTGTAAGTACGTTATACTAAGTCGATTAAAAAAAATTGTAATGACAGTAGTAAGTTTTTAATAAATATACCATGTATGCTCTCCAGTGTTTTTGACCAAATTAAGAATACGAGATAGCTTTCTATGCAAGTATGGATTAGACAAAAGAAATATACAACACATACTACTTGAAAGCTCCAATATATCAGTCCCTCTGTATGACACTTCCCAATGATATCACCTGTTAATGACAAGTTTCTATTAACTTTAGTCATTTCTCCTTTTGTGTATTTCGTAAAAAAAAATCTGTTGAAAAATAATATAAAACTAATTTTTATACATATGAATTACGAATATTTTAACATTTGACTTTCATAAATTATTCTACTTGAATAATCCCTGGTATAGATACTCAAACATGGACAAGGAAATCTTATCACATCACCGATAAAATCTTTTCAAATCTTGACATTAGCAAAATCATTGAAACCCCGATGGAGCTATAATAAAAAAAAAAAAATAGATGCAGGCAGACGCGGTTTCTGGCTAGTTCATAAATAAAACAAACTGGTGTACATTAAATTCCATATTTATTTACTTTTATATACATTCGGTTCCAATCTTAGTCGTCATTACTCTAAACTTTAGCATTTCAATTTAATATCACAGGTGTTAATATTACAAGTACCGCATAAACTAATTTTCTAATGAATTTAAGTTAAAACTGTCATAATTTTAGTTTAGGATTGTCTATGAAACAGTATTTTCACGTTAAAAGAAATATGTTTAGAGGAATGACGTCTTAGAATCGGTCCCATTGTTAGTCTTATTTAACATCAAGTCTTGTATAGTGACAAGAATTTTATGAACATTATTTAGTTGATACGATTTTATTATATCTACAATTGAAAGTGACATAATAAGTCAAATTTTCCTTTTACATTATAGAAATGTCAGGCACTATTGTAGCAAAGTATATTTCCTAAATAGACTCCGACTACAATCAAAATCATGTACGCAAACGTGAAAAGAACGAGCTTATCATCCTCTAAAATGTAGAGTCTAAATGCACTCGCAAAAAGGAATTATTTTGTAATTTTGCTGTGCAAAATAAAAAAAAAACAGCAATCTCTATGGTAATAAATAGTCATAAGCGAAGCCAGGAAGCCTTACCAATTGCAAAAATCACCATGAAATTTGGTATACACGTACTACTAGTAAAGCTAGTAGGTATAAAAATCAGTTCAGACTCTCTATACAAGGTATAAATGAATCTATCGATAGAATATCTTCGGTCAGCGATCACACGAACAAGAACGAGACGGCGCACATCGCTGTCTCATTCTATCTGTGGACTCGCTAGAACTACAGTTCCGTTACAATTAATTTGCAGTGAGCCAATATTTTTTTATAAAAACCTGTAATCACAGTTCAAATATATCTTATGCATAATGGCCAATTTGATAGACAAAGTTCCGAGATTTATTACAGAGCCAATTAATCCAAGTGATGGAATCGGCGACAATGACGTTCAGTTCATAGGATAACCTAAACTGTTAAGTATTCTAAGGATAAGCTTAGCCCAAAGAAATGAAGAGCATTGACATCACAATTTTAATGCATTAACTATGTACATGGCAAACAAGCTGCGGCCCATCTAATGGAGAGAGGTAACAATCCCCCATAGACACAAACAGCACCATAGACATCACATCCATCTTCTCTTACCCTGTTTATATATCACCCTTGTACTAGGTAAGCATAAGCTTAGAGTGATAGCATAGACAATCAACGTTTTGCTTCTCTTTTCTCAGTCTTAAACTCATTCCCTACCATTGGGAGACATGTTGCGTTCCCGTTTGTTTTTTATTTTGGGAACTGCCCGATGGCGGTCGCGTTTGCGGCTCGATGATGAGCATGACGAGGATGGGCTGGAGTCTGGAGGAGAGCCAGCCTCTTCTGCTGTCAGTCCTATCGTTTGGGATTCTGGCGTTGACGGTTCGAGGACAGTGTTGCGGAGGGCGCGACGTTGTTCCTCTGTATGTTGGGGGCAACGAGTTGACCTGAAACAAGGGGAATTAAACTTTCTAGTATTACTGCTGGTACTGTAGTTGTGTCTATCATATAAACAGATTTTTAATTAGTGAAGTTTATTTCTACCCATTTAGTAATTGCTAACACCCAGTAAAGCATATATAATAATATGACGAGTATCTTTGTTACTTCAAGTAGTATAAGTAGTTTACCAGAGGGAGACTTTGTACAAAAGTCGATTGCTTGGGTACCTCTGTCCCATTCGTGTTTCTACCGTGAAGCAGTTGTGTTTGCATGGCTGTGTTTCAGTTTGAAGGGTGGGATACGGCGTGAATTTACAGGGAACAGAGGAATAACACCTGAGTCCTCAGGAATGGCAACACATGGGGGTATCACGGGCGAAACAGTATACTCTCTTATGTTCATGGCACTGCTCATGTCTATAAGTGACGGTTACCACTTTCCATCAGGTGGGCCGTCAGCTTGTTTGCCATTCTAAGTTATATAATAAAAATAAATAAATAAAAGAATTGGTGTCTAAAATGGGAGTATTTTAGTTTGACTTTAGCAATTTATATAAGTGACGACCTCAAATGCATTGCAGGGAGTCAGTGGATGCAGGTGGCTCAGGATCATTCCTTATGACAGTTTATGGAGGAGGCCTTTGTTCAGCAGCAAATAGATAACGATTGATATGTCGATGAAAAATTTATGGTATTCATGGGAAACAACTTTTACCTTGTACATAACTTTTTTGTATGTTCAGATACGACTCCACAAATCTGCAGGAGTAGATTCTTCTTTTCATTGGCCGTCATTGTCTCATAGGTGGCGCTGCCATCATTGGAGTCAGAATTTTGATTGCCATTATTTCTGTTGTTGCCACTAAAATCATAATGAAAAAAATGTCACAGATTAAAATTTTGAGATTTAACCTTCTTATTTGTGCAGCTTATCGTTTTATGAAAAATTTAAAAACGACATTACGCAAAAAATTAAAATGATTGTTGTTGCATTTTAAGTAAATGAAGTAAAAAAAAACTACATTTTTAAATACAGCTAAAAGTTCAAGGTACAATGTATTAAATTAAAAAAAAAAAACTGTTAGTAAAAATTTCATACTTATGTAACTTGTTTGGCTTCCGATTATTATTGTTCTTGATCCTTCTCTTACGACGCTCACTTTGCAAAGAACCGCCGGCCCAGTCGGCGTCGTCGTCATCGTCGCTTAATAGTCCAGCATACGAGGTTGGCTCCCGACTGTTGGACGCGATGCGACGTGACGCAATACGAGAACTATTGCGGCCCATTCCTGAAACATTAGGCATACAGGGATGTAATGGAACAGCTTTAATACTTAACAAACAGTGGGGTCACCAAGTGGAAAACACTATACATCACAGTGATAGAATTACTGCAATAAAAATAAAATCTGAACCTTGGGATATGGTTATTGTAGAAGTTTATATGCCAACAGGAACTCATCCTGATGATGAAATAGAAAAAATGTATGAACAAAAAGATTCCCTTATGGATTTAGTTAAAGAAAAAGATAATGTAAAAATAATGGAGGATTTTAATGCAGTAGTAGGGGAAGCAAAAGATGAAAATGTAGTGGGAAAATTTGGACTAGGCCAACGAAATAAAAGAGGGGATAGATTAGTGGACTTCTGAAAAGGATATAACTTAACTATTTTAAATACCCAATTTGAACAGCCAAAGAGAAGAAGATACACATGGCAAATGCCAAGCGATCTTGGGAGATACCAACTTGATTATATAATAACAAAAGATAAATACAGAAATCTAGTCAAAAATACCAAAACATATCCAGGAGCAGATGTGAATACTGACCACAATTTACTTGCCAGTAGGATAGAGATTAAAGTTAAGAAAAACATTAGGAGAAGTAAAACCAAAGGTATTGATCTCAATAAGCTAAAAACAAATGGAGATAATAAAGTGCAATATAGAAAAAAGCTAGAAAATAAATTAAGTAATTATATGGAAAATAATAATAATCCTAAAAATATTAATGATAGATGGTGCAATATTAGAGATAGTATAAAGTTGAGTGCAGAAGAAAGCTTTATAAAAGAAAAAATAAAACCAAGAAAAAAAAATGGTTAACTACCGAAATAATTTACCGAAAATTTAATGGTCACTCGAAGGAAACTACGCAACTAATATGATGAAAACAGTATGGCAATTCTGCCAATCGTAAATTATCAAATAAAATAAAACTTAAAACTTACTTTAAGCAGACAACAAACAAAAAAAAGATATAGAAAAAGACTGTGAGTATATAGACCACTATACCAACATAGGGAAATTAGATATAGCCTATAATATCATAAAAATCTATATAAAAAGAAAAAAGTCAAATCAACAGCAATATTAGACGAAAATAATAAAATGCATATAAAATCGGAAAAAAGTGTTGCATAGATGGGAAATGTATGGAAGAATTATATAAGGAAAGTGGGCTAGAGACAATAAATATTGAACAGGAAATAAATGTACATCCAGAAAATTTAGGGCCAGAAATAACTAGAGCAGAATTTGACGCGGCATTAAACAGATTAAAGAATGGAAAAAGGACTGGAGAAGATAAAATATTTATAGAGCTTATATCATATTTAGATAGCAAACTCATATTAGACGAATTTTTTAAAATGATACAAATAATTTATAGAACAGGTGAAATTCCGGACGATTTTGAAATAATTAAATTTTTTGCCATACCTAAGAAAACAAATACTAAGAAATGTGAGGAACACAGAACTCTAAGCGTAATATCTTATACTTCTAAAATAATTCTTAAAATAATACAAAATAGAATAAGATCAAAAATAGAGAGTCAACTTGGCGAAGATCAATATGGATTTAGAACAAACAGAGGTACACGTGAGGCAATTTTAGCCCTGAGACTTATAATAGATAGAAGAATGGATTTAGGAATTAATACACATATGGCTTTTGTAGATCTGGAGAAGGCTTTCGATAGAGTAGATTGAAAGAAAATGATGGAAGTATTAAAGGATTCGGGGCTAGATTTCAGGGATAGAAGAATAATCTATGAAATGTATAAATATCAAAAAACTGTAATGGAGATAGGAGAGGAGAAAGGAAAAGCAAAAATTCGTCAAGGAGTAAGACAGGGTTATCTATTATCACCCATTACTACCCATATTTAACATATTTATAGAGACAGCTTTAAGAAAAATTTCAGAACATACAAATAAGGGTTCAATGGGAAAGTAGTTAAATTCATTAGTTTCGCCGATGACATAGCAGCAATAGCAGAAACACATAAAAATTTAGAAATATTATTAAATTTTATGAATACAATTTTTAAGGAAATGTCACTGAAAATTAATACAAATAAAACTAAAATACTCAGTACTTCTAAAAAGCCAATTAAACTGCAAACCCTTAGTACTTGGGGACTACAAACTTTTAGTACTTGGGGAGTATAATCACAGAGGACGCTAAGTGCACATTGGATATGAAAACTAGAATAATGGTTGCAAAACAGGCCTATGACAACAAAAAACATCCAAAATAATCCTTAAGAAATTTATAAAAATTTATATTTGGAGCATAGCATTATATGGGTGTGAAACATGGACAATGACGCAAAAGGAAAAAAAGATGCTTGAGGCATTCGAAATGTAGACATGGAGGAGAATGGAAAGGATAAGCTGGACAGAAAAACTAAAGAATGAGGAAGTCCTGAAAAGAGTGAATGAGAAAAGAACATTAATAGAGAATAGAAGAGGCAAAATGCTGGGTCACTCTATACGACATGAAGATTTTTTTAAGAGCATAGTAGAGGGAAAAATAGAGGGCAAAAGAGGGAGAATTTGTACAAAAGTCGATTGCTTGGGTACGTCTGTCCCATTCGTGTTTCAACCGTGAAGCAGTTGTGTTTGCATGGCTGTGTTTCGGTTTGAAGGATGGGATATGGCGTGAATTTACAGGGTACAGAGAAATAACATCTGAGTTCACAGGAATGGCAATGCATGGGGGTATCATAAGCGTAACAGTATACTCTGTTATGTCCATGGTACTGCTCATGTCTATAGGCGACGGTTACCACTTTCCATCAGGTGGGCCGTCAGCTTGTTTGCCATTCTAAGTTGTATAAAAAAAAAAGGAAGAGGAAGACTGAGGAATGGGACATGGAACAGATAAAAGAAATGCTAGGTGTTAGGTCATATAGGGAGGTCAAGGATATAGCCTGGGATAGAACTGGCTGGAGGAAGATTAGTTGCACCGACAAGAGGAAATTCTTAAATGAAAAGAGACATAAATAAAATAAAATATCCAAGTGAGTCACTTTAAACAATGTAGACAGGCATTATGATGACAAATTGATGTGCTAACAGTATGTAGATAATGTAATGTGGTCAGTTTACAATAATTAGTTTTATATAATATTAAAATTGTTTTTAATATCTTTAGTTTATATCATAACTTGGTGGTTTATTTTAATAATATATTATGGGAACAATTCATGGATATAGATATCTTGATCTATCCATGTTTCTACTGGAAAGTAGCTGCACTTGTGTGGCTGTGTTTAGAGTGTGAAATTACAGGGTACAAAGGCATAACAACATAGTTCTTAGGAATGGTAACATATAAGGGATACAACAAGTATTACAGTATATTATATGCCTATAGCGCTGTTCATGTTTAAAGGCAACAATTACCACATTGCATCAAGTTGCCTGTCAGCTTGTTCGTAATTCTAATTATTATATGTATATATAAAAAAAATTAAACTGACCCATGCATTTCTCCAAGTGTGGGGCGAATCTTGTTGCGGAGACCGGCCTTTCGCAGTTTGGACATGAACAATTACTATCAGGCGTCTTTTTCATAATGGAAAAGCCAAAAACATCGCACTCTGGTGAGTTGACGATCTTGTACCCATCTTCTTCTTCTTTTTCACCCTCAATTAAATCCGTTAGTCCAGTTTTTAATCCATGGTGAAATTCAAACATAAATCCTAAAGTCACATCATCAAATATACTGTCGTAAATAAAATTTGCGGCCTCTTCTGCGTTTCCTTCGTTTTGCATTATCTCGAAGAACTTATTGTTCAAATCGTTCATACTAAGCTCACTCACTATAGTATTCATTTTTATTGTTTTATTGCACCACACAAATAATAGAAGAAAAGGAATATATAAATTATAACATAAATTTTCAAACTACATTCATACAATCGGAATTTATTACAATTTCCGATGAATGAATGACAATTTGACAAACATGAAAAATGAATGAATCGAACATATGGTTCCGTGTTGCCATTCTTAATAATATATTACACAACTCGTAAATTATGTAATGCCGTTTACGAGACAAAAAGAATTAAGCTTCGATTTCGAGTTCGCATTTTATAAAATAGAATCGTCCTCACCACAGACATTGTCTGTGGTCCTCACATGCTTGAATTTAAATGGTCACATAAAGTACAGCAGTAAAGAGCTAGCTGCCGAGGTTTTCTTCAGAGAGTACGGTATAGAGTATTTTAAAAAGGATATATTAAAACTTTTTTCACAGTATCACTTACCCGCCAAATCGCGCCGTAAAATGGAATTTTTTCAGATTTTTCGTGTCGAAATAGTCTTTGCGTAAAAAGGTTATATCTTACTGAATTAACTGATGTTTTTTAGAGACTTGTCGACGGTTTCAGAAATTAATCACTTCCAAAAATAACAGTTATAAGAAAAGAAATTAGTTAAATTCATACTTCCGTCTAAACCATAATAAAAACAGTTTATTTTAACTTTTATACTTCATCTAAGCAGTATTATCATTATCCTCATTCTTATAAATAATATAAAATACACCTTTTATATGTGTAAGTATATTTATATATATTTATTTGTGAGATATGTAAATTTTAGAATGTATATATATCAATTATTACTAGTACTGCATCCGAGTATTCTAACAGTTCCCTAAGGTTGACTGGGATAGAATGCAATTAGCATTAAGTCCGTCTTGTATATATACATGTATAAATAGTTTAACGAAAGCAACGGATTTTTTACTGGATTATAATGGAATGGTAACTCCGCCTGCGCTAACGGTATGTGTATATTGGCAAGGCATCGGTGAGGTATGATATATGAGAATGAAAAGGCAGGCCAGTGATCCCATCGTGATGAAAACACCTGGAATCCAACACGATGGTTTTCAGAAGGACCACGTGGAGATCGACTTGACAGGGTATATTGCTAGCAATGGAACTGGTAGTTCGCGTTACTAACAATCCCTTCCCTCCAAGCTATGGTTTTTCACTAACACACAGGAGTATTTACGCACTTTTCACGAATCTTTTGATAATATTTTTATAAATGGAAAATGAACTCAAGACGACGAAAGAAGGCGTCCGAATGAAAGCAGAATCACGGAGACACTGAAGAAATAAACAAAAATACAAAAACATAATCCTTTGTGTTATTATTGCTTTCGTATTATATATATATATATATATATATATATATATATATATATATATATTTTATGACTGTTATTGTTGTATCGGCAGGTAGTCGCTTTATGTTTTGTAGGCAATAGATAATGCGCAGTACTTTGCTTGTTTCGTACCTTGTTTATATCTTTCGCGTAGGGTACGCGAAATTTGCTGCGCGTTTGCTAGTCTTTTTTTTTTAATGGTTGATAATGGAATAGTAACCCCACCCGCGCTATCGGTATACACAGGCGGGGCACCAGTGAAGGATGATAGGTGAGGATGAAGTAGGTCAGTTAGCCCATCGTGACGAATTCAACAAGAATTGTTCACGATGGTTTCCAGGAGAACCACGTGGAGGTCGACCTAAAAAGGCATATAGCTAGCAATGGGGCTGTCAAACTCCATTACTAACAATCCCTTCCTCCCCTCTTTTGCTAGTCAAGAATAAGAAGAAGAAATAAGAAGTCTAATATCCTCATTGTTAGTAATGTACTCCATTACTCGAAGAGATCAGTCTCCCTGGATACTATTGTGATTAATTTCTGATAAATTCGTCATGTTAGGCCAACTGACCTGACTTCTTCCTCATCTATAATCATTTACTGGTGTCTCATTAGTGATTGTAGACAACGCAGGCGGAGATACCATTAAAAATTAATTAATATAAATGGATAGATATTATTGGGTAGAGTAAAGCTACAAACTATTTGTAACTTGCGGCTTTGCTTGAGTGTATTGAATAATGTAAGTATCAAAGTGCATTCAAGTTGAATGAACAGCAACCGTGAAGCAGTTAAGTTTTTGCTTGGTTGTGTTTCAGTTTGAAGGGTGGGGATATGGCAGTGAATTTACAGGGTACAGAGGAATAACACATGAGTCCTTAGGAATGGCAACGCATGGGGGGGTCAGTGGATTTCAGTTATTACGACCTTGGTTGTAGCGACCTTGCCTATAGCAACGATAAATCTAAGTCCCTTGAATTTAAAGCATACTTTAGTACAAAATTCATGTGGCTATAGCGACTTTGGATATAACGCCGAGTTCGGGTGTAACGATTGTTTTTAATGAATCATTTGTAACAAATTCCTAGAAATCCCATGCAGATATTGCAACCGGAGTTGGCCGCTAAAGAGACAAAAAGATTTCTTTATTTCACAAACATTTTTAACCTTTTGTTTACATCCACACAGATGGTCAGCAAGTATGGAGACCTTTACCTATTATTTATAGATATCAGCTACGTAGGTAGGGAAGCGTGTACGTTTCGGAGTTGAATTTATGGTTCAGTTACAAAGTGATATTCTGAGTAGCATTTGAGTTTAGTAAACTTTTGGATAAGTATGACGTCGAGACAGACGCACATTCACTGTGTCAAGAAAAGGTGGAAATCATTTCTTAATTGAAAGATGGTGAAAACAATGCTGATTTGTGCGAAGAAAAAACTATACATGTGTACGTGTCTGTATCTCTTTACTTTTGCCTATAACGACTTTCGGATATAGCGACGAAAATAGAGTGGTCCCTTCATCGTCGTTATACCCGAAATCCACTGTACTCTGATTGATACCTGCTGCAGATTTTCACCATCGTACAACCCGCCATAGACTAAAATTTCATCCCAACCATCTGGACGAGTGGTGGTCCTTCACCGTGCGTTTTTCAAGGCACTTTCTCCCACGCACAACCACTCTTTGGAATCAACTTCCAGCAGCAGTATTTCCGAACCGATACGACAACATAACCTTCAAGAAAAGAGCATATTCCTTTCTAAAAGTCCGGCAGCATACCTGCAATGCCGTAGGTGTTGTGGGTGACCATGGGCGGCGGTAGTCACTTACCATCAGGTGAGCCGCATGCTCTTTTGCCCCCTGTGTTGTAAAAAAAAAAACTCTGTTAAGTCCATGGTAGTGCTTATATCTATAGGCGACGGTTACCACTTTCCATCAGATGGGCCGTCAGCTTGTTTGCCATTCTAAGTTGTATAGAAAAAAGTCCGCGCGAAATTTGAGTAGCAAACTTTAAAAATGTTGGTTTTTTTTTTTTAACTTTCAACTTACAAATGGCACAAACAACTGATAAATAAAATAAGTAAACTTTCACATTTATAATAATAGGTAGGTAACCAGTAGCAAGATAAAGAATAAATATTAAAAACATGATAACAAGCCTTTGTGTTGTTATGAACTTATAAATGTACCAGTATCTTCCAGCGTCGCAAGCAGAAGCCACGCTCTATTTGTAATAAGTGTAAGAAAACTAGTGAACTAATAAAAATGGTATGTTTTATTTCAAATTAATTATTTTTAGTTATTCCCTAGAGACTAAAGCATGGGGTTCTTCAAATAGGGCGAAATAATTTTTTTGGAGTTGGCAACGCGCGCATGATGTCTCCGGTATTACAGGCGTCTACGGTGACCGTTTGCTATAAGACGGGCCGTATGCTTGTTTGCCACCATAGTAGTATTTTTTAGCTATGTGTAAAATGTATAAAAACATATGTGACTTTATTCATATAGCTGGGCCATACGGTTTCATTGGTATAAAACGATACCGAATTATGAATTCGTAGGCCATGTATTCGTAGGTTTTACAAGTCGGTTTAGTGAATTACTAAGCTTGTTTTTGAACAAAATTTAATAAATCTATTTTGTGTTTAATTTTCATTTATTTAAGTAGTTTTTTTTTATTTTAAGGGCTTTTATTTTCTTCAGGTATATCAGTCTTATCGTATCCTGAACTGATTTCTCAGATTTTATCTACCTTTTCTATTCACAAAGAGAGGAATTAATGGGTGTTGATGGATGGTAAAGCATCACAGGAGTGCTGCGGGCCTTTTTAAAAAGTAATATAATTTACAGAGATGTTTAAAAATTTCTAATTTGGACTACCTTTCCGTTCATCGGAGATACATAAAAAATAAGCATATATAATAACATTTAGTCTAAGTCTAAAAAAACCGTAAAAGGGGCGGGGAGGGGCTTGCTATTTATTTATTTATTTAACTCTTTATTGCACTAAAAACCAAAAAATAAACAATGATATATAAACAGTTCAACTGAAATACAGTAGCATGAAGTTAGTGAATTAGATTCTAATATGAAACCTTTAATTTCTTTTCTAGGTGGTGTTTACAGCAAAAGGATTGATGCCTCCAGTATTCACACCTATCAACGATGACCAAACGGTGAATTATTTGGCTATCCCTGGATACGCCAAGTACTTAGTAGGTGCCGGTATTAAATCTGTCTTAGGTAATTAATTTTGTATTAGCCCTTAACTGTTTACTGCTGGGGGGAAAGGGATTGTTAGTAATGAAGACTGAGAATCCCATTGCTAGCAATATACCCAACTAGGTCGACCTCCTCGCGCTTCTCCCTGGAAACTATCATGGTTAATTCCTGATGAATTCATCATGATGGGCTAACTGGCCTGATTTCATTCTCATCTATCACCATTCACTGGTGCTCCGCCAGCGTATACCGTTAGCGCAAGCGGGGTTACCATACCATTTTCACCCATCAAAAAAAAACTGTCTACTGCTGGGGGGGAAGGGATTGTTAGTATTGGGGAGATTAGTCCTCATTGCTATTAATATATTCTATCGGTTCGACCTCCTCGCGGTTCCCCGTGGAAACCATCGTGACCAATTTCTCGCTGAATTTGTCACGATGGGCTACCTGACCTCCTTTTTCACTCTCACCAATCATCACTCACTGGTACCCCGCTAATGTAAACCAATAGTTCAGGCGGGGTTACCATTCCATTATCATCCATTAAAAAAAACTGTCTAGTGCCCCAGGGAAAGGAATTGTTAATAATGGGGACTAATGGCATAATTTCTTGGAAGCTCTGTGAGGGCGACCTCCACGCGTTTCCTCCTGGAAATCTTTGTGACTAACACTTGTTGTATTCATCACGATGGGCTAACAGATCTGCTTTCATGCCCATCTATTATCCCTCACTAGTATCCGTAGTGTATACAGTTACGCGGGCGGTGTTACAGTTTCATTTTCACCCATTAAAGAAAAGTTAATTTAAAAACATTTTTGAATTTACAGTTGGCGGTACAACCGGTGAGAACATGTCCCTTAATGTAGAGGAAAGGAAGAAGTTAGTGGACGTGTGGGTAAAGGAAGGGAAAAGTTTGGGCCTCCACATCCAAGTTCAGGTCGGCGGTGGTCCTTTAAGGGATGTGCTTACTTTGGTAAGTTGAAAGTTTAAAAAGTCAAATCTACTAGAAAACGACTACTACCTAGTACCTACCTTACTCATAATTATTTGTAGTTTTATTTACGTTATCAAATACATAAGATAGAACGAGACGGTCATATGTAGTGTTTGTGTTCTTTTCAAGGAAGTAGTAGCGTAAATGGATCTACGAATGTAAAAAGTTTCGTCTTTTGTAAACCTAAAATGTAACCCTTTTAGAGAAATAATAAATGGCTGTTCATGAAATATATTGCATTTTTGTTAAGCAAAATGTACGTGTCATTTTAACAATATATTGGTATAATTTTATTGGAACATATTTAGAGTATTTTATTAGTTGTTTGAGTAAAGGTTCCTGAGAGGCAACTCCGTACAAGCAAACGCAGGTACTAGTAGTGGTTTATTGTATAATTTAGTAAATAATTGAAAATTAAATATACGAGGTTTGTCCGGAAAGTACGTATAAAAGTTTTTTAAAAATTTTATTTTACAATTATTCAGGTAAATCAATTTTATCCCCTTCAAAGTACTCCCCCTGTGACATAATGCACTTGTGCCAACGCCGTTTCCACTGTGAGAAGGCTCCTTGAAAGTCCTCTGGTTGTAGGTTTCTCAGCTGCCCCGTCGTAGCTTTTTTTATCTCATTTATGTCCCCCAAATGCCGCCCCCGAAGTACCAATTTGGTTTTTGGGAACAAGAAGAAGTCACACGGGGCCAAATCCGGCGAATAGGGGGTGTTCGGTCACCGTAATGGAATTTTTACTCAAAAACTCACGGAACGATCTTGGCGCAAATTTTTTTCATTTGAAGTTCGTTTCTTAGAATTTCGTGGACCACGGTTTTGCCCAAATTAAGCTCTTCAGCCACCTGTCTGACCGTTAAACGACGGTCCCCATTAACACAAGTTCGAATTCTTTCCACGTTTTCGTCGGAATGTGAAGTGGAAGGACGTCCTGAACGTGGGTCATCTTGAACGCTTTCTCGGCCCTCTCTGAATCTTTTTAGCCACTTGTGGACGGTTGGTTCCTTCACAGCATCATCCCCATAAACTGTTCTGAGATCGGCAAAAATTTCACGGCCATTCTTGCCGAGTTTCGAGAGAAACTTGATTACGACGCGCTGCTCTTCAACGGAAGCGGGCTCCATGCCGACGGGGTTTCGTTAAGAGGTAACTTCACAGATGGCGTGACAAGCCAGTTCGCACCGCACGGCGGTCAGACCAGAACTGAAGCATTGTTAGGGACATAAGGAAGGGGTCCTGCGCTTACCTGGCCTCCCCACTCCTCTTTCTCGCATTCCAGAACACTTTTATACGAACTTTCCGGACAGACCTCGTATAATGTACCTGTATAAATGGCGTATATGTAGATAAATTCAATAATTAATATTTGCATGCCATTTGATGTGGCGAAACATAATGGACATCTTATAAACTGCACAAATGCAACGCCTTTTCTACAATGTTTCTAGAAAATAAATTTCAAAAATTTCAAAAAAAATTTAGTGTAGGATGATCCCTCACTAAATGGAGTGACGATCTCAAATGCATTCATCAGTCTTTAACTGTAAGCGTCCCCTTTGGGGGATTTTGCCAGTGGTTGTCACGCTTGGTAGGTGGAATGACAACCACAGTTAGGTTTTGGAGATGTTTTTTTTTCTCACCCTCCCTTAGTCGCCTCTTACGACACCCACGGGGAAGGAAGGGGTGGCCTGTATTATACTGGGACCAAACGGCGACACTCAAATGCATTCAAATCAAATCAAATCATATTTATTCGCTTGCTACATGGTACAATAAGAAGTTACATATACAGACACATAACATGCAGCACCCCGCAGAGGTATGCAAATGCTAAACTGTATTTAGTCTATATTATATTACAATTATAAATTCCAAACATTTTCCAAATTACAATATTCTTTATGTCAAATTATCATATAAAATTATGGTTTATATTTTAAGTAATTTTTAATAAATTACATCTTTTATTACATTTTTTATCATTTAAATATTCAATAACTGTGTAATAGCATTTTTCCAAAGGAAAGTGAAATAAGTTTGATCTATTTATTCAATCTATGTTAGCTGAACCTAAACCAGAAATTTTTGAACATCTCTGTAAATTATTGATGCCCATTAATTCTTCTCTTTCCGCGGCTAGGGAAAGTAGATAAAGTTTTGTTTGAGAAATCAGTTCAGGGTACAATAGGACTGATATACCTGAAAAAGGTAAAAGTCCTTAAAATAATATTAAAAAGAAAAAAAGTTTGATCTAAATCTTTCTATCGGAAGATCCTTTATTTCTGAAGGTAACTTATTGTATACCCGTATTGCCATTGGAAAACAGCTGTCACTATATAATGTTGTTAAACATTACAATGAGTAAATGGATATAGGTGGCTCAGGACTGTTCCTTATGGCAGTCTGTCGAGGAAACCTATGTTCAGCAGTAAACAGTTAATGGCAAATATAATGTTGGTGATGACTAGTTGGTTATAATATTATCGAATTTTTTTTTTTATACAACTTAGAATGGCAAACAAGCTGACGACTCACCTGATGGAAAGTGGTAACCGTCGCCTATAGACATGAGCAGTACCATGAACATAACAGAGTATACTGTTTCGCCCATGATACCCCCCATGCGTTGTCATTCCTGAGGACTCAGGTGTTATTCCTCTGTACCCAGTAAATTCACTTAAATTATTATAAGTGTAGGTACATGGTGGGTACCTACTTAATTATATGTTGTATATTCTAGAATGCTTTAAGTAAATTTATCTCGCTTGTTTCCCAAATAATACATACCAGTTATCTTTACATAGTAATTCGTTGATAAACAAATATTATATATATTTATTGTACAATTTTATCAGTTGTTTAATTATTTAGTTATTTTGTAGAGAGATACACAATAATAACATGTATAATAAAAGTAGAGAAATACAAATCAAATGTTAATTCAATTCTCAAAAAAGGTCGTTGTAAGAAACGTTGCGATTATGTGTGTGTTATTTGTATTTAAAAATAATTTAAAACAAAATTGCTAAATTGGCGAGTGATATTTTTTAACCGATTAAGTAATAATTTATCACAAATTTTGACCTTATTCTCTCGTATTGCACAATTTTGTAAAAAAACACATGTTAGCAAGAAACATTACGATTGTGTTGGTTATAGTTCATTCAGGAAAAGATTACGTATTATCTGTTACTTTAAAATCATACATAATAATAAAATGCACTCGCTATTATAGAAATTTTACTGTAAATTATCTTTAACTACAAAATAAATAAGAAAAATTACAAATCATGATTCCAGTACCATTCTCTAAATTTGTTTAGGTTCAAAGACGAATGTCTTTAACCAGTGCGTGTAGCTAGTGATTAGCAAAACCGTGGAATTTAAGATATATTTTTTTATAACAAGATTTTATATTGTTTCAGGCACAATATTGCCAGGTGGCTGGCGCGGACTCCCTCCTTACATTGCCTGAGTTATATTTTAGACCACAGAATGTTGACGAATTGGTTTCATACGTGGAACTTGTTGCAAAAGCAGCACCCAAACTTCCTGTGCTATATTATCATATACCCAGCATGAGTAAGGTCGAAAGTAAGTATAACAAACAATAACTATTCTGATAGTATATCTTGTGTGTGTGTGTGTGGGGGGGGGGGAGGGATAGTAATACGCACTTCCATATACGGACTGTCGGGTCGTCTATTTCGTGCCCCCCTCCCCCCTGGAAATCATCTTGCTGAATTCTAGGTGTATTCATCACGATAGGTTAAGTGACCTGCCTTTTCATTCTCACCTAACGTCCCTCACTGGTGCCCCGCCAGCGTATAGCATTAGCGTAGATTAGCGTAGTGTAGCGTATTATTAATTATTATCATCATCTATTAAGGAAAAGAAATATGTCTCGTAACATGCTACGAGATGTATATGTTATGTATATGTATATGCTATGCATATGTTTACGAAGATAAATTGAAGTCATGAACGTCTAAGGAGGCCACAAGTTAAAACTTCAATTTTAAACAATTATTAAAATAGCAAAATTTTGAATACTTTGAGTTAAGATTAATATTGTTCCTGGTTCAATTTGTTTGAATGTAATGAAGGTAAAAATAAAGAGAAAGCAAATGTCTTTTTGCAGGGATGATAAGTGTTAAGTATTTGGAAAACCGAGCTTTATTCAATTTTGTTTTGGTATTTATGAAAAGGCATCTAAAAATTATATCCCAAATACTAGATAGTACCACAGATAATATTATACTATACTAGGCAGTTCATATAATTACTTACGAACAGAGCTCTAGCTAGACCCAAGTTTAAAATAAAGCAAAAGAACTTTTTAGTAAAATAGAAGCTATAATTGATTTCGAAAAGCGAATCTATCTAATTTTTGGGGCCTTTAATTTTAGATAGAGCATTGGGCCTTTTAAGGTGGGGTATTGCCCTTCAATGCACATCCCACCCTAGCTACAGCCATGCTTATGGGCAATTTTATTGTGAAGATTCCATCGGGTTTTATTTTTTTTTCTGTGGTCATCAGAATATAAAATGGGTAATGTTTATTTCCAGTCAACATGCCAGCATTTATAAAAGCGGCTACAGCACGTATACCCAATTTCAAGGGTTTGAAATTCACTTCCAACGATCTCAGCGAGGGCGCGCAAGCATTAAAGGCACTGAATAAGGACCAAGAGATATTTTTGGGGGCCGATACTGTGAGTATTTAATAAACACATAAAGTGGTTTCATAGGAATTTCCTTCTATGAACACTTCTATCGGAATCCAATATTTCCATGTCGAGAGTTGAGATTTTTTTTAATGGATGATAATAGAATGGTTACCCTGCCGCGATATCGGTATACACTGGCGAGATACTAGTGAGGAATGATAGATGATGATGAAGCAGGTTAGTTGGCCCATCATGACGAATTCAACAATAACTCAATCACAATGATTTCTAGGGGAAACCGCGTGAAGGTCAGGCTAATAGGCTATATTGCTGGCAATGGGATTGTTAATCTTTATTACTAATAATCCCTTTCCCCCTAGAGCTAAGATTTATCCTGATACTACAGTATGAGGTTCTTCAATAAGGGTGTAACAATCTTCGGTTAAGAGGTCAACCGACGAACCTAATTCGGTTGGGCAGCCTTCACAAAACTATGCCACATCTAATCTAAAATACTTCAAAGTTTGAAAACGTATGTTTTTAACCAGTGCGTGTTGCCAGTACCAGTACCTATGGAACCGAAACATGATGCTACACGATTGCCCTTCATTGATATGCAAAAGCTTCAGATTGCTTAACGAGCTATATCAGTGGCTGCAGGTGGCTCAAGATCGTTCCTTAAGACAGTTTATAGACCTATGTTCAGCAGTGGATAGATAATGGCTGAGATAACAATGATGATGATGACGATGATATTGCTTCTTATTGCTTTGGTTGCCGGCGTATATAGTTTACGCTAATGGTTTACCATCAGATGGGCCATTATAAAAATAAATAAAAATCTCGTGTCCCGAAGTTCGTTTAGGTATATTAATTTCTCAAACTGTTCAATCGATTTTTTTAATGGATGATAATGGAATGGAAACCCGCTTATGTTATCGGTATACATTGACGGGGCACCAGTGAGAGATGAATGATGAGGATGAAGAAAGATCAGTTAGCCCATCGTGACGAATTTAACGATAAATTAGTCATGATGGTCTCCAGGGTGAACCGCGTGTAGGTCGACCTGATAGAGTATATTGTTAGCAATGGGGACTAACCTCTGCATTACTAACAATCCCTTCCTCCCTGTTCAATCGATTTTAGTGAAATTTTGCAATTGTGTAATGTTTTCTCCTATTTTATATATTTATAAGAAAAACGGACTGATTGCTAGATCAGTTTTGAAATATAAAAAAACAACTTGGGATTAATTTTAAGAATAAGTTAATTTTGCATTTTTAAGTTTTAGAAACTGGCTCTTTCCAGCAATGGAATATTACTAAGACAATTTATTTTAAATTATTTTAAATATTGACTGTCTTGAGTCAGTATTTTACTGATCTAGGTATTATCTTGCTGAAGCCCATATCACTGGTTATTTGATTACAATTATTTCGTTTAATTCTATTACCATTAGTATGTATGTCACTGCCTATACCCGAAAATTTACCAACTACCAGTAATAACTTCTGGTAGTAATCACTAGTTCAATCAGTTTTGTTGATTCGCAATTTGGGTGCTGAAAGTTTAACATAAGGCTCCGAGCAGCGATTTAATAATTTGCCTGAGGATGCCTTGTTTAGAGGTGAAACACGTGTAGCAACACGTGCGTGAACGAAATGGCAGTCGGAGGTTGATGGATAATAGGGTTGTAGATTGTTCTGGTAGTAATAGTGATGATCAATCTTCGAGTATTGATAGTCACACACATATTAATAGTAGTGGAATTATAATAATTCTAATCAAATAACCTATATATATATATTTTTATATGTATGTATCTTTGTACATATTTGTTTATATATAATTGTGCGCCACCTACCCTTTGTTCTTCTTTCTTTTCTCAATGTTCTCTACCCAAAGGTTAATTGGAAGAGATTGCTTAGCGATAAGGCCGCCTTTTGTATCATTTCTCATTACAGTTCAATGTATTTACTATTCTATAAATGGTGCAATAAAGTGTAATATAATTAATAAATACTTTAAAGATATAAAATTTGTCTACGTATTTATAATCTGTATCTTTCTTTGAAGGGAACAATAAAGAGTTTTCATTCATTCATTCTTTTTCGCAGTTTTTTTTTATAGATGATAATGGAATGGTAACCCCACCCGCGCCACCGGTATACACCGGCGGGGTACCAGTGATGGATGATAGATGAGGATGAAATACGTCGGTTAGCCTATCGTGACGAATTCAATAAGAATTGTTCACGATGGTTTCGAGGAGGAACCACGTGGAGGTTGACCTGATAGGGCATATTGCTAGCAATGGGGCTGTCAAATTCCATTACTAACAATCCGTTCCCTCCCCGTTTTTTGCAGTTGTTAGCGCCAGCAGCACTTTTAGGCATAAAGTCCAGTATCGGTACCACATTCAGTTTATTCCCACGGCTAGCTCAAGATATACTGGACGCTGTTGAGAGAAAAGACATCGCCAGGGCAAGGGAGCTGCAGGATGTACTTAGCTCCGCCATTGACGCTCATACTGTTGAAGGCAAGATTATCTAAACTATGTTTATGTTATCTATTTTTATGATAATAAAATGGTAACTTCGCTTGTGCTATTGGTGAGGGATGATAGGTGAGTATGAAATCAGGTCAGTTAGCCCATCATAACGAATTCTAAAGTAAATAACCATGATGATTTCCAGGGGAATTGCGTGGTCGTCGACCCGACTGGGTATATTGCTAGCAATGGGGATGTTAGACCTCATTGCTAACAGCAATAATAGGTTATAGTAATCAGATGATCAGACATTTGCCATCAGACGGAGTGTGCACTTGTTTGGCACCTTTTTGAATTAAAAAAATCCTTTTTACCCCCTGTCACAGTATAATCGAAAATCGTAGTACAGGAATAGGGACGTTACTTTACATAAATAATAATCACATTTCAGAATAATTTAAAAAACGAACTTTTAAAGAACACAGTTTGAATGTTCTGTGTTGTGTTCAATTTTTCGAACTTTGAACAAGAACTAAGGAAATTAAAAAAATAGTGTTATCGTGTAGCAAGCAAAAATTAAAGAAATCGAAATTTATTATGTTCTGTCATCACTACCGGTTTATCTTACGTGTAATTAGATCGGAAAAGCTGTGTGCTGCTGCTGACTAAGGATCACGAATTGATCCTGAAACTAGTCGATATTTTCGATCTAATTACACGTAAGATAAACCGGTTGTATATATAGTTAACGATTCTAAAATTAAAAGAAATCCGAAAACATTCTTTCTTTAAGCATTTTTCTTTACAAGCTGGGTAAATAAAGAATTAATAGATTTTTTTATTTAGGTGCATGGGTGCCAGCATTGAAAGCTGGTATGGAGATAGTGACTGGGATAAAGGTCGGCCCACCATCCCTACCACAGAGACCAATCTCGGCTGAGGCCAGGCAGAGGATCGCCAGTAAATTGAGGGCTTTGAAGCTGATTAAGTGAATGCTCATAACATGGCATAAAAGTCTTGTATAAAAAGAATACTTATTTTTTATGTATCTTATATATTTTTTTAATAAACATTTTTTATTAAAAAAAAATAGTCATTTTTGCGTTTAAACCCTTTATTTTTACTTTATATTGGAGTGCTATAATGTTTTTTCTTTAATTCTCTGATTTGTAAAACGATTCACTTTATATAACACGACCGAAGAAACTATACTCTGTATCTATGTATGTGTCAATAAATATAAAACATTCAGTGTGAGCAATGAATAGTAACTTCGTTTGCGCTGTTGAATGTCTCTTGTGTATACTGGCTGTGTGTGTGTGTGTGTGTGTGAGAGAGAGATGAGAGATGAGGATAAAAACCAATCAAAGTCAGTAAGACCATCGTTTTTTTTTATACAACTTAGAATGGCAAACAAGCTGACGGCCCACCTGATGGAAAGTGGTAATTGTCGCCTATAGGCATGTGCAGTACCATGGACGTAACAGAGTATACTGTTTCGCCCATGATACCCCCCATGCGTTGCCATTCCTGAGGACTCAGGTGTTATTCCTCTATACCCTGTAAATTCACTGCCATATCCCACACTTCAAACCGAAACACAGTCATGTAAACATAACTGTTTCACAGTAGAAACACGAACACCATCGTGACAGAAAGTCATCAAGAATTATCACGTAGGTTTCTCCAGTGGTAGTCGATTTGCTCCTCAAGTGGCGTGGCACAGAGTGTAAGTTTTATTAACAGTTTTCAATCTCTTGCAATGTTGTACTGTAGTTGTATAGTGGGATATGTTTTGGGAAGTAGTAACACGTTTCACACAAAAAACATAACGATCCTAAATTTTACGTATGGCCCATTTCAATAAAACTTAATAAAAATATAAAGAAATTAACAACTGACCTGACAATAACACAGTCTGCTGTTAGTCATTATTATCTTCTTCAGATCAGTCTTGAACTCTTGGCAGACGGTTTGGCAACCGCAAAGGAGATAGATTTTCGTTTAACTTTCCTCCGCTATTGTTTTATGCTGGCTGGGTATCAATAAGGAAAGACAGGATGAACATGTAGTCAGTTAGCTCATCCTGACGATTTCACCAGACATTAACCACAATAGTTAGAAGAAGGGACTTCGTGGAGATCGGGAAGACAGACTTTAAAAATTAAAAAATCTAAATTATATATATATATATATCTTTATTGCACAAAAACATACAGTAACAACAATAAGTTAATAACAATGTTAGCAAAGGCGAACTTCTCTCTAAAAGATATTTCTTTCAGTCAACCTAACACAGTGGCATAGGAAGTAGTGGGTTTATTTACATAAATTATAAATCATTATATATATATATATATATATATATATATATATATATATTTGAAAGATACAATATTAATACATATATATGAATATAAACCTACATAAATAAGAATATATATATATATATATATATATATATATATATATATATATATATATATATATATATATATATAAATACGACATATAAATATCAAATAAAAGATTACACAATGATGACAGTATAAGTGACTAGGCATGCGTAATATAGTTATCGCTCCGATATCTACATATATTATTAAGTTACACTGGATATTAATGACAGAAAAAAAGACAACAATTATTTTAATATAGCAATTACACGTCGAATAATTTATATCCATTTCGATCGGGCTCTCTATATATTCTACAACCGATATTTAACACCTTCGTTATCATGGCAATACATAGATATTGTAACACAAATATATAGATACAGTTAATATTATTCATCCCTACATGTGACATGGTTAGTATTAGATAATGAATTTATCGTTGAACTATATAATTATGGCTTATAATCTATGGGGTGTGTACAATGGAATACTACTAGAGGGTATCGGTATGTTTTAATCAATGACCCTTCGAATCTAAGGCCATAGAATTGGCCCCAAGAGTCGAGCTAGCAAATCAAATAATATAAAGATTGTGTCCCATAAAATACCCATTTAAATTATGGTAAAACCAGTTATTTTGATTTAAAAACTAAACTACTGAACGGACTTTAATAAAATTTCTATGGGACTAATTTGTAAGCATATTCTTTTAGATAAAAAAAAATCTAAATCGGTTTATAATTAACTAAGTTATGAGGTAACAAATATAAAAAAATACAACCGAATCGGGAACCTTCTTCTTTTAGAAGTCGGTTGACAGTCGACCACTATACTTTTTTTTATTATTTTTTATATATATACAAGATATATACAAATAATGTAGTTTATATAAATAGAGCATCGAGTCTCAAAAAAGGCTCAACTTTTTTCAGTTAATTGTAAAATTAACTGACTCGTTTTTTTATCAGTGTTCTTTTTTTTTATACAACTTACAATGGCAAACAAGCTGACGGCCTACCTGATGGAAAGTGGTAACCGTCGTCTATAGACATGAGCATAACAGTCGCCCATGGACATAACAGAGTATACTGTTTCGCCCATGATACCCCCTATGCGTTGCCATTCCTGAGGACTCAGATGTTATTCCTCTGTACCCTGTAATTTCACACCATATCCCACCCTTCAAACCGAAACACAGCCATGCAAACAACTGCTTTACGACAGAAACACGAATGGGACAGAGGTACCCAAGCAATCGTCTTTTGTACAAAGTCTCTCCCTGGTTCCATATACTTATGCACATAATGTATCTTGACATATGTATATTTAATTATTTAATAAATAAAATGAGGTTAACGTATTAAGAAGATGCAAAAATTGTGTAGGGGAAAAGAGCGGGATGTGACAGTAAAATTACAGGGTACGAAGTCAACAAAAATCCTCAGGAAAAAACAACAAACCCATAGGAATGGCAAGGCTTGAATTGAAAAATGAGTATATTCTACGATGTCCATGGTGCCATTTATAGGGAACTTTCCATCAACGGAACCGACAGCTTGTTTGTTATTCAAAATTGCATAAAAAAAGTTATAAACACAGTTTACGGAAATCTCCTTGATAAACGCATTTATCTATCTGAAGCTATGTATTATATCATTTCTGTAATATGTCATGACCTCTTAAATAATACCAACTGATATGACCACAGAAATGTTGAGATAATGTCATAATATTTTACTTATTTAGATAACAATGTTCGTTGTGTAGGTAATGTTTTGCTTTATAAGAATAAAACAATGTGTTCTATGACAGTATCTCGCATAACCGGCTACGAAAGTGTAGTTGTTTTTAGTGAGAGTGTAAACAGCCGATAATTTAAAATGGTGGTAGGCAAATTCATGTATTTACCATATTTTGAGGATAAAAATAACGTATTTTTTAATTTTAATTTAATTTTTATACAGTTTCATATTTTTATATAAATATTTATTGTTTTTGCCTATTCTAGTGAAGGATATCGCGAAAGCGTACTGTTAGTTACACTTGTTTAATATAAAAAAATCCCATACACTGAAATTATTTATTTAATATTTTCTATTATACACAGCTAATACATTTTCACTAATTTGAAGGTTCACTTTGACTCGCGACGAGCGAAACCCTTGGTTCAGGGTTTTATTGAGCCTGGATGAATCTAACTAGTTAGTTTTACTAGCCAGACCGGTGAGTAGAAACCAGGTCCGTACCTGGGCGGTAATTTGGCTAGCTAAAATACGACTGATTGATTTAGAGTTTGTATGAGTTTATAAAGGCATAATACTGCTGATTTAAATGGAAATAAATGATATTGCTAGTTAGCAATAATGTTTATATGCTAGGTTTGTAACAGTACGTGTGAAAGCAAAGTAACACGAAATAGCGTATGAAGAAAAGCAAAAAGAAATCTAAAATACTAATTAAAATATCTATAATAGATGCATAGTCAAAAGAATTATACTCACTTTGTAGTTTTCTGTTTCCTATACCTAAATAGTGTAAGAAAAAAAGAAAAATATTAAAAAGTATTTTTTTTATTAAGGTGGAGCTAAGGGATCGTGGATTCATTCCTCCAGTCTTCACTCCTTTCAACGATGACCTCACAATCAACTATTCACTTATACCGAAATATGCTAAGTATTTAGCAGACAATGGAGCTAAGACCGTTTTAGGTAAGATTACAATTTTATTAACAAACATCGAAAAGGAGAAGCCATATTGAACTCTCACTAGCTTCAAAACCTCTGTTAAATCCTACTACCTCTCTCTTTTCCTGTGTTCTCTCTTCATCTTCCTCCGTCATTCTCTCCTGTTGTATACGATTAAATATGTGTATGTTTATGTATATATTTCTTTATTTATGTTTGTATACATTAGTATCTATATAATGGTGTGCCACCTATCTTTTGCTTTTTCTCAATGTCCTCTACCCAAAGGTTGTCTGGAAGAGATTGCTTAGCGATAAGGCCGCCTTTTGTATCACTTCTCATTAATATTTACTGTATTTTTTTTTAAATGATGCAATGTAGTGTAAATAAACAAATAAATTTTTATATTATCAATTTTAGATATAACTTCTTGTCGTGTGAGTTGTCTCAAAAGACTATTTTTTAGTCACTACAAATTTATTGTGCGAGTCATAAATCAAAAGATAGACAGACAGATCATAAACAGGACCAAAAATAAATACATGCACCATAATTAAATCCGAAAATGATAAGTACTGGTTTTGTTATGTAATTACAAACTAAGCGATACTGTGATCTTCAACCCCTCTGCTAAAGAAGTATACTATCTTATCTGAAGGACATTATTATATTTCGTGTATTAAACTAAACGATAAAACCTAAAGTATTTACGTTATTATGTTATTTAGTTTTAATTTATATCATCCAGTTAAAGAAATTAATGTTTATTTTATAAAAAAAAGCAGACTATGTTTATAAAACAGATACACAATTGGAAAGTGGATATTTATATACATATATCTATGATTAAATGGAACGTGCTTTATTTGAAGTGAAAGAGAACTGACGTACTTAGATATATATATATATATATATATATATATATATATATATATATATATATATATATATATATATATATATATATATATATATATGTATGTGCGTGCGTGTGTGTGTTTTTTTTATGGATGAAAATGGTATGGTAAGTCCGCCTGCGCTAACGAGATATGCTGGCGGAGCACCAGTGAAGGGTGATCGATGAGAATGAAAACAGGCCAGTTAGCCCATCATGATGAATTCATCAGGAATTAACCATGATAGAGGTCGACCTGGTTGGGTATATTGCTAGCAATGGGATTCTCATTCAACAATCCCTTTCCCCCCAAACGTGTGTGTGTGTTAAAAGAGATTTAACAGAGTAACAGTCGAGTTTCTTGTGGGTGGCCTCTTTTCAACAGATTCCTTACCGTCGTTATTTTAACCTTCTGAACTCCGCAGTAGATTAAAATAATAACGATTTAAAAGTGTTTGTAAATAAGTCTGTTTGAATAAAGATAATTAGATTTTTAATTTTGCGTGCATGAAATCAGTTATGAAAGTGAATGAAGAAAAACATGCATGTAAGGATATACGTATCGGCCTTTGACACTCGGTTGTAACTGCCTATTCCGCAAGGGATTTGGCGTGAAGATAGATAGATATAGATTATGTTAATTGTAGTGGGCGGTACGACCGGCGAGCACATGGCGCTAAGTGTCGCCGATAGGAAAAGGATCGTGGATACCTGGATAAAGGAAGGCAGCAAAGTGGGCCTCCGGATTAGTGCACAAGTTGGTGGTGCACCAGCTGCTGATGTGCTCGAATTGGTAAGGGTTTGTTATCATCAAATAAAAAATTGGTATTTAATTTCTGGTCTGTAGCTTTTGGATTTTGTATTATAACGTGGCATGGTCAAAAAGCTGAATATTCATTCGCAGTACAGTGGTAACAATTGGTTATAAATTTATAATTTACTTAAGAAGAACAGAGTTGGAAAAGCAAGCTGTCCTCTCTTTTGTTTTGAAACTACTCAATGATGTTTTGAGTTATGTACAATTTAAAATATTTGCCTCCAACCTGCTGGAGTTTCGTCGGATGACAACTATGTATCTATGTTCAGATATTTAAATAATAAATGTTATTTCTATTATTGCTATGCCGTTAGATGGTGTTTGAATCTTACTAATATTATTTCTATTAATATATTTATAACGTTTTACCTTATTGTATGATGCTTTCCTGGGTGAGCATATTGAGAGATTGTAAAGCTCACCTAGTTAATCAAATAAAGACCAGATATTCTTGTTGCGTGTTGTTGACCAGATATTCGTGTTGATACTTAAAGATGGTTATTATGCCTCCGTACCAAATAATTTCACCGCCATATCCCATATTTCAAATTAAAACACAGACATGTGAGTTTAGCTAGTTTGCAATGGAAACATGAGTGAGGTAGAGGTATTCAAGTACACGATTTGTATATAGTCTCTCATTAGGAAAATTTTTCACTGGCATTCAAACAAAACCGGAAGATACAAAAGATAATTATTGTTTGTAAACGGCCATTGCAGTAGTCAAGATCTTCTGTTATAGTATCAAGTAATTTCACCATCATAAGTGTACTATTTAAATCAAAACATAGTATTCTAGCAAGAAGCTTAGCAGCAGAATTTAATAAGTCAGAAAATTAGGTACTCATGCAGACAGCTTTGTGAAGTCTTAATCCAATGATATATAGATTAATTATGATCGATTAAGCTATTATTATAATTGAAAGACGGACTTTTTAAAGCAGAAAAGTCTGTGGCACTGCGACCTTTCCATGGTCTTTTGTGTTCGCCCTTTTTTAAAGTTCGCTCCTAATTCCTATTAATGATAAAAAAATTAAGATGTTTTCTTTAGCGACGTTTTTAATCTTCTCAGGATATAGAGTGTGTTTTCCAAAGGAGTTATATCGTTTATATATGAGTGTGCCACACATTAAGTACTACGGCGAGTCGATTAAGGTAACTGGCTTATGTTTCTGACAATAATAAGTATTCGTTTCTTTCCAGGCGTCCTATTTTGAGAAGTCAGGAGTCACGTTTCTATTGGTCTTGCCAGAGCTGTACTTCAAGCCTACCACAGTCGAGGGCCTTGTTTCTTACGTGGAGTTGGTCGCAAAGGCAGCCCCAAGCCTACCTATTTTGTATTACCATATTCCTAAAAATACTAACTTAGTGTGTGAGTTAAAAATTTCATTACTGTCTTTACTATTAATTTACTAGTTGTAATCACGCACATGTACAGCACATCTAGTTGTCATCGCCTTAACACCTGACGATCTCTGTATATATCCATCCTGCTTCATCTAAACAAAATTACACTTCTGATATTCATTTTTGACTAAAGATATATTCAGTTTTTCCCACAGACTTTTTTAACGTACGCCGTACTAAGTTTTCCTTATTTCATTGTGCCGTGACTTTTATATTTATTATTTTCTGTAAATTCTTATTGCATATAAATCTCGATATTAACTCTTGGAATTTTTTTGTCTCTACTACTATTACCATTGTAAACAAAACCCCTCACAATCAAGAAGGGACTCAACTCATGCGAAAAGGTTTCCGTTAGAAGCCGATCGATCGTTCCCATACTGGCGACCCTGATGTGATTTGAAAGAGCAATCTTCTGATGTAGAACAGACAGTAACACTATACCTCACCTTTAACCAAGCTTTTTTTTATACAGTTAATATGCCTGAATTCATCAGACAGGCTACTGCGCGCATCCCTAACTTCAGGGGTATTAAATTCACCTCATACGACCTGATGGAAGGTGCCCAGGCGCTGAGGGCATCTCGGCCAGACCAAGAAGTCTTTCTGGGGCCTGACAGTGTGAGTTGCTCTTTATATCTATTGTAGCGATTCATTCCGCTACCTCCTTTTAACCGCGCCAACAATTTTTACGTCAATATAATATTAAGATTCTTTTTCTAATTAGTATAATAGTAGTATATATATATATATATATATATATATATAAGACTTTAATTGTCCACTGCTGAACAAAAGCCTTTTCTTGGGGGGTTTTGCCAGTAGTTACCTGCTTGCATGCTTGGCAGGCGGATTGGCAACTGCAGCCAGGCTTAAGAGGTGTTTTAAGAGAGACGCTGCTACTCATATCTCGCCCTCCCTTAGTCGGCTCTTACGACACCTACGGGATAGGATGGGGTGGCCGATTCTATACTGGGACGGCCAACATACGTGTATAGTATCTGTATGTAAATTATAAGTGATAAAATTTATTTCTCAAACATGCTTGGAAATATGAGCATTATTTTGACAATCTTCTTCGAAATAAATCAAAGTTGCCGTACTGGCCAAGATACATGCAATAAAGGCCGCTGCCTTTATTTTTTCATCTTTTATTGTCCTCCTGATGATGTAATATGACTTACAGTTAATCGCACCAGCTGCCCTTCTGGGGATAACGTCCAACATCGGGACAGCATTTAACTTGTTCCCACAACTGGAGCACGAACTGTTGGCTGCCGTTCAGAATAATAATGTAGCCAGGGCTCGGGAATTGCAGGAGAAATTGAGTGTGGCCATCGAAGCCCATGCTTGTGAGGGTAAGCATTTTATTTTACTATTCAAATTTAAACTGTTAAGTATTTAGAAGTTTCTTTTTATATGAAATGATAAAGAAGTAATTAAACTAAGATTGATACATTTGTTGGTAGTTCGCTTGATGGAAACCGTAAGCTTACTAAAGCTTATTGATATGAACAACATCATCGATACCATAAAATTTATAGTGATGCCATGGTACTCCTCATATATTGCCATTTGATATAACAACATGAACATCACAGAATACACTGTACTTTTATGGTATTCCTTATGCGTTGTTATTCATATGTTATAGCTCTTTATCAAGTTATTATCTGCACATAATCATATCAGATTTTAACTGTCCGTTACTGGGCACAGGTTTCCTCCATAAAAGGGTTCTGTCAGTAGTTGCCACGCTTGGCAACCGCAGTCAGTCTAGAAAGTAATAACCATCGCCTATAAATATGAGCAGTATCATGAACATAACAGAGAGAGATATACTGCTTTGCCATAATACCCCCCATTCCTTTTTTCTTTAAAAATTCCATTGCAAATTTAGTAATATGCCTAAATATATAAGTATGAAAATATAAATGCATATGATATCGGTAATTTGATAAAGGTTTCTTTTATCCAGGTCCTTGGGTGCCAGTAATGAAGGCAGGCATGGAAATCGTAACTGGACTGAAATTCGGCCCACCAGCTCTGCCACAGAAACCGATATCAGCTGAATCCAGACAAAGAATAACAACCAAGCTTAGAGGTTTAGGACTCCTTAAATAATTTTCACTTTAATCAAAATATATTTTTTTTTATGATAACACGTGAATTGTAAGAAATAATTGCAGTAATAAACTATCTAAATATTTTTGTGCTTTTCTGCGTCAATAAGATTGACGTCTTTCAATTCTGAAATAGGGTTTAATAAAAAAGCTGTGTACTTATTTCTGTTAAATTTCAATATACCTATACCGTAATGATCAGAGATTTTTATAAAACCAATGATGTGGAAAACAAGCATACGGCCCACCTGATGGTAATCAGATTGAATGATTGATTGGTTTGGCACAATGACTATTTATATTTTTTTTTCTATACCACTGAGGTATGTAAAAAGTAATGTACAGTGGTACCCGGCACTTTGGTTGTTTTGTTTAAGAGAGGGACTGGCTGAAAACCAGCGCTGTGCAGCTGTACACTATGCGCTGGGACACTCACAGCATCAAGTGTGCCGGTTCCTTTTGCCGGGTGTGGGACACTTTTTGTATATGTTATTTATATTTTATATTGTAAGTTTACTGGCAATAAATGTTTCTATTCTATTCTATTCTACTGAGGTGACAAACAAGTATACGCTCATCTGATGGTTAGCGGTTACCGTAGCCTATGAACACCTGTAATACTAGGGGTACTACGCGTGCATTGCCGACCCCAAAGACCTCTTTACCCTCTTCTTGAAGATCCCTATGCTGAAGTTTCTTGAAAAAACCTCGACTGAGAGCTCATTCCATAGCCTGAGCGTTCGTGGGAGAAAACGTTTTCTTGAATAAATAAATAAATTAAACCGACGATATATTATTATTAAGTACTTTATATTTTTCTATTCATTATATGCGACACTGCATCCCAAATATATATAAGTATGATTTGGATTACAAATTACTCCTCACTAACGGCTAAGCTTAAACCGCAATTCTTCAAATGATCAGCGATGCGGGCTACACTCGTATCACTGAGAGGGATTTGAGGCAACCGCGGCGGTCCAACCTTGATTCCAGTTACCAACTGCATCGCGGCCTTCATGGTTGGTACAAAATCACCTGGAAAGAAATGACTGAATTAATGAATGAATGAAAACTCTATAGATTACAAACATTTACAATATGTACACAAAAAAAATTATTGTAAAAATTTAACTACAAAAAGCAAGATAAAGAGGTAACAAGCCTTATCGCTAAATAGCGATCTCTTCTAGGCAACATTTTTTTTTAAATGGGTGATAAAATAATGGTATATTTTCTAATTTTTTTTTAGTCAGACCATTTTATGTACTATTAGAAAACGTAAAAAAAGATGATTGTAATTGGTTAATTTGTTCTCAATTTATGGAGTGACAAAGGAGATAGGGATTCATTTTTATATAATAAAATAATAAAGAGGAAAAATTTGATTGTTTGTTTGTAATGGATAAACGCAAAACTACTTGACTGATTTCAAAAATTCTTCAACTATATAGTATCGTACATATAGGCTACATATTATTTTCGAAAATTCTATCTATTACGCAAAGTCAGGCCGAATTGTAAGTTATAAATGTTTCTAAGAAAAATGGAAGAAACAGCTTACCTTGAGCAGTTATGCCAGATACCAGTTCATCCAGTTTCCTCTGCAGGGCTGCAGATCTCAAATCATCACCAGCTTTCATCAATTTTACTAAATCTTGCACCACATCCGGGAATATATTCGTCACTGTTGCTATACTGGAATCTAGGCCGTATACTGTCGGTAGTAATAAATGCTGAAACAATAAGTTTTTAAATCTTTGTAGGATTAATAATATTACGTCTTTTATCTCTCCGTTTTTTTTTACAACTTAGAATGTCAAACAAACTGACGGCCCACCTGATGGAAAGTGGTAACCGTCGCCTATAGACATGAGCAGTACCATGGACATAACAGAGTATACTGTTTCGCTCATGATATCCCCCATGCCTTGCCATTCCTGAGGACTCAGGTGTTATTCCTCTGTACCCAGTAAATTCACGCCATATCCCACCCTTCAAACCGAAACACAGCCATGCAAACATAATTGCTTCACAGTTGAAACACGAATGGGACAGAGGTACCCAAGCAAACGACTTTTGTACAAAGTCTTCCTCTGGTAAAAAAGTCTAAGAAAGTCCTAAGAAGTGACAAGGAATGCAAAGCTACTCTTGTTTCTACCGTCGAGCAGTTTGCATGGTATGGAGGCACATGGTGCCACACCCTAGGGGAAGGGATTTTTAGTAATGTGGTTCGATCTCCACGAGGTCTAGTCACTCCTTATTAGTACCTCTGCAGCTTATACTGATAGTGCAGGCGGGGTTACCATTACACTATCATCCGTAAAAAATATTTTACTCTTTAGATATGGTAACACAGTGCATATCTTTAGTGCTGTTTATGATGTTTTTAATGTCAGAATGTTCGCCATTTTAAATTGACATTAAAGTCTAATTAAAATACCTACTTCAAATAGTACTTTCTATGAAGCCGTATCGTAATAACATTAAGTTGATATTGTTATATTACCAGAGGGAGACTTTGTACAAAAGTCGTTTGCTTGGGTACCTCTGTTCTATTCGTGTTTCTACCGTGAAGCAATTGTGTTTGCATAGCTGTGTTTTGGTATGAAGGGTGGGATATGGTGTGAATTTACTGGGTACAGAGAAATAACACCTGAGTCCTCAGGAATGACAACGCATGGAGGGTATCATGGGCAGACAGTATACTCTGTTATGTCCATGGAACTGCTCTTGTCTATAAGCGACGGTTACTACTTTCCATCAGGTGGGACGTCAGCTTTTTTGCCATTCTAAGTTGTATAAAAAAAAATCAACTTTTTGGGCGAGTTCTGTCTCCAAGTCGTAACGATGATACATGAATATACTCAGATGAAAGAATATCAACAGAATCAGTAACATGACTGATATAATCGCGGTTAGTTGATTAGAACTTTTTTTGTTCTGTATCAGCCGTCTACTATCCACTGTTTAATATAACCTCCTCCATAAAGAGTTTTTTTAATGGATGATAATGGAATGGTAACCCTATCCGCGCTATTGGTATACACCGGCGGGGCACCAGTAAAGGATGATAGGTGAGGATGAAACAGGTCAGTTAGCTCATCGTGATGAATACAACAAGAATTGTTCACGATGGTTTCCAGGGGAAACCACGTGGAGGTATATAGCAATAGGGCTGTCAAACTCCATTGCTAACAATCCCTTTTGCCCCGTAAGGGGGGTTTTGCCGGTAGTATCCCTTGCACTCCCTTAGACGTCTCTTACAACACCAACGGAAGAGGTACGGGTGGTCTATTCTATACCGGGTCATACAAGATTACAGTTATTTTGTTTATGGTAATTCCGCTACCATAAATATGGGCGTGATTGCCAACACTCAAAAATTTACTACTATTATTATTACCAGACCCTCTACAACCTTCCTTATTAGGGCATTATCTATTTTATTTATTTATTTATATTTTATTGGACATACTAGTACATAGAGGTAAGCATATGCACAAAGACGAACTTAACTCTAAAAGAGTTCTCTTCCAACAGCCATATCATAAAAAAGAAATATAAAAAAAAATCTCTAAAAGCCTAACTGCTGGCAACTATGCCACGCTTGGTAGGCGGGTTGGCAACCGGCCTACCAAAACTTCCTTTATGGGAAAGGCTTATGTCCAGCAGTGAACAATTAAGAAATAATAATAATAATAAATCTATATTATATATTTTCCAAATTAGTAGTCAGTACTATAACCAGTGACTTGGACTTTCGCAAAATAACTCTTAGTTTTGTACAATAATTTAGTTTTGACGTCATAATGTAGATAAAACATAAACTTACATGATTTGCAATGAATATCCTCTGATCATCTGCAAGATTAGCAAATTCCTTGGCCACTTCGAAATCGGCTTTTATGCCTTTGAAGTTAGGTATTTTCGATGTTGCCATGTCGAAGAGGTCCTTCATGTTTACTGTTCAAGTTAAGGTTAAATTTTATAAATATAATGATATATGTGTAAACACTAACAAGTATTTTGATAAATAAAATATTTTGTTGTATATATTATTCCTGCTGTTGAAACTAATGCTTGCATTGTTGCCCAATAGAAATTACAGTCCAATGAAAAGCTGAGTTGTGGCCATTTTGTATTACTGTGGCGCACGCAAGAAGAAAAAAATAATGTTACCAAATTTTATGCATTCTGATTTTGTTTTTTTTTTTTTAATTTTTTGTACATGTATTTTTTTTTTATCTTTTTTCACTTTGCATTTGTGTCTTATGCTGTTTGTGTGCTGTAAGTGATACAAATAAGTTATTTATCTATCTATCTAATTACCAAAAAGTAGAGAGAGAAGTTGACGGCAAAAGTCGGGCGTTAGTTATTAATTTACGAATGTTCTATCTTTATTAGAGGACTTCCTTACGAAATAGTGTAAGAAATAGAAGTAAATAAGTGCAACATTATCATCTTCATATCAGCCGATAATTGTCCATTGCTGAATATAGGTCTTTGCTATAGACTGTCATAAGGAACGGTCAATTTTTTTTAACGTCTAGAAAATGCTTTATGCAGACCTATACACCTTGTGGGAGGTGAATGGGTACTGTGGGAATCCCCCCGTAAGGTGGGGGTGTACCCACCAAAAACCAGACGATATACCCTCGAGGTGCCATATGTCGGAGACATGGGTTCACTTTCGCACTCACCACATCTTCGACGGAAGGAACGGCCACCTGCATCCACTAACTTCTTGCACAAATAAATGCATATAATTGCATAATTATCCGGACTTCTAGTTAGAATACTATGATATGATATATGATATTAAATAATTAATATATAGAAAGATAATTCCGAAGATTTATACATGCAAATTTAGATAAAAATGACTTACAATCTACGCCAGTCATCTGAGGAAAATGATAGTACAGCAGTGGGAGTGATGGCGCGGCTTGAGCTACCAGTTCCAAATAGGAGACGAGCTGTTCACAAGTTTTTGGTTTGAAGAACAGTTCTGGCAGGGTCATGATGCAGTTCGCACCGGTCATTTCTGCATACATGGTCTAGAAATACGAAATTAATTGACCGTCAACTGTACTATTATTACCTTATTATTATATTTTATAGAATCGTAATTAATTCACTTTCTAGTAAAACATTTAGTTGGCTAATGGAATTATTAGACCGAATCAAACTAAATGCAATTAGTTGTAACTCGTGGCTTTGTTATTTTTTATACAACTTAGAATGGCAAACAAGCTGACGGTCCACCTGATGGAAAGTGGTAACCGTCGCCTATAGACATGAGCAGTACCATGGACATAACAGAGTATACTGTTTCACCCATGATACCCCCATGCGTTGCCATTCCTGAGGACTCAGGTGTTATTCCTCTGTACCCAGTAAATTCACGCCATATCCCACCCTTTAAACCGAAACATAGCCTTGCAAACACAGCTGCTTCACGGTTGAAACACGAATAGGACAGAGGTACCCAAGCTATCGACTTTGTATAAAGTCTCCCTCGGGTAAACTATCTGATGGAACAGGTTCTATATGGACAAAATCGGTTTCCTGCGTCCTTTAATTTATTGAATGCTAAATGTCAATATGTTTGGAATTATAAATTAGAAGAGCTTGTAGAAGTGATTTTTACTCACTAACATACCATTGCTAAGACTTCTGGAAACGGCACTCCTCCGACTTGAGCGATGACTTTTATATTAAACTGTTGGGCTTCCTTTATCCAAGTTTGTAATACATCTTTTCTCTCATCCAAAGTGAGGGTGACAGCTTCTCCCGTCGTGCCACCAACTATACAATAAATAAGATATATAGATACTCTTTATTGTTTACTCCAGAATATTACAATAGTAAACTTATTATAAATATAAACAATTATAAGAAATAATCACAATGAGAAAACAATGGGCGACCTTAACGCTAAAAGCGTTCTCTTCCAGGCAACCTTTGGACGGAGAGGAGTAATTATAAACGGTTTGATCGGAGGCACAACGAAAATCTGTTATTTCTTAATATAGATATATAATACATGTAATAATGTAAAATTTATATCCCTACTCATTATATACACTTATATACTATTATATATATACACACATACATATATACATACACACATATACATACATATAAACATCTACACAGATACATAATATATATAAATACTTGACATTAGTTGTTGCATTTTCTTATCATCATCATCATCATCATATCAGCCGTTAACTGTCTACTGCTGAAACCAGAAAGGTTCTTGAACGCTTGGCAGGCAGATTGGCAACCGCAGTTAGGTTTCGAAGATGTTTTAAGAGGGACGCTGCTGTCCATCCCTCGTCCTCCCATCCATGTCCATGCATTGTCGCCTCTTACGACACCCACGGGACAGGATGTGGTGGCCTATTCTATATTGGAACCGCACGGGCCTATTAAAAATAGCATAATAATAATAAATTGAAAATAATGTACCTAAGCGAAGACGAACTTATCTTGAAAAGAGATCTTTTCCAGTGAGTGACAGATTTTGTACAAAAGTGTGTTGTTTGTTAACATGGTTGTATCGGTTTGAAGAGTGGGATATGATAATGAAATTAGTCTGTCATAATGATTATGGACGACACAGTTTCCTCTGTTATGTCCATGGGATTGTTCATATCATGTGACGGTTACATTTTCCACAAAATGGGCCACAAAAAATTCCACAAAAGCTTGTTTGCCATTCTAATATAAAATAAAACACATTTAATATAAATAAAGGCACATTTGTTGCTTCTTAGTACTAATAAGTAGTGCTAAGAAATAATAAATACATAATTATAAGTAAATACTAGTATTATACTGTTTCCTCTTCTTATTGTACGCACACTGCCCGCTGGTAATTAATGCTCCTTTCCACTCAAGGTTTGCTGGAAGAGAATTCTGAATTTCGAACAGAGTTAAGCTCGCCTGTTGTATATCTTCATTTAATATAGTCTTTAACTATGTAATTTTTGTCTATAATACAGTATAAATAAATAAATAAATAAAAAAAAATATAAGTTTTATAATTACCAAGTATTCCTTTGATGCCATGTTTGTTCAAGAAGCGCGCATATTCTGGTATAACTCTTGTGTTCAAGAGTCCGTCGTCGTCAACTGGTGTGAATACTGGAGCGAGCACGCCTTTAATATCGGCCATTTGTATACTAGCCTGTAGACAATTATAATGCAATACATAAAAAAGTGCGATTGCCGTGTGGTCCCGGCATAGAATAGGCCACCCATTCCTTTCCCATGGATGTTTACATGAGGTGACTAAGTGAACTTAATAGAAGAGGAATGAGTAACAGCGTCCTTCCTAAAACATCGCCAAAACCTAACTGCGGTTGCTAACTCGCCTTGTAAGCGAAGGTACTTACTAGCAAACCTTCCTTATGAAGGAGGCCTATATTCAGCAGTGGATAGTGGCTGATGGGATTGGGATGAGGTATAGATGATTGATAAGAAAGAATTTTAGAGACAAGTTTTTTTTTGCAACTTAGTGCAAACAAGCTGACGCTCCACCTGATGGATAGTGGTAACCGTCGCCTATAAACATAAGTACATAAGTCGTCCGCATATGTACCTATATCCTACCCGATTCTGCATGAGAAATTACAAGGTACGATATAACACCATAGTTCTCAGGAATGGTAACGCACGAGAGGCGTCATGGACATTAATTTATTCTGTGTTGTCCATGGTGCTGCTCATGTCTATAGGTAAAGGTTAATACCTTTCATCAGGTAGACCGCCAGCTTGTTTTCTATTCTGAGTAATTATAAAATTATAATAATTATTTTTACAGTCAGTACGGTTACTTTCAAATTTCCATTTTGTGATTAAAAATTTGCCCCACACATAAAATTGTTATTTGCTGGGCAAAAAACAGTTTGTTGCCAAGCGAAATCTGTGTGTAGGTTTACAATTTCAAGTTCTAAATTCGAATTTGTATTTGCAATATTTTCACTGCTAACAATTTTTTGTGGAAATTGACAGGTAGGTAAACTAAGTACATGAAATACGAAATATTATGGATAAAATGTAAGCCAAAATATATAAAAATACATTTCACATCACAATTTAGTAATTTTACTGGTTTTAAAAGAATTATTTTACGTTTTATATAATTAATTAGTATATAAATAAATACCATGTTAACGTTGTTATATTAATCGCTGTCACTCCACGAAAGACAGTAGAAAACTGGAATTCTATAACCACAACATTCAGTTTATATGTCAATGTGGTTATACCTACAGTTGTATATTATATTTGCAACACGACTTGCTTATTACATAATGATATCCCATAACAAATAACCACAATATTGTACATAACTAAACATGAATTAACTTAATGCTGGTATGAAAGTTATTTAAAATATTTATTTTTTGTTCCACTGTTTATTAAAAATATTTTAATATTTATATGTGCATTTCGTTTCGGAACGTTCTCCAGGCTATTTATAAAAATTATAATTTATAAGTGGGTACTTCTACAAATCATAAATACACAGAGTAACATGTTAAACAGAGGCATCACAAATCAATGACAAGACAACATTGCATTTATTACTATACATGTGTAATATTTCAAAATGATTAGAGATAAAATAGTATATTAATAATGCCTATATATTAAAATATAAATAAAATTTATATTATTTGAAATTCTCGGTGTTCAGTGTTTACGGTAGTGATAAAAAAATAAAATTATTTTATAGTTTTTGTATTGATTTTAAAATATTTTTTTCAATATATTTTTTTCAGATTTTGCAGGAGGCCTGCTCACCCTTTAAAAATGTACTCTGTAATATAAATGTCACTGAGGTATATGTATCAACGATTGTCATTAATTTAAATATGGAAAGTAGAGTTTGCAGAGTTTAACAACGGACAAATAGATTAAAAAGCGGCCGATAAACCTGAACCTTATACGAAACAAGTCAACGAAAATTAAAAGTGGTACGTTTTAAATACCTGGCCGTAGAATTTTAAAAATATATCGTTGTATGAAGTTGTGTTTTTTTTTATCAAATTATACATGTCGCGGAAACATAATTAAACGTTTATAATATTCTAGAAAGACAGACGTGGTATAGTATCTTAGTTATTGATGAAATACTTTTCATCAGCCTATAGTTTTAAACGATACTGAGCACGTGGGTAAGTTATTTATAAAGCAAAGTAGTTAGCGGAAGCTGAAAATATCACAGCAGCGCGATGTGTATTTAAAACTAATGTAATACATTGCGGTTTAAAATTGTAACTCTTATTAAATAAGCTTCTTTTAGCAAGCATTGAAAATCGTACAGAGTCATAATATCTTCATACCATGTTCATACGGTTCTGTTATTGCCATTTATCGGTTAAAGTATTTTAGTTTGTGTTTCATTATTGCGAAAGACGCACGCACTGGCATAGACTAGCGGTGATCACTGGCCAGTAATATAGCCGCTAAATTAAAAAGTAAACGGCTGCGTACAGATAAATGGATAATTCGAATGTATCTGAATTTGCGCGGGAATTACGTGACGAAATTCAAATTAAGAATGGGCATGTATCAATTAATGGCTGTGTAAATTGTCATGACGGAGAAAATATTTCTAAAAAAGTGGCAGCAAAGGTACAGAAAGCCCGGAGTTTTATGGAAATGTCTGTGAGTAGTTCAGTGAACAGTTTGGGGGGCAATGAGAGAAGGGTTTTTGTAATTTATACGGGTGGAACTATCGGCATGGTCAAGAACGTCGATGGAGGTAAGAGCGTTTGTAGTTCATGGTAGTTTAAATAGTGTTTCATAAACTTAGGTATCTATTAAAATGCATGACATTAACATAAGTGTACCTAATTATTTTTATTGTATTTACTTACTAATATAGTAACCTACTTTCTAGTATTAATTAGTGTTAGTTTTTTTATTACTTTCATGTCTTAGACATGCAATTATTTGACATAAAAGTTACCTTGCTTAATTTTTCATTGACAGCAATAGATAATGATTAGGTATGCTGAACTTGCTGGGTATAATTTGGTACAATATGTGTGTAAGACTATATATATTCCTTTAGTATGTGTCCTTCGGATTGTTATGTCATTATGATATTAGTTTTTTTTTTCTATTTAATTTAATCGTCCAAGTTGGTAAAAAGAACTAAACTTTTAAATAAATAGAGAATAGCGAATTTTTATATACTACCAGACTCCCAAACAAGAACATGGAAAGAAAAGATACTGTGCCCGCCTCATGTAATATTTAGGACGTAAAATGGAAATACATCTTAATATATAGTATTATACGAGTATTATTTGTAATATGACTATTTAGTTCTTAAACTGTTGATATATATGGCATAACATCTTATTGCACAGAAACGGCAATACCTGTGGGGTATTATGGACGACACAGTATACTGTGTTATCTCCATGGTACTGCTCATGTCTATAGGTGGCGGATTACCATTTTCCATCAGGTGGGCCGTCAGTTTTGTTCACCATTCTAAAGAAATCTCGTGTTCAAACCATTCAAACCATTTTAATAAATTTTTTAAAATGCATTTTATTCTATAAAGTGAATAATTGTGTATAAAATTTCAATCCGTTGGCTGGCTTACGTTTACGTTGGCTGGGTTAGCTAGTATATATATATATATATATATATATATATATATATATATATATATATATATATATATAAAGTTAGTTAAAGTTAACAAAAATTAAAAAAATACAATCGAATAGAATAATAAAATAATAATATGTAACCATAATTGAACCTTCTTCGTTTTGCAGTTCTGTTGAAAATCAGTTTGTAGTAACAGGCTACAATCTTCTAATCTCGGATCCTTCAGGCATAGTATTTTGTGCTACGTTTAGTGTGATATACAAATACTTTGTCATGCTACGCTCAGGATTATATACTTTATCACGCTACGCTTACCGTGATATATTTTATCATGCTACGCTGATTGATCGTGGATAGTTTTTTTTTAATTGGTCATAATGGAATAGTAACCCCACCGCGCTATTGGTTTACACCGGCGGAGTACTAGTGAAGAATGATAGGTGAGGATGAAGAGGGTCAGTTAGCCCATCGTGACAAATTCAACAAGAATTGTTCACGATGGTTTCCAGGGGGAAACAAGTGGTGTCGACCTAATAGGGCATATTGCTAACAATAGGGTTGTCAAACTCCATTGCCAATAATTCCTTTGCCCCCGACCGTGGATAGTTGAGTCAACCGTTGAGGAAAGAATTTCTAATCGGTTGTTTGGGTTGTCTTTAATTAGGAACGTATAGTATTTTATAACGATTTATAATCGGAATAAAATAAATATGGAATTAACACAGTAGTATGAATAAATGAATGAATAAGTACACTTTATTTTATACAATATAGGAAATAAGCAAGACAATTGTAACGATACATTTGTATAAGTATAGTAAGGCGGTCTTATTGGTGAAAGCAATCTTTTCAAAGCAACCTTAGGCTATCGGACTAATTATTATAGTAATTTAATGGTTCAGGGATGGACAGCAACATTCTTCTTACATCATCAAAGAATAAACAATTGCCAATCCGCCCGCCAAGCATGGCGAGTATTGGAAAAACTTCTCTTATAAGGCAAACGGCTGATATAGTAATAATAATAAATAGTTGTAAACTCTATCGACTGCAAAAATAATTATCAAAATCGGTTAAAAAATTTGTGAATTTACTAAAATATAAGCAAAGGGAGAATCTCCATTTTGAAGTATAATAATAATGTATTTATAATTAACAACTGTATATGTAATTAGTAATCTGAGATAAGTTTTACGTTTTACGCCAATGGAATAGTTTGTAATTATATTATGATTAACCTTGTTATCATTTATAGTGTGTAAGAAATATAGAAATTACGTTATCTATTTGTAATTGATCAAGATCGTGTTTGGAGCAAAATATTTATACATAATTATTTATATTTAAATATAATTATTATATATATATAAAATAAAAGTAACACCTAGATTGCTTGAAATATATACATTGATAGCTTTTAGAATGGCAAATAAGCTGACGGCCTACTTGATGCAAATTGGAAACCGTCGCGTCGCCTAATAGTACATCAACAGTACCATGATATTTCACAATATAAAGTTAAACCCATTGTGCGCATCATTCGTTGCCATTCCTGAGGATTATGATGTTTTTTTTTTTGATGGGTGAAAATAGTATGGTAACCCCGCCTGCGCTAACGGGATACGCTGGCGGAGTACCAGTGAAAGGGGATAGATGAGAATGAAAACAGGCCAGTTAGCCCATCATGATGAATTCATCGGGAATTAACCATGATAGTTTCCAGGGGGAACCGCGAGGAGGTCGACCTGGTTGGGTATATGGCTAGAGGATTGCGATGTTACGCCTCCGTACTTTGTAATTTCTCTGCCATATTCCACCCTTCAAACTGAAACGCTGTCGCGTTTTGTTCTATTATATCTTAAAAATATATCTTAAAAAGTATAAAATAAGCCGCTGTTAGTATTTATGTGTTTACTTAGAAATGAAACGGATTTCGATATGTGCTTCATTAACATTAATATAATCTAATTAAAATATATCCGTGTGAAGGCGTAGTCATTATTACTCTGTCACTTAAATAAATATAAATAAAAATTTATATATATTACAATTAAAAAGTAGAAGAGGAAGTCTTATTGCTAATTTATTCCAGATAACCATTGGGTAGAGGAGGAAAGAAAAAGACGGTAGCCATTTGGCGCAAAAGTGTTATCTATTAAAAACGCTCATGTTAATTAAACATAAGTAAATAATCATATAAGATATTATATATATCTAAGTATTTATAATAATATATATTACATAACATACATTTAGATATATACTCGTACATGTTGTAATAGAATTCATATATATATATATATATATATATATATATATATATATATATATATATATATAAATCATATATATAATTAATTCACGCAATAACGGGACAAGTAGGTATGGAAAGGACAAATATAAACAAAAAAAATATATAAAGACATGTATTTGGTAGTGGGTTTTTAATTAGGTCAATCTAACAGTTCACTGGGTTTTGTTTATTTCAGTATTAATTCCACAACGAGGTGCATTCGAAAATTCGATTAGAGCGTATCCACAACTTCATGACGCTGCACAATGGAGACAGAACCTAAGTAGGCCCGGGTTTGACAGTTCCTTTCTTGTTTTACCAGGTAAGTATTTCACAATCATTTCACATTTAGTCTATTAACGATACCTAGGAGTTTGTATATATACATATATATAATTGAAATATCAGCTGATTAGATATTTAAACTTTAAGCTTGATATATAAAATATCTATCTTATTTACTAGATTATTTTTTACTACAACGTTGCAATAAGGCCCGTCGAATGGATATGAATGGAAATATTTTATTTTTTTACCTTTCTTTTGATAATAATAATAAATATTTATTTGTTTTAAACATGGTATACAGTGATGTTATAATTATATTTAAGAGTGCACATGTAAAATCATATAGCATGCAAATTATGTTTCCTATTATCAATCATTGTTAGATATACAAAATGATCTGCATCGCATCTAAAGTTTGCAATAATCCTCCTGGTGTACATTTATATCGGTGTCGTATTAATTTTAATATGGACTATCCTTTTAAACAGTTATTCAACGTAGTCTGATTTATTATATTTAGTAAATTTTAAAATAACTAACGTGTAATTAGGACGAGAAAGCTCGGACTAGTTTTGAGACCATTCGGGACCTTTGATCGTGACCGGCTGTGACGCGAGCGTGACCCTGACTGTAGTCAATCTTTCTCGGTCTAATTATACGTGAGTTAAATCGGCAGTTATTACATTAATATATAATTTGTACTTATGAAACTTTGAACTATAAAACTTTGTAAATATTGACGAATGGCAATAATTATACTTCATATGCACCATATATCATCATCACCAATATTACTGAACGTGGCATACGTTCAGCCTTCATATTTCGCCATAAATATGGAGAAACCGGGGCCTGGGTGTCTTTAACATACACTTCTAGCCTAGCTTCATCCACTTCGTCTCATGCTTGCAAGTTCTTAATGTATCAATCATTTTCCAGATGCCAAAGACTTAGATTTGAAAATAGTTTACAAAATACATGAATATGAAACTCTATTAGACTCGTCAAACATGACAGAAGTTGAGTGGGTGAAGATAGCTGAAGATATAATGGTATGAGTAATTATTATGAAATTATGGTATTAATTAAATTTTGATTAATTATTCAATTAATCCCGTATATTTATTTATAAATAGCAAACAAAATATAATGCTTTAGTATAATAATTTAAAGAAAATTGATATAAAAGAAAGGATAAAAGAAATAAAAGCCCAAACAATATTTTTAGAAACTTAGTCTATTTATCTGTTTATTTCTTTAGGTATAACGTAAAATCTGCTGATCCAAATTGGATCTATATTTCATTTAAACCGTTAACTGTCCATTGCTGAACATAAGCTTTCCCCATAAGCGAAGTTTTGCCAGTAGTTGCCACGCTTGGCAGTCGGGTTAGCTACTGCAATTAGGTTTTTAAAGATCTATTAAGAGGGACGTTGCTGCTCATCCCTTTACCATTATGTTCCCTTAGTATATAGTATATATAGAAAGAAAGGGGTACAACAGGGTAGATCACACTTGTCATCAGTGAAAAATAACGTTGGCTGACAATACTGGGTAGTAAACTATAATGTAATTATAAGAGAGGTAATGTGATGCTACCCACATTTAACTATATTGGACTAAAAGTATCTTGGACATTGCAAATTTAAGTGTATTTATATTTGATATTAGAACGTCTTTTATAAATATTTAAGTCAAAGGAAGTTAATTGTTTTTTATTATAGGGATGACTAATCCTCTAAAACACAGGCTCGACCTAATTCAGTGGCTAGTAGATCTAACTAAATGTAATTTATTATTCAATAAAGACAGTTAGTTACCAGAGGGAGACTTTGTACAAAAGTCGATTGTTTGGGTACCTCTGTCCCATTCGTGTTTCAACCGTGAAGCAGCTGTGTTGGCATGGCTGTGTTTCGGTTTGAAGGGTAGGATATGTCGTGAATTTACTGGGTACAGAGGAATAACACCTGAGGCCTCAGGAATGGCAACGCATGGGGGGTATCATGGGCGAAACCGTATACTCTGTTATGTCCATGGTACTGCTCATGTCTATAAACGACGGTCACCACTTTCTATTAGGTGTATAGGTGTACAAAAAAAAATCTATATGGCGAATAGCTGTATAAGATTTTGTCCTGGTAATTTGTAAATTCCACAGTTCCTGTTCCTACTGCATTGATTATGGTAAAATTATCGTGGCTGGCCTTTAACAATCAAAAATGCAATCTTGTTAAATAACTTTTAATGGAGGAATTTCTTAATACGTTTGTAGTTTTTTGTGGATCTGTCAATAACGTCGGCAAATTTGAATCAACTTTGATAATGCTTTTTGCTATTGATAGAGTTTATATTCGTGTGGGTCTCATATTAATTCTAATATAATATTGGCCTAACCAGGTATTAAAACTGTGACTATGTGTGTGCTAGATAATGATATATAATGACTAACTTAAATAAAATAAATAGTGCTGTCATATAAAAAAAAAATTACTGATACAGTTGTGTTTTTGGTCTTACTTTAATAAAATAAATAATATAAACGTTAATTTTTAATTGGTATATATTTTATCTTGAAACACTATATATACCAGAGGGAGACTTTTTACTAAAGTTGTATGCTTGGGCACCTCTGTCCCATTCGTGTTTCTACCGTGAAGCTGTTGTGTTTGCATGGCTGTGTTTCGGTTTGATATGACAGTGAATTTACAGGGTACAGAGGAATAACACCTGAGTCGTCAGGAATGGTGACGCATGGGGGGTATCATGGGCGAGTCAGTATATTCTGTTATATCCATGGTACTAGTCTACATCACGTCTAGAGGCGACAGTTATCACTTTCCATTAGGTGGGCCGTTAGCTCGTTTGCCATTCTAAGTTGTATAAAAAAAGATAATTGCTCTATTTTATAAAATTTCTTACTTCTCGAATCTATGCGTATGAAGTAGTGGGCATAGAACTAGATGTATTTAAAAATAAATTATATTGCAGGAGCAATATGAGAAGTACGATGGTTTCGTAGTATTACACGGTACGGACACGCTGTCGTACACTGCGTCCGCTCTCTCGTTCATGTTTGAGAACATAGGCAAGGGGATAGTGTTGACTGGATCACAGGTATGTATTCAAATATTATATAATTCATTTACCTTCCTAATGCTCCTCAAATATTGCGTCTAAATTACGCCCCAGGGTACTCGACCCTTTTGTATAGGCATTCCGTCACCCGTATCCAATAGCGAGGACGGGATGCTTTAATACTGTACCGCAACCATAAAAAAAAAATATAATATACTTTTGTACATTCAATACAACAATATAGATATCAGGTTATTAGGTTTTTTAATGAATGACGGTATACGCTGGCGGGGCTCCAGTGAGGGCTAGAATGAAAAGGCAGGTCAGTTAGCCCATCGTGATGAATACACAGGCGGACTTATCCTTTGAATGGATTTCTTCTAGTAATTTTGAAAACCCAAGAGAGTTTTAATAAGGTTTGAATATAAAGCATAATATATATGGTGCAATGATAAATAACAAATTGTATTATTATTAGTAATATAATTAGTAACTGAATATTAATACAAAAGATAAACAAAACTATAAACATAGAATAACTATTACAAGTAAGATAGTTGTCAAGCGTAATGTAAAACCTTTTCTTGAGCTTTGAAGGCATGAACGGTCTGCGTCATTTTAATACTGTTTGGCAGAAAGTTTCAAAGTCTAACAATTTGTAAAGGATTTGCTGTAAAAGTACGACTTGTGGAGAAGTAATTCCAATGTATGATGTTTTAGACAACACACTATTATCATATATAAGTTATTATTATTATAATGAGTTCTTTATTGTATACAAAAGATTATTGAAATAGAAAAAACAAACATAATAGTGCACAAAGGCGAGCTTATCTCTAAAAGAGATTTCTTCCAGCAAACCCAATATGAGAAAAACTGATAGTTTATTAATACATACATGTGTACCAATCGACTTAAATGTTATAGTTAAAAAGAAATAAATAAAGTGACTTTACAATTAAAAACACCAATAGGTATAAATAAATGAATAAAAATATATATAAGTAAATATATACAAATAGGTAGATATATATTACGTACATAAGCATTGTGAGAGGTAATGTTTCTTCAGACGCGATTTGAAAATCTTAATGCTTGGGCTATTTTTAATTTCATGAGGAAGTGTGTTCCTTAACAGATATATTCAGTGAAGACCTAAAATTATATGAAAAAAACACTTGAGAAATAAAATTCCGCATATTAAAAAAGGGAAAATATTTTTTTTTAAATTGTTATTGTTATATAAATAAATAAATATTTCTCTTATTTGTAGTGTCAGGTAATTTTTTCATATTTAACATCTGCTGTCGTTTATTTAATGTATAAGTATATTGTGGAAATTGTTATTCCTATATTTATTATTTATCTGTTTTTGGAATTGTTTGTTTTCTTAATAAAGTATATGTTATAGAAATAAAATAAAAAAGTATTTCTAAAGCAGTCTATCGTAATATAAATTTTACGGTTTTGTCTAATGATCGGTACAAATTATTCGTTACTATAGTAATACTGGTTTGTACTTAATATTTTAGTGTTAATAATAATTATATGGCTTTACATAATATTATCTAATATTTTCTAATAGATACCAATATTTGAGCCCCGAAGCGACGGTGCGGACAATTTCGTGTCAGCCCTGTTAATCGCTGGTGGACTAAATATACCAGAAGTGACCATTTTCTTTGGCAGCAAACTCTTTAGAGGCAACAGGTACGCAATATTGTCTACACATATATATGAAATATTTTTACATACACATTTATTTATTTTTATTTATTTTTAATTAAAATAATTATAACATTATTACAGCAAAAGCCAAATCAATGTTATAAATCTAGTGTGCTAACATACAAAGTTATAATAAATGTATTTAACCCGACTCTAGATATTTCTGAGCCTCTTCTAATATCTTTGGCAGGCTACTAATAAATATATCAATGATGTTTATAATATTATTTAGGAACCGTACTGCGTGAGTTAAGGGAGCGTGCTAAAGTAGGTTAGTTCTTACTGGCGGGATATTAAACATATACTTATATATATCAGCGAAAGAGGTTTGTTTGAATCGAAACATTTGGCGTTCCATTGTTTCTGCCTACCCTAATGGGAGATAGGCGTGACAGATATGTATGTATGTATGTTATATATATCAAATACGCAAAAGAACAGAATATTTAAATAAAATTCAAAGATTTTCCTCACTAATTTAGATATTAAAAAGAAGTTAATCACATTTTCAGAACAGTATTACAATTAGATTTAAAAAAAAGTTAGAAACTAAAAAGATATTCTATTTATTTATTTATTTTAAATATTATTTTATCCGTATGATAATGAGATGTTTTCTAAACATCATCTCATCATCATACGGTTATAAAAGTACCCGCGGTTCCACTCGCGTGAATTAGTACATACAGTATCCTATATGCTAAGTTAGGACATTACGTACCCGTTTCAAACAAATCCGTTCAATAGATTTTGTGTAAAAGAATAATAAACATCCACGTATCTATCCATCGTTACAAATTTCCACATTTATTATATAACTAGCATAAATAAATATTTTAAAACCTATATTTTAAATACACAATCGGAATTTAACGCGATGAAAAATTTTGCAAGTAAATAGTACCTACATCATATCAGCCTTTAACCGTCCACTGCTGAACATAAGTCTCCCCCTGGGGGGGTTTTGCCAGTAGTTGCCACGCTTAGGTAAGCGTGTGTAGGTACACACTGGTTTTTTATAGCTGACGTTTTCACCTGGATTGCACCACGTAGCGCTCACGACAGGACGGAGAATTTTTCATCTCGTTAAGTTTCAATAGTGTATTCAAAATATGTGTAAATAAAGAACAAGTTTAAAATAAAATATTTTAGAACTCGCAAGATATCAGCTCACAATCTATACGCTTTCGATTCACCGAACTGCGTGCCTCTGGTCGAAGTGGGTTTATCATTCGAAGTGAACAAGAAGGCCATATTCAAACCAACAGTCATACAGAAATGTCGACTGCACGCAAAAATGTCGAAGAATGTCGGCATGCTGCTTATATTCCCTAGCATCAGCTGTTCTGTGGTTAAAGCATTCTTTCAACCGCCTATTGAAGGTAAGTAAATTGGATTATTAGAAACTAGTTCAGGTAGCTTAGCATTGATCAGTACTTAAAGTGTCTTATGTGCTACATTAGGATATAACCTACCTGTCTAGCAAATTTCATTCAAATTCGTTCAGTCGTTTTTGCGGTAAAGAGTAACAAACATCCATCCGTCCATTTAACTTTACAAACTTTCGTATTTATAAGTATTAATAGGATTTAATGCCGTGTGGTCCTGGCATAGAATAGGCCACTCCTTCCTTTCCCGTGAGTGTCGTAAGAGGCGACTAAGGAAGATGAGGAATGGGCAGCAGCGTCCTTCTTAAAACAACGCCTGCCAAGCGTGGCAATTATTGGTAAAACTCCACAAGGGGGAGGCTTATGTTCAGCAGTGGACATTTAAAGGCTGATATGATGACGATGACATCCTTATGTACATAAATATACGTCGTCTATTTGCTAATACTGTAGAAGGAAGGAGTAGGAAGCCAAATATTCCGATTGTACAAGCTTTACCATAAAGACCCATTAACGTTTTACTCCTGGACACTGGTTTCTCTCCATAAGAGCAGAGTGTTTTTAATAATAATTATAATGTGTCCCACAAAAAACCGAATTCAATTGTAACAAAACCCGTTATTTTGGATGTTCAATACCTGAGTTCTCGTTCTTCAATTCCATTAGGCGTTAACTGTTCACTGCTGCATATAGGTCTTCTCTACAAATGGGATTTGCCAGTAGTTGCCTCGTTTGGCAGGCGGGTTTATATTAACGTATCAGTATCATATGCATAATTTCGGATGCGGGATGCACGGAGATTTTATAACACATTACAAGCGAAACGGGATTTGATGACCTGAAAATATGAGTCCTATTTTATCCTTGGACAAAATTTTCTTTTACACTTGGCTCGTCTTTCCAAGCTTTTATGTTCATCGAGTGGTAATTGTTAGTGTAAATGGTCCAGTTATAATAAAAATTCTAAATGCAGGTATTTTATAAGAGTACACAACTTATAAAAAAGGGAGAGTATTGTATGGAGATAAAATTACTACCTTTTGTGCAGGTTTTAACTATTACTCTAATAACCATTTTTATATCACGAAGGTGGTAAACAAGCATACAGCCCATCTGATGGTAAATGATCAGATGCCTGCAACACTATGGGTGTCACTTGCGCGTTACCGATCCTGAATATGCCCTTTTTGAAAAACCCCATACAGTATTCAGATAAAATTTCGGCAGGGAGCTCGTTCTAAAGCCTGAGCGTTCACTGGAAAAAATTTCTCCACTGAAAAAAACCTAAACGACTAAATGATTTCCTATGTAGGGGTGGTACTATCAACGTACGGAGCTGGCAATATACCTTCAAACCGGCAAGATATATTTAACGAAATAGCAGACGCTGTCCGCAGAGGCGTTATAGTGGTCAACATCACGCAGTGTACGTCGGGCTCCGTGTCAGCATTGTACGAGACTGGGAGAGTGAGTACTCTTGGAAATCTACATAATTATAATAAAACTTGCTTTTTTGCCTGTTACTTTGTACGTGTGAATAATAGAAGTAGGAAAACCAATGTAATAAATCACTTTTATATGGCGTATCAAGATAAAACCTACACCAGATTTGAGGTTATACCTTCAAGAACATAATTGGTAAGCGGCATCTAATTTACAGTAGTTTTTGCGTGATGTCGTAATAAACAAATTTAAATTCAAAATCTTTATTCAAATATACTTACTTACAAGCTCTTTTTAAATATTTTTTTATGATTATACACCTGAGTTCGTTTAAATGTAGTTATTCGCTGAGAAGAATGAACATATATACAGATGGATAAAATATCTATTTTGACTTCTATTGCTCTTAATAAGATCCCTCATATCAATTTTTCTTCAATATCTTTCAAATACAGACATCACTTACACTTACCGCAAAAAAGACGCCGTTTGTCGTATCTCCTCACTTTCAGGGCACTTCCCTTGATAAAAAGTCAAGTCTAGGAATTCTGGGCGTTGATATATCTTGCGACGTCCAGTTTTGCGGTCATCTGGAGGAGAAGGCTAAGATAGCTTCTAAAAAGTTAGGAGTGCTCAATAGGGTGAGACGATATTTCATGCCAGAACACCGCCTGAAATTATATAAAGCCCAAGTCAGGCCGCATATGGAATACTGTTCTCACCTGTGGGCAGGAGCGCCACAGTACCAACTCCTTCCGTTAGACCGCATTCAAAGTCGGGCGGCTCGAATTATCGATAGTCAACGCCTTACTGTCCGACTTGACCCATTGAAACTGCGCAGAGATGTTGCATCTCTGTGCATCTTCTACCGAATTTATCATGGGGAGTGTTCTGAGGAATTGTTCGGATTGATACCTGCTGCTGATTTTCACCACCGTACAACCCGCCACAAACTAAAGTTTCATCCCAATCATCTGGACGAGTGGCGGTCTTCCACCGTGCGTTTTACAAGGCACTTTCTTCCACGCACAACCATTCTTTGGAATCAACTTCCAGCAGCAGTATTTCCGAACCGATACGACAACATAACCTTCAAGAAAAGAGTATATTCCTTTTTAAAAGGCCGGCAGCACACCTGCAATGCCGCTGGTGTTGTGGGTGATCATGGGCGGCGGTAGTCACTTACCATCAGGTGAGCCGCATGCTCGTTTGCCCCCTGTGTTGTAAAAAAAAAAAAAAAAAACTTATTTACAATTTTATTATATCAGAAAGGTGATTACTAGACAATGTCTGTACATAGAACGTGTTTAAGAAAATTCACATGAGGGGTCAAGAGCAACTCTATACCACTTGATATTGCTCGAGTTTCGCCAAGTCTATTCGAATTTATCTTAGATTATCTCTTGAGGCTTGTTTGCCATTCTAAGTTGTATAGAAAAAAGACGACCGTGAAATATGGTTAAAAATCTCATACCGATTTCTCGAGATTCTGATAATGTTTAGCTATGATCAACAACGATCCTAAGGACAATTTTATAGAAGTCTATTAGTAAAAAGTCTACTAAGTTGTATGTTCTACTTCTTGTTTCGTTTTCTAATTAGCATCCTATAACTCTTTAGTTGTACCTGATAAATGTAAGAGGACTAGCCTTAATTTAATCATACGCGAACGAAGCCGCGGGAAGAAGCTAGTTACTCTATTTAGATGTGATTTCCAGTTAATATCACAATGCGGCGTGGTGTCCGGTTACGATATGACCCCGGAGGCGGCGCTCACTAAACTGTCCTACGTACTGTCCAAGACCGAGCTCAGTTACCAGGAGAAAGTCGAGGTGAGCGATTATACTCGTGTTACGTACCACACTTGTAATTTGAGAGCTGGTGGGTCACTTCCTCAAGTTCCCTTTAAGAAAGAGTGTAGTAGTATAAGAAGTAAGATAAAAATTTAATGTTTTGGGTAAACCTCGACTGGGGAGCTTATTCCATAAGCTGAGCGTTCGTGGGAGGAAACATCTTTAAAACCGGGCTGTACGCGACTATCTAAGCTCTATGGTATGATGGTGAACTCCCTGTCGATAGAGAGCTGTACGATGGTAAATGGTGGCTCTGGGATGCCCAGAGCCTATTGTATTGAATAGCAATTTAATTACGATCCTTTTCTAAATAGCGATCAATGTTAATTTCCACAGCAAATTACGGGGTCTCAAAAGCCTACATTTTTATATCTTTTGCTTCACCTACTTTCATGATTCTTTCATGTATAAGTACACGCTTTCTCTACTCTGGGAGACTATTTTATCTTTAGATAGAATAGTATAGTATTTCAGACACACACACAAAATAGTATTTCAGCTTAGTTTATTGGTGTGTGTCAGTTTTGAGGGTAGCTAAAAAAGTTGTAAAATTTGTGTGTGAATTCCATTTACTATCAGTTTGTATAAGAAATGATGAAGCGAAACCCTTGAAAGCGAAATTAATATGTAGAATGATTTAGGAATGGAACAGTTCAGCATCAGAATGACGTTATGCAGTTCCTGCACATATTCTTGAATGTTCGTTATCTTGCAGATGATGGCCACGAATATAAGAGGCGAATTGACGAATACCACATCTATCGCAATAGAGGTATGATGAATTAATGTTTTTTTCTATATTTTGTTATTATTTGAAATAAGCACCTGTAAGTATGATTGCCTTTTTGATTGCTAGATTGTTGCTATTGGTTTATGTTGCGGAGGTATTGAAGGATGATAGGTCATGATGAAGTCAGGTTAGTTGCCTATTATGACAAATTTACCAGGAATTAGTCAGTTTTCCAGGGGATTATGTGGATATTGACAGGGTTTGTTGCTACGGGCTGCTAGTTTCTTACTAACAATTCCTCCCTCCACGTGTATGGTTGTGTTAATAGTTATTATTTACATTAGGACGTGTTTCTGTTGGTAGAATGATTTATGGCACTGAAGTTACAAGGTATGGAGACATTAGCCTTCCTGCTGGGTACGGGTTTCTTTCTGTATGGGAAGTATAGTAGATTACTATTACCACCCTGATTAGAAGGATATAAATCCCTGTAGGTACCAATATGGTTTGCGATACCCAAAGGATAAAAAGAAGTGATAACACAGTACATACCAGTAGGAACCTGAGAGCTATACCTATGTTTTAATATCTTTTAGGACAATACCCTAATAGACGCACTTGCCTCCAGCCTGAACATACAATCGCCGAAGATGCTGATAGAGGTGACGGAGAAGGTGTTCAACGCGTTACTGGTGCACGCGATCGAGCACAGTGACGAGAGGGCAGTCAGGAAGACCTTGGGTGTGTATTTACTTCTATTTAAAAAAAAATCGATTTGACCCTATTTTTAGGAAATCACGCGACGTCTTCGTTTTTTGTGAAACGATTTTAATGATTATTTTTTATTAATAAGTGTTTATTCTGAGTAAAATATTCCTATAATTATTTTATATCAATAGTAAATCATAAATACTAGATATTAAGGATAGTACATGCGGTTCTGGCGTTGTAGATTCTTGGAAGTTCTTGAGTGGACTGAACTTAGTGGTTATACTGTCACCTTACACTTCACAGCATGCAATTTTATTAATGATAAAAAGCTAGCCAGCTTGGATGCTTTGCGGTAGAATTGAATATGTCAAAGAGATGACTTTATAGTTTCTCTTTGGTGGATTCTCTAGCTGCTAAAATATCGCTCATGTACTTACTATTTTATCTGACAATCTAGAGTTGAAGGTGACAAGCACTTGTCAAAATTACAATGAAATTCAGAACGAAATAGTTTCAATTGCTTTATAAGGGTTTGTTTATAACATTTTATTGCACAGTAAAGTCTTAAATTATAGAATACAGAGTTCTTAAGAAAAGAATGAGTACAACGGTGGACTTATTCCATAAAAGGGATCTCTTCCAATCAACCTTTGAATGTCTGATAAAAATTATAATTTGGTGGAGACAAAAAATAATAGCTAATTAAGAATAATAAAATAATAGGCATTACAGTTACAACATGAGTACAACATTGATACTGGACAATATAACACATCTAAATAATATGTAATACATCTAAAAGGATTATAAATCTGACTATACGGAATACTTCTAGGATCCAAGATGAATAAAACGTTACTTCTTCTATAAGTATACATGTCCTATTTATTTAAACTTTAATGCACAGTAAAATTCTATACACATTTGGCGGACATAACATCGAACGGTGTTCTCTACCAGTAAACCATTGGACAAACCGAGATATAATTAAAATAAAGTAATACTACACTAAATAGATAATAATAATATAATAAGAATGTCTCATAAAATGTAAAAAAAAAAATAGGGCACGGGAGTTGATTAGGTTTTATAATACAACTCCTTGATGGCCCCATCCTATTGCTAGGAAGACGTTTCACAATCGATTCTTGATGAACAAAATTGTTTTGTTATTGTAGGAATTGGTTTAATTTAAATGTCAATTGTTTTATTGGGGAAAAGATCGCCACATCAATATTAATTTATTGCAATACGTAAACACGCTTTATAAGCTACCAAATATTGATTTTGATGTAATCTAACAGATCCTGAGTTACTGTAGCAAAGTCAAGGATATATAAATTTGTTATATATGTAAATAGTAGACTTATAGTACCTACATAATATAAGACAAAAGGAACTTATCACGACTTTTATAAAAAACAACTTTAAGAAATTGAAATTTAATTATCATATATATCTTTTCACCTCTTGATACGACACGACGAACTTATGAACATTATAATAGAAGGTAAGATAGAAGGAAGGAGGTGAAGAGGTAGACTAAGTCACAGTTACATCAGGCAGATCAAGGAAGGAGTTGGTGTCGTGTCGTGTCAAGAGGTGAAGAGATTCGCTGAAAATCGTAGTGAGTGGCAAGAGCTTCACCGACAAGACTGCAGTTCTTAAATAGGATAGATGTTGATAAAGGAAATCTAATTATAAACGCGATTCCCCGTTCCAAATTAAATATTTACAATATCAAATATCCATAATACTTAATGTTTATTGAAGTCACTTTTTACACAGTAATATGTACTAGGTTATGTTCATAAAAAAATTTTGTGTGCAGACATGGGCGCGGACATTTCTGGTCAGAATTCTGAAGGCAGGACCCCGCTTATAGAGGCCGTACATAAAGGGAACAAGGCGGTTGTGGAGTTTCTACTGAAAAATGGAGCGAATGTCCATTTAAAAACCAGGTAACTATAAGGAGCAATAAAACTTAATAATACCCTATAGACATAAGCTACACCAGGGTATATTTTGCTAATTTTTTTTTTATACAACTTAGAATAGCAACTTGCTGGAAAGTTGTAACCGATGCCTATGAACATGTACAACAACATCGGTATCACAGAATACACCGTGATGCATATAGCACACTGTTCGTTGTTGCCATTTCTGAGAACTATGGTTTTACGCCTCGGTGTCTTGTTATTTAATTGCCATATCCATAGCCCATTTATAGTTGCTCGACCAGAAACACGAGTGGTACAGAAGTTTTTTTTTAATGGTGATAATGTAAAGGTAATCATGCCTGTGTTATCGGTATACACTAGCGGGGCATCAGTATGTGACGACAGATGAGGATGAAGTTAGGTCAGTTGGCTTATCGTGGTGAATTCACAAGGATTAAACCATAATGGTTTGCGGGGGGAACCGCATGGATGTTGATCTGATACCCTTTATTGCTAGGGATATAGGGAAACAGAAGTACTTATACAGGCTTTTGTACAGTCTTCCTCTAGTGGGAAATGTAATTGATAGGGTCAAAGGATCGGAGGACTATTTCAAAGGTCGGGATGGTCGGAATTTGGACCTCGTCAGGATGAAATAAGAAGGCAAATTTCTTGTCGTAAATCGAGTTCGTCCTCTTCCTCTGTCATGGTCATATTTTTTAATAATCATAGTTTTTGTCTGTCAAATCTCTTAGTGGCCAGTGAGAAAACTGGTCAAGGGAAGTGAAGAGGAAGAGTAAGAGACCTGTCTATACATAATATTTCTCTCTTGCATCTTTTTTCGTCTGACACCCTGTTCGGTACGTTAAGTTGATGCTAACGGGCTATAAACAACCAGCAATCGAACTATTTCAGATGTGGAGAATCTGCTCTCTTGACTGCGATACAACGAAACGACATATTCATGATAGAATTGCTGATGAAATGTGGTGCTCATCTGTCCACTACTGATGATAAGTCAATCTGCGAGATGCTTTCGTTAGCAGCTAGAAGCGGTTCGATCAGGCGATTAGAATCGTTACGAGTGGCCGGCGCTGATTTCAATTTAACTGATGAGCTAAAACAAACTCCTCTACACAAGGTAAAAGGGAAGATATATCTAAGTATATCCATACTATACAATTTTGTTATGGTTTATAATGGATTAGCAATCCTACCTGCATTATCGATATCCGCTGGCAGGATGGGGTGAAATTAGGTCAGGTAGCCCATTGTTTAGAATTTCTCGAGAACCACGATTGTTTCTAAAGGGAACCGCATGGAGATAAACCTGATTGGGACATATTGTTAACAATAGAGTCTCTTTCCCAATACTATACCATTTTTTTTAATAATGGATGATAATGGAATGGTAACTCCGCCTGCGTTATCGGTATACATTAGCAAGGCACCAGCGAGGGATGATAAGTGAAAATGAAAGAGCAGGTCAGTAAGCCCATCGTGATAAATATACCTGAATTCAGCACGATAGTTTCCAGGGAGGACCACGTGAAGATTGACCTGATGGGATATATTGCTGGTATTGGGACTGGTAGTTCGCATTACTAACAATCCCCCCAATACCATACCATTACAGCTCTCTGCTAGATACGAGTTTCCCCCCTATTGGGAAGATATAACCAGAATAAAGCTTACTAATGCCACGCTTGTCAAAAACACTTGTTAGTAATGGGGATTAGCCATCCTACTGCTAGCAATATAGTCCATCCGGTAGACCTACTCGGTTTACCTTGGAAACCATCGTAGTAAATTCTTGAAGAATTTATACAATGGGCCAACTGACCTGTTTGTATCTTTACCTGTTACTCTTAGCAAACGGGTTGCAACCGCAGTTAGGCTTTTGGTGCTGTTTTAAGAGGTACTCTACTGTCTACCCCTCGACCATTAAACCAAGGGTGTTGGTACCTTAAAAAGATGCATATAGTATATCAGACATGTCTATGCCAAGCTTTGCTTGCTTTTGCTCCTTTAGTTGCTTCTGACGATACCCATGGGAAAGGAAGAGTATTACATATTATCCATTTAATTTATTGTATTTAATAGGAAGGAAGGATAAGGATAATAATGTGGCAATAGGCTAGTCACATAGCCCAAGAAACCGACAACCGATGGGGAAGAAAGGTTCTTGAGTGGCGACCGCGTATGGGTAAACGCAGTGTAGGACGACTAGATGGAGTGACCACCTGAAATACATTGCAGTCAGTGGATGCAGATGGCTCAGGACCGTTCTTTATGCCAGTCTATGGGGGAGGCTTATGTCCAGCAGTGGACGGATAATGGCTGAAATGATGATTTAATAGTAGGAGGATAAATAAACTTAATGATGATGAAGTATTTAATCAAAACAAAAATACCTACTCTATTGTTGTTTCTGTTTCAAGGCGGTGCTCTGTACAAACGTGGACGTAGTAAGATATTTAGTAGAGAACGGTGCGGAGAGGGAACTTGTGGACGTACTCAACTGTACGCCCCTCGACTACGCTGTGAAACTTAACTGCCAGGATATTATTGATTTATTAAAATAGGATTTATGTATATAGTGTGATTAAAATTACATAAAATAAGGAAATAAAAAATGCTACTGAATTGTACCTATTCCTGTGCTATATTTGAATGTTTTGGCGTATTTTAAAGTTATTTGGCCTCTAAAAGGCGCATATGTACTCTCTACGAAGCTCTGTTTGCATTCTAGGGTGGGCATTAGACGATTCCGGGGGTTGGGAGAGGAGGGGGAGGATTCTCAGTCTCCATTACTAATAATCCCTTTCCCCCCTCCTCCAAGGATTACATTAGTAAACATATTATAAATACAGACAATTATAAGAAAATATTAGGGTTTTTCCAGGCAAGTGGCATTGAATTTGCAGAGTACAAAGGAATAACAGCTGTGTTCTCACAAATGACAACGCATGGAGGGTATCATGGGCGAAACAGTATACTCTGTTATGTCTATAGATGACGGTTACCATTTTCCATCAGGTGGGCCGTCACCTTGTTTGCCATTCTAAGTTGCATAAAAAAAATAAAAAAGGCAATTATAATAACAAAGGTTACTATTATATGTATTATATTTGGGAGAAATAGATAACAGGAATAAAGTATCCATGGGTATCCTTTTTAGACCTGAACGATACGGACGTGAGTTGTAACTTTAAAAAATTCTAAAACGGCGCGCAATTCATTTTTACGCACGAAGCTGAAATAACATGATAGTGAGATTCTAAACCAGCCAATAAGAAATCATTTTAGCGGTTAGGTGGTGCAGTAGTTTCGTGCGTCCCGGCAAGATGGCTTGACTCCAAATCACGAAAATGTATTTAATCAGAAAGAAAAAAAATCTTGGTTCTGAAAGGGTTATGGGTATGTTTGTTAAATTTGGGTATAAATAAGAACTAGCGATTGATCATACATAAATTGATCAAATTTTATTTACATATCATTTTGATCCCATCGATTCTTAAGAATTGGTGTTTGTGGCGAAATTGTTCATTAACATTAATAAATGATGGCGGCGCAAAGGGCACGGCGTGTATGTCATACAATCTTCGCCTCTGCGACCGTTCGACATTGCTTCTTCCACTGCTGTTGAGTTTATCATGGCCGATAGTATCTTATTGCTGAAAAGAAAACAATATTTTTGTAAAATTATCTACGTCTCAAATGTAAGTTCCAGAAATTAATATAGTAAAAAACGTGCTCGAACAAAATGGTAGTCGGAGATTAATGGATAATATTTTTTTTATACAATTTAGAATGGCAATTAAGCTGACGGTCCACCTGATGGAAAGTAGTCCCCGTCGCCTATAGACATGAGCAGTACCATGGACATAACAGAGTATACTGTTTCCCCCATGATACCCCCCATGCGTTGCCATTCCTGAAGGCTCAGGTGTTATTCCTCTGTACCCAGTAAATTCACGCCATATCCCTCCCTTCAAACCGAAACACAGCCATGCAAACACAGCTGCTTCACGGTTGAAATACGAATGGGACAGAGGTACCCAAGCAATCGACTTTTGTACAAAGTCTCCCTCTCCCTACCATCAGAATAGAAGAAAAATATTTATACCATTTTTTACTATCGTACAGTGCGCCAACGACAGGGAGTTCTTTCTTATAGCTTAGAGCCTGGATGGTCGCGTACAACGCGGTTTCATAAATGCTTTTTCCCTTGAATGAACACCCTGTCGAGGTTTTTCTAAGAGACTACATGGTGTTGTTTTTTTTAAAAAAAAAAGAACGAAAAGGCTTCACATGTAATTCTTCTGGTATTGCAGGGGTTCATAGATTATGGTAATCGTTTATCATCAGATGGGCCGTATGCTTGTTTGTCATTTCAGTGGTACAAAAAACCATTAGATAAACCATTTAATCATCCTCATCGTATTGTTATGACTGACGTATTTAATTAAAAAATTAATAGCTTAAAACGTTTATCTACCTATTAGTAGGTTACAACAATAGTTACCTCCTAGCGTAGTTCCACATATTCATGAAGTTACTATGGATAGCTCTCTGTCCAGTCCAGCAGGCTACCCTCAGGGTACAGCTGTAGAGACTCGGGTTCTCCAGTATATGAGTGGCAAAGTTCAACATTGTATCCGACCCGACCTCTGTGCTGTTAAGTACTGAAAAACGAAATTTTATTATGCTACATTTTACTATGGAATGAAATTTGGTTTTATCTATACTACCTAATATTATAAAAAGGAAAGATTTTATTGTTTCACAAAGTACTATACCAATTTCAAAAAATTCGTACAACTATATAAATAAAGCTAGGTATTGGGGGAAAAGGGATTGTTAGTAATGGAGACTGAGAATCCTATTGCTAGCAATATACCCAAACAGGTCGACCTCCTCGCGGTTCTCCCTGGAAACTATCATGGTTAATTCCTGATGAATTCATCATGATAGGCTAACTGGCCTGTTTTCATTCTCATCTGTCACCCTTCACTGGTGCTCCGCCAGCGTATCCCGTTGGCGCAGGCGAAGTTACCATACCATTTTTACCCATTAAAAAAAAAGCTAGGTATATTATTTTCGACAATTCTATCTACCTGTGCGAAACCAAACCAGATTGTTAGTTTTGTTAACAAATATATCTCCATTATTAGAGATAGTCCTCTTAGACAAGTGATAAAGCGCTTTAGCGAAATCATTTCATATAATAATGAAATGATTTCATAGATTAAGAACAAATAAATGAAATAATAATAAAGCACTGGCAATAAATAAAGAAAAAATTAATAATCTAGTTGTCATGACATTCTTATTTCGAAATGGAAAGGTAACTATTTAAATAGTCAATTGTATCAACAACAATGGAGGAATATTAGCTTTCGGGTTACAAAATAAAATTTTCAGTGTTCATAGTTATGAATTTTATATAGAACCTATAACTGTTATTAATTACAGTAAGTATTTATGAAATCCTACTAATCTAAGTAATATTATAGATCTGAAAGTTTGTAAAGATGTTTGGATGTCTGTTACTTAATAACACATAAACGGTTAAACAGATTTGAATGAAATTTGATATGCGGGTAGGTTAATATTTTTCATACAACTTGTGATGGCAAACAAGCTGACGGCTCGCCTGATGGAAAGTGGTAACCGTCGTCTATATATATGAACAATACCGTCCATGGTATTGTTCATGTATATATAACAGAGTATACTACTTATTACGTTATTTTTACATAATTTACCGCGTAATTTTTATTTTTAAAATACTTTATGTAATGATGCATGTGGGCAAAGCCGCGGGAAATAACTAGTATTTATTTAAATATTTGTCAAGCAGTATTATTAATTTATTTTAAACATTGGTCTTCATTATATTGAAATTTTCAATATTTTTTTAATGTCTAACATATATAATAAAATGTAGAGATGTGACTATAATCTGAAACGTTCAACTAATTTGGTTATTTGAAATAAGTAAGTAAGAAAAATAAAATTATATAAATTTAAAATAAAATACAGGACAAAACTAATGCCCTAAATCATTCTGCTATCACAAAAAAAAAAATACCACTTTCTGTGAAGTAGAACGGATTTCGCTTTCGGATTTCATATAATAGTTACTCTATTTTGGATTGAAAGATTTTGAAAATAAGGTAACACCTACAGCTTTAAAACATAACGAAGTTAGAAATAATAATAAGTGCCATACAGAAAATATATTGTACATGCCTCTTGTACTTTTTGCATTAGAAGATATAAAAGTGAGTATTCTGACAAAAAACTTGAAATTGGCAGATCATGGAGCAAATGTACCTGGTTGAGATATTTATAGACAAAATAACAATATTCGCATCTGACGAAGACGAAAAAAGCGGAGCTAATAAAAACTTAATTATAAAAATTCGATTCGGCCCTAAAGTCCAGTTTATAATCAAAGAAGGTCAGCTAGCACGAAATGAGGACAAGAAAGATGATATTATAGAATGCGATGATCTTGGACGCAGAAAATGGACAAGAACCATTAGAGTTGGTAAATCTTATCTATTTCCATCATATCCAGATACAGTCCTCATGATATTAAGTAAGTTTCCGCTTGAAATTGAAGTATGGAATGATGATGCAAATGAAGTAGAAATATTTGTCGGTATTGGTACAATGTATTGGGAAACCGAGTTTTATCATATGCTGAAAGATACTGCTGATGCTTGTAAACCTCATGATCCTCTGTCTATTAAGCAACATACACCATTATTCGCAGAATGCTGTTGCAAGCAAGTTGGTGAGATAGGATTTATTCTTAGACTGAGCGCCCTTGGAGATAGCATTATCACAGAGTTCCAACAACTTATGAAAGATCCGGATGCATTTGTTTTTAGAACGAATAAGGCTCCAAGCATGTTTCAGTGTAAAAGAATTGAGGGTGATGATCCTAATTTCTGTATGGTAGGTAGTCTTTATGAGACAACTACCTTAGAGGATCCAGCAGTACTTAATAGTGCAGAAGAAAAGCTTGAAGTTTGTACGCAACTCCAAAGCTGTGGCATTGGACAAAAATATGTTGATTATAGTTGTGAACATAATAAAGAGGAGCCAAAGAAAAGATATCCAATTGATAAAATACGGATGGGCGATATAACAGGTCCATGTGGCAATGCCAACTGTCCGTTAGCGCATAAAGTGAGAACATACATACGGAACTTAGATGCATATAAACAAGAAGCAACAAATAAGGTGAGTGGTACTAAAGATAACACTACAAGGAAAATTTGTGGCGCTTGTGATTGTAAAGATGATCGTTGGCATCGCGATGAGTGTCCAGATAAAGAAAATAAAATGGATCCCAAAGTTTTGTGTACTGGTTGCGGTGGAATTGCCAATTCTGGCCACACTTGTGACAATACAAATACAAAGGATAAGGAGTACAGTCCTAGTGCAGATCCATCAGTCAGTAAGACGCAGGTTAATTATATATTTAGTGTTAATAAAGTTGATCCTGATCTAAAAGACTCAATGTTTGGAAAAGATTTTATTGTAGAGAATTCTATGACAAATTATAACTTTCAATTTCTTCACACCAATCCAGCTACAACATGTCAAAGTATTAAAGTAGTCAGTGGATGCTGTTGTCGAAGACCGCAAGTTTCAATAACAAAAATTTCTAGTACTCCTAGTATGATTGCACCTGAGAATAACGCTTCTTCTAGCTTAGCAAAAAATAATCAGACAGTTTATAACATGGAGTTACGAGAATCGAAACGTAAACTCACCGTCTACAATTGCATAGAAATACCCGAAGAAAAGGATTATAAATGTGATCCGCCTAAACTTTCACCGCCTTGTAAGACATTCGATTGTGACTGTATAGCCGAAACATCAAATATAGCAACTAGAAAAGCTCACAAGCCTTACTGCCCTTCTTACAAACATAAGAGCTGCTGTCCTGTGACTATGATGCACGAGGAAGAAGATAAAAAGAAGTTGGATGAAGATGAAGATGAAGCTGAACCTCTACCTTATGGTTTGCCACCAATACAACTTGGTCCATGCCCCGTGATGGGTAGACCATGCACAGTACCTGATGGGTTTGCTAGAATGTATAAAACTGCTACATTACCTGCGTTACCACCAAGTTATAACAATGCAGGGAAGGTATGTTGTTCTAAAGAATATGAAAGAATAAAAAAAGCGATAAAGGATTATCTTAAAAACGAGAAAGACCACGATTATCGTTGTATAAATAAATTCAATGTTGACACTGAAAGACGATGCTGTGACAAAGAGCAGCAACTTCTATCTTTAATGGGCAAAGCATGCTGTGGATCTCATAAGATGGCCATTCAAGAGAAGTTTAAAGAAGATAAAAAATGACGAGTTGGTGACCATCATTGATATTTTATTTTGTAACCCTCGAGTGTATAATATCATTATCAACATTTAATTATATTTTCCTCAACTATGCAGTATTTTTATTTTTATTCTTTTATATTGTTTCGATTTATCAATTCAGATAACTATATAGGCAGGTATACAATTAATCATCAAGAATATAAGAAAAAAATTCTTAACGGTGACAAAGATTTTATTATTAGGTTTATACAAGATAATAGGAAATTATTTATGTTTATTAATTTATCATATTATGTCCATAATAATGATGATGGAATTGTTCATAGAAATTTATAGTATCAATCTAAGTAGAAAATGGGTGATGAAGAAGACAACGAAAAGAAGAAGAAGAAGAAAAATGTATCTAAATACAACTACACGTTTGGTGATGTACATCCAGGTACATGTCTTTTCTTTATTTTATAACTTTGTTACCAGATGGTTAAATGCCAAAAACATTTTCTACTAGTTGCATTTTTAGGAAGTTCAGATATTTTGGAATATGGTAGGTACTCGAAACATTTCAGTTTAGTATTTTTTTAATGATCTGCTTTTAATTTTTGTTGCGACAAAATTTGCTTTTTCTGCATTTTTTTTAATGGATGAAAATGGAATGGTAACCCCGCCTGCGCTAACGGGATACGCTGGCGGAGTATCAGTGAAGGGTGATAGATGAGAATGAAAACAGGCCAGTTAGCCCATCATGATGAATAGATCAGGATTCAACCATGATAGTTTCCAGGGGAAACCGCGAGGAGGTCAACTTAGTTGGGTATATTGCTAGCAATGGGATTCTCAGTCTCCATCACTAACAATCCCTTTCCCCCCTTTCTGTATTATTAGGTGTGGTCATAGGACATAAACAATGTTTGTATCTCAAGAAAGGATATGCTGTCCCGGCTAGTATGGGATGGCTATGGAATGCTCAGGACGTACCGGGAATGAAGGTATGATAATAAAACATTTTTTTTATACAACTTAGAATGGCAGATAAGCTGACGGTCCACCTGATGGAAAGTAGTAACCGTCGCCTATAGACATGAGCAGTACCATGGACATAACAGACTATACTGTTTCGCCCATGATACCCCCCATGCGTTGCCATTCCTGAGGACTCGGGTGCTATTCCTCTGTACCCAGTAAATTCACGCCATATCCCACCCTTCAAACCGGAACACAGCTATGCAAACACAGCTTTTTCACGGTTGAAACATGAATGGGACAGAGGTACTTAAGCAATTGACTTTTGTACAAAGTCTCCCTCTGGTAGCAAATAGCAATCATCGTATACATATATACATTTTTTATTTCATTTGTTTGCCATTCTAAGTTGTATATAAAAAAAAAATATTTTAACACCATACCATTTTCAGCTTAATTCTTAAATACAAAAAAATTTTCAAAGATTTTCTGATTCGAAATCTTAACTATTGATATCATACAAAGTGGAACAATAAATTTCGAATACTCATTCGAGATAGGTACTATTTATTAAGAATTTATAAATTATTTCTTGTCAAGCCACGGAAAGGATGGCAGCCGGGGGTAATTGGTAAAAGTGTAGCAAAGATGATGACTTTTAAATGTCAACGTGGTGGGCCAGATAAAGATAAGAATAAGAAGAAGAAAAAGAAGGGTAGCAGACCGGGAGCCGATTTGGGAGGTGGTGACTCGGAGCCCGAGGAACCACTGGATCCTAAGCCAGCTTTGAAAGTACAGAGGAAAGGTGATGTCTTTACTATTCAGGTGAGTATTTATTAGATGAATATCATTTTTAGAAAAATATATCATGGATAATATACTTAGATCGATAATGTATAATATGGTTGATGGCTGGTTAATCCGTTATACTCTAGTAGGGACTGGTCTGATCAAGAACACTGTGATTGATTGTAACTTTGTAGATTTTTATTTTCTTTCTTTTAATGATACCAAGTTTGTGATAGTTATTTTATCCATCCATAGTTTTGTAAAGTTATATTTGAGAAAAGAAACAGCTGTTTCTTGCCCGTTCTTCTTAGCTAAAATTGCATTCCGACTGGGCGATATATTTATAAAAAATTAAGTGACTATTCAAAACTAAAAAGAATATTAAGTTTACTTGAATAAAAATTATTTATTATTATTATTAAGTAATTCATAATTTTATATTAGTCCGATAGAAATTCATAGATTTAAGAAAGCAAAAACGCAAAATTATTAGAATAAAAAAATAAATAAATAATATGTATTTTACTAGGTGCATTCCTTCGATTAATGACTATAAAAATTTTAAATACTAAAATAGTTTCACTATTTTATATGAATGAAATAATAGTCTCGTTTAATATTCAAAATATCTTTTAATAGGTAAATCCTTTAAAAGACTTAACAGAAATAGCGCCAAATGAAGATCCATACGTTGATTGCGATCCCATGGTTTTTAAAATAATAAAAAAACGCAGTCCGGAGGAGCAAGCTAAAGTCGAGGCTCGCAGAATGGTGAAATTAAAAAAACAACGTGACGCCGAGATCAGGAAAGCTTTAGCAGAAGCAGCCGAAGATATATGCAAATGTGCATACATGGATGTGTATTGCAATGATTTGACAGCTATTGATAAAGTTATAGACAGTTGTCCAGCTTTTAAAGAACCAGAGTGTATATGCCATGAGGAATCTTTAAGTTCCCTCTCAAGCAATGCAACATGGGATATAGAATACACTCCGCCATTTGGTTGCTTCGACTTGGCGCCTAGGAAGCGGAAAAACTATATTCACGTTGAAACACAGTATAATTCAGCCGATGCCGGAATAGTTGATTCGCCAAAGATTAAGTGTAAGAGATCTTATACGTCCGTTAAGCCGAAGAAGAGACTGTCTAAAAAAAATTGTTGTGGTTGCTCCCCAACCTTAATTGGAGATAACTGATTTTATTTGTGATATTTATTGGTGACATGACAAATTAAAAAAGTGTGATTTCTTTAGTTTGCTTCTATTTTAGTTAATTTAATGCAATTAAGTTAAATTGCTTTATATTTTTTACAAGGTATAATGCAGCAAAATGTATCAGGTATTTGCAGGTGGCTCAGGACCGTTCCTTGTAGCAGTCTATGGGCAGGCCAATGTTCAGCAGTGGACATATAATGGTTGAGATGATGATAATGATGAATGTAGCAGAAATTGGTTTGTTAGATCGTAAATTCGAAGAACCTGAGTCCACAGGAATGGCAACGCATTGGGTATATCATGGGCGAAACATAATAGAGCATTATGTCCATGCTACTGCTCATGTCTTTAGGCGACGGTTATCACTTTCCATCAGATGGGCCGTCAGCTTGTTTGCCATTCTAAGTTGTATAAAAAAAATCATAAAATACTTACATTTGGAGTACCTGTTTTGTGGGTAGTATTCTGTGTAACTTTTTTGAAGAAGAGGTGCAAGGATACTAGCGCCTATCAACATAGCGCCACCTATCGCTAGGGACGTTGGGTTTACATTTACTGATGGTAAGCCCTGAAAAGTTATTAAAATATTCTATAATCTTTCACTTTATATCGTATACTAGGTACTTTTGCGATTTCGTCATTTGATTAGTCTATTTGGATTAGTGACTTATTGTATTTAAAAAAAGATTTTTGTTTGCTTGCGTAAATTTCAGAAATAGGAAGACCAATGTAATGGACCGCTTCCAAATGACAACAAAAATGATATCGAGATAAAATATACACTAGATTTTAAGATTAAGATAAGAGATTAAGTTAAATCTGTATGATTCTGCACTACTGAAGATCTTACTTAGAAGCTGGTGTATTTTTATCTATAAATGGTTTATTTAATGGCTTTTCCTATTTCTAAAAATCACGAGTAAGTAAACAAAGTAGCGGCTAAAAAAATAACTAGGTATATATACCTAGGTATATATATATATATATATATATATATATATATATATATATATATATACCTAGGTATATATATATATATATATACTATATATATAGGTTTAAGTAAAAAGATACCAGGTTCTCTAATAATGCGTGAAACCATGTCGTTCGCACATAGTTTTACATTACCATTGAGGAGAATAGTCCGGCGTCTGCGCTCATGCCTTTATTCAAGGGAATGGATATGAACGGTATTGAGAATTCCAGATTTATCTGAAATTATTGATATTAAAATTAGTAATAATAATTATGCGTCAGAACAGCTTTGTATAGACTAGTGATTTGTAGACGAATGGATGGATACTTGTTATTCTTTCATGTAAAATCTACTGAACCGATTTGAATGAAATTTAGTGCACGGGTAGATTGTATCCTAACTCAGCACATAGGATAATTTATGTACTGATTCACGAGGGGTAAGCTGCGAGATACAGATACTAAAAATGAAAACTATTTTAACTATTACACTGTTTTATTACTTTTTTCAAATTGACAATTTTAACATAAAAAAGAGATAAATTAGTTAAATAGGTCTATGAGATGTTTGAGAGATGTATGGGACTTTTTATGAATAAGGGGGTATAATATATTATTTATTAGATATAATAAAATTAATGTTGTTGGTTCCTTACAAATTTCTCTTAATCATACATTAATAGAGAGTATATGTAGTAGTAACAGAAACTCACCCCAATATCGCGGTCCAGGGAATCGAAAGATATAAACCTAGCTTTTCTAACACTAGTATTTTCATCACTTTTCACTAGAAACACGAGGGAAAAGAGCAGCACTGTTCTTCCTAAGATGTTCACAAACATTTTTTTTATAAGTATCTATATTAATTTAAGCCAATAACCGTCAGTCTGTCACAGAATTCAGTAGCGGTGTGCTACGAGTTTTGTTGAGCATTTAGAGAAAATCTCCGGGAAACGCAAAAAGTTTCCGCGCTTTGTTACGCACAATAGACTGAGGTGTGAGTAGTTAGCGCCATGCAACTCTTTGATGGGAGTTATGAATGGATAGACCTGGCTTTGTATATGGAATCGAGAATATAATTAATTGTAATATAATGGCATAAACAAGTCGGGGTAGTAAGATATAGTAATATGTATGTATTGCAGTTACAGTGTATAGATATTGGCGTATTAATGGATATATTACTTATCGTTTATCTAATATATAACGTTGAAACTGATCGAATTGAATTGAAATTCGATTAGTATGGACGATATCGAAATGAGTAATGTAATTTTTCCCGCTATCAATGTCGCAAAGGGAGTCTACCATGAAATGGATATCCGAATTTTCGGGCTCAATTTCGTATTTTTGTAATATTTCATGGTAGGCTCTCTGATATGTAGATATCGGAGCGATACCTACATAGACTTTTAGAGATATTAGATATCTCATTAAAGAGAGACTTTTTACATAAGAAGGCGAAGATTACCATTTTCCATTAGGTGGTTTGCTATTCTAAGTATCATATTTTTTTACATCATCATATATTTACTATGATCAAGAATCATACTGTCAAACACTTTTTAAACGAATTTAAACATGGCGTTTTCGATTAGCTTTTTGTGCGAGTACTCGATACGTGATTATTTACATACACCAATTCTGAACTGATTTTTATATTATTTTTTGTAATCGACGGGGTTTATTTTCATGCTGTTCCTATATATATTTTACTATGAGAAAAAATCTAAATGTTTCTGTGGAGCAAAATATGAATTACTTTTTTATAAAGTTGTCGGTGTTGTATGATTTGTCTATGTAATTCCTAAGTCTATGGATAACAATTGTCCATTCAATTTGTACTGTTTATATGCTACATGCTTTAAAAAATGATTGTAGTTTTTATAAAAAAAAAAAACCCCAAGACCGTATTGGATATGAATTATAAGGGTTCCGTCGGTGTATTTATTTATTTTAACAAATTTACAGGCTAATACTTAGGAAACCTAATTTGTTTTTGTATTGTAGAAGGTATTTATTATAAGTCTGATTTAAATTGTCATTTTTAATTTTTTTTTAAATCGTCAGCATGATATTAGTCATTAACTGACTACTGCTGAACATAGGCCTCCCCATGTAGGTTTTATTTCAAAATTTTATGGTAATGGAATGTCAGGTTCATCTCCACTAACGGTATATACTGACCGGGCACGATAGGAGGGTAAGGAATGATAGGTGAGGATAAAAGTAGGTCAGCTGGCCCATCGTAATGAAAACATAGTTTCCAGGGGAAACCGCGTGGAGGTCAGCCTTATAGGGTACGTTGTTAATGGGGCCGTTAATCCAGTTACTAACAACTCTCTCTCCGAATCTCATTTAGGGTTTTTATGAGATTCAAAATCTGATGTCGCTGCAAAAGTTGTGAAATCTAATACACTCGTAAAAACAGAACGACATATATATATATATATATATATATATATATATATATATATATATATATATATATTGACGAAATCATGGAAGTGCTAGGAAAGAATTGGATGGATGTTGTTGTGGATTGAAATGGATGGAATATGATGGAGGAGGCTAGCCCATGGGGGACCATACACCATAAACACAAAAAGTATCTTCAATATTGAAAAAATTATCCTTTTAAATATGGAAAAATAATTCTGATTATAGTTTTTTTGCTACGGAATCCTAAAAGGTAATTAATATGGAAACGCATTTAGTTACACAATAATACGTAATAGTTGCATTACATACATACGTATTGTAATGTTTTTATTTCTTGCTTTCACCGAATAAGAAATATTGCTTCAGGTCCTGTATTGTTCTTAAGCATCTAATATGTATGCCGTGTGGTCCCGGCATAGAATAGGCCTCCCCTTCCTTTCCCTTGGGTGTCGTAAGAGGCGACTAGGGGAAGCGAGGGATGGGCAGCAGCGTCACTCTCAAAACATCTCTAAACCCTAACTGCAGTTGCCAATCTACCTGCCAAGCGTGGAAACTACTGGCAGCACCCCCCATGGGGTAGGTTTATGTTCAGCAGTGGACAGTTAAAGGCTGATATGATGACGATGTGATGATCTAGTATGTATACTGTAACGTTTTTTTTTTATGAACGTGGTACTTCTGCTTGCGTTTATTAAATTGGTTTTCACTGGCGGGGCACCAGCGACGGATGATAGATGAGGATGAAGGCAGCTCGATCGATCTGCCTTTCTGAATGACATCACCTGATTGATTAGCTATCGTGATTAATTTAGTAGGAAATAAACACGATGTTCCATGTATCCAGGAGGAACCACGTGGAGGTTGACCTGATAGGGTATATTGGGGGGAGAAAGGATTCATAGTAATAGGGACTAGTAGCCCCATTACTAGCAATCCACCCTATCAGGTCGATCTCCACGCGGTTCCCCCTGGAAACCATCGTGTTCAAATCCAAGTGAATTTACCGCGATGGGCTAACTGATCTGCCTTTTCATCCTCATCTATCATCATTCACAGGTGCCCTGCCAGTGTATACAGTTAGCGCGGGCGAGGTTACCATACCATTATCATCCATTAAAAAGATAGGGTATGGTAGGTATAGGGTCCAGTGAAGATGATAGGTGACAATTGCATCAGGTCAGATGCCTCCTGTTAAATTCGCTGGGAATTAACCATGGTGGTTTCCAGTTGGAGGGAGAGGGACTGTGTGAAGGTCGACCTGACAGGACATATTACGGCAATGGACTACTAATCTCCATTTCTAACAATCCCTCCTGTAACTTGAGTAGACCATTCATAAATTAATGAATATATTCCTGAAAGAGCTCGTAATAACTATTCATTGAATAACCACAATGATTAAGAAGTCGTATTCTTTTTTTTTATGCGACTCTTAGTATGGCAAACAAGCTGATTGCCCACCTGATGGAAAGTGGTAACCGTCGCCTATAGACATAAGCAGTACCATGGACATAACATTACTGTTTCGCCCATAATACCCCCATGCGTTGCTATTCCTGAGGACTCAGGTGTTATTCCTCTGTACCCTGTAAATTCACGCCATATCCCACCCTTCAAACCGAAACACAGCTATGCAAACACAACTGCTTCACGGTTGAAACACGAATGGGATAGAGGTACCCAAGTAATCAACTTTTGTTCAAAGTCTACTTCTGGTATGTATTCAAAATCTAAAGGAACAGCAAGCAAAGAGAATCGGTCACATACCCTGAAAAACTGACAACCAATTAAAAAGAAAGACTCGAGTATTACCTACATATAAACTCAGTATTATAACGCAATGAAGGTGCTCCCCTAGTAAAGTAAATACTACTAAATTAGAAACCACGGCGTGTGTAAAATTCTTGCTGAATTCATCACGACGGGCTAACGAACTTCCTTTCAATTTACAATTTATTTATTGCATTCTACAATATTATTATGAAAGATGTTAATAATGGATAAAGTACATTGTAGACCCTGTCGGGCACAGCAATTAGAAGCGAGGAGGGCGTTGAGGCTTAAATTTTCATAAAGATTTCAATAATTCAATTTAAATTTCATCAATTTAATTAAATTCGAAATAAATTCCAAATTAATTTAATTATTTTAACGATTATTTTCATTTCCATATGTTTTATTTTATTTTAATGCAATTTAATGTAGTTGTTAATATTTTTTTTTTTTTTAGTAATATTATCAATTTTAGTATTGCTTGTATTGCCTTTCATCTTATTCTATCAACTTTTACTAGTACCTCGTCAGTGTATACCGATAGAGCAGGCGGTATTATCGCTCCACTATTATTTATTAAAAAAATATTAAAACTACGTGTGCGAAAGTGCCGCCATCTAGTGCCAAGGTTTTATAGGCCGTTTTCGACGTGGTTTACATGTAAAAACATATAACGTCCTCATATATTGTACATATTTTGTGTTTGTAGCATCTAAACCATATCATATCAGCCGTTAATTGTCCAATGCTGAATATAGGTCTCCCTTTATTAGGCGATTTTGCCAGTAGTTGCCACGCTTGGCAGGCGGGTTAGCAACGGCTTTTAGGCCTTGGAGATTTATTTATTTATTTTAAAAGGTACATCAACAGTGTAAATACAGACATTAATTTTAATTGATATACAGGGCTTGCATCTTGCATTTACACCAATTACAGATGTACACAACATTCTCTTGTCATCGATTACATATTAACAAAACTGACACCAACAAAACAATAAAAAAAGATACAGGTGATAACATCATCATCTTCCTACCCTTATCCCAATCATTTGGGGTCGGCGTAATATGATTTTATCCAAATTACAAAAAGATTGGGTTTTTAGTTTTACGACCGGCCACCTGCCTGACGTCAACCCTCTTTGGGTAACATAACATAAGAATACTTAGAATATATAATTATTCAAATTATTAGAACAGTGCAATTATGTTTTAAAAAGGACACTGCTGCCCGTCGCTCGACCATTAAATTCCTTTAGAAGCTTTTTATGACACCCACCGGGAAAGGAAGGAGTGGCCTATTCTATGCTGGTGTGTGGCACTTAGGGCTTCCTTGTTGCATCTTAACAGTAAAATTCACCGATCTTTTTTTTTACAACACAGGGGGCAAACGAGCATGCGGCTCACCTGATGGTAAGTGACTACCGCCGCCCATGGTCACCCACAACACCAACAGCATTGCAGGTGTGCTGCCGGCCTTTTAAAAGGGAATATGCTTTTTTCTTGAAGGTTATGTTGTCGTATCGGTTCGGAAATACTGCTGCTGGAAGTTGATTTCAAAGAGTGGTTGTGCGTGGGAGAAAGTGCCTTGAAAAAACGCACGGTGGAGGACCGCCATTCGTCCAGATGGTTGGGATGAAATTTTAGTTTATGGTAGGTCGTACGACGGTGAAAATCAGCAGCAGGTATCAATCCGAACAATTCTTTAGAGCACTCCTCATGATAAATTCGGTAGAAGATGCACAGAGATGCAATATCTCTACGCAGTTTCAGTGGGTCAAGTCGGACAATAAGGCGTAATTTGTAATTCTCATGTATTTACGGTAAATATCTATTTACAGTCGACTTTAAAAAGAAGGAGTTTTTCCAATTCGTTTATATTTTTTTATGTTTGTTAGTTCATAACTGCGTCGGTTTTGAAAACGTATTTTTTTTTTATCTGAAAGGATATAATTATTATATATTGGCCCCATAGAAATTTTATAAAAATCGATTGGATAGTTTAGTTTTTTGATATAAATAACTAGTTTTGTTAAAATCGAAGTCGGCCTTTTTATGGGACTAAAACCCTATATATAATTCTGTTATGCCCATGGTACTATTCATGTCTATAGGCGACGGTTACTACTTTCCATTAGGTGGGCCGTCAACATGTTTGCCATTCTGAATTGCATAAAAAATAATTAGATAAAAAGTAAATACGTATTTCAAAATATTTTTATGTAGCTTTACTTATTTTTATATTTGGCGAATACTGTAATAGAATTGGGAATAACTGTTGTCAGAAACATAATATGTCTATGCTTCATACCGTATATGATGTAATAAAAACCTCGTTGCATATTTAGAGCATAAAACTCGAGCATTGTACGCACATGAAATCATCAACATAATTACCTACGCCGGTACATACATGCCGCCGGACTACATGAGATGCGCGTCACATCGCAAGAGACCCCAACAAAGGGCATGGCCGATTACAGAATGTTACTAACTTTTACACGCGACTTCTTCTACGTGACCTGAATATATTCTATAACAGCGATAAAGTCTATGTCCTTCTCCATTCCGCATAGGTAGTACCTGTATATCAAATTTCATAACGATTGGTTTTTTTTTATACAACTTAGAATGGCAATCAAGCTGACAGTCCACCTGATGGAAAGTAGTCCCCGTCGCCTATAGACATGAGCAGTACCATGAACATAACAGAGTATACTGTTTCGCCCATGATACCCCCCATGCGTTGCCATTCCTGAGGACTCGGGTGTTATTCCTCTGTACCCTGTAAATTCACGCCATATCCCACCCTTGAAACTACACACAGCTATGCAAACACAGCTGCTTCACGGTTGACACACGAATGGGACAGAGGTACCCAAGCAAACGACTTTTGTACAAAGTCTCCCTCTGGTGAATTACATAATACCTATATGATTTATGATTGTGGTTGGAAATAATTAGTTATCAATCTTTGACGGATCACACCTTTTCATTGGGGCCAAGTCCCCGATGCGTTTCAGTTGTAATAGCTGTATGGGATCTGATTAGTCCTATACTATATAATGTATTTGTAAATGCTATTTACTGTTTACTAGTGCGAAGTAGTAGCTATTTACTATATATAATAGTGCGAAGCCGGGCCTATCCAGCCCGGCTTCGCACTATTATATATAGTAAATAGCTTCGCGAAGCCGGGCCGGATAGCTAGTAAAAAATAAGTTACTTGAATTCTACATGACAGATGGCGAGGCAATTAATGTTTTTTAGACTAATTCATTTTTTGATGAAGATATTTTAAGATTGTGTTCCATAAAATACCGATTTTAGTAATTGTGGTAAATCCAGTTATTTTGACGTTAAATTTAAACTAAATTGATATTTATAAAATTTCTGTGGGACTTACCTATTAGTATGGGGGGCGAAGGAATTTTTAGTAATTGGGAGGCTAGTCCCCATCGCTATCAATATACTTTATCAGGTCACTTCCACGTGGTTCTCCCTGGAAACCATTGTGACTAATTTATCGTTGAATTCATCACGATGGGCTAACTGACTTGCCTTATCATTCTCACCAATCATCCCTCACTAGTGCCCCGTCAGTGTATACCGACAGCGCAGGCGAGGTTTACCATTCCATTATCATCCATAGAAAAAAACCTGCGAAAGTAAGAGAACAAGTAAGTAAAAGTACATTCATTTGATAAAAAAAAAAGAATTTAGAGATATGAGGTAACAAATATATAAAAAATAATATCGAAATGAGAACTTCTTGAAGTTGGTTGATAAAATAAGTGTTTATGTAAACGGGTTATGCGGAATTTGAGTCAGTAGAATGAATATAAACGCGGTAAGTCGTTCAGTACAATGTCTTCCCTATGATGGTGAGCTGATTCGAGCCACACACCGTAACGGGCAAAAGTGTGTTGCGCAAATCGGCGACATACGACAATGATGTTTCCCCATACGATTGTTTTCGGACACCGGAACGCCATCTATATAGTATACACGGACGTGGAAGACACCATTCACGTTGGAGACAAGATGAGTAACAGTATACTAGTACTGATAGTGGGCATTCTGTTTTTCGTGTCGTGCACATCAGCTGATTATGGGAATGATGGGTAAGATTAGATTTACAATCTGAATCAAGATTAGATTTACACGTAAAACTGTTTCAAATTGAAATTAAAAAATAAATAGTTATTATAAAACCAGATATTAAATAAGTGGAGTTGAATATTTAGCATGAATGCTAAATATACAAGGCGCGATGTTATATTTTTAATAGAATTTGTAAGAACATTTCTGTACGTTAACTACAAATCTCACTGAATTGAGATGTATGCAAAATATAACTATTTACGACGTCAATTTAAGTCTCTAACTGTGCATTTAGGATTTTTTTATATCAACTGATATATTGGAGCTATATTTATTTTATACTATACTGAATTGGGTGTTAGATAGAGACCTAACGATGACTATGTATGGTTGTGAGTTTGATTCCGGCACAATACGAACATTTAGATCCATTGAGTCTAGGCGTCTATATTTAAATGACTATGTTGATAATCTATCTCAGTTTTGATTTCAGAGGTTTTTTACCTAGCCCCGGCTACCAAAGGACAGAGGATCAGTTAGCGGAACCTTCCGCGAGGGTCGAAAAAAGCAGAGACGATAGAGACAGCTCGGCGGATAGAACGCAGAGGTTTGGGATATCAGCATACGGAAGCACCGGTTCCCAGGCAAGTGAAGATAGAGCCAAGATTAACTCATTGGTCTACCAAAGAATTAATATTTATTTTTCTACTCCGTATTTATTTTTATTTGACTCGTGTTAAGGGGACGTCTATTTAAGTGTCTGCGCAGACGAGGGATATACCTATTTAGTTATTACGAAATATTTTTTTTAATTAGGACCTTTGTGTCACAGTTCCTTGTCTATATTGCAACTGACCATGTCCAATCCCTTACTGCTTTAAGACCAACGTGATCGTCCGAAAACAGAATTGATTTCAAATCGGTTCAGCTATTGAAGTCTGCGTCGACGACAGACGTAGGTCCCTTTTTGAGAACTAAATATCCATATTTGTAAACTCTGTATACAACCTGTATCGTGTGAGTTGTAAAATATAAGTTTTGAGGTTTTATTATGGTCAGATTTTAAGGTTAACAGTCAATTCACGGGGAAGGAATGGGCCACCCCTTCTTTTTCCGTGGATGTCGTAAGAGAGGACTAAGAGAAATTAATGGTCGAGGGATGAGTAGCAGCGTTCTTCTTAGAACATCGCCAAAACCTAACTGCTGTTTCCAATCCGCTCGCCAAACGTGGTAACTACTGATAAAACCTACATTTTGGGAGGCTCTATGTTTAGCAATGGACAGTAGATGGTTGATATGATGATAATGATTATGGTTAGACTAAAATTTTCGTCGAAGCGTGATCAAAGTGTAAATTTTTAAAAAGCCAAAATGGATTTTTTGAGTAATTATCGTACAAAAATGCCTTCCAAAACAGCTAAGTACAGTTAAGTAATAGTACTATGATAATGTTATTATGAATGAAGATTACTTTTCAGTGTTATTTCTTGTTTTAGGGCGGTTATGGTGGATCAGCTCCGGGTCTCTATGGACCAGTGAAAATTGACCTGGGCGGTGTTTTAGTTGGAACCATTTTAGGGTTCGGCGCTGTAATTATTTTGCCCAAGATAATAAATGCTCTGTCTTATGGATATGGGGGAGGTTACGCTAGAAGTAAGCATTATTTTTTTTATATATAGAAGGTATACTATGAGAATGGAGGGGAAAGGGATTGTTAGTAATGCGGATTACCAGTCTTATTGTTAGCCCAGCCATAGCAGGTTAGGTCGACTCCCAGGTGGTTCCTTCTGGAAACCATTGTGCTAAATTCCAGGTGTATTCATCATAATGAGCTATCTGTCCTGCCTTACCTATCATTCCTTACATATCTATCCATTTTTACCTATCATCCCTCACTGGTGTTCCGTCAGCGTACACCGTTAGCGCAGGCGGGGTTATCATTACATTATCATTCATTAAAAACTATGAGGATGGCGGGGGTGGGGGAAAGGGATTGTTAGTGAGGAGGTTACTCCCCATTGCCAATAATGTACCCTGTCAGGTCGATCTCCACGCGGTCTCCCTGGAAACAACTATGGTCAATCCCTGGTAAACTCATCAAGATGGGCCAGATGACATGATTAATTGTTAGTAATGAGGTCTAACGGCCATATTGCTAATAATATATATTATCAGATTGATCCCACCCGGTCTCCCCTGATAACTATTGTGGTTAATTTCTGGTGTATTTTTCATGACAATCCAAATGAGTTAACTTTATCTTTACCTCTTACTGGAATCCCGCCAACATAAACCAATAGCACAGGTGAGGAAACCATTCCACTTTGATCTATTCAATAAAATAGTTACTTCCATTTACCCCTATCAACGATTCCTTCTTGTAGGGGGAACAGTAGAATTTTATTCCACCTATCTCCACTGTCAGATTTACAGTCGTGAGTATAATTCATCTTTATTTTCTTCAGGTATTGAGACAGATGTCGGTCAAATATCAGACATGTTGAACAAGCTGGATGAGACGCTCAGCAGATACAACATAGACTCATCAGCTTGCACGCAACGTTTGGCGTGTTCCTACGTGCAGCTCGCGAACGAAAACATGATTACTGGTAACGCGACGGACTTTGATGCGTTGCTGGCTTCACTGTCCAAGTAAGTGGACTTTATTATCCCTAAATGTTTCCTAAATGGAAACTAATTTTAGGCGACCTTTGGAAAAAGGTTTTTAATTTGTCTGCAATCTTCTTTTTTGGAGTCAAGATCATGGATCATGGCAATACACGCCAATGAACGACGGTTGCCTAGAGACATTCTATTAGAACGCGAAATTCTATGTTTCTGCTCTCTATTTTTGCTTTAAAGTTCCTACATTTTTCTCTGAAAAGAAAACAGTGGCTTCTATTGGCTCAAAGCGAATATGGGACCAGCATGGAAGTACATCCTATTGATTGCAAAAAGAATATCCATATCGGTTCAGATTTGGCGACGTAAAATGGCCACATACCCACAAAAAACAGACGAATTGAGAAATTCCTCTTTTTGGAAGTCGCTTAAAAAGATTGATTGATTTTTGTTCATCTAATTTTTTTTATGTAAATCACAAATATCTGATAAATTACATACCTTATATTTTTTCAATGGTGGTATTTTTATTTTGACAGAAACTCCCTGGTTCGTCGTATGTTGGACGGCACGTCTATTTTCGAGGCAATATCAGCTGGACGATCCGTCGACAGTGACTGTCACGCCCTCTATTCTAAGTGTAAGCTTGATAAGAAGACAGTGGTAAAAATATTAACCCAGCTGGTACCATCGTAATGTTAAAACGTTAAATATCATTTTGTTTTTTGAAATAAATACCTATTACATTTTAGTGTATTATTTATTGTATTTGAATAGTGTAGTATTTAGTTAATTACTTTTAAATTCTTCACGAGGGCCCAACTGACTTCAACCTCGTCGTTTTATCCTCCACTGGTGCTCGGGTGTACCACTCCATATTCATCCATATTGGTTGCGTCAGTAGAGTTTAATTTTGGAAACTCAGATTTCTATATTTATCGATGTAAACGTGAACGGAGAAGTAAAGTTCTTTATACCTAATGTAGCTATTCTGAATGGCGAATAAGTTATTGAATTTACAGAGGCTTAGATATTTTTTTATTTATGAGATGAAAATGGAGTGGTGCATACGCCTATGATAATATGACAGGGCACCAAAAAAGGATGAAACGATTAGGACGAACTAACATCATTACTGGGTACAGAGGAATAACACCTGAGTCCTCAGGAGTGGCAACGCATGGGGGGTATCATGGGCGAAACAGTATACTCTCTTATGTCCATGGTACTGCTCATGTCTATAGGTGACGGTTACCACTTTCCATCAGGTGGGCCGTCCGTCAGCTTGTTTGCTATTCTAAGTTGTATAAAAAAAAATTGTTTATTGTGGACCATGTGAAGATCGATTTGAGAGGATATATTGCTAGTAGTACAAGACTGAACTCATTACTGACAATCCCTTCTCTCCCGCGGTACTGATATTTTAATCAAATACTGGGCTAAGACTTTGTCTTAAAATTTTGCATTTCTCGAATTATATTTGTGTTTTTAAATTTATGAGAAATGAGAAAATTTATGAAATTACCATTATGAGAAGTTAACAAATAAAACAAAAATATACAAATTTAACAATTTTATTCTATAAGTAATAATAATAGTTAATATAATTACATATGTTCACGAAACCTATCTATATTATGATATGCTTGATAAATTTAGAAAATGAAAATGTTTGAGGTTCAAAGTACAGCTGTAAATTGCATTTACGAGTATGTATGAAATGTAAATGTGATGAAATTTAAGTCTTCAGGCACTCCTGAAGACTTATGAAGATAGGATAAGGAGAGTCATGAGCGCCAGAGTATATATTGCATTGTGAATGCCACTGTTTATATAGATAGGGTCCGATAGACAATGTCGGCGCCTATAGTCAATCGTATCTGTATTGTATTGTAAAATCTTTATTGTTCATAATTCATACTGAATCGTGTGTGTCACACACGAAAAAATCTGTTATAAACTAAAAAAATAAACTCATAAAACTAAAAACTTCTACAAACTTATTTTAACTATTACACTGTTTCGTCACTTTCTTTCAAATTGAGAAATTAGAGATAAAAACAATACAATAACTAAACTATTTGTATATAGGTTTATAAGGCTTTAATAAGGTTAATTTACATATAATAACTTGAAATACGTTAAAATATATATTGAAATATGACTGATGAAATGAAAAATAAGGCAATAAATTTCGGGATTTGTTAGATACAATTTTTTTAATATAATATTCACTTCAAGGAAATTTCTTCGAAAAAAAATGTCGAGGGGCGATCTTTGTCAATGGAGGGCCTTTAATCAGTTGCCTAACGAATAAGCCGAACTTTTTTTTATACTACGGAAGTGGATAAAAAGCAGCCCATCTGATGGTAAACGGTCACTGTGGCATATGGATGCCTGCAACGCTACGAGTATTACGTGCTTGTTGGCGATCGTGAAGAAACGTTAATATACATTTCTTGAAGAGATGGAGAAAGTGGTAACATGAGACTCTCAGCCTCAATGATAGTAAAGTACTCTATCAATTTTGACCTCCACGCGATTCGCCCTTAAAACTTTCGTAGTTAATTCTAGTGGAATTCGTCGTGATGGATTAACTAACTTGTTTAGGGGAAGGGACTATCAATAATGGGGAGCTAATAGTCCCATTGCTAGCAATATATTCTAGGTCGAAATCCACGCGTTTTTTCTTGGAAATCGTCGTGATTAATTCTTGTGGAATTAATGATTATGGGCTTTTTTTTATGCTCCTCCTCCTATCACCATTTACTGGTGTTACGCCAGCCAATAGCGCAGGTCATTACCCTTTCATTCTCACCCATCGAAAACTCTTTTTGAAGAACGCCACACTGTAGTCTCTAGGAAAATCTCGACAGGGAGCTCATATATATATATATATATATATATATATATATATAGGTGGCGGTTACTACTTCCCATGAGAAGTATTTGAAGTGTATTTATACAAAGATTTATGTTACAAGGCGTTCACATTGGAAATATGTATGAGCTACCAAAACTAGAGACACAACTAAGCCTGTAATACTTACAAATTATTGTTTAATTCTAAATTACCTATTAAATTTTAATACACATCTCATTGTATTTAGATATTTTAATTATATTACAATACATCCAAAAGTAACACGTTTGAAGTCGGATGGGGTCGTTAGTACTTACTAATATAAATGTGAATATTAATATTTCTTTGTTATCTGTTGGCGTCAACCACTTTGAAATTAGGGGGAAAAGGGATTGTTAGTAATGGAGACTGAGAATCCCATTGCTAGCAATATACCCAACCAGGTCGACCTCCTCGCGGTTCTCCCTGGAAACTATCATGGTTAATTCCTGATGAATTCATCATGATGGGCTAACTGGCCTGTTTTCATCCTCATCTATCACCCTTCACTGGTGCTCCGCCAGCGTATCCCGTTAACGCAGGCGGGGTTTTTATTTTTATATTTATTTTCATCCAATAAAAAAAAACTTTGAAATTTGGTACATAGGTACTATATGGGCATAAAATACAGACTGTGATAAGGGATAGGGAACATTTGCTTACAAGTAAACGATAGTATTATAAATGTGTCAGGTTATTTGTTACCTCTCAGCGCCTTAACCAGGCGTCATAAAACTTAGTATACATGTACTTGGGATGAAGATTCGTAGAGAATAATTTAAAAGGAAGTATCTATGTAGTGAGTCTCTTTGTAGGATTGATTCGTTGATATCACCATAAATACGTTGAAAATATAGATTATTTAAAGTCACGATTGTGATGTCAGTTCAATTAGATACTTAAAACGTTTGCAAACATTAGAAGGGTAGCTAAAATAGTCAATTTCCTACTTTGGTATTAATGATTACTTAAAAAAAATTGTCAAATGTGATTAACGTCTAGAGTTAGGTATGATATAAATAAAACATATCAATTATATACATTTAATATTAAAAAAAAAAAAAAAAAACTTCGACATCTGGTGATGTACAGTGGCAAATAAAAATTTGTTCTACAATAATAAAAATAATAAAACTAAAATCCGTCGACAGATGGCGACAATACATTTCATTTGTGTGGGGCCGTGCATAAAATATGTGTTTCGACTTAAATGTGACACAAAAGGTTCACGCAGACGATGGATAAACTTCGAAGTACATTTTCGTTAATAAAGAAAACAATTGTATGCTAAAACGCACACATATAATTGCAAGGATAAGGCTTAGAATATGATAAGAAACATTTATTGAAAACATGTATCGTTTGCGATGGCCTTTATCAAGTTAAGGCGACGAGTATACTACTCTTTTTTTTTTTATGCAACTTAGAATGGCAAACAAGCTGACGGCCCACCTGATGGAAAGCGGTAACCGTCGCCTATAGACATGAGCAGTACCATGGACATAACAGAGTGTACTGTTTCGCCCATGATACCCCCCATGCGTTGCCATTCCTGAGGACTCAGGTGTTATTCCTCTGTACCCTGTAAACAATACTATTCTCAGTCCGCGGACAATAACTGCTTTTAATCGACGGACTATTTTGTTGGTAGTCTATTTGTTCTATCATTCTCTGTTATCATATAGGGATCTATATGGGCTAAAATTGGTCGTACCATTGTCCGTTGTCTGCCTCCGTAGTGCCGTCGTAGAACCGGACTAATATCTGGTGTATGTCTATGCATTGTAAACAATTTCTATTAAATTTACAATTATTGATATGACATAAGTTGCAGGGCGTGATTCGACGTAATCTAATTGGGATTAAATCGAATAGACGTCAAAGATGACGCACTCATGTATAAATTACCCATTTAAAAACGAGGAAGGTTAATATTTGGACTATATATTTTTGAGAAATATTATACGATATCTTTGCCAATTAGGAGTATATTATATTTTTTTTTAAATGAAAATTTCTTTCGGTATGGTCCCATATTAATTTTGAATTGGATTGGACTATTTTTTTTAATATATTATGTCAAACATATATGCATTTAACGTTGTTTTTACAGCAACGTTTACCATCACTGGATATTTAGAAGCATGGCTCACGACAATTTGTTCATTGACATTCTCGTTTATCTCGTTTGTGTTTAGTTATCATGTAGTTTTTTCTTTAGCAAACTGAAATAATGAGATATTTGTCGAAAGAAATACACACAATATCTGTTAGATAGGGTGTTAGGAAGTTTATGATAAACTCTAGTTGATAACCTGTGTTTAGCCTTAGATAAGAAAATTAAAGTTAAAAACTAAAAACAATAATATACAATGACTTATTTTATGAACGGCCATCTAGAGACTCGAGCAGATGACAGATTAATAGACAATTTTTTTTATTATAGATAACGTTTTTTATGAATCGAGTAGTAGTACTAATCGTCGTATTCGATTGAATTCGACGATTAATCGTATAAATTTTTTTACTAGTTTGCTAAGGTTTATCTGTAATAGTACCTACTCTATAATCTAATAAAAGTGTCAACCTATTGTTTTGAAACTATATTTTTTTTAGTGTTTTTATTTTTGATAGTGATGTAGCTATGGTAGAAAATTATTGCATTATTTAAGTACTTATTAGTATGTATCATGAAAATTGTGGATTTTTTTTTATTTTAAAAGCACTTATCGAGTTCTCTTTTCGATTTGTCGTGTTTATGGACCATGTAGTTCATATCGTAGACCTCTGTATGCTCAGGATGCTGTAGTCAAAAAAAAAGTATGGCACGAAAGTTAAATATGTAGATATTTAACTTTCAAGTTAAATTTTCTAGTTAAATTTCGAGTTAAATTTTCTAGCATATAACCAATCTGTAATCTGCTCGTGTCTTAAAACTAAATTATTTAAAAGAGCGGCGTTTTCCCTGAGCAAAGTCGAATGCTCACTACACAAAATCCACTAAAGAATATCACATTTGGACAAGTTTGAAGTAGTATACATTTGTTCGTCATAAAATAGGCAATGGGAAAGATTCTGAAAGTTCATCCTCTGAATGTATCTTTAATTTTAAACATAACCATTTCAGAATTCCACTATTCTTTGAATACTATAGCATTATTTACTAATATATATCTAAAATTCATTAATTTGTGATATAATTTTATACCGAAAAACTCTGTCGTTATTTTTGGTTTTATATTTTTAAAATGAATGAATTATTTTGACAATATTTGATATTCCAGAATCAGTCCCGATGCTTTTTATTTTGTAATTATAAATACATAAATTACACATACAATAAATCTATTTTAACTATTAGTGTGATTTAACTCTTATTTAATTTTAAATGTTAAAATCGTAAGAGACTAAAACACTTCAATAGTTAAACTAGGTTAATTTGACGTTCGAGATTTTTATAACTTACTATATTGTTGGTTAAAATCATAGTCATTTGAAAATATTAATATAATGAAACATAGCTCATCATGTGAAATAAATATTAAACATTGTTTAGTTTTACTTTTGTGGGGAACCCACGTGACTCAATTTGCCTAGTGGAGTTTACATCTCACTCTTTCTCTCTCTCTAATAGTCATTTAAGAGAAAAAAAAAAAAAAAAATTTTTATTTCAAATAATTTTTTGGACTAGATTTGTCAGATTTCCTTGTGTGTGCTATGTATGTATTTATATGTGTATGTTTATGTATTTTGTATGAATGTTATATATATATATATATATATATATATATATATATATATATATATATATATATATATATATATATATATATATATATATTGTTACAGTAAGTAGTTTAATACATTATATTATTATATATAGTATTTGATATTTTTGTGCATTACAGGTTTTTGTATTTTATGCACGAAAAATTATTAATTCACTCTTGCGCCACCTACTCACTTCTATCTGTTCTCCTTTAACCAATGATTGTCTGTAAGAGATTGCCTTAGCGATAAGACCGCCTTTTGTACCTTTATGTGTATTTTTCAATCTGTATTTATGTTACTGTATTTCACTTGTCATTGTATATTTTTATGTTGAAATAAGTAATTAAATAAATAAATAAATAAAATTCAGCAAAATAACAGAAATTGCCCTTTGTGTGTAGATTTGGTCGTGTTACTTCGGCATAGAATTGCTCATCTCTTCCTTTTCCGTAGGTGTCGTAAGAGGCAGCTAAGGGAGCTAACTGCGATTACCAATTCGCCTGCCAAGTGTGGCAACTACTAGTAAGATCCCCCCTATGGGGGAGACCTATGTACAGTAATGGAGAGTTAACAGTTGATGGGACGGGATATAGATTTTGATTATTTAAATATGTATGTAGTGTGATGGCAATGGCGTCATGGGCCGAGTCGTTGAGTTCCCTAAAATATTAAATTGAGCGCAGTGATGGTTGGCTCATCCGTCATACTCGTGAACGGGTACTGCTTGTGGGCACTGGTCTGCTCGTGTTTGTTTGTTTATTTTTCATTTAATAATACATATAAATAGAACTTAATGCTAATTTATAGTCACAGTATCCATGCAAATGTAAAATTATCTTGTACATAATAATTTAGTTTCTTGTGGATTCTTCCCAGCAGATAATATTATGAACGCAGTAGTAAAATTGTAAAAAAATTACGATTTAAAAGAGCTTATAGACAAGTCTAAAGATCATTTCTCTTTTATGTGAAACAGGCAGTGTTCATGGTCTGAAATTTTAACTTTGCCGCCTTGGGCAATTGCCCGTTCCCCACCCTCTAAGCTTGAAAATTGCCGAGAAAAAATTCATTCACGTATGGATATAGAGTTCCCTATATTGAGTCACTCGGGTATGGTCCGTGGAAGACAACACTTTAATATATCGTCAATAATAAAACTGAGCAATAATACAACTTCCCACTTTCTATTCACAACACATTTTCTTACATACCACTTCAGATTGAACAATACGGTTAACAGAACTTCAGTGTATCAAATATCTATTCTTAATCTGGATAATGTAATTTTGCCACAATATGATATACATAATTGTAAATAATAAAAATAACATATCTACGCCTTAAAACTAGAATGTACAAGTAATATGCAGTCGCAAATCCATTGCTTCGCCGTTCCACTAGCACCGCGCGTCGATAACAATGAAACATTTGGAAAATGTACATACAACGAACCCAATTCTAAATTGTCCTTCTTAGTAATTACGTTTAAAATATTATTTTTTTTAAACAATTTTGAAAATAGAACCGTTAGTTTGATCATAAGATTGATCGAAGAGTCGAAAGATCGTCTACGCTCCGTTTTAAATACGATGCATTTAAAACTGTTTAGATGAGTGTCCGTATGTTTATTTTTATACACTATACAATAGTTTTAGATATCGGTATTAAATCCCCACGATAAATAGAGCAGTGAAATGTTAGTATTAATTTGGCATGACGATATCTTGGTAAAAAAAAATCTAAAAGAATCTCCACACAAGTGGACACATTTTTACTGTTAAAAATTAAGTAAGTTACACATTATATTGTACTGTAATGAATAAACGGATTGACTTATATGTATTTCAGGAAGATTCAATGATGAGGCCAACTGTAGATCTCACCTAAAAGACACGTAAATCGATTCGATTATTTTTATAGTTAAAATCTTTGCTTTCCTGTTATAACGTGACGGTAAAATTGTACAGTGTCGTATCGTGTTATTGTAAATTACAAAAGCATTACCTTTTACAAATTCCATTATACTCTGTTATATTAGTAAATTTTACAGATTTACAAGAGAACATTTTAGAATCGGGTTCCATGTTGTAATTCATTGGATCCAACGTGCGGTGAGGGCTCTAATATAATGTACAGTCGAGGACAGAAGTCATGTGAAATAAAAAATTGAACTAATTCAGGTTTTAGACTCGCCTCGAGCGTACATTTTGCGTATATTGTCTTAGAAAAATATTTGCTCTACGTGTCATTGTATCGGAGAGTAGAGTAAAAGCACATTATAAGTTAAGATTGATGTTAAACGAGAACCATTGTCTGATGGTACTAATTATGGCGTCAGCACATTTTTAGCCAACTTAAAAAGAAGGGAATTTTTAGATTGTATTTATATCGGAACTGCAAACTTGATATCGGAAGTAAATCTTTCGAATAAGGAGAAGAAATAGTATTTTTGTCAATTTGAAAAAAGAAGTTTACTTTTAGAAAACAAAATATTTGATCTCTAAAATAAAAAAAAATAACATTTTTTTTTTATTTTGTGTGAATTTTGTTATTTTCCTCAAATTGACTATATGTAAACGATAGGATTTTCTCCTGAAGTATAATAGTAATTTTATTAGGATTGAAGTCGATTTTTTGCTCATGACTTTATAAAAAAAATGATTTAATAATACCATTGAGCTGTGTTCAACTAACTAACCTTAACTATAACGTGCGTCAACTCTAATAATCCCCTTATTTATCAAAACTTCAAACGTCTTATAAATCTATTTTAGCTATTGAAGTGTCTTGTCCTTTTCTTTCGCGCTAATTTCTCAATATGTAAGACATTGACAAAAACTAATAGTTAAAATAGGTTTAGAGGAGTTTTCCGTTTTTAGGGGACGAATCGTATATACTGAAGTATATAGTACGGCTATCGTTTTAATGGTTAACCCATTTATATTGCAATTTTACGATCTCAAACTAGCTAGACTATACCGATTTTCATGTCACATTAAATTTACGTTATTATCCAATTATTATTATGTATACATAAAAAATAATTATATATATATATATAGAATTTAACTGAATCGAGTGTTTGGAAAAATTTATTATGTGTTTATTAAATACAGGATGCCTATTGCATTATTAGAATCTCGATTATCCGAACAACAATTATACGAATATTCGATTATCCGAACTTATTCTTCACGGCTCTAACTACCGAGTTAGAAATGGTATTATGTATTAATTGGATAAATAGGGCTTATGTAATTCATTATATTTATAGTTCGTATTTTTTTTTATTATATTATCTAAATGAGGTATGTAAAACCTTTTACATAATAGAAAAAAATATTAAAGTCGATTCGATTTGATGTTGAAATCGATTATCCGGATTTTCGATTATACGGAATAATCCTGTTTTTATTTGATTCGGATAATCGTGATTCTACTGTATTTCAAACATATTTTTTATTATTTGCCATTTTTGTGTTATAACATAGTATTATAGTATTTTTTGATTATAGCCTATAAGAGGCTTACCTTTAAGAGTTGCTTAAACTAAAAAATTACAATAATTATGCCGACAACGGTGGAATATAAAATATTCTTTTTTTTTTTAATTCTGCCATTAATTTATTGGCGTGATACAATTATTCTAAATGTGTGTATAATGTTTAAATAAATAATAATAACGGAAAAAAATAACATGTTGAAGGTAACAATCAGATATTATAATATTTTGTTCAATGTTTTTTGACAATAAATGCATTGTAAATACATGTTTATTTTTAATATAAATAAAAAATAAATGCTTCAAGATATATAACGTCATACATTCCAAATACGCCACAGGAGTAGTGCTATCAATCGTAGACAGATAAGAATTACGTCAGAGTTAACTTAAAAAAAAGTAGATAGACGAGACAGTGGTATGTAACCATGGGTATTTTTTTTATATAACATTTATTGTACACACCTATCTTTGTATAATTGAGTAACGTCGATGGCTGAGGTAGAGTTGCGATTTTTGTTCGATTCTCAAATGAAGAGAAAACATTGAGAAATTTTTAAACATTTTTTTCATATTTTAATATGGCTCTTTATTATTAAGGAGTACAATAATATACTTCCGGAAATATATCCCTTACACCCTGTATATCTGTAAATATATGATACACGTGCCCAAAAATTTGTATACAAAAAAGTAATACAGCTACATAGTTCATTTATCATAAACAACCCGTTTTAACTTATACAAAAAAATTACTCGATGCAATCGGATGAAATATTAAAGACTAGTATACAACATATAGATGGCAGCACATTAGCTTGAGATCGCAAATGGGAACTGCAAACGACATTGTGGCAGTAAGCTAGTGTAACATTATATTACAAGTCTGTGGTTGTAAAACTGTAATTGCTTTAAGTGTGATAAGTAATAGTTCTATGTCCCTTTTATGAAAGAAACGGCTAAGTGCGAGTTTGTTTCATCATTGGCATAATAAACTGAAGAATGAATTCGCGTACGCCATCGGCTTTATGTCTGGATGTGGCTGAAAAAAAAAACATACATTTTTAAAATAAATTTTACAGAAATATTAGGCACTTAATCTTTTGTACGCTACTTTGTTTTTGCCGAAGAAACGGCTGTTCACGTTGGAATGTGAAGCTGTGACCTCTCAACGTTTAGAAATCCTCGGAATAGTGAGGTCGCTCCGTGAGGTCTGTGAAGATCCCAGGAAGCTTCTGTGCTTTTGGGTGGAGCTGGTTTGGCTGTACTAGCTAAAATTCATACGCACAATGAATCAAATGAGAGGCTAAGCGTGGAATAGAGTCCAATTTACATTACATTACATTTATGTTCGCTACTATTTACGCGTAGATTTTAGAAGTAGGAAAATAAATGAAATAGATTATTTTTAGATGGCGAATCAAGATAAATGTACACAATAGAGAAAACTGCATTAAATTTGGTGCAGTAGTTTTTGTGCAACGCCGGTAAAACATTTTTTTGCCAAGCGTTGGCAATTACTGGCATAACTCCTTAAGGAGGCTCATGTTTTTTTTTTGGGTGAAAATGGTATGGTAACCCCACCTGCGCTAACGGGATACGCTGGCGGAGCACCAGTGAAGGGTGACAGATGAGAATGAAAACAGGCCAGTTAGCCCATCGTGATGAATTCATCAGGAATCAACCATGATAGTTTCCAGGGGGAACCGCGAGGAGGTCGACCTGGTTGGGTATATTGCTAGCAATGGGATTCTCAGTCTTCATTACTAACAATCCCTTTCCCCCCGGAGACTCATGTTGAGCAGTGGACAGTTAAAGGCTGATATGATGATATACGATGATAATGATTGATATACATACCACTGCTTCGTAGGTTGTGAACTTGGGCGTGAGATCCTTGCCCGTCATTGTGATGAAAGCACCAAGGTTACCCATTGTATCACTGAAAACAATACGAAAATGTATAATTAACTTAATTCTACACACTTCTCTTATTTGGACAGTTGTCCCAATGAATGTTATAATATTTTTTTTTTATTAATGCAATATTTTATCGAATTAAACCTTATGACATTGACAGAAAGTTCAATTTGATTATTATGTATTCGAATATTATATTAAAAATATAGTTAACTTTGAATGGTGCTTATTAAAATGTATTTGGTTTCATGGTATTACAAAAATGTAAACAGCAAATATTTCATAAGTTTCATTATATTATAAGAATTATGAAATTCTATAAATATTACGTTAAAATTAGACTATCGCAGTCCACTGTTGGACATAGGCTTCCATATAGATAAGCCACATAACAAGACTACAATGTGAATTATTGGTGAAAATGGAATGGTAACCCCGCCTGCGCTAACGGGATACGCTGGCGGAGCACCAGTGAAGGGTGATCGTTGAGAATTAAAACAGGCTAGAATGATGAATTCATCAAGAATTAACCATGATAGTTACCACGGGAACCGCGAGGAGGTCGGCCTGGTTGGATATAGTGCTAGCCATGGAAAACGATTATGGGAACAAAGCATAATAGCACTAGATGCCAGACGAAACTAGGGATAAATTCCTGTTTTTGTTATTATTAGTTTGTATTGTGCGGGGGTTAAACTTGTGACCATTGGAAGTTGAAGCGGGTTCTTTTTTATTTTATGTGTGAAATTGTTATACACTGGCGGGGCAGCAGTGATAGTGATAACCTACTAGGTTAGGATGAAAGCAGGTCAGTAAGCCCATCGTGATGAATTCAACAAGAATTAAGTAGAGTGAGATTGTAGAAAAGTCCTTCTTCTTCTACCTTGAAGCAATTGTATTTGCATGGCTGTGAAGGGTGGGGTATGGCAACGCATGGGGGGTATCATGGGTGAAACAGTATACTCTGTTATGTCCATGATACTGTTCATGTCTATAGACGGTTACCGATTCCCATCAGGTGGGCTGTCAGTTTGCTCGCCATTCTAAGTTGCATTAAAAAAACAATGGCTTTCAGGGGGAACTGCATGGTAATCAACCTGATAGAGTATATTGCTAGCAATAGGGCTTTTAGATCCCCTTACTGACAAAATCTTTCCCTACAAAGCGGTGTGTTGAGCCGTTAAAACGTCAAGGCCATAATATCAATTACGAACCAGTAGTTAGGCGCAGAGAACACGGTGATACACTTTCCGTCGTGCGCGACCTCGTAGCCGTCGTTCTTCACTTCGTGACTGCGGATCACGTAGTCCAAACCGTTGCGCTGCAGGAAATTGTTGGTGACGTCGGGCCCGAATTGGCAGCCGACGCCGCGTTTCGACGGCGCCCGCCCCATCATCGGTTGTGGGTCGGACCACAGCAATTCACACATTATGCCTGTAATTTTAAACAAACATTATTGTTAAAGGTTTCGTAAGTACATATTTTTTTTTATAGGTGATAATGAAATAGTAACCCCACCCGCGCCACCGGTACACACTGGCGGGGCACCAGTGAAGGATGACAGGTGAGGATGAAACAGGTCAGTTAGCCCATTGTGACGAAATCAACGAGAATTGTTCACGATGGTTTCCAGGGGGAACCACGTGAAGGTTGACCCGATTGAGCTGTCAAACCCCATTGCTAACAATCCCTTCCCCCCTTATGTAAGTACATATTATATTTTAATGTAATAATAACAACTAAACCAGCGGGTCGAAGCGCGCAGTCACGCATTATACCCGCTCACGATTAAGGGTTCGGAATGGTCCCGAAACTAGTCGAGCTTTCTTGACCTAATTACACGTAAGTTAAACTGGTAGTTGTTACTTTAAAATAATAACAATTTATTTTTTAGTTTCTCAACGTGGGCGATAACGTTCCGGGTGTGTATGTTTTAGCGTTTGAGACTTTTAGGGAGATAGTAGAAGACTCAGGGAAAATTTGAAGACGTGAGATGAGGTTATTAATTATTGAAATGGCGCAGCCTCCCCCTTGGGAGGTTTTGCCGGTAGTTGCCACGCTTGGCAGGTGGATTGGCAAATGCAGTCAGGTTTTAGAGATGTTTTAAGAGGGACGCTGCTGCCCATCTCTCATTCTCCCTTAGTCGCCTCTTACGACACCCACGGGAAAGGAGGGGATGGCCTGTTCTATGCTGGGACCACACGGCCACATGCTTTAATATCACCTTTTAATAGTAAAAAAAAAAACATGAATACCAACATATAGAATACTCTACAATTTCACTCACCATCCTCTGGAGGCTGTTTGTTCCTCTCCACTTTCCTAATGTCGTCCAGGGTAACATCATCCTTGGAAAACAGTCCACCATGCATCACCAGTACTCGATTGTTGATACAGTGCGCCAGAGGCAACCAGTTGTAGACTTCAGTGAAGAGGTCTGCCATATGAGCGGTGTATTTAGAGGTCACCTCCCCTTGGAAACCATACATGTGGTTCATATCCCGGGTCTCGTGGTTACCTGAAGTATTAAGGTATTGGAGTTGAAGTTAATTATGAATTGGTGAAATTATTGTATGATAATCTGTATTCTATAGAGCGAATAAACGTAAATCGAATTATTACCAACACGTAAAAAAATGAAGCAAATTATGAAAGGCTTTTTCAAGTTGGCGTTTACTAACAAATTTTTTTTTTATGCAACTTAGAATGGCAAACAAGCTGACGGCCCACCTTATGGAAAGTGGTAACCGTCGCCTATAGACATGAGTAGGACCATGGACACAACAGAGTATACTGTTTCGCCCATGATACCCCCATGCGGTGCCATTCTTGAGAATTCAGATGTTATCCCTCTGTACCCTGTAAATTCACGCCATATTCCACCCTTCAAACCGAAACACAGCCATGCAAACATAACTGCTTTACGGTTGAAACACGAATGGGACAGAGGTACCCAAGCAATCGACTTTTGTATAAAATCTCCCTCTGGTAATTCTTTCCGAATAATTTCAAACTTCTCCCTGCCTGTTCACTTAAAATTCTATAATCTATAATATTATGCCATAAAAAAAGACATAATAATATTTTATATTGAAATATTACGAAATACCAAAAAATTACATGGCTGTTTTTACAAATACACGTATAAAAATCCTATCGCGATGAGAGGATTTAGCTGATGTGCAAGGCAACGACACAAAGCCTACGTAAACTACCTACGAAGAAGCGCCAAAGAGCGCGCAGTGTACGTATCACGCGTCGTGTGGATCGTAAAATTTTAAATACATTGCGCGGCGTCAATATTAAGAATCGCTAATTATATGGTTTTTTTTAATGGGTGAAAATGGTATGGTAACCCCGCCTGCGCTAACGGGATACGCCGGCGGAGCACCAGTGAAGGGTGATAGATAAGAATGAAAACAGGCCAGTTAGCCCATCATGATGAATTCATCAGGAATTAACCATGATAGTTTCCAGGGAGAACCGCGAGGTCGACCTGGTTTGGGTATATTGCTAGCAATGGGATTCTCAGTCTCCATTACTAACAATCCCTTTCCCCCCTAACTATATGGTTGTAGTGCATTTCCTGTGGGAAAATAATCTGCCATCTGGTTCAGTCCACTCACTTTAGTTTAAACTCACTTTTGTATGTATGGATTGTTTAATAAAATCATGCTACTTACCTCTCGACATGTAAAAGTGGTTTGGGAACAACAACTTGAAGCTGAAGAGTGTGAAGATACATTCGACGCTGAACGACCCTCGGTCAACAAAGTCTCCATTGAACAGGTACGGGTTTTTCTCTGAAGGTAGCCCGTTCAATTGGAATATGTTCATAAGGTCATAGAACTGCCCGTGGATATCACCACACACTGTGAATTTTTCATCATCTGGCACTTTTATGTCGATGAGAGAAGGTTGTTTTTGTAGGTATGCTTTGACATCAATTAGGATCTGTTAAAAAAAAAAAAAGTTTAGTTTGGCTCTCATCATGGTACAGAAATTAAATTGATAAGTAGTTTTATTATTATTTCAGCCATTAACCGTCCACTAGTGAACATGAACCTGTTGTAGTTAAGGTCACATTTGGCAGGCGGATTGGTAACCGCAGTTAGGCTTTTAGAGATGTTTTAAGAGATCATTTTATGCTAACAAGTAGTTTAGACAAAAAATTGTTTTAGATTACTATTTACGTTTACGCTATGGTTTTTACCACGTTACTTTGTATTGCAATTATGAATTTAAGGCCGAGAAAATAAATAAATTTGTAAGGGAATATGTTTTGACTTTTTTTTATATTATATTAATTTCATGTGAATTATATTTTTTTGGACTGTACCTAAAATGTGGAGTACTAAACTACTTCTGAGTAATAGGGTCTATATTTTCAATACAGACTAAACATATACGCAAGGACAAAGCCACGGTGAATAGCTAGTGGTAATAAATTTAACGAAATAATAGTTGTTTAGTATAAAAGTACCTTGTAAGCATATTTTTTGTGTAATCTCTTCTGTTGTTTATAAAATTCCATGAGTTCGGTAACAAACTTCAAAGTCACTTTGCCATCCTCCAGGGCTGGTCCTTCATACTCATCTTCAATGGCTGTCAACATACAAATTAGTATTGCATCTAATTTTTTTTTCATTTATATTTTTTTTTTTCAGAAAACTTCAATTTACCGAGAATATTAGCTTCTTTAATAGATTAATGTTTTTAACCAGTAATAATATAATAAATAAGGACATACGATCTCTTCGAATCCAATGGTTTAGTAAACCACAAAAATTCATTAAAAATTTTAAAGCCATAGCAAAAATAGATTTCAATATTAAATATATTCTCATTATACTCGTAAGTAAAAATATACAAAAACAAACATATTACAGAAACAGCAATTAGTTAAATGGAGATTAGATAACGAATTAGAACTAAGATAGTGTGATAAGAGAGTTACCTACTTAATAAATATGAGTACTTATATACAAGTACTGACCACAAACTATGTCAATCAAAGCCGAAGAAAATATAATTATATGAAGGAAAATAAATAAAAAAAAAATGAAAAATAGAATGTGGACACATTTTAAAATTTTAATAACTTTGTTATTGACTACTTATTCAGGAGGTCTTTTTTCTCTCTGGTTCACATAGATGACAGAGCGATCCATTCTCGCTTTAGCTCGAATTATGGGAGATGGGTTAAAAAATTTATGTACACATAGAATATGGTTAATATAGATAGGTTATTAAGGTAAGTAGTGGACTTATTATTAATAAAAAAAAAAAAAAAACTAATAAATAGAAAATTATTGTTGCATCAAATTATACCTACTGTAATAAAAATAATTAATTCCAGTACTGTTTAAATAGTAGTAGCAAATTAGACCTACACAATATTTTTTTCTTTTATTTATAGATAACAGCATTTTTTACTCAATATTGCAAATTACAGTGAACATGATAATTGATATGAATCAATTATATTTTATTATTATTTATCATGTCAAAGAATATAATGTTACTCTCTTTTATATCTATCATAAAAAATTACTAAAGAAACCAAGAATAATACTCCAATACGAGAAATAACTCTAAATAAAACCCTGAACCTAGCAGTCTGGTCAGTCTGGGAATATTACGCCCAGCTGTGGGACAATTTTTTTTTATACAACTTATAATGGCAATCAAGCTGACGGCCCACCTGATGGAAAGTGGTAACCGTCGCCTATAGACATGAGCAGTGCCATGGACATAACAGAGTATACTGTTTCGCCCATGATACCCCCCATGCGTTGCCAATCCTCAGGACTCAGGTGTTTCCTGTACCCAGTAAATTCACGCCATATCCCACCCCTCAAACCGAAACACAGCCATGTAAACACAACTGCTTTATGGTTGAAACATGAGGTACCCAAGCAATCGACTTTTGTACAAACATTAATACTTCAACGCACCAATATCAATAGAGTGCATAAAAGGAGAAAGATTTAAAGCACTTAGAAATACAATAGCCGCCTTTTGTATTTAAATTTTTTAATTAATTTCAAATCTTGTCCCTAATGCAATGTCGTTCAGACAACCTTTGGGGAGAGGGTAGTTATAATATTAATGAAATATAAAATAATTTATTACTTACTCATAGCATCTAAATTAATTGAGTCGGCAATGTTGACCTCCTTTTTGTCCACAGAGATAGCTTTCTCAAATGCTATTTTCTTGACAATTTTATTGCATTCACTAAATTTAAGTTTTGCATCTTGATCATTTGGCCTAACTTTGGTTACCTGTAATTATATTATGTATTAAATCATTTAAAATGAGCATCAGCTTTAAACTGTTTACTGTTTAACATAGACCTCCTCTATTAAGGGGGGTTTTGCCAGAAGTTTCCACACTTGGCAGTTGGGTTGGCAACTGCAGTTAGGCTTTTAGTGGTGTTTAAAAGGGATGCTGTTGCCCGCCACTCAACTATTAAATTCCCTTAGTCACCTCTTATGATATTCATGGGAATGGAAGGGGTGGCCCATTCTATGCCGGGTTCACACAGCAATCATCATTATCATCAGAAACATTTAAAATATATTTAATATAATTAAAAGAAAATTTTACAGCTGTTCCCATATAAAACCTAGTTAATTATATTTCTATATATTACTCAGATCATAAGCTTTATGTGTTATTTTATGACTGAACATAAAGGAGTGATATTACATTTATAGGTTTTCAGTCATTTAATTTTCGATTGAATCTTTATGCTTCCTAAATTAAATTGTTATTACGAGTCCAAAAAAGGCCAGGCCAGGCCGGTTATAAAACTAAAAAGAAAAAGCTTGGTTAATATGAATAAAAATATATGTTAACCCTTACATTAATTAAATGGGATAAGGATAGAAAGATGATGAATAGTCAAACAAATCTAAGATCCATAAGAAGAGAGAATTTAAGATACTCTTGGTTTTTTTTAGGATAAAATCACATTATTATAAGTGTGATACATTTGAAAGTGGATATTAAACAGGAAGAGCTAAAAAAACATGTGTGTGAAGGATGTAATATATTATGAATATTTGTGATGTGACAAGATGGTTAAATCTAGAATATAAGGTTATGACTAGATTATAATAACATTATGCATGACTACAAATAGTAGGAAAATAATTAAAGGCATGATGGTGATGACAGATTAAAAATACTATTACAAATACATGCAATATTAAATTATTGAGTACATTTTCCTTACCGAATAATGATTATTTATAATAACATCACTAAAATGTTATACCTATAAATTTTTTTTTAATTCAATGGAAATTACCAAAATGGTTTCCTTGTTTGACATTCCTAGGCTTCCTAATAAAAAATATCTCTGTAGTTAAGTGGTAATACATTGCTTGACATAAATTTGATCTTAGAATTGATTTGGTTGGGTCAATTTAAAAAACAAACACTTCTAAATTGTTTCAGTCTAGATATTTTGAACTTTAGCATTTAATAGCATAGGGTAAGAGGCAGATAATTAATGTGATTGTAAGGCATTTATTATTCAAATAAAGTCTTGTAACAACTTATGTATTTTTTTTATGTGTGATAATGGAATGGTAACCACACACTATTGGTTTACACTGGTAGGGCACCAGTGAGGGATGATAGGTGAGGATGAACAACTTATGTATTGGTTATTTTGTAATTTGACACTAACATTATTTGATAAACATAGCTAAAACTGGTGGGATCTGAGTGACAAAACATTGGCCATGAGTGCCCTATGACAACATGTTTGAAGGTTCAACTCCAAAGAGCATGAGCAGTAAGTTTATATGGAAATAGTTAATGAATATAAAATAATACTTACATATTCAAAATCCTTAAGTGCTAATTTGTATTTCCCTAAAGACATATGAGCTGCCGCTCGCCTGTAATAGGCCTTCGTGTAAGCCCTATCCAACTCTATTGCTTTCGATGCGTCGCTTAGGGCATACCCAAAGTTTTCCAATCGTAGATTCGCTATACTTCTATTCGCGAAAAAGACTGCATTTTTCGAGTTCTTCTCTATTGCTTTTGTATACAATTCGATGGCCCTGTTGTAATTCTGTTCTGAAATTTTGAGGTTATGTCAGCGAATTAAAAATTACCTCTCTCGATCAATATTTAAATTCGGCATGAATCACTGACCCCCATGACTCCAATATCTAATTTACCGATAAAATTAACATAATACTTACTTTTAAAAAATTCATTGGCTTCATTTTTCAATTTTTCCGCAGCCTCTATGTCTTCTTGTGACACAGGGCCAGTGATTTCCGCATTACTAGACATTGCTTTGAGTTGTATATTCGTTAAATTATAATATATTAAATTGAAACAAGGGCCTAATCATAAAAAATGTGGATTTCTCAAGTCCATTTACATGCTATCCGCAATTCATGAAAAATGAATTGATAGTGATAGATGAATGAAATTAATTAACGAGTGAGATGAATGAGTGGTTTTGAATGAAGGATTGATATGAATTGATATGTGTTGCCAATAGTAAAAATATATATTCTTTAATTATCTTAACTAGGATAGTGAACATATAATGATTTATTATCTACAAAATAATGTAAGGAATACTAAAATATATCTAAGTTAAACCGTTATCACTTTAAAATATATTTCCTACTGACGAAACTTATAATAAGAAAAATATTATTAAAATATTCACAGAGCTAACTTCTTTGTGCAGTATCTTAAAGAAAGAAATATTTTTATTCAAGTAAATTTATACTTAAACTTTTTTTAATAGTAATTTTTCATTACCAATAACATCAAGTCATCATCACTATACATGTGTATACTTACAACATAAATATAAAAACCTATAGGTATAGGTCATACCTATATGAGTGAGATAGTCAATTATTTTTTCGTATCATCTGAACTACAATTGAAAATAACTCTGCGAGCACAATTCACACTTACATTTGTTGAATTTGTCACTATGGGTGAAATGACCTATTTTATACCTCTTATCATATCTCACTGATGTCCCGTCAGTGTATGCCGATAGAGTAGGCGGGATTACCATTCCATTCTCAACCATTAAAACACCTTACACTTAAAGAGTTTGTTAGTTATAGGGATTAAAAACTTAATTGGTTAATATATATTCCTATTAGGTTAACTTTCACGTAGTTCCCACTGGAAATTATCATAGTTAATTCTTGCTAAATTCGTCGTGATGAGCCAATTGATCTACTTTATCCTTACTTATCATCACTCATTTGTGTCCCGCCAGCATATACCGATAGTGTAGGCGGGGATATCAATGTCATTTTCATCAATTAAAATAAACCCATACTTACATGCACAAGTAGATATGTTATCGCTACTTTCTTGAGGTGTAAGTGAGGTAGAAAGTAATGGTAGGAAGGTCGTGCAAGTTCACTATCAAAGAGCCTAATTTTGGTTTTAAATCGTTTGAGTTTCAATTGATTTAGATTAGACGGCCATATGTTTTCGTATTTACAATATTTATTACATTTCGTTTTGCCAAGTTTTTATGATACAAATTTTAACGCTATTCTTAAGATATGCTTGATGCTTGTAATTTAATCCGATTGCGAAGAAATAAGAGTAACGTTTTCAATTTGCTGTATAACAGGAACGGTTTTTTATTCTATTTCTACGCTATCGATTTCTACTGTACTGTTTTTTTTTTTTAAATATTGGTTATGTCAAAATATTAAAAGAAAAAAAAAATATTTAGATATTTTTTTATTAAACAATTAAAACTTAATCTTACGTGTTATTAGATAATAAATACCTAAGTTTCTGTCAGTATTTATGGTATACGATCATTACAATAATACTGTTATGGAGTACTTTATATTTTATATTTTTATATCTATTTATATTATATATAATAATTATAACAGCTTCTGTATGGTGAGGCAAATAATAGTAACAACAATGCTGCTTTTTATTAACGTAGAAGAATCTGGTTCATCACAGTCCTCGTACTGAACCACTGAGATGAAATACGGCTGATATAGTTCCTTTCTAGTACTCATGTATTGGTTGATCGCCGACGAACTAGGTCCTGGCATTGTCCGTGTACGGCTTAGCTTCCAGGCGCCAACTGGTAAATAAAAAAAAAAAAAATAGTGTGACCTTTTTTATTGTTATTTTATTTTTAATGGTGAGAAGTTTATTTTGAATTTTTTCTGATCGAGGGTTACACACAGTTATAAATGTCTGTTAATGTACGGCAGTTTGGATCACTCATAATCGTTTCAAGGATATTCAAAGCTTTTTATTTTATACAACTTAGAATGGCAAACAAGCAGACGGCCCACCTGATGGAAAGTGGTAACCGTCGCCTATAGACATGAGCGTTACCATGGACATAACAGAGTATACTGTTTCGCCCATGATACCTGAGTCCTCAGGAGTGGCAACGCATGGGAGACCATGCGTTGCCACTCCTGAGGACTCAGGTGTTGTTCCTCTGTACCTAGTAAATTCACGCCATATCCCACCCTTCAAACCGAAACACAGCCATGCAAACACAACTGCTTCACGGTTGAAACACGAATGGGACAGAGGTATCCAAGCAATCGACTTTTGTACAAATTCTCCCTCTGGTGGACATTACGTATATTATATCGAAACCATTTCAGTAATCGACACATCCTGATCAGGGATGCGGAAGATTGTGTAATATTGTTTTAAATAATGGTTACCGCTAAATAACCCTGGCAATACCGATTTAAAACTGTGAAATTGAAAATATCTCAGTTTTAAAGCAGCAGCTTAAAAATAGTATCAGTGACTATACACATAAAAATATTAGGTCAACTTTTTTAAAATATCTTAACTTACCGGCTCTGTAATATTCGTCAATGTTGGTACAAGTGTACAGTAGTGAGTAACTCGCATAGTCTGTCGTTAATATGTACAGTTCCGTTTTTGTAGTTTCTGAAAAAAAAAAAACATTTATTATTTTATATTATTCTTACCTATTACTAGTCTAAAAATAATTACCTACTAGTTTGAATACCCTCTAGTGCTAAATTTCTAAGTCGCCTTTGTTGTTGTTTTAAAATTCGTCCAAAATTGGACAGGCAAAGTGCATAGCCCATACAGCCTAATTTTTTTTTAATTTATTTAATTAATTTGCGTTGTATGTTGTTGTTGTTGTTGTATGTTGTTTTGTGTTGTGTAGTTAAAGTTACAATTGGCTCTTCATGAGGAGAAAATGAGTCGCCTTTGCCTTTGTTGCTACTGGGACTGACAAACAAGTTAACAGACAGATGTCAAGTTTTAACTGCTATTTATGGACACATAAACACAGTTCATTGTGTTGCCTTTATGCATTATTACTTCAGGAGCAATTTATCTGAGATTGGTTACAGTGAAGTCTATACAAGTAAAAGGGAACATGGTAGAAAAATGTTTAAGAATATAGCATAATTTTCAGTCCAAAACAACAAAACCACACTGGCCAGTGTGGCTTCATCCAGAAATAAAGAACGTTACGTATTACATATACAAGTATATGTAAAAATATGTGGTATTCGTAGAGATGGTTAGTTAATCACAAGCCACTGAATAAATTTTAATGAAACGAGTACACCAAATTGTAAATTAATACAAGGCTCATTTTTAACCTAATTAATACGGGTAAACGGTTGTGGTTAGTTAAAAAATTTATACCTTCTGTCCCTTCAACTGGTATTTCCATTACCAATTTCGCGCTACCATCTTCTGATGTGACAGCGATTGTTCCTTCGACGGTTACCAGCTCATCATTGATCACAGCCCAGTTCACAATGGTCAGGAGTCCAGCCTCAAAGTCCAATTTATACTCAGCCCCAATACAAGTTCCGCTTTCATGGGTATTAATATATCTTTCAGTCTGATACCATTTTCCTGTGTACTGTGGGAAAATGGATATGATATTTTAAAGTAAGTATGGGTGATATTTACATAATATATAGTTATAATATCTATATATTGGTCTAATAACGGCTGTATTAAATATTAGTTACCCCATATGTAATATTGAATGGAATGACCCGATAGAAATGATTACGATGTTACTATTTTTTTATCTAGTAATTAAAATTTCATTCTATCATTCATTCATTCATTCCGCCGTGACTGTCTAGAGAAGAATATATGGATATCGGAGCGGTACCGATATGGTATGGGTAATGCCAATTTTAAATGGATAATTAAAGTTATTTTTTAACTGAAATTTGCTAATATACTGACGGTCCACTTAATGGAAAGTGGTAATCGTCGCCTATAAACATAAATAGCACTGTAGACATCAAATTCAAATCAAATTTATTCAAATATAATTGTTTACAAGCAGTTTATTATCTTTTTTTTTTATCTATTGCAGGCTTCGGAAAGTATATAGCAAATATGTATAGCAAGAACGCCCTGATGCCTACTCAGAAACCAATCTCATAAATCCATCAATTTTTTTTTAATGGATGAAAATGGAATGGTAACTCCACCTGCGCTGCCGGTGTACGCTGGCACCAGTGATAGATGAGAAGTGAGGATAAAGGCAGGTCCATTGGCCTATCGTGAAAAATTAGGCAAGAATTAACCATGAAGATTTCTAGAACAGCGTATAGGTCGACTTGATACTATGTATTGCTAGCAATGGGGCTATTAGAGCCTACAATTATAGCCTAGTAATTCTTTTCCCCCAAGTTGATTTGTCCCACGCGTGTTTCTGCTGAAAGGCTGTGTATGCATAACTGTGTTTTGGCTTGAAAGTTCTGTAAGTTGGACAGCTTTAGCTGTTCCATTGGTAGCTGGCGGAGTATCTATTAAGGTCCTAAAATTAAAATAATTTTAAACAATGCGAAAGTTAGGTTCCTTATTGAAGTACCATTTGAAGACTGAAGTTCTGCTCTATTGGTATATTTTGGTCGCACTGCCCAGGCAATATGATTTGTTGGCCCGTTTGCAGTGGGTAATGGAAACAGGCATCGTCGCTCTGATCGATATCCTGGTAGAACTGGGGGTAGAGGACTTCATTGTTATCCACCACTTCGTCGATTGCAATTTGGGCTGCTTCAGTGAACTGAGTCGTACGATTCCTGCTGTGTATAGCACTCCAGACTGTAAAATAGGAGTTTGTAGTATGTTATTTCGAGGAAAGTCTTCATGTAATCTTTACTAGTATTTTTTTTAATGGGTGAAAATGGAATGGTAACCCCGCCCGCGCTATCGGTATACCCCGACGAGGCACCAGTGGAAGATGATAGGTGAGAGTGAATGCAGGTAAGTTGGCTCACCATGATGAATTCGACAAGAATTAAACATGATAGTTTCCAGGGGGAACCACGTGGTCGACCTGAGAGGGTATATTGCTAGCAATGGGGCTATTAGACACCATTACTAACAATCCATTTCCCCCTTCTTTACTAGTATTTTTTAATGGATGATAATGGAATGGTAACCCCACCCGCGCTATCGGTATGCACTGGCGGGGCACCAGTGAAGGATGATAGGTGAGGAGATGAAGTAGGTCAGTTAGCCCATCGTGACGATATCAACAAGAATTGTTCACGATGGTTTCCAGGGGGAACCACGTGGAGGTCGACCTAATAAGGCATATTGCTAGCAATGGGACTGTCGAACTCCATTACTAACAATCCCTTTCCCCCCTCTTTACTAGTATTAGGTATGTGTAAGTTTGTTATTTGCTTCTATGTTTCTATGTTACTTAATTTGAAAGGAGAACAATATATGATATTTCACATCCTGGTTAATAGAAGTCACGTGTAAATGCTAATAGCGCAGCAGTAGATAGACCAGATCATGGAGAGATTCATTACCGATAGATATGAACAGCGTCACGTGATACTTAGGATACACTCGTCTGCATTGTCATTCCTAAGGACTAGGGTGTCATGACTCTATAACCAATTCGTATTCGTGTAGTTTCACTGTCGTAGTAAGAGACCATTCTCCAAATTGGCTTGGGAATGAGATTCTGTTTTTTATATACATATATCTTCGGACTACTCTATAAAGACTTTATATAATCCTTGAAACAATAATAACAATTATTACGTTAATACAGTAGAAATTTTAATTTTCAAGATACAAGTGACCTGGTTTAGGAACAAATGGTAATGTAAACTTTTTTATAATGTAGGTAACTTGATATACATAAGTGATGTTCTATTCTGTTCCTGTCTCTTTTTGGTAATAAATGTATTTTAATTTAATTTTGTTAAATTGTAAACTATCAATTTTCAGAAATAAAATTTGGTTTATAGAATATATATTATTATGGAAATTTATTTTTATAGTTTAACTACCCACCTCGCCGACGTTCACTATCGATGTTTTCGCATGAGTAGAGTACAGCATATTCGTTGTAATCGGTCGCTAGTACCCAAATTTCTGTAAAACAAAAAAATAAATGAATTGTAAATTCTATTTGACAGTTATTAAGTGCTTGTTAGTCTAATAATTTGCAAAGTCTACTGATCTGCCTTGGTATTTTTAAAGGTTTTTTTTTTAACCCACAAAGGTGGCAAACAAGTGTACAACCCATCTGATAGTAAACGATCACTGTAGCCTATGGACGCTTGCAATACTAGGGGTGTCACGAGCGCGTTGCCGATCCTGAAGAAACTTTAATATATCTTTTTTAAAGAATTCCATACTGTAGTCTTTAAGGAAACCCTCGGTAGAGAGGTCATTCCACAGTCTGAGCGTTTGTTGGAGAAAATTTCTCTGAACAGTACTGTACATGACCATTTAGGCTCAAGTGTGTGAGGATGAAATCCCTGTTGGCGAGCAGTGCGAAGGTGAAAAGTTGGCTGTAGGCATCATTTCAAACAATTTTTCAGAACACAATGTGTTGTACAAGGTGTAGAACACACAAAGGAAGGCAAAGTCTCGCCTTAAATGAAAGGGCTCGATACCGCCTGTGAGCTTGGGATTGTCAACAATTCTCATAGTCCGTCTTTGAACTGAGTCAAAACGACAAAGCTGGTATCCGGCCAGTGTAAATTGAAGTCCGACTTTATGCTCAGTATGCGCTGGTTAGAATACCAGTGATGAATGATGATAAGGATCAGATTAGTCGGCTCTCTCTCTATCTTTTTCTTTTTTTTTTTATACAACTTAGAATGGCAAACAAGTTGACGGCCTACCCGATGGAGTGGTAACCGTCGCCTGTAGACATGAGCAGTACCATGGACATAACAGAATATACTGTTTCACCCATGATACCCCCCATGCGATGCCATTCCTGAGGACTCGTTTCTCGTTTCTGTGTACCCTGTAAATTTACGCCATATCCCACCTATCAAACTGAAACACAGCCATGCAAACACAACTGCTTTACGGTTGAAACACGAATGGAACAGAGGTACCCAAGCAAACGACTTTTGTACAGTCTCCCTCTAGTAGATCTTTTTCTTAATCATCTTTGTATTGTGCAGGGATCGAACTCGCGACTATTGAAAGGTTAAAACGCTGCACCACCAAATAAGATTTATAATATCTGAATTATCTGAATCTAAAACCTACCTTGCTCCTGTCCATCGCTTAAAGTCCTCAATAGGCGTCCATTGCTATCAACGCGTACAGCACCGGTAGTGATTTCAGCGGTGACATCAAATATACCGGTATCAACCATTTCCACTTGGTCATCAGCGCTGTCGTAACGTGAGCTGGTGCAGTCGCCAGGATTGGTGTCTCTTGGATAACTCTTGATTTCGTGCCACCAACCGAGGAACTGGGATGATAATATGTTTTGATCAATTGACAAATTCAGTAGCATATACCACATACAACATTTCATATTTGTGTTTCGGTTTGAAGGAACGAAACTACAGGGCGTAATACTATAGTCCCTGGTATTGGAAGTATCATGGACTTCACCGTATCTTTATTCTGTGTCGTTTACAATAGGTATGTGTATTGGTAGCGCATTGATATCTAAATATTTGCGTCTAAACTGCGCCTACCATGTACTCTCTTGTATAGGCATTCCGTCACCCGTATCCAATAGCGAGGACGGGATGCCCTAAATACTGTACCGCAAACCATAAAAAAAAAATATCAATATATTGGGTCCTTCTAGACACTGTTGGCGGAAAAAAATCATCACCCATTTTGGATATCACTAATACGAGTTCGATATCTATAATAATATCGATCGGGTTTTTTAATTTCACCTTATATTGGATAAGCAATATTAAACGTATTTGTTATAGGATCAGTATATTAGATATTGTAACTAAAATATGTAAATATTCCTATTTATCACCCATACCTAGTTCACGCTACTGTTTATCTATAAACAACGTTTATTACTTCCGTCATTCTGTTAGCAATATTATCATATATTTTTTTTATACCACTGAGGTGGCAAACAAGCATACGGCCCACCTGATGGTAAGCGGTTACCGTAGCCTATGAATGCCTGCAATACCAGAGGTATTACGCGTGCGTCGCCGACCCTAAAGAAACCTCTTTACCCCCCTTTTGAAGAACCCCATACTGTAGTCTCTTGGGAAAACCTCGGCAGGGAGCTCATTCCACAACCTGAGTGTTCGTGGGAGAAACATCTCTAAAACCGCGCAGTACGCAACCATTGAGGCTGTAGGACATGAGGATGAACTCCCTGTCATAAAAAATATTGTCTGAAATCTCTATAAAGAAAAGGTATCAAGAAATAGAACCTGTTCTATATCGAAATTCTCTAGTCCAACAATATCCTCACACTGGCCTCTGAACACTGGCGCCTTTTGTGTATCAACTGGTGGCACGTAGAAACAGTCTTCGTCGCTTTGGCTGGTCGGTGTGTAATACTCTTCAATAAGACCTTGCGTGTCTAAGATGACTTGGTCCATGATGCTGTTTGCTTGTGCGCTTAGAGTAAAGGTCCTGCTCAGTTTCCAACTGAATACTGCGAAGAAAAGTTGGCATCAAATACGCAAAATCGAAACCTTTACGATAATGGGATCTAGTTGTGTAGAAAACAGCCTCAGAAAATGTTCATAAGGGGTAGTTTTTTGCATAATTATTTCCAATTTTAGCTTTTATATTCAATGGCGTGTCTAAGATTATTTTATAGAGAGGATCAGACTCTTTAAAAAGCCGCATATGCACCCTCAGACATGTCTTTCTTAAGTTTTGTACGTACGTAAGCCTGCATTCTAGTCTGGGCATCAGAGAGTTCTTTTTTTTTATACAACTTAGAATGGCAAACAAGCTGACGGCCCACCTGATGGAAAGTGGTAACCGTCCCCTATAGTCATGAGCAGTACCATGGACATAACAGAGTATACTGTTTCGCCCATGATACCCCCCATGCGTTGCCATTCCTGAGGACTCAGGTGTTATTCCTCCGTACCCAGTAAATTCACGCCATATCCCACCCTTCAAACCGAAACACAGCAATGTAAACACAACTGCTTTACGGTTGAAACACGAATGGGACAGAGGTATCCAAGCAATCGACTTTTGTACAAAGCCTCCCTCTGGTAAAGTTCTGTAGTGGGCATGCCCCCCTTCTTCCCTATAATACGGCTATGGTGATACTGAACATTTTCCCCAAAGGCCCATACCTATTACTAGTAATCGATGAAATATTAATTGTTAATAAATTAAACTTTGTTACTGTAAACCACTTGGCAAGTATAAAAGTAGATTTATAGGCTAAATAACTTTTAAAGAAACTGCATAATAAATAACACTAACGTAGTCACAAAATACGTATTTAGTTAGTTTTTAGTATGATTGCACTTAATAATAATCAAATGTGATAAAATTGAAATGGGCCCAACACAATCGCTTATCGTTTACAAGAGGAATTGTGAAAATCGAGAATATCCTCTTTTGGAAGTTGCTTAAAACATTTTTTAGGAAAAAAGAAAAAGGGGTTACTCAGTCAATCTATATCCATCTTTAAGTCCTAGCAAGTAATAAGGCGATACAGTTTTTAAAGGAATTATTAGATTCATGTAACAAGTGAGATTTTAAGTAAATTACCTTGTCTGTTTCCATCGGGCAAGTTACGGCAGCTGTACACGAGAGAGTACGAATCGTAATCGGTCGCGAGCACATAATAATTGGCCACTATTTCCTCTGAAAAAAAGAATATTTAGTGCTGATTATAGAAAATTAACACAATAAATCTTTCACATATCCTTCCCTTTATTCCTGAAAATATTGGGTCTACATAATATAGTTAGATTGAAGAATACACATTTATAAATGTGTACTCTTTATTTCAACTAAAAGTAAATTTATAATTGCCGCGTGGTCCCGGCATGGAATGGATCACTGCTTCCTTTCCCGTGTATGTCCTAAAAGGAAAATTTTTAAAAGTCGATGAATGAGTAGCAGCATTCTTCTTTAAACATCACCAAGGTTAAGCCTTGGTGATGCGGTTGTCAATCCGCATGCCAAGCGTGGAAACTAATGGTAGAATCTCTCCCCAACAGGAGGAGGCCTATGGCAGCATTTAGCAGTGGACAATTAACGCTGATATAGAATGGTATGGCTGTATGTTCGTGTCAATTAAGATTTTTTTTTTAAATGACTCAGACCTAAGTTTGTTGAGTTATGCCTTCAGATGATCATTGCTAACAATAGGGTATCTTAGTTTAAGGGCGAGCCAATTGCTGTGATTGTATGGTATTTATTATTATTTACTATCACATCTATATCTCACTTACCATCATCAATGACAAAAGTAATATCGAATACTCCACTGCCATCATTAGAAGATTGAGTTGCGGATCCAAATTGTGAAAGCAACGTCCTGTTTGCCACTAGAGTGTTGTTCACTTCCAATATTCCATTCACTAAGGCGTACTCAGCTCGATCGCAAGTACCAAATTGATAAGGTTGTGGGTATTTAGCGATTTCGATCCATCTTCCAGTGTACTGTTGAATAAAGCATCGAAATTATTTTAAATTCAATTAAAATATACATTACACATGCTTTTAGTTTAGTTAAAACGAAGAGACAATTTAGTCGAGCAAATGCGAGATGAGGTTTTTGAGTTTTAGCAATTTTGTAATTTTTATTTTTTATTTTGATTGTATTTTGCTTACTGGCATGCTATTATAGATTTGTAACGTATTGTAAAATTAAATTTATTATTATTATAAATAATATCTACGAGTTACTGAGAGGTATCAAATTTCAATCAACATTTAAGAGTTTTTAGAAAATTATCTATTTTTAATGAATGTTACTATAAACAGAATATTAATTGTTCTTTTGTAAGTAATTATTAGTGCAGAATATAAACAAATAGAAGCAGCTATTGAGTTAATTATGGATGAATAAAGAGAGAAGAAGAATAAGAAAGAACGCCGTAGTGATGGCAGTGACGCAATAGAAAAGACAGTAGAGAAATAATGAAACGATTTTACCAATATCTTGAATTTTGGTGATCTCCATTTTATATTAGAGTTATTATCCTTCGGATCAGTATGCTGAGGAAAATCTAAATATTCACATGTTTAGATAAATTTAAATAAACATATTGAAAAAGCTAAATACCTTATAAAGTGTTCGTGATTTTTAATGTCTTTTAAAGAAAAAATTGAATATTTGCTATACATTATATTTATACTACACACCTGTGTCGTATTAGAGAGTAATAATAAAATACAAAATGCTACGATTCAAACATATTTCTTTCGTTTACATTCATCAGTTTATTTACACAAGTTGGTTAGTTGCAAGTGCTTTTAAGTTAACCCTTTTTTAGCAGGTCTTTTACTTGGTAGACGAACGCCTGCCTCTATTAATTCGTCCTCATTCCTTCATGATCATTTCCGAATGAAACACAAAATATCCTTTCAATCTTTATTACTACATTATCTTTCAGTTTACATAATAAAGCGAAAATTTATAAGAATGTTTGATTGTTTTTAACCAACTTTAAAAAGAAGCAGGTTCTCAATTCGGTTGTTGGTTTATGTTTGTTAACTCATAATTTAGTAAGTTGTAAATCAATTTGGAAAATTGTTTTTTTTCTAAAAAGATATATTTACAGACCAATCCCGTAGATTTTTTTTTTAAAATCGATCCAATAGTTTAATTTTTATATCAAAACTATTGGTTTTGCCACAACTGAAGTTACTTTTCTGTGTAAAACACAATCTTAATTTTACTGAAATTGATCTCTGATCTCTGGCCATATCCTTGACCTCCCTATACGACATGACACCTAGTGTTTCTTTTATCTGTCCCATGTAGTTATTCCTCGGTTTTCCTCTTCCTATTTGCCCTCTATTTTTCCCTCCACTATGGTCTTAAAAATCGTCATATCGTTACACTGGTTACTTGATTAGAATTATTTAATTCCGCTATCATTAATACGTGTGTGACTGCCAACATTCGAAGATTAAAAGAGGATATGTAATAATGTTGTTAAATCCTACCACTTACTAATTATAGTGGAATTAAACAAAATAATTCTAAACACATAACAAATAACAATCTTAATTATTAAGTAGTTGATAAGCATTTTAAATGAAATTTCTGGACTTATTAAAATAGTTTTAATCTCATCTCTTACAAAATATGCCACAGAACACAACTAATTTCCAGTTAAAAAATACCAAAGGGACGGTTTAAAATCTATTAATCTGTACAAATCGTTTTGTCTCAGAGGGGCTACCATGAAATATTTTCCGAAATTTCGGGGACGAACGAAACAGAAATATGATGTTAATATTACATAATACATGCCATTTAAAATTTTTAAAAATGTTAAAATATCATTCCTCTAGACTAAACTATTAGGATAGGATTTATGATGAACGAAATGTTAAACTCCATTTACTGGGTCGATTTCGGTACGAACAAAGACACGAAATTGAGCCCGAAAATTCGGAATTTCATTTCATGGTAGACCACCAGATTCGTTTACGTCTCTTAGTGTCTTTAAACAAGGTCAGTGATTACTTGCTGTGTTACAAGGTCGTAAATAATTGAAATAAAGATAGACGTTTACAGTTTAATTTTAATTTTAATATTAATAAATGTATCTGGTAACACTGTATTACAACATAATTAATTATTATCAAATACATATTATTACAAATAATTTAGATTTTCATTGAAATTTTACACGTTCAAGTTGAAGTTATTTATAAAAAAATTAAGAAAAAAATAAAATTTTATTATAAAATAAATAAGAGATATTAAGTAATTTATCTGAGATAAGAAACAAACGAGCTTAGACTCTTTTGTTATTACTTTGAGATTCTAATGATTATTGTTTAAATTATTTATAGAAACAGAAAGAAAAATTCCTAAAATAAATCAAAATAAGACAGACATTGGGGTCGATTCTGAAGCATTACTTCTTTAAACTTATCCCTTAAGCTAATATTTTAAATTGATAATTCTGGGAAATTACTATTTTATAAAGTATCATAAACTAAAATTTATGATAATTTTTATATATATAAGATTTAAACCATCGCTTTGATGTGTAAATGGAAAGTCAAATATTAGAGATAAGTTTAGGGGAACAGCGCCAAAGAATTGTCCCCACTGTGTAAATAAAATATAACGCTATAATATAATAAATATATCTGAAATTAATTAAAACTGAATTGTACTTGTGGTCGATGCAATATTTAATTATCAATTTTTATTTACATATATAAATAATTTATTTATAACCAAGTAAAAAAATAATAATTATAGTAAATATATAATAATTACAGTATATATAAGAAGTCATACAAAAGGCGGCCTTATCGTTAAGCAATGTCTTCCAGACATTATTTGGGTAGAGGACATTGAGAAAAAGACAAAGGGTAGGTGGCGACTATTATATAGATACTAATGTATACGATGTAAACAAATATATATATATATATATATATATATATATATATATATATATATATATATATATATATATATATATAAACATACACATGTTTAATAACACACATACAACAGGAGAGAATGACGGAAGAAAATAATTATAGAGTTTTGACATTAAAATATATAAAAATAAGAACTATAATCGCTTTATCGCATTATTCAGATCAATAGAACGTTTTCTAAAGAAAACATTACAGAACGGGTTATAAGCACTTACTCTGTTAAGATCGAAGCCGCTAACTCCTCGTATTCTCTCGTCACACGGTCCAGGTAGAGTGATGTAGTTGGGTAGTTCATCGAACCGAGGATAGTAGAAGCACGCGTCGTTACTTTGGTCCGTGTGTTCGTAGTAGCCCGCGTAGAGGTCGGTGTTATTCGTGACGATGGCGTCTATACGCTCGTTTGCTTGTGGGGACAGAGGATACTGGTATCGACCGAGTTTCCAACTGAAAACTGGAGTGGATTGTCTTTTTAATAGATGAAGATTGTGTGGTATTTGTATGAGATGATAATGGAATGGTAATCCCGCCTGTGTTATCCGTATACGCTGTTAGGGTTTTTTTTTAATAGGTGAGAATAAAATGGTATCCCAACTGCGCTACTAGTATGCTCTAGTGAGCTATCAGTGAGAGATTATAGGTTTTTTTTTTATACAACTTAGAATGGCAAACAAACTAACGGTCCACCTGATGGAAAGTGGTAACCGTCGCCTATAGACATGAGCAGTACCACGGATATAACAGAGTATACTGTTTCGCCCATGATACCCCCCATGTGTTGCCATTTCTGAGGACTCAGGTGTTATTCCTCTGTACCCAGTAAATTCACGCTATATCTCACCCTTCAAACCGAAACACAGCCATGCAAACACAACTGCTTCAAGGTTGAAACACGAATGGGACAGAGGTACCTAAGCAATCGACTTTTGTACAAAGTCTTTTGTACTAAGGAGGAAATAAGGTAAGTAGGAAAAGCAAGAAAAGCAGATAGGTAAGTCCATCGTGACGATTTCTACAAGAACTAACTACGATGTCTTCCAGGTAGAACCACATGGAAATCTAATTGATGTACCCTGTATTGCTAGTAATAGATCTGTTACACGACGTAACTAACAATCCCTTTCCTTCAGGCTGTCGGGGCACCAATGAGGGATGATAGGTGAGGATGACGTTAGGTCAGTTGGCTATTGGCAATTGGTAATTTTACTATAAATATATATGCTCTCCATCATGTCAGTCTTTAACTATCCACTGCAGAACATAAGCCTACCCATTGGGGGGAGAGATTGGTTACTAGTAGTTGCCACTTTTGGCAAACGGATTGGCAGCCGCTGTCAGGCTTTAAAGATGTTTTAAGAAGGACGCTGCTGCCCATCCCTCGCCTTCCCTTCTTCGCCTCCGGTTCTTACGACACCCACGGGATAGATAGGGGTTGCCTATTTTACACTCTGCATAATATCAATAAATTAACAGGGCACTATGTGAACTTATTATAGGCAATTAAGAGTAAAAAATATTTTTTCTGAGTGACCCTTTTCGTGATATATTTTTGTTTATGCTAAGATTACTTAATCTTTTGGAGGGAATAATAAAGAAAACCTATCTGTTTATGGTTATACTAAATGGTGTTGTTTAAATACCTTGTTTCTGGTTCTCGTTGAAGTTCCTGCAACTGTAGAGGAGTGCAAATTCTTCGTAATCAGTGTCCAAAACGTACAAGTTCAGATTGATTGAAGCTGCAAAGAGTATTAAACTGTTAATAATATTTGTAAGGATATCATAAAAACAAGTGTAAATAAATAATTTTATATTAAGCGATTTCTTAAAGAATGTTAGTTCAATTCGCTTGTATTCTTTTCGGAATTAATTATGACATTCCAATCGATTTGTAATGTTTATAGAAGCAAATGTCTATTTATAAGAGGCGGGAATAATTGCGATGATTTAGTACATTTAGCATTTAAGGACTGCTAATGACCAAGGCCGGTGTAATGTGAACGAAATATCGAGATAACCCAAGTAAATCACCTGTCACCTACTTACTAGTTTTAGTTTACTTAAATGACCTTGTTAATTCCTGTCTTTTATAAACCATAAACCATGAAACACAAGAGTCTTTATAAAAAAAAAAGAAACTGTTGCCAAGCAAAAATCTGCATAATCACGATTCCACATTCTAAATTTAAATAGTTTGAATTTAATGTTTCTATCTACGGAACATCTTTCCGTTAATTAGTGCATTTGCTTATTATCAAAATCGTTATTCTGTTTTTTTTTTACAAAATCAAATTTATCTTATATAAATTTGAATGTTGTAGCTGTTTTACCTCCACTATCATCACTGAGGTCAACAGTGATAACTCCAGATCCATCAGAAGCTACCAAAGCGGGTCCGGTGTAAGTCTGCAGCCGTTCATTGTACACAATATTTTGGGTTACAGTAAATTTGTTGGATGTATTTAATACGAAATTGATACCGGAACAGTCTCCAGTTTGAATCTTTGAAGGGAACCGTTCAAGTTCATGCCAGACTCCTTCGAACTGAAATTATGGGTACAAAAGATTTTATGTGTTTTGTCAATGTATTTTGGTCACAACTTAAGTATAAGTAGCAAAATACTAATACTTGCCTGACTGGGATCGAATCCGCTAACAACAGTGATATTGTTGTCTTCACATTGCCCATCCAGTATCACTTGACCGTCCGTCAGTTCCGGATAGTAGAAACAATCATTATCGTCGTGCCCCCAAGTGATCAAATACCTATCGTCTAATATCTTCAAATCCTTGGTGATGTTTTCGATCGCATCAACAGATTCTGGCGATAATGTTCTGTTTCTACTTAGTCTCCAATATCCCACTGTTAAAAAAATGTTTTGCAATATTAAAATGGTATAATTTAATATTTTTATACAATTTGGAATGGTGAAAAAGTCAAGGGTCCGAAAGGTGGCTATTCTTATCTGTAGAAATGAACAGCACTACCGACATCATAGCGAATATCACGGATTGTAATTCCTGATGGTGCCATGGTGTTAGTGTCTACTTACTCATGTGTTGCTATTCTTGAGGACTTGACGAGACATGACACCATATTATGCACCGACACCGCCATATTCTACCAGCCATGCAAACATAGCTCGGCGTTTTTTTTTTTGTTGGATGAAAATGGATTGGTAACTCCGCCTGCGCTAACGGGATACGCTGGCGGAGCACCAGTGAAGGGTGATAGTTGAGAATGAAAACAGGCCAGTTAGCCCATCATGATGAATTCATCAGGAATTAACCATGATAGTTTCCAGGGGGAACCGCGTGGAGGTCGACTTGGTTGGGTATATTGCTAGCAATGAGATTTTTAGTCTTTATTACTAACAATTCTTTTCCCCCCTAGTTGCTCGGCGTTAGAAACACGAAATAAATAGAGATCCATGCAGACAACTTTTGTAGCATCTCATTACTTTATATCATCATCACCATCATTATAACAAATTGACACAGTATCATCGCACTGAGAGAGACCAATGCATAGCTGGGCATTCGTTTCTCTCAGTAAGGAGATATGCATATTTTTTCGAAAAAAATAATAATTATGAGATACAGCTTCATCATCATATCAGCTGTTAATAGATCTCCCCGTAAGGGGGTTTTGCTAGTAGTTTATATGTTTGGTTGGCGAGTTGGCAATCACAGTCAGGCTTTGGTGATGTTTTAAGAGGAACGCTGCTGCCCATCCCTTGACCATTATCTTAGTTGTCTCTTACGACACTCATGGCAAAGAATCGGTAACTAAGCTTACCTCGCATATATTCATCATTATAGTTGACGCACGAGTAAACCAATGCGTAATTGTCGTAGTCTGTGTCTAAGATCCAATACGGTGTGACGATATCAACAGGATAGAAATCTAAAAATATTTAAATATATTTTATTCATCATCTTCCTACTCTTATCCCAATTATTATTTGGGGTCGGCGTAATATGATTTTATCCATATTACTAAAGGATTTGGCTTATACTCGTATTTTTACGACCGGCCGCCTGCCTGACGTCAACCCTCTTTGGGAATGCATTTGCTGGTGGTATTCGCCACCTACGGTTTGGACGAAAGGATTTAAATATATTATATTAAATTATAAAAATCTGTTAATGTTCTTGTAATGGTTTAAAGGATTATGATGATGGCTATTATATAAAAACCTTCCTGATTTAATTAGTTTAAAGGAATTATATATACATATTCATTTATTCAATAATAATCATACAATTGTGTTTGAAATAAGTTACGAAATATTAAAATAAATAAAAAAATTATGAAATAAACAACGAGGTCAATAAAATAATTAGAATAGCTTATAATATAAATAATAATAAGGAAATTAAATTGTATAAAATGAAAGTATGTTGCTCCATTGCAAGATTAACTATATTTACTTTATGAAATGTACAATTTTATAAATAAATATATAAGTATCTAGTAAGGTTAAATAAATCTATTACTCCGTAAATAACGTCAATTATATTTAACAGCTTGAACACACACACTTTTTCAAGTTTGACAACTTGAACATTTTCCACGATTTACCAAATTTCCTGCTTAATTCACTTTTATAGTCATCTCACGCATACAAGTTGGTTCTAAAGACCCTAGATTTCTTCATGTTTATTTAATTAGATTGCCTAGCGACATGATCGCTTTATTTAAAAATTCATTATTTAAAATATTTCTTAATTTTGTATGTAATGTGGTAAAGTATAAATTGTACAGTGTACAGTATAGGTTTGCGTCAGTACATGCGTCTTTCCGCATTGTCAAAACTATTTCATCAACCTTCCATCTGATATTCCTTTCACATGTCTGAACCAATGTAGCGTGCCCTACTTTATTTTTATATCAATACGTTCTTTCAAACCTACTACCTGTGTGACTACTGTTTTCGAATACATTTATTTATTTAAACTTTGCTGCTAAGTATGAATTTACATTGAATGTACATTTGGCGGACTTAACACTGAATGGTGTTCTCCACCAGTCAACCATGGGGCAAATAGAAAATTAGGAATGCGGTGCATTGAAGTATTAAGGAGACATAAAAAATATTTAACATATATATAATATAATATATAATTATAAAGGTTGCCTGGAAGAGATCGCTCTTAGCGATAAGGTCGCCCATTGTTTTCTCATTGTGATTATTTCTTGTAATTATTTATATTTATAATAAGTTTACTATTGTAATCTTTTGGAGGAAACATTAAAGAGTATCTATCTATCTATCTATCTATCTATCTATCTATCTATCTATAAACATATAATCTAATTTATCTGTATTATTCATTCTTTTTAGAAATAAATACTTACATCCTGGTACTGGGAATGAGACATTTAGTTTGCCTGTACCATTGCTATCTAGAACAGCCGTTGCATTCATTGTATTTAACCTTTGTAGGTAAACTTGGGTGTTGTATATCTCGAAGCTTCTTGTCGCTTGGTCGAAGGTATGCAGTGCGCTTAGACAAGTGCCATATTGGAATTCCAATGGGTAACTTTGGATGGCGTACCATTTACCTGCGTACTGTAAAATCAATGTTTCAATTAACCTCTGTTAGTAATTTGGGGGCTAGTGTAATCTTGCCATATACTATGTTTCAGTACAAGAGAGATTAACAAGGGCTTCTGCCAGGGGTTAGTTTGCCATTTACCTTCCTTAAAAAGGAAGATGTGAATTTTGGAGAAAAATAATAATAGAATCATTTATCTGTATAAAAATGTAACGGGAAATTAATGAACTCACTGTGTTTTTGTTGTTTTTTATTACAACACAGGGGGCAATGCGGCTCACCTGATGGTAAGTGACTACCGTCGCCCATGATCACCTACAAGACCAAAGGCATTATAGGTGTGGTACCGGCCTTTTAAAAAGGAATATTCTTCTTCTTGGTTGGATGAAAGGAATTTTCTTGAAAGTTATGACGTCGTATCGTTTTGGAAATACTACTGCTGGAAGTTGATTCCAAAGAGTGGTTGTGCGTGGAAGAAAGTGTCTTGAAAACGCACGGTGCAAGACCGCCATTCTAGATGGTTAGGTTAACTTTAGTTTATGGCGGGTTGTATGGCGGTGAAAGTCAGCAGTAAGTATCAATCCGAACAATTTCTCAGTGCACTTCCCATTAAAAAAGGCCTTTCCGACAATTGTTTCGTGCTACGGCCCGCAGTACGAGGCAAGATGCTGCGCAAAGCGCCAAAAGCTCCTGAAGAATACTTCCAAATGAAGTCGAAATGTACGAGAATTCTAGTTCATGAACGATAGTATGTCTAATACTTACCGCTTCAGGATCAAAATCTGTTACTACTGGTATGGTTTCATCACATTGCCCTCTAAAGAATACTGGCTCATCGCTTGGTACAGGGAAGTAGAAGCAGTCGTCGGCAGAATGACTTATAGTTTGGAAGTAGCGGTTGTTTAATACGTTTATGCCATTCATTACCAAGTCGATTGAACTTATAGAGTCATTGGAAAGGTATGTATTGCGTCCTAACTTCCAGCTCCACACTTGAAAAAAGGCAAAATTATAAGGTTTTCTGGGTTGGCAATGCATAAGGGTTCTATGTTCTTCATATTATCATCATCATTATATCAACATCATCATTATATCAACATCATCATTATATCAACTGTTAATTGTACATTGCTGAAAACAGGCTTCATCCATAGAGCCGTAAAGAACTGACCCGAGTTACCTGCATCTACTATGCTATAGTCATTACAGTGTATTCTGGGATGTGCTTATTTCAGTAGGCGATGTTATGGTGATGGCATAGTAACTCCACTTACGTTATCGGTATTTGCTGGCGAGACATTAGTAAGAGAGATAGGTCAGAAGCAGGTCAATTAATTTTCATAATAACAATAGTTTAATTCCTCACGGATTTTACCTGAATTAACCATGATGTTTCAAGGGAAAACTGCATAGGTCGATTTGATAGGGTATATTACTAGAAATGGGGCTGTGAAACCTTTTTATTAACAATTCCTTTCTCTTCTGTAGGCGATACTGTAGTTTATGAAAGCCTGTAATACCAGGGGCATTAAGCGCGCATTGCTGACCCTGAAGAAATCTCTTAACCCCTTTTTTGAAAAATCCTATGCTGTAACCTGTTCTCAATGAGTTCATTCCATAACCTGAGTATTTTGAATCAGAGTTGAACGCAAAGTTTAGAGAGCAATTCCTTGCTGCGATCAGTATTGTATATGTTATTTGGGGTAATACTATTTTAAATTAAGTGAGATACTTTACTTATATCTTTTATGAGATAAATAACTTCATATAAGTACTATGAAATTAATAGTAAATAGTAAAAAATACCTCTCCTTTCATTTTCGTTTATGTCGATGCAACTGTAAATGAGGGCATACGACGAATAATCCGTGTCTAAGACCCATAATTCCATTGGTTGAACTGAAAAGGAAATAAGTTTCTTTAATTTTCAGAACTTTTTTAGAAATCTACCTCCTATATGACCTCCCTCAGTTTCGTGTGGGTCAAATGGAAGATTTTTTAATTAAATAAAAATACAGACCAAGTTCTTTGTTGATAATGTAATTTTCTATAGGTAATAGCATTTTTTAAATTGTTTAAACATTTTTTTTGAGATTATCCATTACAAACAAAAAACGTAATATTTTTTTTTAATGGGTGAAAATGGCATGGTAACCCCGCCTGCGTTATCGGTATACACTGGCGGGGTACCAGTGAAAGATGAACGGTGAGGATGAAAAGGCAAGTCAGTTTTTTTTTAATGGATGATAATGAAATGATGACTCCGCCTGTGCTATCGGTATACACTGGCGGGGCCTCAGTGAGGGATGATTGGTGAAGATGAAAAGGCAAGCCCACCATGACGAATTCAACGATAAATTAATCACGATGGTTTCCAGGGGGAACTGCGTGGAGGCCGACCTGGTAGGGTATATAGATAGCAATGGGGACTAACCTCCCCATTACTAATCATTCCTTCCCCTCAAATGTAATATTTGGAAATTGTAAACAAATTTAAGTATATTTATTCATTCATTTAAACTGTTCCCTACTAGTGTTATTGTATGTACATTTGGCGGATTTAACACTGAATGCCAATCATTGGGCAAACAGAAAAATAGGGTAGGAGGTGCATTTATGAATTAGACGAATTAATACTTAACATAATTATTTAACATTATAAATATAAATAATGCACATAATTAAAGGGAGACTTTGTACAAAAATCGTTGGCTTGGGTACCTCTGTCCTATTCGTGTTTTAACCGTAAAGCTGTCGTGTTTGCATGGCTGTATTTCAGTTTGAAGAGTGGCATATAACAAAGAATTTACACGGTACAGAGTAATAACACCCGAGTCCTCAGGAATGGCAACGCATGGGAGTATTATGGGCGAAACATGTTATATCCATGGTACTGCTCAATGCTCATGTCTATAGGCGACGGATACCACTTTCCATCAAGTGGGCCGTCAGCTTATTTGACATTCTAAGTTGCATAAAAAACGATGGTGTCTTACAAGAAAAACCGACTTCAAGTGTATCAAACCAAGTTATTTTGGTATAAAAATTAAACTATTGAGCCGATATTGATAAAAAATCTATAAGGTTAATCTGTAATATAATATCTTTTCAAATAAAACAAATTTCCAAATCGATTTAGATCTGACGGAGTTATGATATAATAAATATATATAAAAATTAATCGAATTAAGAATCTAAAACTTTCGTAAGTACAAATTATATTTTAATGTAATATCTACCAGTTTAACTTTCATGTAATTAGATCAAGGAAGTTGGACTAGTTTCGAAATCAGTTCGGGACCCTTAATCATGAGCTCGACATCGGTAGTTAATATAAAATGTACTATGTATCTACTAAAGGGGCAGGTACGATTAAATTATCTATTTGTCTACATACCTCCAGGGTATTCGACGTAAAGTTTCCCATTATCAATCAGGTAGGCGGATCCATTGATCGTATCCAAGGTCTGGTTGATAACTTGGGTGTTGTATATGTGGATCAAACCGTCTGGCAGGAAGGTGTACGTTGCATCGTTGCAGGTACCGGTTTGGAAGTCCGTCGGGTAGCTCTCGATGAGTCGCCACCGTTCGAGGAACTATAAATAAATAATATTAATAATAAATGTCTTTATTGAATAATAAATTCATTTAGTTAGATTAACTAGCCACCGAATTAGGCCGAGCCTGTATTTCAGTGGATAGTTAAATAACTTCCTTTGATTTAAATATTTATAAAAGACGTTATAATATCGAATATAAACTCACTTAAATTTGCAATGTTAAAGATACTTTTGGTGCAACATAGATAAATGTGGGTAGCATCTTATTACCTCTCTTAGAATTACAGTTTACCTACCCAATAATATGTATAATTTGCCAGTTATAAATAAATAATTAAACATATAACACAACGTTATCTATTCATAAACCATAACAGCTTTTTGCTCACTATTTCGTGCGCGTGGATTAATTTATAATAATATTTATTTTATTTAATCCCCTAATAGTGACTCTGGAGTTGTTCCTAGAGTTGAAGCTGGGGCTAAGGCTAGGCTTAAAGCCAGAAGGAAAAGAAACCTGGATGGTTTTATGCAATAGTATGAATATCAATGACATATACTACTTATAGATGGCGTATCAAGATAAAGATAGATAGATAAGATAGATAAACTTTTTATTTGGGCCATTTATGACACACGTAAATTTACAAATGAGTTTATACAATTAAATTATAAACACTTATTAAAATATACAACAAAAGATAAAATATGTTTTCACCAAGTGTGTCGCAGTGACCCAAATAGGCTACAGCTCAGTGATGGTTTTGCTTAAAAGCAAAGCACTGATTTTCACCTGCAGCCTGAAGTTAGGCTACACGGACGCGTACAACAAACCCAGAGTGTAACCTGTGTAACCAACTTAACAGCCAAAGATAAAATTGTATTATATAGATACATACTTATATAAATGATGCATAACAAATATATTTTATTAATTAATTAAACATACAATATAAATAATTCACCACAATAATTGTTATGTTGAAAGCAGTCGCCACCAGGCGACCAACCCAAGTTTTTGTTTAGTTAATAAATGCTGTTTTAATAACTTTTTAAAACTTGATTTGGATAAAACAGTTTTTATGTTCAACTTCAGAGAGAGAGAGAGAGAGAGAGAGAGAGAAAATAATAATAATAAAAGTCTTCTTATTAACACTAATAGATGCCACATATTTTTTTTTATTTCATCGATCTCTATGTTTTGGTTCGGGAATTACGCAAAAACTACTGCACCAAAATTGGATGTTTTAACAATTGTGTTACTAAAGGTCAAATTTAAAATCTAGTATCTTGATACACCATCTATGTAAAAGTGAATTAGTTTATTAAGTTTAGCCGGCAAAAAGCTACTTTCTAATTTTAATACAATTAATTAATATATACATAAGGATTGTCTTACAATGGATAGGTTAAAATCCCGCACAACTGGAATATTGGGGTCGCACTTTCCCGGCAGAATAATTGGCTGTCCCGGTTCCAAGTGAGGTAGGTAGAAGCAGGCCTCATCAGACTGATCAATGCTTTCGTAGTAATCGTTCCCCAATACATCAATTGTTGAAATTGCGTTGTTGATCGCAACATTGGCTTCTGGCGACAATGTCTTCGTTCTACTCAATTTCCAGCTAAAAACTAATTAAAGTATTTATTTATTGAACTTTAAATTTGCTACTAATATGCTACTCAGTATACAGAAGAAATTATATTGTAAGGTTAAATTGAAATATAAAATATTTTTTTTTTGTTTATTGTTGCTTTTTTAACTATTATTGGTGGCATTAAATACTTTATCTATCTATCTAAAAATAATAACGATATAAAATTCTCACGAATATATTAGTAAGAATAAGATAAACAGTACGTAATGATTCCTAATGATGCTTATCTTTATTGATTACTTTAATTTATATTGATACACATAAGTATAGATTTATGTTTTAATTTTAAAATCATTTAAAATGTCTGCTATTTTAATTAAAACATGTATATTAATTTGTAAGTAATATGTATATGCATATTTATGTATATACATATAAATGAAAATATAGTTTCCAATTCAAATTTAAGGCTTCGATCTGATTTGGGAAATATTTAATACAATACTTGGCAACACTGAAAAAAAATGGCGCGTTTAAAAAATATACATATGTGTCAAATTTCGCTAGCTAAATGTTTATTTAGCTTACTAAATATTAACACGATTTTAACATTTGATACTCTATCTATATAATTTACGATTCTATGATACTGTTCATGTAACATGTCTATAAACAATGGCTACTTTTTATTATTGAGACCGATAGCTTGCTTGCTATTCTAAATAACACAAAAAAATGGATAAAACATTACTAAGTGCTATGTGTTAAGTGCCAATTACGCGTAGGATAAATAAATTTGTGTGGTCCAGGCATAGAATGGGCCACCCCTTCCTTTCTCGTGAGTATCGTAAGAGGCTACTAAAGGATGGTCTAAGGAAGGGCAATTAAAGGTAGAGCAGCAGCGTCTTTCTAATATATTATCAAAGTTTAATCGCGGTTGCCAACCTGCATGCTAAGCAGTGGATCTGCTGAACATAAGTCTCCCCCATAAGGGGGTTTTGCCAGTCGATGCCACGCTAACTATCCGTTAAAAGCTGTCATAATAAAACAAATTAAGTTAAAGTAACATACTTACTATTTCTAAAATCGTCATCTCGGTTGTCACAACTGTATGCTAATGCGTAATTATCATAGTCGGTACTGATAATCCAGAAGGGGATATTCACTATTTCTGTAAAAATAACAATAATAATTAAAAAAATTAAAATAAATTATTTAGAATCAACATACAGAAATAGTATCATTTTATAGAAATAATTGATAATGATACTAAATTGATAGGTAAACGATAAATTTTATAATAAGTTTTGAACGTTATGCCGCAATATTTTTCTAATTTTGTTTGTTATTCCAATTTTCTTACAAACCTTCTTAGGAACTGAAGCTGAATTATGACTTTTTTTAAGTTGTTTTATTTTTTCTTTTATCCCGCTGGACATATTTTTTTTTACGGTGAAAATATAATGGCATCAGTGAATGTTAGATTTAATAGTTATTTAGTAGTTTCTACAATTATTCTTTTTATATATATGGCAACATTAATAATAGACAATAGATTAAAATATAAATTATAGAGTAAAAAAAGAGATGGATAAAAAAATGACGTTTGGATAAGAATATAGATTATGTGTGTATTGGAATAAAATGAAATAAAAATGTTAAAACAGAAAGTGTAAAACATAAATAGATTCGTTTGTACTTTGTCAAAGCAAAATAAATATAATAATAATTAATAACATACCGCCTTTGTTATTTGTAAGGGAGATTGTTAATCGTCCACTATTTTGCGTATCGGCTGTCACAGTGCCCGTGGCAATTGTCAAGTTTTGATCCTCAATTTGTTCCGATTGTAGATTCAATGTATTCTCTGATCCAGCTGTGTACTCATGGTGAATGCAATGCCCACTTCGTTGGTCTATCGGGTATGCTTCTACCTCGTACCATGTGCCATTAAACTGAGAAGAATTAAAAATGTTATATAATCGAAAGCCATATTGTATATCTAGGGAGAATTTGTATTAAAAATGTTTCTTAAAAATGGCTACTTAACAAAAAAAAAACAGCCAGTCAAATAGCAGCAAAAGTGTTGCCAGTAACTCGATTAAAAATTATAGTCGTATTATTTTTATATTATTGAGGTAGCAAATAAGCATACAGTCCGCCTGATGTTAAGCGGTTACTGTAGTTTACGAACGCCTGCAATAATTTACTACTTAATATCACAATACAATTTTCTCACATTTATTGAGTAGTAATTATGCATTCGATGTCTGTCCATTCTATGCTGGGATTACACTGGATTACACTGGGTAGTAAATGGTCCACCACATTCATTGCCATGTGGTCTCGGCATATTAGGGGATACTCCTTCCTTTCCCAAAGGTGTTGTAAGATGCGACTAAGGGAAATTTATGTTTTAGGAATGGGCATCAGCGTCCCTCTTAAAACATCACCAAACGACTAACTGTGGTGGCCAACCCACCTGCCAAGCGTGGCAATTTTTGGCAAAAGCCTCCTTATTGGGAGGAGTAGGTATGTTCAGCAACGGTTGGTGTAGAGGGAACTATACATTTTGGCATCTGTGTTTACATACATAAGAATAAAATAAAATAATAGACAAAAGATAATGTTACTATGCTTCTATGAATAGATTACTCACTCTTGTCAAATTCAAACTTGGTACAGCTAAATCTTCATCACACTGGCCAGGGAAGACTACCGGTTTTCCTGGTACTGGATCAGGGAAATAGAAGCATCCTTCCCTACTCTGATTAATAGGTTCATAGTACTTTTGGTCTAACACGGGAACTTTTTCAATTATTTTATCAATTTTTTGTTTTGCCTCTTCGGACAGTGATTTTGTTTTGCTCAGTTTCCAACTGAATACTGTAATAATATTAATAAAAAAAAAAATAACTAATAAGACATGTATAACAGATATAAAGAGATGTATAGCATTTTGTGTCGTTTCGTATCGAGACTCGCCGAAAATTGTAGTGAGTGGCTAGAGCTTCACCGACAAGAGTGCAGCTCTTAAATAGGATAGATAGATAACATTTTGTGTGTACTGTATTATAAGCTTTCATAATAATGTTATGCCAAGTTAGTTTAAGCTCAGCTAGTCATTTTATGACTTTTTATTGTTTGTCGACTTAATGTTTCTCTGAAAATGAAACATCGAAGAAATTTATGTTTCTTCGATGTTATATATATTCGATGTAATATTAGCGTGCTCCCTTATAACATTGTCAATAATTTTGATTTGTCAGCACATATAAATAGGTAAAACTAAGATAAAGTAACTAGTTGCTTACCATATCTTTCATTATTTTCGGCATTAATACAGGAGTACACAAGTGCGTAAGTCTCATAGTCGGTGTCCAATACCCAATAGTCTATCGATATAAATCCTAAAAATTTGGAAAGAATATTTTACATATATTATTGAGAAGCAGATACAGAAGTTACAGACGAGATGCTAAAAACAATTAAGGTAGATTGTCAAAAACTTCATTTATTTCTACTCCGAGTAATTTTAGATATTCCAAAAAAATAATATATAATTATGATGATATAAAGTGATTTTTTAAGCATCTGGGAATGGCAAACAAGTTGACGATCTATCTGATGGAAAGTGGTAACCATTGCTTGCAAACATGAACAGATTTGAAGATATCACAGAATATACTGTGACTGTTATATGTTGTCATTTTAAGGACTCAGGTATTATGTATTCTATAATTTCACTATCGTATCCCACCCTTCAAGCCAAAACCCACTCATAAAATAAGTGTAGACTTCAATAGGCTGAAGTTTTTTCTGCCTATTAAAGAGTGAAGTCAACACAGGACTTGAACACACATCTAGGGATTTAGGACTAGGAGGAATTGTTAGTACTGGGAACTCTAAATTCTATTGTTAGCAACTCTAATACGTTGACCTACACGCGGTTTACTCTGGAAACCATTGTGATTAGTTATTCTTGATTTTATCACGATAGGCCACTAACTGATTTGATTAAGACATCTTCACCCATAATGCCCTCACTTGGTACCCTGTCAGCGTATTCCGATAGCACAGGTGGGATAAAAAAACATACTCAACCTAAATACAGACTTATTTAAAAACAAAAGAGAAAAACTGAGAATATATTTCAGCCTCAGTTAATAAAAAAGTGTTTTATCAGAAACTTACCGTCCTCAACTGGAAATGAAACTACAAATTTCGCCGGTTCCTCAGGGTCAGGCACAGATGCGATCCCGTTTATGGTGTCTAGAGTTTGGTTGATCACTTGAGTGTTGAACACGCCTATTTCCCCATTATCAGCTTCAGCTGAGTAATACGCATTGCTACAGGTACCGGTTTGGAATTTGGATGCGTATGATTCTATATTATGCCATAGTCCGAGATACTGTGAACAAATGTGTAAGTACTGGAATTTAGTATTAGTTAAAAAGAGACTTCAATCTCTAAAGAATTAGATTATAATACCAGAGGAAAACTTTGTTTAAAAATAATCTGCTTGGGTAACCTTTGCCCTATTCGTGTTTCTGTTGTGAAGCAGCTTTTATGTGTGTTTCACTTTGACCGCGTAATAATATGTGTTGCCATACTTAAGGATTATGGTGGCAGAACACAATAGTCCTCAGGAATGGCAATTCAGTGTATGGTATGAGTCCTTTATGGGCGGGTTTAATTAAATACCATGTAATTTTAGATATGTATAATAGTCACTACTATATATTATAGTGTGTCTTATTTGTGCACGAAGTTTTCTAACGTGGTTTACCGAACGATGGCTTCATCCAAACATAAATTTGAGAAATTGAAGGTTAAGGCTGGGTTTTGATTTTTGTCATCATCATTTCATGTCATATTTAGATCTAAATGTCAAATCAAAAAATCAAGCTGACTCCTTTTTTTTGTACGTATAAAATGTATTTTGATGTATTATTTAATAAATAAAATGAGTGTTTATGTATTAAAAAGATGCAAAAATTATAAGACAACAAAAAAATAGAAGTTATAAAGAAATCACTCATAACTGTTTATCACGCAAAATTGTACGAGAAAATTGACCTGTTTTTTTCAAAGCATTTTTATGGAGACACTCTATCTATATAATCTAAAATTATATTATATTTCTAGTAATGGGGCTTTAAGCTTTCATTACTAAGAATCTCTTTATCTACATCTATTAATAGAAGTAAATACATACTCTATTAGGTTCGAAGTTTGGCATAACAGGGACATCGTCACATTGCCCTCTGAATATAACAGGTTCTCCTGGGTTTGCTTCGGGGTAGTAGAAGCAGTCATCATCAGTTCGCGGTGTTTCCTGGTAGTAAGCATTGTTTAGGTCCAGTTGGGAGTTGATGACTTCGTTCACAGCCCGTTGTGAGCTTTCAGATAGACTAGGAGACTTGCTTAATATCCAGCTGTAAACTAATATTACAAAATTTTGAATTTTTATTTAGTGGCTTATTTTTAAATGAATGTGTACGTGTAGAGTTTGTCTTTTTTCTTTCTTTCTTTAGAGTATGTCTTAACAACTGGCAAAAGAAGCATTTGTAAAGTATAACCGGTATCATAATTTTTTTGAATTCATTATGATAGGCCAACTGATCTGCTTTCATCCTCACCTATTCTTTGTCATTAGTGCTCCGCCAGTGTATACCGATAGTGCAGAAGGAGTCATCATTCCCTTATCATTCATTTAAAAAAAAACTTGTATCACCAATTATTCGTGTCTATATAAATATGATGATAACGTTTTATTGTCCGTCATTAGGGTCCATTCATCCAGACCATTAATTGTAGTTGATTAACATTACAATTAAAACATAAACTTTATTTTTTTATTTATTATTAAAAACCATTTAAATTACCTCTAGATTTATCATCTGGCAGATCGTCACAACTATATAAAATCGCATAATTTTCATAGTCCGTCGCTCGGATCAAGATATCACGTGTCACATTTTCTGAAAAAATAAAATTTTGAATTAAATATATGTTTTATAAATAAATTGTATAAACATTTATTTATATGCTTTGGTACATTCACTTTTAACACAGATATAAGGATCATAACAAAAAATACTCAGGCGGTCTTATCCCTTAAAGGGTTTTCTTCTTCTCCTTGAGAATATGAAAGTATCTATACGGTTTGTATATAAAGCATTAAGTGGACTTCCACGCGGCACCCTTCATAATCACGAATGGTGCATTCAATCTTAGAGGTCAATTGATTTCACAACATCTCTCACTGGTACCCCGGTAGCGTAAATCAATGCTTATAGAAGTTAAAGTATCTACATCCCACCTGTTTGTAAGTAGGTAATGTGGATCAAGTATATGTAACTAGCTTTTATTCGATTACTAAAACTATGTACTGTGTATTAAAGATTATTTAAAATATAATAACCATCATTTTATATGACAATTTGACATAAAGAATACTGTAATTTGAATAACGTTTGGACTTTATAATTGTAATATAATGTAGAAAGTATAATGTGGCCAGTAGTTGCCACGCTTGGCAGGCGGGTTAGCAGCGGCTTCTAGGCCTTGGAGATTTATTTATTTATTTTAAAAGGTACATCAACAGTGTAAATACAGGCATTAATTTTAATTGATATACAGGGCTTGCATCTTGCATTTACACCAATTACAGATGTACACAACATTCTCTTGTCATCGATTACATATTAACAAAATTGACACCAACAAAACAATAAAAAAAGATACAGGTGATAACATCATCATCTTCCTACCCTTATTCCAATCATTTGGGGTCGGCGTAATATGATTTTATCCAAATTACAAAATGACTGGGTTTTTAGTTTTACGACCGGCCACCTGCCTGCAGAAACTAAACTACTTTACTAGTTTAATATTTGCATATCTCTACGGGATGCTGTATGCTGTCTACCTACTTATATATGTAACTTCTTATTGTACCATGTAGCAAGCGAATAAATATGATTTGATTTTGATTTGATTTGATTCGCGCCTTAGACCACCTGACCGAGATATGTCCACTGACCAAGATAAATAGTATAGCCTAGCTTCTTCTTGAACCCATATATTAACTGTATACCAAATTTCATAGGGATTGGTTAAGCCGTTATTATACTAAGATGTAACAATCATACAAACATATAATATATTTTATAGAGAGAGACTTTGTACAAAAGTCTTTTGTTTGGGCATCTCTGATCCATTCGTATTTCTACCGTGAAACAGTTGTGTTTGCATGGCTGTGTTTCGGTTTGAAGGTTGGGATATGGCGTGAATTTACAGGGTACAGAGGAATAACACTTGAATCCTCAGGAATGGCAGCACATGGGGGTATCATGGGCGAAACAGTGTACTCTGTTATGCCCATGGTACTGCTTATGTCTATAGGCGACGGTTATCGCTTTTTATTAGCCGTGGCTTGGGCCGTTCCATGGGCCGTCAGCTTGTTTGCTATTCTAAGTTCCATAAAAAAAACTTATTTTAATTATTGTTAGGGAGGAAAATCAGTAGACGGTCCACCTGATGGGAAGCGGCTACCATCGCCCATTAACACTTGCAACACGAGGGGAGTTGATTGATTTTTAACATTTATTACTAAGGATATGATATAAAAGCTATATGTAATCCTTTACCTCCTGGTGTAACTTCTAAAGTAACCCTTAGCTTTCCACTGTTGTTTTCATCAATAACTGTTGCATTACCAGACGTAGTGGTTAGACCTTGACTAACTACGTAGTTATTTAGTACGTTCACTATTCCATCATCGCCGAGGGTGTATTCAGCTCTTGCGCAAGTACCAACCACGTGCTCTGAATAGTAACTGGCAATTTCGTGCCAAGATCCGAGAAACTGTAAAAAGTTTATTTTTTTATTTTAAGAAAGTGTTTGTACATTTTCTTCAATCGCTACAAAATAATACGGAATTAACTATAATTAAATTGTGTTCCACAACAAAAAAACCGACTTCATTATGGCAAGACTAGTGGTTTTGATTTACTAAACTAAAATAAAAAACCGATTTTTATAAAACTTCTATGGGACTAAATCTGTAGGTACATATATATCCTTTTAGATAAAATGTTTTCCAAGTCTGTTTACAATTGATAGAAGAAGTACACATAATAGTACATTACTGCAGTGGCCAGCAAACTGAGGCATTGATGGACGAACGTGCAAATGTGGGCCGAAGCGTAGCCGAGGCACACATACGTGAGTCCATCAATGCCTAGTTGTGGACAAGGCTTGTATAGTGCTTTTCTCAAACAATGCGTAGAAATCAAAAACACAATTTTACTTTTTAAGATCAATGAACAATAATATTTTTTCACGCGCCATAATGTACTTTTGTTTTTTTTTTCAATAAACAGCTTTCTATTTGCATGCCAGTTCGAAATTTAAATAAAACCTTTTATTAGTTACCTCCTTGGTAGCCATGTTTCTAAGTAAAAGGTCTTTCCATTTTTAAATTACAGGACAGATATGAGTTTACATAGTAATTTATCTGGCCACAAAACACGACAGATATGGATTTTCATACAACTTTTGCCGGCCGCTGCCCGCATGTATCTGGCCAGTACGGCAATTTTGATTTATCTCGAAAAAGATTGTCAAAATAATGCTCACATTTCCAAGCATGTTTGAGAAAAAATAATACTACTAAATTGAGAACTTCCTCACTTTTGAAGTCGGTTGATAAAACAAATGTTTATATTAACGGGTTATGCGGAATTTGAGACAGTAGAATACAGTGAATATAGAATATAGTGTACATTATCATCATCGTCATCATATCAGCCGTCTACTATTTTGGTGTTAAACGTAGGCCTCTTACAAAAGGGAGGGGTTTGCCAGTAGTTGCCACGCTTGGCATACGGTTTGGCAACCAAAGTTAGCCTTTTTTGATGTTTTAAGAGGAACGCTGTAGCTCATCCCTCGACCATTAAATTTCTTTAGTCGCCTCTTACGACCTCCATGGAAAGAAGAGGTTCGTTGTGAATGATCTTAATTTATTAAATTTTTAGTACAAAAGTCGTTTGCTTGGGTACCTCTGTCTCATTCGTGTTTCAATCGTAAAGCAGTTGTGTTTGCATGGCTGTGTTTCGGTTTGAAGGTTGGGATATGGCGTGAATTTACAGGGTACAGAGGAATAACACTTGAGTCCTCGGGAATGGCAACGCATGGGGGGTATCATGGGGGAAGCAGTATACTCTGTTATGTCCATGGTACTGCTCATGTCTATAGGCGACGGTTACCACTTTCCATTAGGTGGGCCGTCAGCTTGTTTGCCATTCTAAGTTGTATAAAAAAAATTATATACCTTTAAAATATCGAAGTTCTGTACAGCCGGCGTATCTTTCTTGCACTTTAATGGCAATATAACAGGCTGACCAGCTGGAATCTTTGGTAGTTGATAACACGCGTTCTCTGAATGGTCCAATAATTGAAGATGACCAATTTGAATTCCGAATTCTCTTACAAGTGTTGTATTGATAATACTTATCATAGCATTGGTTAAATTTGTATCTGGTTTTTGAAGTTGCCAAATGCTTACTGTAAATAGAAAAAGTACATATCATTTAAAAAATGTTAATTAAAATATGCCAAATATAATTCAATGTTTGTATTGTATTATCTTGGAAGATTTTAATTGTCTTATTAATATAACTATACAGTTATACCCGATAGGGTATAACTGTTGATACTGATGTCAAATTCAAAGCAATAGTGACTGCTATATGTATGTACACAGTTAGCAATAAAATTCTATTCTATTCTATTCTATAATAAAAATGTAATTAGACAATATCAGTATATTGATTATTTAGGGGAAATTGATATGAGAAGTTTTAACATTTTGATTTATTTATTTTTTATTGTACAATAAAATTTGTACAAATGCCGTATCGCATTCTCTACTAGCTAATCATTCGGTAAAAACAAAAAAAGCGTTTGAGAGTAGTGGTAACGAACATACATTACATAAAAAAAAAATTACCTATTAATATAAATTGAAATAATAGTAAATATCATGTTGAATAATATTATAAACATATACAAATTACTAAGACCAATAGAAGTGAAAATAAAAGAAAAAACAATATTTTTAAAAATTTCGTTTGTCTATCTATATGTTTGTTTTGGAATAATGCAAAAAGTACTGCTCTAAATTAGATTCAGTTTTTACAGTTGTTTTTTCGAAAAGTGGTCAATGACTTTTTTTACTTCTAAAATCTATGCACACCAAAAGCAGACAAAAAGCGTTAAGCAGAAGTTGTATAAAATGTTAAATATAAATTAACTTACTTGCTCTTCTCGAGTCATCCACAGGTCTACAGTTAGAGACTACAGCGAAAACGGGCGCTATATTTAATACGACTAGGTCCAGAACTGTAATAAGCAGATATATATTTGCATTTTCAATTAGGATTTCGTAAATAAGTTTACGAGAGATCTTCCACTGTTTGTGTATAAAAGTCGTTTGCTTAGGTACCTCTATCTCGTGTTTCTACTGTAAAGCAGTTGTGTCTGCATGGCTGTGTTTTAGTTTGAAGGGTGGGTTATGGTAGTGAATTTACACGGTACAGAGATATAACATATTAGTTTTTAGGAATAGCAATACCCGTGTCATTACAATAAATTCTGTTACGTGCATTATTGTTAATGTCTAAAGACAATGTATCTATTCCTTTACTGTGAAGAAGCTGTGCTTATATGACTGTGTTTCTATTTGAAGGGTGGGATATGGCAGCGTATGGAAGTATAACATCTTAGTCCTCGGGAATAGCAATGTATGAGGGATCCCATTATCATGGCAATGTATTCAGGGATGTCCATTTTGTTCTTTATATCGGTGGACACTAGTACCCTCTTTCCTCTATATGGATCATCAGCTCTCTTGCTATTTCAAGTTATTTTTTTAACATTAATACAAGTTTATTTTTTCTCCATTTGTTTTCCATAAGAAAAATTTACTTCTATCCATATATAGTATTTATATTGTCCGGGCTTTCTCCGTGTTCATATACCTCGTCATAATACATCGATGTAGGACTATTAGAAGTAAACTGTTAACAAAAATCTAATTTCATATTTCTTTAAGACAGTGACAAGCTCCGTGACGGAGCGGTAGCAACAATGATATCGGAACAATTTAGGAAAAAAACTTTACTAAATTGGTTCGAGTTCGGAAGTTCTTGATTGTGCTCGAGGGTTTTGTTGCCTGGTTTTCCATAACAGAGAGTATCCTAGTTTGAAAACCAGGCGATTGGTGGTGATAGTGCACTTATACCAATTTGATCATTGTAAGTACGACGAGATAAAGGATATGGCCTGGGATAGAGCTAGCTGGAGGAAGATGCATGAATTAGTTGCACCGACAAGAGGAAACTCTTAAATGAAAGATGAAATGAAGTACGACGAAGATATCCTCGATCTACTAGCCCAGTAACTTTTCTCTCGCCCAATTACCGTAAATATTTTAAGTTCTGGACGAATATCACTATCTACATGTTTACTCCGGTATTCCATGGTTATTATGAAAATAAAATACAGTCTATGTAGTCGCTGATAATGTAGCTTTCTATAAGTGAAGAAATAATTAAAATCAGTTAGTAGTTTTTTATTTCATCTATTATAAACAAACGTACTCATACAAAAAAATCAAATCCTTCCTCGGTATAACATTACTCTACAAAAATTTACCTTCATCGGTGTGATCCCAAGTTACTGTTGCTTTGTTTGTACCATCTTGGGGTGTAATTATGCCATTTTCTTCCAAGTAGAAATTTTCCACGACAGCTTCATTTTTAATCGTGGCTGTATTAGATTCATTATCTACATTAATTTTTATTTTGGAACAATCTTTAGCTGGGTCTCCTAGCTGACGTGTTACCGTCCAGAAATTCTCGGAAAACTGGAAAGAAATGAAAATATTTAATGTCAAAAGTCGCCGAGGTTCCAAATTTGTGAAGACTTTAGTACTATTACTTATATTGTGATATAGTTTTCTTTATGATAAATTTGAAAGACAAGGAAGTTGACGGCTGACGATGACCTGATGGAAAGTAGTGACCGTTACCTATAGACATGAAGAGCACTATGGATATCACAGATAATATAGGTATTGTATTACCCATGATACTTTCCATACGTTGCCATTCCTGAGGACAATGGTGTTATGTCTCCGCACTCAGTAACTGCAATATCCCACTTCGAACTTGCCATACCTAAATCAAAATACAGTCAACTACTACTTTACGACAGAAACATGAATGCGGCATCGGTATCCAAGCAGACGACTTTTGTATCGAGCCTGGAACATACAAAAATATATCTGAAAAGACTTTTGATTTGCGGTTTATTTGATATCGAAATTACTGTTTTGATTATTATTAAGGTCATGGGATCAAAAGTATAATGTGATATTTTTTAATTAATATTCGACTGATTCTACGATGATTCGATAAATATTGACTTGACAGTAAAATATTTTTCGTTACTTTTCGACTCGTATTTATTTTATTGGAAAATTTTTTTTATTTAAATTCAATTTCACCTGTAGAACATGGATTTGACTTCTGAGGCAATAAAGTAACAAGTTACTTAAGGCTACCTTTGAATATTTGGTATAATAATATTATGGTATATATCAATTAATATAAAAATATCTAGACTAGACTAGAACACCATTAGGTATAAAATAGATTTTAATTGCCGTCTATTGATAGCTTATAAAGTTTATAGAAATAAAATTTGCATAAATTTTATTAATTAAAATCTGTGATAGTTCTAAATGTTATCAGATTTATATTTATGTATTTTTAATGTCAAAATACATAAAAACAGTGCGACTTTCATGTGACATCTTTGACTTTGTAAGATAGTGATCTTTAATAAATTTTAGTGCTTACATTTATTTATTTATTTATAGGATCACAGTACACTAGTACATATTAAGGCTTAAGGTCAACTGTCCTTACATTTAGTGGCAACCACAGCATGCTTTGTATTTGTGAAACATTAAAATAGAATTAAATTATTAAATGTTATTGAATAAATAAAGACATTAGTAATACCAGATTTTACCAGAGGGAGACTTTGTATAAAATCGATTGCTTGGGTACCTCTGTCCCATTCGTGTTTCAACCGTAAAGCGTTTGAAGGGTGGGATATGGCGTGAATTTACTGGGTACAGAGGAATAACACCTGAGTCCTCAGGAATGGCAACGCATGGGAGGTATCATGGGCGAAACAGTATACTCTGTTATGTCCATTGTACTGTTTATGTCTATAGGCGACGGTTACCACTTTCCATCAGGTGGGCCGTCAGCTTGTTTGCCATTCTAAGTTGTATAAAACAATATACACATATGATGGAATTTATGTTTAAAAAATTTCAATTGAATAACACACAATGTTAAGTATTCCAATTTTTTAAAACGTTATAATTTTAACGTGTAAGAAATTATTTTATTTATGAGTATTAAAAAAATACGTATTTTGGTTTGAAACGTGACAAATCGATAAAAGTGACTAATTTTTTTTAATACCTAACCTTATCAAAATGTGTCTTGTGTCTTTCCCCATAACGACTAGTACAGTATTATATTATCTGTGCGAAAAATCGCGAGAAGTAAAAAAAAAAACAAGAAAATTTCTAAATTACTTACTAGGTTTTTTTTTGTGAATATTTCGGCACATACAATAGACTGAAGAAATCCAGACCTTTTAATATTAAAGTATACATATGATAAATGAAATAAATAGGTAATTCGTAAGGATGGTTGGATCATTTATGTTACTGATGGTATTCGTTACTCTTTCACGTTAAAACGACTGAACAGATTTTAATGAAATTTGGTAAACGAGTAACTTATATTTTAACTTAGCACGAAGGATACTTTATGTACCGATTTGAGCGGGCGACGCCGCGGTACACAACTAGTGACTGTTTAATTTAGTTGCACGTGCCTTATTTTTTCTGCCGTTTTTAATCTTTAATTGTGTTTTTTTAGTTTGTATATCAGTGACGGATACATATAAAAATACAAAAAAAAAAAACATTTGTTGTAGTCGGTTAAAAATCATGGGAAAGGAAGGGATAACCAGTTCTATGTAGAAACCACATAATTATGAATATTGCATCCAGTTTGGTTTACACGTAGTAAGTTTTACGTGATGCCAGAACAAAAATATAGATAGATATATAGATAAAAAAAATATTGTTATAACTTATTAAGATCGCTATCTCATATCAAGATATCTTCAGTATAATTCCAATATCTCCTATTTGTGCAGACATTTTATAGTTACATTTTATTATATGTATTAACATACATATGTATGTTATGCTATAATATTGACATTTGCGAAATGTCATTGCCAAATAATAATTGACATATTTTTTTTGTTGGGTGAAAATGGTGTGGTAACCCCGCCTGCGCTAACAGGATACGCTGGTGGAGCAACAGTGAAGGGTGATAGATGAGAATGAAAACAGGCCAGTTAGCCCATCATGATGAATTCATCAGGAATTAACCATGATAGTTTCCAGTCGACCTGGTTGGGTATATTGCTAGCAATGGGATTCTCAGTCTCCATTACTAACAGTCCCTTTCCCCCCTAATTGACATATGGAAATTTTACAAGAGAAAACAAAAAAGATTGAATTTTTGTTTTGTTGTAATTATTTGATAGGTATTTAAGTAGTCTTTAAGTATTACTTATTATTTATTGATCAACGTTTGACCGTAGTCCAAGGATCAAATCACAGCCTGAGTTGAAGCCTATTTTAAATTCGTATTTTGATAATATCAAAGTGATTGTCATTTGTTTTGTGCTTTGTATATTTATAGGCACGTAACATTGTCGTCCGTTGAGTCATGCCAGAAGAGGTCTAACAACAAATTTATAATGGTAAATTTAACTTTTGTTAATAAAAAAATAACAGTTGAGTTTTTTGCCCATTCTTAGTTGAAATTAAATTTCGAATGGGTGGTAGGATCATAAGAAAACGACTATTCGAAAATGCTTGTAATTAAGCTTATGCGTCGCCATTTCTTTTTTATTTGAACTTGGCCAGACACGCTACTGCGTGTCTTTATTTTTGAGATTTGAATCCTATTATTATAATAAAGTAAATGGATGGATGAATATCTGATATTTTACCACGCAAAATTACTGAAAGCATTTTAATGGAATTTGGTACACGAGTAGGTTATATCCTAACACATAGGGTAATTTATGTATTTACTGATTTATACGGAAAAACTTGTAGAAAACAGCTAATAAAATACTCTTATTATTACTTAACTTTTAACACCAGAGGGCGTCACCCTCATATGAATAGTAATAGTATAAAATCAAAAGAGAATTTAATGAAAAGTAACCACGTTCTATTAAAATTATCACAGAAACTGTTACAAAATTAAAAATAATAATAAATCTAAAATTTCAATCGGTATAATTAATTGATTCCTTTATTTATACTATGCAGGTACGATTGGACATTAGCAAACTGTCTTATAGACGGGTCAATGATTTATTCGTTTAGGCGTTTCAGCTCGTTTCGTTTTCACTGTCGTAAATAATAGTATATATAATGATTTATTTATTTACTAGCTGTATTCCGCAACTTCGCCTGTTTGAATTAGTATATAAAATATCCTATGTGCTAATTTAGAATATAACCTATCTGTGTACTAAATTTCATTCAAATCTGTTTATTAATTTTTACGTAAAAAAGTAACAAACATTCAATCCACCTATCCATCGTTGCACACTTTCGCATTTATTTATTTTGATGAATGTGGAAGAAGCGAAAGAGGTATGTATGTATGTATGTAAAGTTATTAATTTTTATTGGAAATTTATCTTTTGTCGTGTTTTCGATGTGCATATGAAAATACTTAATTAATTCAGCTTTCAAAAAACGCTAGGTTAATGCAACTTAGAATGGCAAACAAGCTGACGGCCCACCTGATGTAAAATGGTAACCGTCGCCTATAGACATGAACAGTACCACGGACATAACAGAGTATATTGTTTCGCCCATGATACTCTCCACGCGTTGCCGTTCCTGAGGACTCAGATGTAATTCCTCTGTACCCTGTAAATTCACTGACATATCCCACCCTTCAAATCAAAACACAGCCATGCAAACACAACTGCTACACGGCAGAAACACAAACGGGACAGAGTTGTCCAAGCGAACGACTTTTGTACAAAGTTTCCCTCTGGTAAATGGTTAAATGAAATATTGTTTTTTTGGTAGTTTTATATGAATATCGTATTGGTTAGTGGACGTCAAAGGAAGCGCATAGATAAGGGGAACAATTATCTGATAGATAATAAGTATTTAATGTTGACGATATGAACATGTACCTATGATCTATTAGTTACGTCGGCGATTTTGTACGCGTATAAGTTTTGTAATAACTTTTCATTACATTTATAAGATAATTATTGCTAGAGTCGCAGTGTGTCTAGGGAAAAAGACCCCTTATAGGGGAGGCCTATAAATAGATAGATAGATACTCTTTATTGTTTCCTCCAAAAGATTACAATAGTAAACTTATTCTAGATATAAACAATTACAAGAAATAATCACTATGAAAAAACAATGGGCGACCTTATCGCTAAGAGCGATCTCTTCCAGGCAACCTTTGGATGGAGAGGAGTAATTATAAATAGTTTGATTGGAGGCACGATGAAGACCCTATTATTTCTAAATATGGAGACGTAATACATGTAATATACATACCCCTACTCACTATTATATATATATATATATATATATATATATATATATATATATATATATATATATATATATATATATATATATATATATATATATACATTATTTCTAGAACTATACATACAAATATATCGTACTACAATTACTATATTTGATTGTCACCCCAATTGCGGCATATAAAAATCGCGATTAACAAACAGGTGTTGATTGTAAAACGGTGAAAATTTAAGGTTATATGTATTATTTAATGCTAAATCATAATAAAATAAAAATAAAAAAAAAAATTGTCAAAAAAAATAAAAAAAATATTTAGAGGTGGGTCACCCTTATCATTGAGAGGTACGAATTTTTCGTACCTCTCAATAATAAGGGTAAGAGGTAAGTAAGGGTAAGATGTTCACCGATTCTCAGACCTACCCAATATGCATACAAAATTTCATAAAAATCGGTAAAGCCGTTTCGGAGGAGTTTGGTAACAAACACCGTGACACGAGAATTATATATATATGTGTATATGTGTATATATATATATATATATATATACACATATACACATATATATATGCCTATGTTCAGCAGTGATGACAGTTCACGACTGATATCATCACCATATCAGCCTTTAAGTGTCCACTGCTGAACATTAGCCCACCCCTTGGGTGGATTTGTTAGTAGTTGTCATGCTTGGCAGGTTAGGTTTGGTCGCTCAGGTTTTTCGAGATGTTTTAAATGGGACGCAGCTGTTCATTCCTTACCCTCTCTTAGTCGCTTCTTACGATACATATGGGAAAGGAAGGGGTGGTCTATTCTGTGCTGGGTCTACACGCCAGATAAACGGGTGATATGATGATGATGATCGTTGTAGTCAATAGTTGGTTATAGATGCCTTGGACAAAATAATAATTTAACTCTATCTAGACTAGGGTACAGTGGAATAACACTTGAGTCCTCAGGAATGGCAGCGCATGGAGGGGTATCATCGGCGAAACAGTATGTCCATGGTACTGCTCATGTCTATAGGCGACGGTTACCACTTTCCATCAGGTGGGCCGTCAGCTTGTTTGCCATTCTAAGTTGCATAAAAATACTATCATATATGATACAGGCTATAATTTTTTCGAAATTAGTTCGATTTCGGTAGAGCAGTCGTACTTTTTAATATGCGGAGCATAATATATTTGCCCCAATCCACAAGAGCAAAATTTGAGCTAGTACTAAAACAACATTACTTGTTCTAGGTCCCAAGAAATTCCAGCGATGTCTTCGCATCGGCCATCTTGCACTAATTCCGCCGCACATCCGTTTAATAGTCCAAATGCGGTTATCACTAACACTATTTTGCACCTCATCATCAGATCATTATCACAACCACAGCCACCGCACAAAAGAACAAATCAAATGACGATATTAAACGTATTTTATCATATTTATATATGCCGGCTTATCGATCAAATTATATATCGCCAACATGTTTAATATTATACATCGAAATATATAAAAAAAACAGAGTCAAGATTAATAATTACCTATTCATAAATTCAACTTTATAAAAGTATGTTTTTTTTCTATGATATATTCATAGAAGAATTATTATGACTGTAGGATGAATTTGTGTTCTATTTTAATCTTATTAAAAACTAGCGACCTGCCCCGGCTTCGTACGGGTGCAGTAGTTACCTATCCAGGAGAAGCCACGTGGAGGTCGACTAGATAAGGTATATTGCTAGCAATAGGATTTTTAGATCCCATTACTAGCAGTCCCTTTCCCCTCGATAGAGTATAGCAGTAGAGCTGTTCGACTTCATTATGAATTATCCTTTTGTCCCCCAATAAAATGTATGTAATTTTAGGTATTTATTATTATATTTATTTATTTATTAAAATAATTATAACATTATTACAGCAAAAGCCAAATCAATGTTATAAATCTAGTGTGCTAACATACAAAGTTATAATAAATGTATTTAACCCGATCTAGATATTTCTGAGCCGCTTCTAATATCTTTGGCAGGCTACTACTAATTTTTTTTTTGATGGATGAAAATGGAATGACAGTTCCACCTGCGCTACCGGTATACGCTGGTGGAGTACCAGTGAAGGGTGATCGATGAAATAAAAACAGGCCAGTTAGCCCATCATGATGAATTCATCAGGAATTAACCATGATAGTTTCCAAGGGGAACCGCTAGGAGGTCGACCTGGTTGGGTATATTGCTAGCAATGGGATTCTCAGTCTCTATTACTAACAATCCCATTCCCCTCTAAATATATATATTACCTAATACTTTTTTGTTGTGTTTGTAATAGAAAGGACAAGGGAAAAAATTAAAAGAAGATGTTAGAAATATCGTACTTAAGGTTAAAGAATGTACACGCGTGCGAAGTCGGCGCGGGGAGTTAGTTAATAATAATGGCATGCCATAGCGAGGTCAGCATTAGTCGGATATTATTTTTCTAGTATTGTCTATTTATGGTAATTAAATGATATATTCAATATGCAAATAAGTATAAAACAAGTACCATAGTTTAATGTTATTAAATATTTCAAGTATCCACTTGATCGGCCATTAAGGTTTTTATAATCATAAATTTACTATTCCGGTGTCTTACTTTGACATTTTAACCGACTTAAAAAAAGGAGGGTTTCAATTCGGTTGTCTTTTATATAAATTCTGTTAATTATAAACCGATTTGGATTTTTTTTTAATAGAGAAGATATACTTTCAGATTGGCTTCATAGAAATTTCATTAAAATCGGGTCGGGAGTTTGGTTTAGGTCGGTGCTTTTTTTGGGAGAAAAATTTACTTACTCCGAGGTTGGAAATAAAAAGGTATAATATATTCAAAAGGTATATAATTCAATTTTGAAATTAGTATAAACGTATGTATGTATGTACAGTGATTTGTTTAAATTTATACATTGAGTTATTAACTTTTTTTGCTTGCTAGTTTTTTACTGCGTTCTTGTCTGTATGACCGAGATAAAAATATAGTCTATGCCCTTCTCCATTCCAAATATTACATGTATTTCTAATTATTATGATTGGCTGAACGGTTAAGACGTTAAGAGGTAACAAACAAACTCACTTTTACATTTATAATACTACTAAGTATTCATCTGGTTTATTTTCGCAATAATTTAAATGTAGGTAGCTACGGTTAGTTCGTTATCAGGATTTTTATCTGTTTATTTAGTAATGTCTATAGGTGACGGTTACCACTTTCCATCAGGTGGGCCGTCAGCTTGTTTGCCATTCTAAGTTGTATATAAAAAAATAAAAAAGAAATAGTTGCTTTGTATTGATTCCATTTTGAGTATTACATGCATAATATAGTAAAGAAACACTGATAATTTTTAATAGTTTCTAGTATTTTATAAAAAGGAAAGATTTGATTGTTTGTTTGTTTCTTTGTAATGGAAAAAATCCAAAACTAAATGATCGATTTTATAAATTATTTCACCTATAGAAAGCTATATTATTTTTAAAAATTTTATGTCGCGCTCGAAGCCGGCCCGCATCGTTAGTAAATTCAATGTTTTGTAATAAATTAAATTCTTACGATGTCACAAATATGTAATTACACGGGCGTATCAAATGTAAACAAAATACATACATTTCTGCTTCAAAATAGAAATATATAATTAGTATGTATGTATGTATGTATGTGTATATATATATATATATATATATATATATATATATATATATATATATATATATATATATATATATATATATATATATATATATATATAATATATATAAGTATTTTTTAAATTTAATCTACATATATCAGCACATGATCGCAGAAACCCATACATACATGTTGCAAGTAAAGTTTGCTCTATCATATATTAACGTCATTGTCGTAATAAAACATATTTTTTATTTATTTTAATTTAAATGCACAGTGAAATTCTATGTTCATTTGGCGGACTTAACACCGCACTGTGTTCTCTACCAGTCAACCATTGGACAAATCGAGAAATAGGTAGGCAATGCATTACTGAATAGAGGAAAAATAAAGCAATACTTGATATGTTCATATGTTATAAATATGTAATTAGACTTATATAAACATACACATAGTATGTTAAATAAATAAATATATACACACATAAATAAATACATAAAATATATATACTATAAAAATAAAGTGTATTAGAGGAGCAAATAAAACAATCTCTGACTCAGAGTAACTGGCAAGATTATGTTTAAAGGGAAAGTGAGAAAAAAAAACTAGAATTTATAAATCGGCCTTTTTTAAGAAATAGGTGCGTAGTTTATGTTTAGAAGCTAGTTTGCTTAGCGTAGATTTTATATCAAGTGGGAGTGCGTTCCAATATTTATTGGCCTAAACAGTGAAGTAATATAATCATATCGATAAATCACAAGTTATTTCATAGACTACTTTTTAAATGTTTGAATTTGGAACGCGGAATTAATTTTTATAACACATAGGGCAAACGAGTATGCAGCTCACCTGATGGTAAGTGACAACCGTCGCCCTGAGCTCTCACAACACTGAAGAAATTGCAGGTTTGCTGCCTTTAGTTTTTTAGAAATGCTCTTTTCTTGAAGATTACTTGTATTTTAGTATTTAAGCAGTATTTAGTAATCACATAATTAATATGGGAACCAAAAACGGGGGTAATACTTATCGGTTGCATAGAATTATTAAAATCAATTCAGAGTTGGCGACGTAATCTAGCAACATAAAAAAAAAACACGCCACAAATAAAAGACAAGACGAATCGAGAGCCTTTTCCTTTTGAAAGTTGTTCAGAGACCAATATCCGTGGCTGTGTAGAGAGACGTCGGGTGCGTGGCGACAGTCCATATTAGTCAATTGAAAGATCACCAAATTATTGAATGACCGTCATCCTCTAAACTTTCCACGACGGACGCCCAGTTATTTGTATACATGTTATTGTTGTATCACAATAACTTAATGTATATATACATACAATACAGGCTTCTATACAAATAAAAATTAAATTCTATTTGTTGGTATATTCATTGCTTGCAATCTAGTGTACCGATGTTTTTTCAATGACCACTTTTTGGGAAAGTAAAATTAACTATAAAATTATATGTACTTCATAGTGATCTTTATGAAATTAGTTTTGTTTTCTTATTGTTAAATTATTTATTTATTTATTTACTTTTTATTTACCTTTTTTTGTGAACGTTGTGGTTTTTGGTAGTAGCTCTACCTATTATGGGCGACTACATCTTCGTCATTGCTATTCTATCGGCTAAAATAAGTTGATTAAAAATCTATTAACAACACAAAAGATATATAGTATTTGTATTACATATTTGTATACGTAAGTAATATTTTTTTAATGTATTCATGTATGTATATTTATATAATCATAATGCGCAGTAGTTCTCCATTGTATGTGTTGTCATTTTTTCACCGCATAATAAAATTTCTGTTTTGCCAAAGGTTGACTGGGAGAGAATGCTATGTAGTATTAAGTCCGCCTTTTGTACCAGAATTTTTTTGTAATGTGGTCAATAAAGAATAAATAAATAAAAATTAATAATTGATGATATATAAAATATATATATATACATACATAATAAATATTTTCGGCAATCGTTGCAGAGCCGATTAAAGGATTAAGATATTTTTAATAATATTAATTTATATATCAATATACAGATATAATTTATAAATGGATTAATCCTAATAACTTTATCTTAATCCCTAATAAATCGTTATATATGGCAGTAGGTTTAAAATATCAATAGAAATCAGTAATATCAGCATTTTTATATTATTGCTCGAAATGATGCTCATAGCCACATTTTAATATCACACCGTTTGCCATGGATAGGGAATTCATTCTTACACGCTAGAACCTAAATGGATGCATACAGGGGAAAGGGATTGTTAGTAATGGGACAGTTAGTTCCCATTGCTATTAATATATCTTATCAGACCGACCTCCACGCAATTCCCTCTGGAAACCATCGTGACTAATTTATCATTGAATTAGTCTTGATGAGCTAATGGACCTACCTTTTCATCTTCACCAATCATCCCTCACTGATGCCTCGCCAGTGTATACCGATACTGCAGGCGAGGTTATCATTCCATTATCATCCATTAAAAAAAATTAACCCATACAGTGCGGAGAGGAGTTTCCGCGATGGCATAGTTTATGGAATGAGTGCTTTTTAAAAAGGCCGTATTACCGTTTCTTCAAGATCAGCAAAGTTTTTTTTAGTAACAAAAGTGGCGAACAAGTACGAGTATACAGCCCGTCTGATGGGGCAAAGGGATTTTAGCAATGGAGTTTGATAGCCCCATTGCTAGCAATATGCCTTATTAGGTCGACCTCCACGTGGAAACCTGGAAACCATCGTGAACAATTCTTGTTGAATTCGTCACGATGGGCTAACTGACCTGCTTTATCATCACCTGTCATCTTTTACTGGTGCTCCGCCGGTGTATACCGATAGCGCGGGTGGGGTTACCATTCCATTATCACCCATTAAAAAAAAGCTTGTCTAATGGTAAACGTGCATGTAACACCCCTGGTGTTGCTGGAGTCCGTAGGCTATAATGACCGTCTACCATCAGACGGGCTGCATGCTTGTTTGCCACCTTTGTGGTATAAAAAAAGGTTAGTTATCGATTATGGTACTTATTCCACGATGTTCATTAGTAACGCCATTGTTGTTTCATGCTCTACTTGCAGTCGCTGACCAATTGGTTTTGCATGATCAATGATGCCCTTTGTGTATTGAATGATAAAAGGTCGAAATATACTGTACTTACTAATTAGCTTTGTCTGATTTAAATATCTATATATATCGTCAACATGTCGTCAAGGTTCTCGGCATAGAATGAACCCCATTCTATGCTGGGGCCCTTCCTTTTTTGTGGGTGTCGTAAGAGGCGAGGAATAATAATAAGGGAATTTAATGGCCGAAAAATGGGCAGCAGTGTCTTTCTTTAAATATCACCAAAGTCACACGGCGGTTGCCAATCCGCCTGCCAAGCGTGGCAACTAATGGTAAAACTCCCCTATAGGGGAAGGCCAATGAATGTTCAGCAATGAACACTTATGGTATAGTATGGTACATCATATTATAGGTATTCTTTTAGCTATTTTTGAGAATATTTTTTTTTATGAAGATCGGAATGGCAAAAAGCTGACGATTCATCTGATGGGAAGTGGTAACCATCGCCTATAGACATGAACAGTACTATGGTACCTCTCATACATAATATCTCTCATGAATTGCTGTTCCTGAGGCCCAATATATTACCTCCATACGCAGTAATTTTATCATCACGTAACCGATCATAGATTCCTGTAGGAATTTTGACAAATCCTTTCTTAGTACTTGGCTTACCTTATCTACCAAGTGGATTCTTAGTTCGTTCACCAGCCATACTACGTTGCATAAATAAAAATAATTCTAATTTATTGCTGTAAATATCTGATATTCTATGCACTCTTAGCTGAAGGAGGAAAGATGGATGGCGGATTAGATAGAATGGTACTCAAGAGAAGAACTGAGGAACGTCAGTAGACCTCAAGCCGGTGGTCGGATGACATATTGCGGTTAGTAGGAAAGTAGTAAATGAGTTTAGCATACGACTAAAACAAGTGGCGCCACAAAAAGGAGGTGTATGTCCAGCGGTGGGTGGATATGGGCTGAATAGATACCACTAACGGCAACAGCACTTTTGTTACTGCCACGTGTGGTTTCTAAAGCAGATGGCAGTGATTTTGTTTTATTTGTATCAATTCGAGTGATGATCATAGACAATAAAGATTGTGTCTCATAAAAAAAACGCATTTCACTTATGACAAAACCAGTTTGTTTGCTCTCAAAATTAAAGTATTGAACTGATTTCGACTAAAACTCCTATAGACCAATCTGTAAGGGGGGAAAGGGATTGTTAGTAATCGGGATTAATGACCAATGGGTCATTGGGTCTAGCAATGGCTAGCGATACCCCCTATCAGGTCGATCTCCACGCGGTTTATCGTAGTTAATTCTAGTGGAATTTGTTACGATGGGCCAACTGACCTGCTTTTTCATCCTCACCTGTCATCCCTCACCGGTGCCCCGCCAGCGTATCCCGATAGCGTAGGTGGAGTTTCCATTCCATAAAAAAAAAAACTATAAGTATATCCTTTCAAATAAAAGAATTTTCCAAATCAGTCTACAATTGATGGAGTTATGAGGAGGAGATAATAAACATAAACAATACAACCCAATTGAGAACTTTCTTCTTTTTGAAGTCGGTTGAAAACAACATAATCAAAACATATATATACTCAAATCACGGTAATATAGCGTCATATACAATGGCTACATTCCTACCTAATTGTGTGATAAGTGGTTATCAGATATCCAATATTAGATTTATTATATTGATATTGTGATTAGAAACATATCGTTTCATTCGTAGGAAATCCTTAAATAAAACACTTTTTTTTATACAACTTAAAATGGCAAACTAACTGACGGCCCACTCGATGGAAAGTGGTAACCGTCGCCTGTAGATATGAACAGTACAATGGACACAGTATACTATATCGCCTGTTATAATATTTACACTATTGACGTTATATTTCGCAATAGATAAGAAACAGTTTAAGAATTATAAGATTTACATTGAAATAATATAAACAAAGTCAATTTGTTCGACTTATATCAAACAATGCACAGGTTACTTACATATAGGACACTGGTTTACTCGCTTCTCGAATCAACAAACTTAGTTTATGTACCTTAATTATGTCAGACAACATATCAACAAACAGATCTATGTAAAATTTGACGTCTATTACAGACCAAGAAGGGTATTAAATCGATTGTTGCGCATTACTTCACAAGATCTAGAAGATTCGAGACCCGATGTGTATTTCTTCAATTAAATAATTCTGCGAAAATTGGACTACGTCCATGACCCCCGGCCGTGAAGGTATAAAAGGGTGGATTTACAGAACCACTGATCAGTACATCACTGTCTCCCGTGGTGTGCAGTTGGCGTTGAGGACTTAATTTTTTTTTTGCTACAATATGCTGCGTATGGTGTTATTCGCTTTTGTAGCGGCCGCGTCCGCTAGCGCCGTCCACGAGGGGAAATGCCCTGACTTCAAGCCGGTGGATAACTTCAACTTGACCGCCGTGAGTATGCCTCGTATTCTCTGGAAACTATTGTGACGTCATTATTATTTCTTTCTCAATTACGTCATCTTCTCATATTGAATTTTGTTTTAAAATTATTAGACTTCATATTGATAGTCGTTATCTCAGATGTACAAAGATAAATAAATATTAATCAGTTTTGGTATTTAAAAGTAAGTCCTTTTATTATGTTTTTACTAGAAGGATTAATTTATTATATGTTTCATAATATATTTTTTGATAAACTTTGATTTTGTTTTATCCAACTTTGGTATAATTTTTTTGTTCATATGAATGAATATAATACATTAAATAAATACGTATGAGGGATATCATAGGCTACACAATGCAGTCTTATGTCTATGGTACTCTCATGTCTATCGGCGACGGTCATCGCTTTCCATCAGGTGGGTTGTCAGCTTGTTTGTCAATATAAGTTGCATAAATGCAACTCTAGACATGAGCAGTACCATGGACGTAACAGAGTATACTGTTTCGCCCATGATACCTCCTATGCGTTGCCATTCCTGAGAATTCAGGTGTTATTCCTTTATATCTTGTAAATTCACTGCCATATCCCATCCTTCAAACCGAAACACAGCCATGCAAACACAAACTCTTTCTGGTAGAAACACGAATGGGACAGTGGTGCCCAAGCACACGAGTTTTGTACAAAGTCTCCTTTAAAATCCATTTTCCAAATCGGTTTAAAAATAAAAATAAAGTTATTTAGAAGTAGGAAGGATTTAGTCCAATTTTATGTTGAAAATATTCAGTTTTATTGATGGAAACATTTAATATATTAAATACGGTTTCGTATACAACGACTAATAATTTTTGGCGATATAAGTATAGGCATGGCATGCTCGTATTATAGTATGGCCGTGTGGTTTCGGCATAGAATAGGCCACCCCATCCTTTCCCTTGGATGTCGTAAAAGCCGACTAAGAGAGGGTGTAAAATGGGCAGTAGCGTCTCTCTTAGAATATCTCTAAAGCCTGACTGCGTTTGTCAATCCATCTGTCAAGCGTGGCAAATACTGGCAAAATACCGCCAATGGGGAGGCTTATGTTCAGCAGAATGCTGATATGATTATGATGATGATGATGATGATGAAGTATAGGCATATGTTTGGTTTTAACATGAGTCAATATGAAAGTACATTTGCTTACAACGACCGATCGTTTTTAACAACTTTATGTATTACCATTATATTTGTATGTAGATAAATATGTATTTTTGCGTAATTTTGATAAATGTATATTCGAATGAGAGATATATATATATATATATATATATATATATATATATATATATATATGTTTGTTGTATCTAAAGTTTATATATTATTTAATAAGTTTTTGTAAGTAGAAGAGGGCCCAAGAATATACGACACAGGAAATCCTAGTTTGAAGTTTTGGGAACAAATGTAAAATTGAAACATGCATTTTTGGATTTAATAAATATTATTATTAATATTATTAACGACGGAATTTCACACAAAAATATCCGGTTACAACGACGAAAAGCATTGATGTGTTTACAAATATCTAAATCATTGGTAAGAAGTTATCTCCGCCGGTATACTTTGTCTCGTTTGCGTAACGCTTGCAGTACATCCTTCTTACAATAGAAATAAAAACCAAAAAACTATAAAAAATATAGACTTTTTTACAATAGATATTTCATTATTAGTTATATACATGTATGTAGTTATATAGATAGGTACATTATGTAAATTTTGATTTAAATGTTTTTTTTTCTCTAATGGTTACATAAAATTAAATTGTCAGGTCGTTTAATAAAACTTCCGGTTAATACCATGTAATTACATTGATCCCTTGGCCGTCGTTACAACCGGATTCTACTGTATATGGTTTGGATACATATCTCATAATAAACTTCCATACGAAGTAAACATCCTACTAACAATATCCTACCATAAATATTTTTGCCATAAAAAAAAAATTTACAGCATCAAATGCTGTAATTTTTTTTTCACATAAATTAACAGGAATCAATTAAGTTAAACCTAATTTAAAAGCATTCACAACGAAGTACAGCAACGTCGGAATTATCCGTCAATTGTCAAAAACAATTGAACATTTTTCAATGTTTTTGATTGATTATTAAAACAGTGCTCTGCTACCGAACTGAAGCGTTAATCACGCGATAATATTTTTATCAAGACGTCACTAAGAATTTGGATTTTGATAACAAAAATGTATTTTGGTAAAAGTTCCGAAGTAAAATATGAAGTAGGAGCAAAGTTTTTAACGGTAATTTTATATGTAATATATTCTACAATTGATTATTATTGATGATATAAAAAAAATTCAAATAATTATTCAGAAATATTGATGATTGGTCTATTCAAGGATACTGTGATTGATTATAGCTTTTTATTTTCTTTCTTTTTATCTAAACGAAGTTTGTGATAGTCATTTTATCCATTCAAAGTTTTTGTTGTAAATTTAACTTTTATTCGAAAAAAGCAACAACTGTATTTCTTGCCCGTTCTTCTCAGTTGAAATTGCATTTGGAACAGCGCGGTAGATTTATGAAAAAAGTGACTACTCAAAATTGCTTATTATTAAGTTTACTTGAATAAAAAAATATTTATTATTATTATTGTTAAATAATTTTTGTAAATTGACAGATAATTGTGACATTATAACACTTTGGTAAGCAAAAGCTGTGAGTGTTCTTGAGTCCACAAAAATACTTAAAGAATATGCAACTGTAGCATCCATTTAAATATATGATTTCTATACGTAGATATTTAATAATTATCATCATCATTTCAGCATTATCTGTCCACTGCTGGACATAGGTCTCCCCCATAAACTGCCATAAGGAATGTTCATAAACCACCTACATCCAATGACTCCCTGCAATGCATTTAAGGTCGTCACTCCATATAGTGGGGGGTCGTTCTATACTACGTTTGCTCGTACGTGGTCACCACTCAAGACCTCTTCCTCATGAGTTATCGGTTCTTCGAGCTATGTGACCAGTCCATTGCCACTTCAGCTTGCTTATATTTTGGACTATATCGGTCACTTTGGTTCTTTTGTGGATACTCTAATTTTGGGGTCTATCACGCAAAAATACTTCGAGCATAGCTCTCTCCATAACTCGCTGAGTATTAGTAGGTAACATATTAATTAGAAATTTAATCTACATTATGTGGTAAGTGGCTACGTCTGTTACTTAATAAAGCAATTTAGCACAATTCACAAAAACGTAATTTCAATCGTAAATAGCACAATAGGGACTAATTTACTGCGATATCTTCCACAATCACAGTTCCGGTTATCTGAATACGATAATAGTTTAAACTGTATTGATAAACCGCCGTGTGATTCACAGGCCCAGCCAATACAGCGTGAAGGTCGGTTCGTTTGAACCAATTGTTTTGTATTGACAAGTTAGATTAAAAGGCTACAGCCGAGGGGCGCAAAGAAAAGCAATAAATATTTAAGACTAAATTTACTTAGGTAAAAAAATAAAATAAAATAAAAAACTTAGGTAAAAAACAATTAAAATATTAATTACTAGCTGTTACCCGTGACTTCGTCCGCGTTTCCCTCGTTTTTCGTAAAATAAGTAGCCTATGTCCTTCCTCACGGTTCAGTGGTTTTGATGTAACAGACACATTTCCCTATATATATATATATATATATATATATATATATATATATATATTTGAATTAAATAAGCAGATGGGCCACTTCATTGGATGTGGCAATGTCTGTAGTTATATACAGGACTATCATAAAATTTGTTCATATATTGTGCAGGCGTCTAGGTTACAGTGACCGTTTACCATCAGACGGATTATATGCTTGTTTGCCACCTTTGTGGTATAAAAAAAAATTACTCACCTCTAACGATTTCGGTTTCAACCTGTATATATGACGGTGAATATATTTTAGTATCACTTGATAAAAAATTACAAGGTTAATTTAATAGGTTATAACATATATTTAGGTAATCAGTATTATTATTAATTATTCAGTATTATATTTATTTTAATAATCAATTAATCTATTTATCTTTTATTTATTTTTGTAAAAATTAAAAGAGAAGTATAATTTAACCAGTAAACAAATTATTTTTAATTAATTAAAATTTTTATTTTTATTACAGTAATTAACAGACTTATAATATCAAGTCAATAAATCGTTTATTTGCATAAACATTTAGTTACATGATATTATATCGCAATACTCAGCCATTATTGGACATACAAATATTATAAAACCCTTTACCAAAGTTATAAAAAACGATACTAAATATCAATTTAAGAAAACTTAAATCTAATTACTATGTATTGTTGAAATTAGGTATTACAATAATCAACATCACAATCATGAAAAGTGATTATTTAAACAACAAATACACTAAGACTGATAAAATTTACATCAAATCTTTATTTTACTTAGTTATTTAAAACATGTACGTACGTTATTTAAACTATTTTATTATTTATAACATGTTAAAATCAGAAACAGAAGGAAAACATTTTATTTTAAAGAGTGAACAAAACAGAATATGTCAAAAGTCTTGACCAATTATCGATCTATGTAAAACGTCAGAACAAAATAGAAGGCGGCAAATTTAAACATTACAACAGCTAGTATAAAATATTTTCAATTCAATTTGCAGTACCAAGGAGTGTGGTATGAAATCTCCAAGACGCCCAACGACGCAGAGAAGAATGGCAAGTGTGGACAAGCGGAATATAAATTGGAGGGCGAGGTGGTGAAGGTGAAGAATTCTCACGTGGTAGACGGAGTTCAGAAGTACGTTGAAGGCACCGCCAAGTTTGCTGAAGACGCCAATAAGAGTGCTAAACTCTTGGTGACCTTGACCTATGGAGGTAAGTCTTCCATTTTATATGTAACTTATTGTATTTCACGACTTCATTCAGGTGAATTAATAATAGGGCATAACCTGCTTGTATGGGGGAAGGGATTGTTAGCAATCGAGGTTGAAAGCCCCATTGCTAGCAATATGCGTTATTAGGTCGACTTCCACGTGGTCCCCCCTGGAAACCACCGTGAACAATTCTTGTTGAATTCGTCACGATGGGCTAACCGACCTACTTCATCCTCAGCTATCATCCTTCACTGGTGCTCCGTCGGTGTATACCAATAGCGCGGGTGGGGTTACCATTTCATTATCATCCATTAAAACCTGCTCGCATATTAAATTTCTTTCGTAGTTTTTGCGTGAAAGAGGAAAAATACCCATCCATCGATCGTTACAAATTTTCGCATTTATTACATTAATAGAACTTTAAATTTTATATGTGTAATTTTAAAAATACTGACACTGATTCTTTTAATGGATTCTATTCTTATCAATGATTTATTTTCTTGTAAACATAATTATTTATTGCTTTCACGAGGCATAATTTAGATGTCCACATACATATATTTAGATGTCCACTTTGTTACGTAACAGTTAATTATCATTTAATTTATTTTAGTTTTCTCTTTCTCAGAAGAAGTAACAAATATTTTATTCAAAGTGATTTTTTTTATTTACTATATATATATCTTATAAATTCAATAAATTTATTTTTGTTTCAATATTTAATAAAGAAAATCCTAAAAAGAGAGAAAAAAAAAACACAAAATTATCAAGAATAAGACATATTTGATTGTTTAAAGTTTCATAAGTAAGTATACATTATATTTTAATGTAATAACTACTGGTTTAAATAACATGTAATTGTAAGTGAAAATTACTTTAATTTATATATATTTTTTTTATACAACTTAGAATGGCAAATAAGCTGACGGCCCACCTGATGGAAAGTGGTAACCGTCGCCTATAGACATGAGCAGTACCATGGACATAACAGAGTATACTGTTTCGCCCATGATACCTCCCATGCGTTGCCATTCCTGAGGACTCAGGTGTTATTCCTCTGTACCCAGAAATTCACGCCATATCCCACCCATCAAACCGAAACAGAGCTATGCAAACACAGGGCAGAAACACGCTGCTCTTCGGTAGAAACACGAATGGGACAGAGGTACCCAAGCAATCGACTTTTGTACAAAGTCTCCCCCTGGTAAAATACACCTCATACTATATGTTATACTTTATATATTTAATTTAAATAAATTAAGATTGTGTTTTACAAAAAAACAAAAACCGACTTTAATCGTAGCAAAGCTAATAATTTTGATTTAGAAATTAAAAAACTGAATCAATTTTGATGAAATTTGTATGGGACCTTGATGGGACTATGAGTGAGCTTCCTTGAAATAAATAAACAAAATGAAATAAAACCTTGTTACAGCCGTAAACCGAGAATCTCCGCTCAACGTTATCGCGACTGATTATCAAAACTACGCGATTGCATACACTTGCAAATATGATGAAAAGAGCAAGTCACACAATGGTAAGTTTATTTATATCATCAGGATGTTGTTAATGTTACTCTGGACAGTTATTAATCTATAATGCTATTTAGTTTGTTCATCATCATCATCATCATCATCATCAACATCATACCAGCCGTTAACTGTTGAAGATAGGCATATTACTTCATAATATACCACATAAATTTACCACAAAAAATTGTGGACCTATTATATTTTATTTCCCATATTTACAAACATGTTTTTTTATTAGAAAAATTTAAATTTTTTGTGATAGTTCAATAATAATTCTATTGCATAATGACATAATTTTGGTTTTTCAAAATTGTCATTATAATTTCGTCATATATAATCCGTGCATGGCTTGTTGACGTCCATTAGTTTTTTTATTATTTGGAACTTACCACCTTCTTGTTGAGATGTATTGTGATGGGATAGGACTTCCTATATACGAGATTCTAAATAATGCCACTACAAAAATAATATTGTTAAATATCTTGTTATAATTTGCTTTATTTCACTAAATAACAAATATTTAACCATGTGTGTTTTTATGATACACGGGTAAATGGAGAATAAATAAATAGTCGACGTGAATATTTTTATTTACACGATATTTATGAATAAGATTTTATTAAATTTTGTCCCGTCATTTCCGCACTTTATAACCATATAGTTAATGGCAACAAATCATTAATGTTACTCACTTCACAGGCATAACTCTTGGCTGTATATTAGGTTTGACATCTAATCCACTCGTAATCAAAATGAATGACATTGTAGATTTTAATTTATGATGTCTATAGTTCATGGCTATATTGGTATAAATATAGTTAATATATGTGTTTGACAGTTTATTGTTCCATGAGAATATATTGTTTTAATAAATAAATTATGTTTGTTGTAATCAAAAACAGATAATAATGTAACCGAAAATTTATCAGATTTAATTATGAATAATTTATTTAAATTGAAAGTATTCCTAATTCGATAACATTGAACATTTTTGGGTAAAGTAAAATTATAAACAGTTTTGATGATTTTTTTTTATTGAAAAAGTTAAAGGTAATTATTTTATTGGGGCGAGGATCTTAAACTATTTATCTATTAATAAAATTTTGAATGGGATATATATAATAATATTACCTGAAAATATTAGAAGACGACACTTATTCTTACACTTAATTACTCGCTAATTTAGAAATTTTGCTTCAAATTATCTTTAATTACAAAATGATCGACAAAAACCACAAGTGCCGATTCTAGCGACATCTAGTATGTTCAATTTTGTTTAGTGACCAGTATTTCTCATTTGTCATTTCTGAGGATTATTTGAACGCAAATTCCCTGCTCCTAACTTACACAAGTGGTGAAATAATTGAAAAAATCCCATTGCAGATTCCATATGGATCCTGTCCAGGGCAAAGAAATTGGAAGGCGATGCCAAGACAGCCGTCGACAACTATCTAAAAGAGCATGCTAAGGAAATCGACGCCTCTAAATTGGTTCAAACCGACTTCTCTGAAGAAGCGTGCAAGTTCACAAGTACTAGCGCTGTGACAGAGCCACAGACAAAAAAACAATGAGTCGATGTCTCTTTATTAAAATATGTTCTCATAAATAATTACATGTCGCAATAATAATTGTCCTTTAGTTGTAGCATTTTTCTCTGACTATATAGGCAAATGGCAATCGAGCCTAATTGTAGATAGGCGTTCGCGATCGAGGCAAAACGAGACGCTAAAAGTGCTGTCTAATAGTAGATAAGAGAAAGATTGAGACGTAAGAGAAAGATTGAGACAGTAAACGTGCCTTATCTATTTCGTATAATCTATATTTTAATTTGCCATTTCCACTGACAGAGTAATTACAACGTGCAATTATACTAGTTACTTGTAATGCAAGCTCGGTAGATACGGCCGTAATATGGCAGATTAAACAAAAAAAAAATTCCTAATTCAATTCTTGTCAGTTCTTTTTTTTTTTTTGTGACAGAGTAATTATTTTAACGTTCAGATTTTATAATTTTATTAATAGACTAGATTATTTTTGTGAAATAGCGTGAATGAGATCTGATATATTATATTACAATAAATAAGTTTAAATAAACAATAATATGTCGGTGAATAATACTGATATCATTTTAGGCATATAACAAAATAGTTCATTATATTGAATAGTCGACTTAATTGAACATTCATTGCATAAATGGTTTGTGATAAAATAAATTAAGTAGATTTTATTGATAATATTATTTATTGGATTAAATAAATTCTTAAGCGATATACTGTTTGATTTATTTACAGTAAATTTATCACGATAGGACTACTGCCTTGATTTTGTCCTCGTATGTGATACTCTACAGTTAACGTTAGACAGTGGGGGGAAAGGGATTGTTAGTAATGGAGACTGAGAATTCCATTGCTAGCAATGGAATTCTCAGGGTATATACCCAACCAGGTCGACCTCCTGGCGGTTCCCCCTGGAAACTATCATGGTTAATTCCTGATGAATTCATCATGATGGGCTAACTGGCCGGTTTTCATTCTCATCTATCACCCTTCACTGGTGCTCCGCCAGCGTATCCCGTTAGCGCAGGCGGGGTTACCATACTATTTTCACCCATCAAAAAAAAACGTTAGTGTTACCATTTAATTAAATTTAAAAAGTAACTTTTTTGCCCGTTACTTCATACACAAGGATATCAGTAATAAGAAAATCAAAGAACGGCAATGCATGAGGGGTATCATGGAGGAGACAGTATACACTGTAATGACCATGATACTGTTCATGTCTATAGACGGTTACCACTTTTCATCAGGTGGGCCGTTAACTTGTTTGCCAAACTAAGTTGTATAAAAAAGACCATTTTTACATGACGTATCAATATGAAATATACATCAGATTTGAAGTTAGATCTTCAGTAACAAAACCGTATGTAATTTGTTGCAGTAAGTTTTGCGTGATGCCGGAATAAACATACATATATAAAAACACAAAAAAATCTCCCTTCCCCCCTCATACAAATTTTTCTTTAAATTATTACTACAATTTTATTAAATTAGTAAATTAAATAGGTATTTAAAACAATTTTAGCTTGTCTCTAAGATATAGCAATTATCCTTTTCTATTTGCGCATTCAGCAACATGATTCTAATAAATAATCTATGGATATTTTTCATATAACGTGAAATGGCAAGCACGCTGTCGGCCATTTTATGGAAAGTAGAACCGTCGCCTATATACATGTACAGTAACAGTAAATTTTAGAATACAAAGTAATGTTCACGGTATCCCTCATGCATTACTATAGTCGAAGAGCTGGATCATAGAATATCCGGCTCGAAGGACCAAAATATTGGAGAGTGCCATTGTCGGAGAGCTGCATAATATTCGGCTCAAAGGACCAATATGTTGGAGAGCTGAATAGTCGATTTTGAGAGAATATAACAGGATTTAAAATAAATTAAGGTTCATTTATTAGAGATACTATACACGCACAAGACAAATCCGAATTCGGTGCGAGAGCGAATGGAAGAGAGCAACATACAATCATAGCGTCAGTTACAAACTTCATGTTGGAGTTTTCAACAGCCATTACTGAAGGTTACGCCAATATTTTTATCTGTGCAATAGTTTGTTATATACCTATTTTCGCACACAGATCAAATAAATTAATATTTTATCTATGCCTATATTGGGGATTGGGTAATTAGTGAGATTGCGTGGTACTTAAAATAATAATACTAAGTAATCGATATAATTAATTAAAGAATAATCTATTTGGCAATAAAAATATTTTCAACCAACTTAAAAAAAGGAGGTATGATTTTTTTAAGTTTGTTATTTATCATTTATTTATATAAATGATAAATAATTATATTATATTTTATGATATTTTTCAGGTAAAATGGGTTTATAATGCTTATTAATAATATAAATATGAAAGTGAGTATGTTTGTTACTGTTTGCCAGCTTGACAATTCGTCATAAGATTTGTTAGTTGTTTGCATGGCTGTGTTTCGGTTTGAATTGTGGTATCTGGCGGTAAAATTACAGACAAAGACTTTTTTTTTTTTTTTATAGAACTTAGAATGGCAAACAAGCTGACGGCCCACCTGATGGAAAGTGGTAACCGTCGCCTATAGACATGAGCAGTACCATGGACATAACAGAGTATACTGTTTCGCCCATGATACCCCCATGCGTTGCCATTCCTGAGGACTCAGGTGTTATTCCTCTGTACCCAGTAAATTCACGCCTGTAGTATTCACGTGGTACCATTTTTGAAGACTAAGATTAGTATTCAAAAATGGTACCACGGGTATTATAGTATATTCCTATTCCCTTTCTTTCTCCCTTTTTTTCTTTTTTTTTATGCAACTAAGAATGACAAACAAGTAGACGGCCCACCAGATGGAAAGTGGTAACCGTCGCCTATAGACATGAGCAGTATCATGACATAACAGAGTGTACTATTTCGCCCATGATGCCTCCTATGCGTTGCTATCACTGACGATTCAGGTGTTATTCCTCTGTACCCCGTAATTTCACTGCCCCAACACAAATGCTTCACGGTAGAAACATAAATACGAGAGAGGTACTCAAGCAAAAGACTTTTGTACAGTCTTTCTCCTTTCTCTCTCTATTCATAGGCATAATATATCATAGAAGTATATTATAGAAGAATACAGCGGAGTGCTGGATCATATCAGACACATTACATACAACAAATAAATAATGTATTTCAAATACATTATCGGGAATTATCGCTGTGAAAAATTTGCAGGTCTATAGTCCGACGTCCTGGGGATGTGCTAATATACCGGCGCATCCCCCGAGTGGTGGGGTGAGCACGTCAGCCACCCTATCTTGAGAGAGGAGACCTGCTCTTACCATCAGGGGGCGGGTCCCTGCCGTCGGAGATGTGGTGAGTGTGAAAGCGAACCCATGCCTCCGCGACATATGGCTACTCGAGGGTATATCGTCTGGTTTTTGGTGGGTACACTCCCACCTTACGGGGGGGTTCCCACAGTACCCATTCACCCCTCACAAGGTGTATGGATCTGCATAAAGCATTTTCCAGACGTTCAAAAAAGTCTATAGTCCAACGTGGTGCAATTCAAGTCGAAACGTTAGCAATAAAGAAACAGGTATGTAGGTATTATTTACCTGCAAATTTTTCCTCGCGTTAAGTCCCGATAGTGTATTTAAAATATGCGTAAACAATGCCAAACTTTAAAATTAATTAAATGACAATTGATTATTTGCTCAAACAAACTTTATTATTCACCAAAAATTACTAGTGAAGAAATCACTCTTGTATTGGTCAGTGTAAGCGCAGCTGGTCTCCGAGAAGTCCTTCATTACGAACGACTGCCGGTGCTCGGCCAGTTCCGAGTATTTAGATAGAGCGTTCTCGACCTTCTTCAGTGTATCGCCATGTAATGTTTCCTTGTTTCTTGACAATATCCATGTGAATACTGAAAATATTGATATTAGAAGTAAACAAAATTTCTAACAAATAATGTTTTGATCTATATTAGTCTTATTAAAATCTCTCATATATTTTTTTTTAAATATCTCCCATGTACAGATATTGTTTAGTTACAATTTTATTATATTAGTAATGAATACAATCGCCGTGTGGTTCCGGCATAGAATAGGCCACTTTTCCCGTGGGTGTCGTAAGAGGCGACTAAGAAAGGATAAAAGATGGGCAACAGCGTCGCTCTTAAAATACGAGGGTCATTTAAAAATTTTTAGCCTAACATGGTTAAAGTCATTGGTTTTTTTTATAACTACCCTCATTTTGTAGTTACATTATTTAGCAACAAGTATCCACAGTTTAGTTTATTCACAGTAACTCATTGTTTTGAGCTCGGAGGAGAGTATGTTGAAAAATAAAAATAAACTCAAAATCGTGTGGTTTCATTAAGTATGTTAGGCTAAGAACTATTCAAATGACCCTCGTACCTTTAAAGTTTAACTGCGGTTGCCAATCCGCCTCCCAAGCGTGAAAACTTTGGCAAAGCAGGAGGAAGCTTATGTTCAGCGGTGGACAGTTAAAGACTGATATTATGAAGATAATATAATCTTACCATAATGCGTCCGTTGTTTCTTCTTTAAGGTCTTGCACGTGTAAGCAATAGCGTAACTGTCATAATCTGTCGATAATATGAAGAATGGGAACTGGAGAACTTGATCTGTAATAAAATTAATAGGTAAACGAAGTGAGGAAAAGTTAATAACGTGTAGTAATTCTGTAATGTATTTAAATAAAATTTAATAAAAAGATAATTATTGTCGTCCACAAAACAAACTGAATTTAGTTATTTTAATTTATAAACTAAATTACTGGACCGATTTTGATAAAATTTATATAGAACTAATCTGTAAGTATATATTTTTAGATAAAATTTTCTATTTTAGAATTTTCTAAATCGATTTACAACTGATACGGAGTTACGAGGTAACATATATATAATAACTACTGGCAACCCCCCCCCCTGCCCCAACATCTTCCAATAAGGAGAGGCCTATGTTCAGCAGTGTTCAATTAATGGCTGACATGAATTATTTATGCCACTTGTAATGGCAAACAAATTGACGGCGCTCACCTAATGGAAAGTGGTAACCTTCGCCTATAGACATGACATATTTAAGACGATGATTATCCCAACCTTCAAACCGGAATACAGTCATCCAAGCACATCTGTTTTACTACAGAACCACGAATAGTACTAAGGTACCCAAGTGGACTCTGACTACCTCATAAAGTATTACAGACGTGAACATATTGTTGTGTATAAATAGTTTTTACCTTCATTTTCATGACTAATAATGAACTGAGCTTTTTTGCCCGCGTCAAATGTAGGGTCCACTCTGGCTAAGTAAGATTTTTGTGTTCTATTTGACAGGTCACTAGTTACATAGGTCTCCTTCAAGGTATACCCCAAATTATCCTCTTGAAATTCCAGTACAGCACAGTCGTAGGTACTTCTACCATCGCTCGCGTAGCTTGCAACGTTGTACCACAGCCCTGAAAACTGATAATATGGAAACGAAGTTAGTTTGAGTAAATTAGAGAATTAGATTCGAATCCTTGAAAGAAGTTACATTTTTAATATAATTCATATAATAAATACAAATGGAGGTAAACAGGTAATATATAATAGGTGATATTTAATCATCATCATCATCATATCAGCTTTTAACTGTTTACTGCTGAACATTAGCCTTCTAGGGGGGCTAATATTCAGCTCCTAGGGGGGCTAATGTTTACCTCCTAGGGGGGTTTTGCCAGTAGTTTCCACGCTTGGCAAGCAGATTGGCAGTTAGGCTATGGAGATGTTTTAAAAGAGACGCTGCTGCCTATTCCTCGTCCTTCCTTAATCTCTTACGACACCTACTGGAAAGGAAGGGGTATTGAATATTAATGATTTATTAATTTATTGTAGTAATATTTATATGATCTTGTAAAAATGCCTACAGTCTAACTGCAAAATAAATATTTGACATTAACTTCGAGGTTTGCGATCAAAATAAAGCTATATTTTTCTTTTAAATTACTCTCTTGTTACATTTCAATCAATTTATCTATGGCTTTTCATATTTACGCATCATTTTATGGCTGTTTAAAAATTGAGAAATTTCTATTTTTTGAACGATTTTGTATTAAAAATTTTGAGGATTTTTGTGTGTATTTTTGTGTGGTGTTGATAGAAGATAACCAAACAAATATTTCAATTAAATTTGTATAAATATAATAAAACATTTAATTGTGAGAGAATGATTATCAAGATATTGGCTGTGAAATTTTAATCAATATAACATTTAAATATATATAATAAAATATTCTTATTATAAATTATTATTATTAATATATGTAACACAATCGTTTTTTTTTAATTATTATATATTAATTATATAATACATATGAAAACTATTAAATATATAGTATAGTAATAGTTACTATATCAGCTGTTATCCCCACCACAGATAATATAATACTATATCACCACTAAGCAACAAACAGGGTGAAGTAATGAAATAGACAATAAACATAAATGTCATTAAAATTTGTCATCATATCAGCCTTTAACTGTCCACTGCTGAACATAAGCCTCCCCCCTGGAGGTTATACCAGTAATTGCCATATTTTTTTTTATGAGTGATAATGGTATGGTAACCCCGCCTGCGCTAACGGTATACGCCGACGGAGCACCAGTGAAGGGTGATAGATGAGAATGAAAACAGGCCAGTTAGCCCATCATGATGAATTCATCAGGAATTAACCATGATAGTTTCCAGTCGACCTGGTTGGGTATATTGCTAGCAATGAGATTCTCAGTCTCCATTATTAACAATCCCTTTCCCCCCACACACTTGACACGCGAATTGGCAACCACAGTTAAGCTTTAGAGATGTTTTAAGAGGAACGCTGGTACCCATCCTTTGCACTCCCTTAGTCGCCTCTTACGACTTCCACAGGAAAGAAAGAGGCCTATTCTATAACGAGATAAGACGGCTAAATTTAAATTACTCACCTTAGTGTAATCTAAGTTATCTTGCAACTTAACATCTGGACATTTCCCGGGCAAAGTAAACTCAGCCGCGAAGCTTCCAACTATATACGAATACAACAATAATAACATGATAAAAACATGTATTCGGTATGAGTATACAACATCAAATGCTACAGAGACGTATGTATCCCACGCGATAATTATCCAATATGTATCATTTATAAAGGCGTATTGTATTGCAACGTGGATTGTTGAAACAATCTAGAACATCCTCTTGTTATTTTTAGTTATTTGTACCTACGAACTGGAGTATATGGATTTATTTGATTTAGATGAGAACGCAAGGTTATTTGAATGAATTATTTTAAGATCAGGTAGCATTCATCGTCATCATATCAGGCATGCACTATCCAGGGCTGAACATAGGCTTCCCCTTATGGGGAGAGGGGGTTACCACTAATTTTTTTACCACTAAATATACTCGTATATATATGCTGGGGCACTAGTGAGGGATGATAGGTGAAGACGAAGCAGGTCAGTTGGCTCATCGTGATGAAATCAAAAACTAACCACGATGGTTTCCAGGGGGAACCGTGTGGTGGTCGACCTGTCAGGGTATATTGGTAGCAATGAATCTGTTAGATCTCATTACTAACAATCCTTGCCCCCCCCCCCCTCCACTGGCAACCGCAGTTAGGTTTTGATGACTTTTAAGAGGGACGCTGTTGCCTATTCTACCATACCATTTATCTAACATTAAGTTCCCTTACTTGCGTCGACACCTACAGGAAAGGAAGGATTGGTACGGCAGGTAGGTTTAGGAGTGGCAAATAAGCTGACGGCCTATTTAGTGGAAAGTGATAACCATTGCATAGAGATATGAACAGCACCATGAACGTTGTAGAATATATTATATATTATATATATATATATATATATATATATATATATATATATATATATATATATATATATATATATATATATAATGTATGTGTATATATAATGGCTATGGTACCTCTCGTGCGTTGCTATTCTTGTAGACTAAGTCTAATATAAAATAAAATACATGCAATCAACTACAATCAATAAGATACAGTAAAGTTGAAGTCTCCTCAAAAACATAAAATGTAAAAAATGCCAAGTCTTGCAACGCATTTATTTCACTACAAAAAGTATCATGCCATTTCATGTAAAAGCAAGCCAATAATGTTAATAAGTGTCTATGGAAACTAACCTAATTAAAAATTTTACAAATAATATTCTACATTATCACGTATTATTCACAATTGTCTTTTGTGTGATATTTTTTATGCATTAGGAATTATTTATATTGTGTATAAGTGAAAGAATTTTTAAAATCAGTTAAGATTTTTGAGTTTATGAAAAAAAAAAAAAACAAACGTACAAAACATTTTTATAAATACGAAGTTTTAAGTTTATGGACAAGTCTTTACTTAAAAGGTCATGCACAGAGGCTGACCCCACAATTCTATTGTCAACACGATATTTCTTGGTACTTAAATAGTTCCGCGAAAGTAAAAGTTGATACAAACAGATATTTACTTGGAATTCCTTTAATAAATATAATATATTGTAAACATTAAATTAGTTTACATTACTGTAAATTATACAATTAAAGATTACATATTGGTTCATTTTCCTTAAACATTTTTTTTTTTACAAAAAAATGTATAACGTTCTTATTTCAAATCTGCTTTAGAAATTAGTATATATAGGTCGGCGTGATTTTAAACAAACAATATTTATATGAAGTCTGTGCGAACAATTTGTGCAACATTAAAAATAGTATTACATTAAGGCTGATCACGGTGGTTTCATTAAATTATTTAATATAAATTATATTTAATTAAATAGCAATATAAATAAAGATAAAAATTGTATTTTTTTTTGTAAAACATATAGACTTCTATGTATATTATTTAGATAGGACAAACTCTTTCGATAAAAAAATATCATAAAAGTCAGTACAGAACTCGCGATGATATCGCATAATATACACATAAAAACGCAGTCGAATTCAGTGGCGGCAGTGCTTCTTGTTTACTGCGAATAATTGTACGTTTACTTGATTTGTTTTGCAGACTTGGCGTGATCACTACCGTGTACTACAGACGCAATCTTACTTATATAAATGTAAGTGTGTTTATTTGTTTGTTTGTTACTTTTGGATCTTAAACCGTCTAATTAATAGTTATGAAATTGGATAAAGAAGATATGGGATAAAGAAGGACGTAGAATTTTTATGTCGGTTAGTACTGGTTACGCGGACGGAGCCGCGTAAAAACAGTAGTTATTACATATGATAGATCAATCAATCTTTCCAAGAATGTGTTATATTTAATGTGTTATTCAGGTTATCTATGGATGACCCAAGCTCTTTACATTACAGTTGTGAAATCAATGTTTATTTGGAAATAAACTACACTAAGATACAGTTGTCTCAGTATGTTGACAATTGTAATACTCTCGTTGTTTTTATATAGTGTATCTGGATATTTTACGTTACCCGGAAAATGCCCGGAAAATGTGGCTCTACAGAAAGACTTCAAGCTGCCCGATGTACGTATTCATTTATTGATTACAGAGTTTAAATCCCGAAATCGAAATTTGAATTAGGTATTTGAAAAGAATTAAAGACGAATTAATTTTGTTTATTTAAATATGATAATAATTAAACTAAATAATAAAAAAAAATATAATTTAACTTTATATTATACTTATGACTGTGTTGTAGCTGTTTTATCTACGTTTATAATTTTCTAAATTATGAATGTATGTTATACACTACGTACATACATAAACTAAATGCTGTGAATACCTTTAATAGGAATGTGCATTAATATTGTATTATATTTAATGTTTGTTATATGTGTTATAATGCAATATGCTGTTAGTACCAGAGGGAGACTTTGTATAAAAGTCGATTGCTTGGGTACCTCTGTCCAATTCGTGTTTCAACCGTGAAGCAGCTGTGTTTGCAAAGCTGTGTTTCGATTTTAAGGGTGGGATATGGCATGAATTTACTGGGTACAGAGGAATAACACCTGAGTCCTCAGGAATGGCAACACATGGGCGAAATCGATTTAAATGATTATTTTTGCAATTAATCGAGTATATTTTTGTGTCCGTGATTATTTCCGCTATCTATTTTTTAGTTCAGCTTTGATGCAATATTAAAATATTTTTGTTTTAGTTTTATGGCAAATGGCACCAAGCCTATCACTATTCCAGCGATGGTCTGATGATGAACAATTGCTCCAAGTTAATACTGGATACCAAACCTTCTGGCGCTTACTGGAACCAATCGAGAGTGGACAGAGGTCTGTTCCATAGATACAGTATGGCGAAGTTAGATATACCTATTAGGATCGAGGACGCTGCCAACTTGAATGTTACGTTTACATTTCACGACGCGCCAAGACGGTGTAAGTTTTTTTTAAATATTTTTTTATACGTTATGACTAAGGTATATAACTATACAGCTCAGGTGATAGAGAGTGATAGTGGTAATTTTTTTTTATTATTAATTGTTAACTGCTGGAATAAATCTTCTCCATAAGGGGAGTTTTGCCAGTAGTTGCCATGCTTGGGAGGCGGGTTGGCAACTGCAGTTAGTTTTAAGAGGGACGCTGTTGTCCATCCCTCGCCCTTCCTTAGTCGACTATTACGACACCCATGGGAAAGCAAGGGGTGACCCATTCTATACCGGGGCATACACGGCGAGTGATCATTTATTGATGATTAAAATTATTGAGCAAGTAATTGTCATGACCGAAATCATTGACTTCATATAATAGAAATAAATAACTGTACAAAAATCTTTAGTATACAAATACATTCATAGGACTCGGTATGAAGTAGTCTAATTGGGTACCCATGTCCCATTTTTGTTTCTGACATCAAACTATCGTGCTTGATATTAGTTTAATGAGTGTAATGCAATAATTTTCTATATACATATATAAGAACGAATCGTCCATTCTTTATTCTCGATAAAACTCAAAAATGGCTTGACCGATTTTAATTTTTTTTTTCGTTTCATACATTGTAATACAGAGTTGGTTTAAAACATCGAAATGGTTGGTAAAATATCGAAAAACTTTAAAGTTTAGTTAAAAACGTCGAAAAATTTAAATATGTAGTTTTGAATGGTTGTCGTTACTTGGAATGTCTAGATGGCGTTGTAGGTGATACAAAGTTCATCGGGTCAGCTAGTTAAGGCGGTTGGTGTACTAAACAAAATTAGACATGAAATACTAGATGGCGCCAGTATCGAGACAAGTGGTTTTTGTTGATTATTTTGTAATTAAATTAGATGTAAAATTTCTAAATTAGCGAATGATACGGATAAAAAATTATATAAATGGGATAATGAACTTATTGTTTTGATTGCAGTGAGAGTCAGAAGTTATCCGTTCCGCGTGCTAGCTACTAACTACAATTACTACGCGACAGTTTACACCTGCCAGTATAGTTCGTTAATCGACAAACATTTTAGTAAGTATTTTGGCATTTCCTTTTAACTACTATTGTGGTTCATAAGTAAACGATAATTGTATGATAGACGTTCAAATAATTCAAATAATTTTAACATAGAAATACAAGACTTTGTAAAAATTTAATCATAATATATACAGTTACAATAATGTAAATTCGAGGAAAAATAAATTTATTACTCATAATTAGAATTACCGGTAAGATTTTCTGGCCATATTGAAATAGGTAATACCTATATCAGATGTACTTATACACATTTTTGTCTCTAATATTATTTAAGATTCTGCGATATTGAATCAAAAGAGTATTTTTTTTATACAACTTAGAATGGCAAACAAGCTGACGGCCCACCTGATGGAAAGTGGTAACCGTCGCCTATAGACATGAGCAGTATCATGGACATAACAGAGTATACGATTTCGCCCATGATACCCCCCATGCGTTGCCATTCCCGAGGACTCAGGTGTTATTCCTCTGTACCCAGTAAATTCACGCCATATCCCACCCTTCAAACTGAAACAAAGCCATGCAAACACAACTGCTTCACGGTTGAAACACGAATGGGACAGAGGTACCCAAGCAATCGCCTTGTGTACAAAGTCTCCCTCTGGTGTACATTTACAAGAGTATATTTTCATTTCCTTGTCAATAGTAAAGACACTAATAATATTTAATATTTTTTTCCAGTCTACGTGTGGATTCTTTCAAGGAACCTAATACTGAACGACGTATCCTTGGAACTAGCGGTGAAACCGTTGTCAGAAATTGGAGTGGACTCTAAGAAATTAGTGAAAGAGGATATCTCAAACTGTTCTCCTAAATATTACGACGATGTTAACACTAAACCGACGACTTTTAGGTATCCCGTACCTATATAATAATATTATTTTAATAATGAGATAAATAAAAATTGTAGTGTTTCATTACACGCCCTGGAACGACTGTCAAAACATTGATTATTTATTTATTTTTTGGAAAACGTACAGCTGAAATACAGTCAATACATAATCAAATTTATATCTATGTTAAGCCATGAATCGTTTTCACATTTGCGTAATGACAATGATCGGTTTTTACCATATATATGCAAAATACATACATACACATACATACATACACACACACACACACACATATATATACATACACATACACATATATACATATACACACATACATACACATACACACGCATACATACACACATCTATAATAATTAAAAATTATATCTCGAACTATCTATATAATAAGACACCGAAGAGTATTTTGGATCTATCTTTTAATAAATTTTAAAGTGTTATTTAAAACTATTTATTGAACAAAACCTATTACACACTAAACGATTATTTGAATAACAAGCGTGCATGGTGTTAGTCGATCTTGCACGGGTTTTTCGCGACTTTTTTTTTTATTTATTTAACTCTCTTGTGGCAACCTTAAACTTTTGTCGGCACATCAATAAAGCTTTCCTTCTGGGTGTATAGTATGTATGGTCATATTTAATTTTATACTAAAATTCATCATAATCGAAGCGTAACAAACAAACAAACTCACATTCTCATTTATAATATTAGCACATAGATACATTTTCAAATTCCTTTTTATATTTATGACGACTATATTCCATCAGGTGGACAATTAACTTCTTTGGTATATTATTTTGTATAAATGGGTAATTTTTTTTTAAAAAAACGTCATTATTAGATCGATGAAGTTTATAACTAAAATCTTATATTATTTATTCAGAATTATTAATATTAAAATAAATACAAATTAAAGAATATTGATCACATTGCTTAAGTATTAATACATTATATTACACAGTATAAAATATTTCATATCAAACATTTTCAATGTCCTTATCTTGAGTCTGCACATAAGCAGTCCAGTGGTATGTACAATATCTCTCCCCCTGCTCTACGGTCTGTAGATATGCTGCGTTCGCAAATGGTATAGATGTTAGCTCGCTTCGCGCTTGTTCCCTCAGCTCAGGTGATAGGGTCGACGTCCTCGAGAGTATCCAGGCTGAAACTGTTTTTGGGATATTTTAAAAATCTTTCTTTTTTACGCCAGACCTCTTCAGACTTAGATATTATTATAAAAGTCCGTTCAATACTTGAATATTCGTAAAATACTTTTTGCTTTGCCACGATTGAAGACAGTGTTTTTTTTTTTGGAATAAAATCTTAAGTTATTATTTCTGCATCACAGAATATAGACATGAGCAGTACTATGGACATAACAGAGTATACTATCTCGCCCATGATACCCCCCATGCGTTGCCATTCCTTAGGACTCAGATGTTATTCCTCTGTACCCAGTAAATTCAAGCCATATCCCACCCTTCAAACTGAAACACAGCCATGCAAATACAACTGCTTCACGGTTGAAACACGAATGGGACAGAGTTACCCAAGCAATGGACTTTTGTACAAAGTCTCCCTCTGGTAACTCCCTCCCGACTAAAGGAAGACGAGGAATAGGCAGCATCGCCCCTCTTAAAACATTTCCAAAGCCTATCTGTGGTTGCCAATCCGTCAACCAAGCGTGGCAACTACTGGCAAAACCCCCTTATGGGGAGGCTTATGATCTGTAGTGGACAGTTGAAAGTAGAAATGATGATGATAATATCAACCGTTAACTGTCCATTGCTGAACATAGGCCTCTCCTAAAAAGAGGTTTTGCCAGTAGTTGCCACGCTTGGTAGGCGGGCTGGCAAACCAGGGGGAGACTTTGTACAAAAGTCGTTTGTTTGGGTACCTCTGCCCCATTCGTGTTTCAACCGTGAAGCAGTTGTGTTTGCATGGCTGTGTTTCAGTTTGAAGGGTGGGATATGGCGTGAATTTACAGGGTACAGAGGAATAACACCTGAGTCCTCAGGAATGGCAACGCTTGGGGGGTATCATGGGCGAAACAGTATACTCTGTTTTGTCCATGGTACTGCTCATGTCTATAGGCGACGGTTACCACTTTCCATCAGGTGGGCCGTCAGCTTGTTTACCATTCTAAGTTGTATAAAAAAAAAAAAAGCACAGTTAGGCTTTGGTGATGTTTTACGAGGGACACTGCTGCCCATCCCTCGATCATTACCTTAATTTATTTTTTTGCAAGAACAATTCACTATTTAATCAATCATACTACATATTACACGTTCAAATTCCTCCTCCAATTTTACATCGACTTGCTTCTAATGACACTCACGGAACAGGTAGGGGTGGTTCATTCTATGCCGGGACCACACGGCGAATTTTTATTTTATTTTACTTTTCTGTTATTGTGTTACGACAAACAATATTACAAACCCTGTATATTTAATTGGAGATTTCCTGTAAAAAAAAAGAGATTTTCTACTTACTGTACTTTATATGTATATGTTCATTGTACTTGCATCCGTAAACTATTGCATAATTGTCGTAGTCCGTGGTTATGACTGAAAACGGTATGCCCACAGGATCTGGAATTTAATTCAGTTAAATTTGTAGCTATATGGCAAGTAATTCAAAGTATTGGACGACAGATGGTGCCATCTATAATATCTCATTTATAGAGTAATGTTAATATTTGAAAACATTGTTTTTATTCGGTTTTCTTATATACTTTTATTTATTTTTATGATACTTAAAGCGACAAATCAAATGACAGGCAATAAATAAACACTAGACATTAAGCGAATAAATAAATAAATAAATTGTTTTTAAATTGTAAATAAAATAATTGTCACGCTTGACAGGCGGATTAACAACCGCAGCTATGCTATGGTAATGCTTATATATATTGGGGGGAAAGGGATTGTTGGTAATGGAGACTAAAAATCCCATTGCTAGCAATATACCTAACCAGATCGACCTCCACGCGGTTCCCCCTGGAAACTATCATGATTAATTCCTGATGAATTCATCATGATAGGCTGACTGGCCTGTTTTCATTCTCATCGATCACCCTTTACTGGTGCTCCGCCAGCGCATCCCGTTAGCGCAGGCGGGGTTACCAATCCATTTTCATCCAAAAAAAAAAATGCTTATATATATATATATATATATATATATATATATATATATATATATATATATATATATATATATATATATATATATATATATATATATATACATTTGCTGTGTTTAAGTTCTCGTGGGAATCGTAAAAGGCGACTAAGGAAATTTAATGTTTGAGGAATGGGCAGCAGTATTTCTTTTAAAGCATCATCAAAACATAGCTGCGGTTGCTAATCTACTGGCCAAGCGTGACAACTGCTGGTATCGCTAAGCTACTAAGCTAGGCTTTGGTGATGTTATGAAATGAACGCTGCTGTCCATCCCTTGGCTATCAAATTCCCTTAGTCATCTTTTATAAAATCCATGAGAAAAGAAGGTTGGTCCATTCTATGCCGGGACCACACGATAAATTAAAATTACTTGGATAGTTACCAATATTACTTTCTTCAATTTCAAAGACAGCCTCATCCCCCGGTGAGTACGTGCTATTCATTTGCAATACGTATTGTATACCGTTTCTGATAAAGTAATGTTCTATTACAACCGTCCTGCCGCATGCCTGTATCCTTTTATGTGCGCAATGACCGTTTTCCTCGTACCATGTTGGGAATCTCTCTATTTCGTACCATATACCGAGAAACTGTAATTTCGAATTAATAATTATATTTAGAAAGACTTTTTAATAACAGTACACAATTCAACACTATTAAATCAGTCAGCCATTTATTCATTCATTCATTTACATTAAATGGCTGACTGATTTATATAATAAATTTATGAAATAAATAAATTAATGGAAGAAGTAATGAATTAATTAATTAATCGTAGACAATTGAAGAATAACCAATGAATGCAATAGGTTTATTTGTTAAAGTAAAAGAAGGTGGAATCAGAAAGATTAATATGAAGAGAAGAGAAATACCAACTGAGATACATATAGATGAAAAAAGTCAAATGAAACATTGTACAAGGATTTATCTATTTAAATCTTTATTGTACTTAAAACATAAAAATATTTTAAAATACAGTAGGATAGAGTAATAGGATTTTTAATCGTTAAATTAATCGGTTTTTGGTATTTACAATTATCGGATAGTTAGTTATAAATTGTTTTACGTATGTAAAACAGTTGTGTAATACAACGCTTTAGATATAATAATTTAATTACACAATTTTTTTTTTAAGTTAGATTTGTACTTATTACGCCGTCTGCACTGATTTGTACAGATTTTGGAATTTATATTAGATCAAAAACATTAAAAGAACTATCTAATAATTGTCTACAAATTCCAGTGTGACTGGTCATTGTTCCGTCATATTTCCTTTATTATGATGTAACCTCAACCTTGCTTTAAATAAGTCATATTCAATTGGTCACCTCGTGTAATAGATAGGTGTCACATATCCCACACCCAATCTTGTACCGAATAAAAGTATTCATATGGGACGAAATAAGAAACTAAGTATGTTATTCAACCGATTTCTTAAAGAAGTAAGTTCTTAATTAGCTTGTATTCTTTTTATGTTTGTTACTTTATAACTCCGTTATTTATTTTATTTATTTATTTATTTAACACTTTATTGCACCAACATAACATGATTTGTTAAAACAATTTTCAATACGTATAGTGTAGTACAAAAGGCGGTCTTATTGCTAAGCAATCTCTTCCAGACAACCTTTGGGTAGAAAGGATTAAAGCATAAGTAGGTAGGTGGCGCGTTAAAAAAGATAGATTTGTAAAAAATAATATTTGTGACAGCATAGTCATATACATATACATACATAAATAAACACGTTAGTTGTTAAACGATTTGTAAATATCTTTATTTATCTTAAAGTATATACTTACAGAATGGTTTTATATTTTTTTTTTCGAAATCGGTTAAGTAGTTTAGTTTTTAAATCAAAATAATTAGTTTTGCTGCAATTTAACATGGTTTTTTTGTTCAATTTATTTATAGGTTTATTTTTTTATGGATGAGAATGACATGGTAGAACTGCGCTAATGGTTTATGTTAGTTGTCTGATGAGGAATGGTAAGCGAAGTCAGATCAGATGACTTATAATGACGAATTCACCAGGCACCAACCATGACGAATTCCTGGTGGGACCGTATGGATGTTGATAGAGTGTGATACTGGTAATGAAACGAATAGTGCACATTATTAACAATATATTCTCTTTTAAATGTAAGTCCTTACTTTTAAAAGGAGAATTTCTTTCAGAAAATTTTAATATTTTGCTTAAAGAACCATTATTAAGCCTTCCTTATGCGGGAGGAGACACGAAGCGTCAAACTGTCTAATTAGTTTTTTTTAATGATATTCAGAATGACAAATACGGCTCACTTAATGTAAAGTGGCAACCAACGCCTATAGATTTGAACAGCACTACGAATATCACAGAATATGCTGTAAACTGTCAATCCTGAGGACTATGATGTTAAGGCTCCATTTAAGGGAAATGAAAAGAAAAATGATCTCTGCTATGCAAGCACATCTGGTCTACGGTAGAAGCACTCCTAAGATAAAGTACCCCAGCAGACATCTTTTGTATAAAGTCTCCTTCTGGTATTAGTGTCGGATATTAATTTTTTTTGATAATATTAGAATATTTTTCTAAAACTCACTCTTTCTAAATCGAAGTATCTCATGGTCTCCACCTCTGCGCATTTCCCAAAATGTAAAATTTGCGTATTTGACAACTCAAATCTTAAAATCACCGTAACAATTAAATATATTGTTTTAAGCATTTCTATGTTATTTTTCCTACTGTCTGCTGTATTTACTGACAGATTTTAATAATACATATGCGTATAGGACTGTTATCAATATTGATAAGGCACTGAGATAGATTGATAAGAAATCTTAAGTTTATTCAATTGCATGGATTGATACGTAGTCACTTTATCAAATTGGGATCGCATATTCAAAATGTTCACGATTTTTTATAATAAAATTATTATATAGTAAAGGTAGCGACCCCGAATGGACAAACGCAGTGTAGGATGACCTAACGCTAGATGGAGTGACGACCTTAGGTGCATTGAAGGGAGTCAGTAGATGCAGTTGGCTCAGGACCGTTCGTTATGGCAGTCTTTGGGGGAAGTTTATGTTTAGCAGTGAACAGATAGGGTAGGATAGGTATTTGTTGATGATGACACTATACTTTTTTTTAATGGATGATAATGAAATGGGCTATCGGTGGCGGGGCTCCAGTGTGGGATGATCGGTGAGGATGAAAATGACACTATACTAACTACATAAAGCATATTCGTATTATTATACTGCGTAGAGACATGGCATCTCTATGCATCTTTTATTGATTATACCATGGGGAGTGTTCTGAGAAATTGTTGGGATTGATACCTGCTGCTGATTTTTACCACCGCACAACTCCCCGCAAACTAAAGTTCCATCTCAACCATCTGGATGGGGGACGGACTTCTACCATGTGCTTTTCAAGGCACTACCTTCCACACACAAATATACTTTGGAATCAACTTCCAGCAGAAGTATTTGAACCGATACGACATCGTAACCTTCAAGAAAAGAGCATATTCCTTTTTAAAAGGTCGTCAGGATATCTGCGATGTCTCTTTGGTGTTGCGAGTGTTTGTAAGCGGTAAATCCGTTCAGTATTTTTGTGTGAAAAAGTAACAAACATTAATCTATCCATCAGTATATAAGGTATCCTATGTTATTAGTCGATTGCTTGGGTACCTCTGTCCCATTCGTGTTTCAACCGTGAAGCAGTTGTGTTTGCATGGCTGTGTTTCGGTTTGAAGGGTGGAATATGGCGTGAATTTACTGGGTACAGAGGAATAACACCTGAGTCCTCAGGAATGGCAACGCATGGGAGGTATCATGGGCGAAACAGTATACTCTGTTATGTCCATGGTACTGCTCATGTCTATAGGCGCCGGTTACCACGTTACATCAGGTGGGCCGTTAGCTTGTTTGCCATTCTAAGTTGTATAAAAAAAATATTAGCACTTAGTGTATAAGATATCTTGTATACGAATTCATCTTTCTTTTCATTTAAGAGTTTCCTCTTGTCGGTGCAATTAATTCATGCATCTTTTTCCAGCCAGCTCTATCCCAGGCCATATTCTTGACCTCCTTATACGACATGACACCTAGTGTTTCTTTTATCTGTCCCATGTAGTTATTCCTCGGTCTTCCTCTTCTTTATTTGCACTCTATTTTTCCTTCTATGCTCTTAAAAAAATCGTCATGTCGTATAAGGTGGCCCAGCATTTTGCCTCTTCTTCGAATTCATCTATCGTTACGAAATTTCTAATTCATTATATTAATAGGGCTACATATTTTTTTTTATTCTGGCAATTTTATATTTCGATTCTGATAGTTTATTGTAGCAATTTTGCATAATTCTGAAAACAAATTAATAAGTAATATTTTTTTTAATAATAATGTTAAAGACAGTTGTAGAGAATAGAATAAAGATTTATTTATTTATTTATAGGATTACCAACACAAGATACAGCTAAACATTTTAGTACAATACACTGGTAGATTAAATGTAACTGTTCTTACATTTATAGGCAATCACAGCATGCTTTGTGTTTGATAAACATAAAATTTATAAAAACTATTAAATAATACAATTAAAATCTTGTAAATGAGATTAATAAAACGTTACGGATATTGCTATTTATATTATTTATTTTATTTTATTTCAACTATTGTTCTAGACTTGAGCCTTGGAATAATCGGAAGTAAATCTTTTGATAAGACTGCAACAGACAAAAAAATATAAATCACAATAGATTGTAGATCTTTTGTTGTTATTTATTTATTGAACTATTTTATAGATTGTTAAAAAATATTGATCTATGTAAGACTTTCTTTGACAGATAAGCAAGTAAGATAATTTCTGACCAAGGACGATTTATATATATATTAAAATATACTATATTGATTATGTGTATTATATTTGTTTGTTATATGTTAATTATGGAACAAAAACAATTCAATTTTTTGAAAATGCAACAGCTGAGTTCCTTGCTCGTTCTTTTTGGCTGAAATTGCGTTCTGAACAGGTGGAAGAATCATGAAAAAATGACTATTTAAAATATAAGTTTGCTTGAATAAAAATATTCCTTTCTTTCATAAATATATTTTTTCTCAAAATTGTAATTTTTTATAAATGATTTCCTTTAGTCGAAATAGAAATTACTATACCATTTTCTTCCCCATATTAATTTTGTCAAAATTGAAATCTTGTTTTAAACAATTTCCAAAAGTAAGAGGATTTTTTAATGTTTTTGCGATTATGTTACGCGATTATGTTGGAAAATCTGAACCGATTTTGGTAATTCTTTTGCAATCTACTGGGTTTGATTTCGTGTTATAAATATAGGAACACATTTCGTCTTACATTGATGTTTTGTCATGTTGAAATTACTTTTTTTAAGGGTAAAATGTGTCTTTCAAGGGGTAAGGGATTATTAGTATTGGAGATTTAATAACTCTATTGTTAGCAAAGTATTCTATCAGGTCGACCTCCACACGGTTTCACCTGAAAACTATCTTAATTAATTCTTTTTGAAGTCGTCACAATGGGTCAACTGACCTGTTTCATCCTCCTCTGTTATGCCTCACTGGTGCCCCGACAGCGTATACCGATAGCGCAGGTAGGGTTACTATTACATTATCATATAAAATAGATATATAAAAAAATATAATATATATAATAGTATACAAAAAAAAGGATTTCTTGTAATAAAATATTACACACTGCACTAAAGATGCAATGCAAATATCAGTTACTATCAAGAAAATTACTTCACACGAACATCGAACCTGCATTCTCTATTGTGACAAGCATAAATTACAAACCCAATCATCAAGTCTTCGCTGCCAAGAACAATAGTAATAAAAAATCTTCTCAATATAAAGAAGGAAGCGTGGTACGTCACGGCCAGTTGTCGAGGGGCGTTCGTTGTTCATACTCTAATAAACCATGTTGCTATACGGACTGTTTGTTTGTCTTTGTGCTCTGAGTGTCGAATCAGTGGTGCTGAATACCAGTTGTCCTGTCGTCAGTCCGAGGGAGCTCGATTGGAAAGCAGTAAGTTAGAACACATGCACTTTCTAATTACCTATTAATTACTAAAAACAATTGTAACCACACCACGTGGGAGTCTACCATGAACTTTCGGGCTTCCGAATTTTCAGGCTCAATTTCGTGTTTTTGTTCGTACCAAAATCGACCCTATAAATGGAGCTTAACATTTCATTTGTTATAAATCCTACCATAAAAGTAAAAAGGAACGATACTTTAGCATTTTTGATATTTTTAAATGGTATCTATCAAGTAATTTTAACATCAAATTTTTGTTTCGTTCGGATCCGAAATTTCGAAAAACATTTCATTCCTTGTGTACATATGAGAGAAATATTTAAGTAAAATAAATATTTCAGCCATTTATTGTCTGCCTGTTTTTATGTTTGTATCGTCACGCTACAAGTACTGTACCAAATTGGATACGGTTTTAATAATACCTGATTTAGTGTGATTGTGGTTTAAATTGTAAATTAAAATATGGTGTATATTTTATTTCAAGATGCAATCTATAAGTGGTTTACTTAAGTTATCCTACTACAGAAATCACACGTACAAAGAAGCGGGCAAAAACTAGTAGTTAATACAATTTTAAAGTTTTAAGTTTCTTTATTTTTTAAACCAACGTAGAGTGTCTCTGCATATTCTAAAGGTTAACTTATAGAGAACGCCTATAGCATTAAGTCCGCCTTTTGTACCACATTTTATTGGTCAGTCAAATTTAAATAAATTAATAAATAAAAAAGAAAATATTAGAAAACTTTTTTGCAACTGAGAATGGTAAACAAATTGATAGTTCACTTGATCGCAAATGGTAACTGTATGCCAACCGGTCACATAAACAGCAACATGGACATCACAGTATATTTATTCATTTAAATAGCATTCTCTACCAGTCTACCTTTGGGATAATCAGTGACAAGAAAAAAAAAAAAAAAAAAAAAATATATATATATATATATATATATATATATATATATATATGTATGTATGTATGTATATATATGACGACTTGCTACTGTTACTGTACTTTTTTACTACTTTTAGGCCTCCCCCTATTGGGGGATTTTGCCAGTATTCGTTACGCTCAGCAGGTGGGTAGGCAATCACAGTTATGCTTTGTTGAATTTTGAAGAGGAACGCTGCTACCTGCTGCTGCTTATCTCTCGACCACTATATTCCCTCAGTCGCCTCTTACGACACCTACAGAAGGGGTGGCTTAGTCTGTGTTAGGAAACCACACGGCAAAATTTTATTAATTATTATAATTAAATTATAATTAATTTCGTCAGTGTAGATTGAACTTGAATAAGATAGAACAGGCGACATACTGTCATCATAAATTAATAAAATAGTCACTTATCACCAGGCGAGCCGCATGCTCGTTTGCCCCCTGCGTTGTAAAAAAATAAATAAATAAATAAGTGTCACATATTTGTACTGTACATAAATGATCATAAATAATTTACTTTACAATGAGATAGAGTTTTAATAACAGTAATTATTTAACTGATGTGTTATTTACTGTAAATTGTACAGGAATATCAAGAAACCAATCTATACTAGTATTGTAGAGAGAAATTTGCTATTTTGTATGTTGTTTGTAATGGACAAATTCAAAAATTACTATTATTATTGTTATCGGAAGAGGGACTTTTTCAGGCAGAATATAACCTGTGATACTGCGACCTTTAAAAGATTGATTAATGTGGAAGAAGCGAAAGAGGTTTGTTTGAATCGAAGCATTTGGCGTTCCATTGTTTCTGCCTACCCTAATGGGAGACAGGCGTGACATATATGTATGTATGTACTACGACCTTTCTATGATCTTTTATGTTTGCCAATTTATAAAGTTCGCTGCTAATTTCTCAAAAGTGCTTAGCTGATTTTATATTTTTTTTCACTTATAGAAATCACTTATAGATTATTACCGAATATAATTGCTTTTTTTATGCAACTTAGAACGGCAAACAAGCTGACGGCTCATCTGATGGAAAGTTGTAACCATTGCCTATACACACGCCAGTACCATGAAAATAACAGAATATACAATTTCGCTCCATGCGTTGCCATTCTTGAGGACTCAGGTGTTATTCCCCTGTACCCTGTAAATTCACTGCCATATACCACCCGTTAAACTAAAACACAGCCATGTAAAGAACTGCTTTACGGTTGAAACACGAATAGGACAGAGGTGCCCAAGCAAACGACTTTTGTACAAAGTCTCCCTCTGGTATACTTTCATTAGCGGTATATTCATTAAAAAAAAAAATCTCCCGCGTAGCCGGGGCAGGACGTTAGTATCATATAATAATATAGAAATATTTTCTATAGAATTTTGTAATATTGCACGAATTTTGTAATATTGCACGAATTTTGTAATCTTCACTCTACTGATTGTAATCAAATTATCCTTGTAAAGGAATTTTCCATCTGTGAAACTACATCTACATATTTTGCAAAGAGACATGGGTCAAAAAAGGACAAAAAAAATTAAAAAAAAGACCTTTAATAAAATAACAAAAGTTAATAATGTAGGTTAATAAATAGTACATTACTGCAGCGGCCAGCAACTGAGGCATTGATGGACGAACGTGCAAATGTGGGCCGAGGCGTAGTCGAGGTAGGGAGTCAGTGGATGAAGAGGGCCAGAACCATTTGGCAGTCTATGGGGGAGGCCTGTTCAGCAGTGGGCAGTTAACGGCTAATATGATATGGGACACCATAGAAAAATTTAGTAAAAAAGGAAAAAAAAAGATATTTAGCGTAGGCGTAGTCAATATTTGTTATTATATTTGTCTAGTATCAACTTGATCCGTGAAGGTGTCTTGTTAGATACAATTGGATTTTGTCATACTTCTATCTTTAGGTCGTATCTATTTAGCTATTTCAGACTGTAACACGTAATGAATAGAGTTGATTTAAATTTGCATATCGTGCGGAGGTTAGGACAGACGCTTGTTCTATGCATTCGACTTTGCTGGGTGGCGTTGATTATATACGTCCGTTTTTGTTACAATTGTTATAGAATAAATTACAAATAACAAAGAAATTATTCAGTGTTTTAGTGCATAAAAAAATTGCAAGTACAGATCAAAATGAGAATAAATCCTGTTAATTGTAGAAAGTCAAAATCAATTCAAAACGCGTTACATATATTTAAAAAAAATATAGACGAATTGAGAAACTCTTCCTCTTTGAAGTAGATAATTAATACAGAGTGAAATCAAATTTGTTAACTGTATATATAACTGAGAATCTATTATTATTAGATTTCTAATTATAAAACTGAAATTTTGATTTAAAAATACATTTTTTAAATCGATGTACATATTAGGATAGAAATTTCGTGAAATAGAAATTTGAAGACCAGTAAAGAACATTGTGTGTTCCATACTAATTCAGTTATTTATAAAAACTAAAACTTATTTTAACTATTATAATGCTTTGTCCTTTACATTCAAATTGGAAATGTAGGGTTAAAAGAAGAAACAAAAGAGTTCATGAGACGTTTGACGTTGTTAGCGAATAAAAGCGTAACTCTACAACAGAAAGCGTCTTGTTTATATGAGATAATGTAAAAATTTCAATTTTTTTGTCAGTTTTTGACTCGGATGTTTTTTTGGTGAAAATGTTCAGTGTTGGCACAATACTCTTTTTAAAGGATGCTTATAATATTGATATCACCCTGTATATTATTATTAAAGGAAAGTGTGGTTCTGTAGATATGAATATTTATAGCTAACAGATTTCATATTGTTAATTCATTAAATATTTTTAAAATCACATAATTATTAAGTCAATAATAAATTTTCATACAACTTTCATTCCAGCTGTATTATATTTAATAAATAATTTAATTTTTCATTTAATTTAATCTATACTTATAATAAATCCGTAGAGAGGTCAATTCTGTACATGAAATATATTTTCAAAATAACTATCAAGGGGTGATTAGTGATCGAGACTGACGCCAAAAATGCAATTAGTAAATTTTTTGTCTGTCTGTATGTTCGTTATAAAAACACAAACTATTCGACGGATTTTAACGAAACTTGGTACAATTATTCTTTATACTCTTGGGCAGGTTATAGTATACTTTTCATCACGCTACGATCAATAGGAGCAGAGCAGAGAAGGGAAATGTTGGGAAAACGGGAGAAGTTACTCCATTTTTAAGCTTCCGTCGCGTGTGCAGCCTTAATGGTCACTTTTTAAAATGTAAAACTGTCCACCCATGCGAAGCCGGGACGGGCCGCTAGTTTTTAATAAAGTTTAATTAATTTTTTTTAATTACTAATTTAAATCCCCCCAAATCGTAAACCGCCATAAGGACGGGAACATTCACCCACAGTATGGAGAAAGCCTATGTTCGGCAGTGGATAAATAACGGCTGATAGGGTGATGATGATGATGATGATGATGATGACTAATATTAAGGCCGCTACTGTGTACTTGTTTATATCACAAGTAAGAAAAACAATGAAATAGACCACTTGTAGATTTGCCCTATCAAGATGAACACCAGATTTTAAATCAGACCTTCAGAAATACAGCTATAAAACCGCATACAATTTAGTGCCTTAATTTTTTTTATACCACTGAGATGGCAAACAAGCATACGGCCCACCTGATGGTAAGCGGTTACCGTAGCCTATGAACGCCTGCATTACCAGAGGTATTACGCGCGCGTTGCCAACCCTGAAGAAACCTATTTACCCCCTTTTGAAGAATCCCATGCTGTAGTCTCTTGGGAAAACCTCGGCAGGGAGCTGATTCCATAACCTGAGTGTTCGTAGGAGAAAACATTTCTGAAACCGCGTTGTACGCGACCATTTAAGCTGTAGGGTGTGGGGCCATTAAGGCACTAAATTGTATATAGTGCGTGATTCCAGTGCGATACAGACAGATAAATAGACTAAATTTTTTTTAAGTTATTGTTTTGGTTTCTATAGGTCTTATTAAAGTCACTCGAATTAATTTTCCTTGACACCATCATGTCAGTCGTTTACTGTCCACTGCTGAACAAGGCTCCCTCTATGGGGGGTTTACCCAGGAGTTGCCACGTTTGACAGGCGGGTTGGCAATCGCAGTCAGGCTTTGTTGGTTATTTAAGAGAGATGCTGCTACCCTTGTCTTGTGACCATTAAGTTCCCTTAGTCGCCTTTTACGACATCCACGGGAAAGGAAGGAGTGACTCATTCTATACCGGGACCATACGGCGACATTTTCTTGTTTTTTTGACATTGTCTAGTTATAGTTTTATTTTTTAGTCGTAGTAAGATTTCAGAATTAGCAGCCCCATTGATAGCAATATATCCTGCCAGGTCGACCTCCACGCGGTTGCCTCTGGAAATTATCGTGGTTAATATTAATGAATTCATCACACAAGGACTACTGATCTGTTTTGATCCTCACCTATCTTTCTTCTCTGGTATCAATAGCGCAGGCGTAGTTAGATAGATAGATATATCGTCATAGTCGTAGAATACTGACGGACCTGACAAAGATTACATATATAGATCCGTCAGTATTCTACGACTGACGATATAATTTATTTGCATCACTTTCAGTACACAAATTACATTGGATATTGGTACCAATTTAAAGAAATCAAATAAAACATATACAAAAAAAAAAAAACAAAAAGAAAGTATTTAAAAGGGTTTACGTAATTTCTCGTAAGTGCGCCATAGGGACACAAAATGGTCATAACTCAGTTTATAGAGCAAAACACTGATATTCTGTTGTGGACAAAAGCTAAAAGATAGTGGCGAGAATTCTTAAACAAAATAATAATAATAATAAATATAAGTACATGAATTGTGCCCATTATTAATCATTAGTTTCCATTCCATTATCATCGATTAAAATAAAAATTATATTATTTTTTTCAGCTTGATGGAAAATGGTACATTGCAGCAGCGGCAACAGATCTACCGATAGATGGCGCGGACTGCGCCACTCTCATGTTCAACCATATGAACTCGACTGATGTCTCTATCAGTTGGGTAACAAACAATACGGCTTCTTACTACAATGGCTCCGTGGCCATCACTGTTGACCCGAACAGTAATGGGACGACTGGTGATCTATTGTTGATCACTTATACAGGTGATTATAAGTTTCATCATTTTCATCATTATCATAACAGCTGTTAACTGTCCACTGTTGAACATAAGGCTTCCCTATAAGGGGAGCTTTGCCAGTAGTTGCCACGCTTGACAGGCGCGATGGCGACCACAGACTTTGATGATGTTTAAAGCAGCTGCCTATTCCTCGACCATTAAGTTCCCTTAGTAGCTTTTTAGCCCATAGGAATAGAAGGGGTGAACTATTCTATGTTGGGACCATATGGCTGGACCACACACTGAAATTTTATTGACCAATAAAATGTAATACAAAAGGCGGACTTAATACTATACATAGGCATTCTCTACCAGTCAAACTTTAGGTTCTACAGAGAAATGAAATGAAATATTTATTTATTTGCTGAAATGAAATATTTATTTGCTTTAAACAGACATTTGACATTATAAGGGCCATGTGACAAAACTTTTTGGCATCTGTTTAATTGTCTTGAAATTGTAGGCATGCAAATCTAATTTATTGCTTAAATAAGGATACAAATTTAACTTAGTGATTATTAAGATTATAGAATAATAAAAAAAGAAAAAACAATTCTCAAACAATTATCAAGTCAAATCAATAAATATGTATAGGTACATATTCAATATTGTCAAATAAAATTAACAATTACATTATTATTAATAATAGAGATAGGTACTTGATGGCGTTTTAAATAATACAATAATATAATTATAAAATAAATAATAATTAGACAGATAGATACTCTTTATTGTTTCCTTCAAAAGATTACGTTAGTTGACTTATTACAGATACAAACTAGGTATGGACAATATATATATATATATATATATATAGCAATACCTATATATTTTAGTCACAATATTTATACACAGGTCCAATAACGAATATATTAAAAATCTGCTATCCAAAAAAATAATATTGGATAACAGATTTTTAAAAAATTTGAAAATAGATATCCGACCGATGTGGGCGATATCGAAATGGGTGATGACCTTTTTTCCAGAGAAACCCAATATATAGATATCGGTTCGATATCTTTATTACCCATGCCCAATACATTTTTTTTTATACCACAGGTGGCAAACAAGCATACGGCCCACCTGATGGTAAGCGTTTACCGTAGCCTATAAACGCCTACAATACCAGAGGTATTACGCTCGCGTTGCCGACCCTGAAGAAACCTCTTTACCCCCCTTTTGAAGAACCCCATGCTGTAGTCTCTTGGACTAATAATTACAAGAAATGATAAATACAAATAATTACAAGAAATGATTCACACTGAGATCTTTTATTTTTTTATTATTATTATTCAATTTTATTTTCAGATCAAAAAGCCGAGAGTTATTCTTTCCTGGACGTGGACTATGAACATTACGCTGTTCTGTTTACGTGCTACGACAGCGAGGATGGTAACAGCAGTACATGTGAGTATTCAATGTATCAATAAACAAATACGAATTGCTTAACGAATTTGGATTTGGGCATATAGACAAATGGCAAACGAATGTATGGTAAAGATTTAAAAAGTTAAAGTTGTGTTCCAGAAAAAAAAAAACTGACTTTACTTGTGGCAAAACCACGTATTTTGATTTAAAAACTAAACTATTCAAATAATTTTGATAAAATTTGGAAACAAACATAGACAAACAATTAGACACAAAAATTATGAAATTGTTTTAACTTCTATTGTTCCTATTATGAGCCTTTATATCAATTTTTCTTTTACATCTCCTATATTTTTTTATGCTACTTAGAATGGCAAACAAGCTAAAGGACCATCTAATGGAAAGTGGTAACCGTCATCTATAGACATGAGCAGTACCGTGGACATAACGGAATATACTTTTTCGCCCATGATACCTTCCATGCATTGTCACTTCTGAAACTCAAGTGCTATTCCTCTGTACCCTATAAATTCACTGCCATATCCCACCCTTTAAATCCTAACACAGCCGTGCAAACACAACTGCTTTACGGTTGAAACACGAATGGGACGGAGGTACCCAAGCTAATGACTTTTGTACAAAGTTTCGCTCTGGTATATACACCAGACTGTTATATATAATATATATCCTCTAGTTAAAATGTTATTATAAAAGTATATACTTAAATGATGCCTCTAAAACTAATGGTGATATATCAATTAATTGAATAAAATCTTAACAATAAATTGGTCAATAGAAACCAATAATTAATATAGAGATAGTATTAATGTCAATACAATAGAAGGGTCCTTTTGAATAGGTCGACTTGACCCATTGACCTTCAGCCAGGTCAAGTGGTACAAATTGCTTTATTAATTTGAATTTGTGGGTGCCGAAGGTGGTTTCAACTATTGAGAATTATTTTTAGAACATACTTTTTAGTACTGTTGATATTAAGTGATATTCATGAATGAATAAATGTTTTTTTTTTTTTTTTATTTACTAAATATTTCATTGCAGATATTTAAAGTATTTTTTTTTAAAGTACCACAGGGAGACTTTGTACAAAAATCGATTGCTTGGGTACCTCTGTTCTATTCGTGTTTCAATCGTAAAGCAGCTGTGTTTGCATGGCTGTGTTTCGGTTTGAAGGGTGGGATATGGCGTGAATTTACTGGGTACAGAGGAATAACACCTGAGTCCTCAGGAATGGCAACGCATGGGGGGTACCATGTGCGAAACAGTATACTCTGTTATGTCCATGGTACTGCTCATGTCTATAGGCGACGTTTACCACTTTCCATCAGGTGGGCCGTCAGTTTATTTGCCATTCTAAGTAGTATATTAAAAAAAAATGTACTTTTGTATTGGTCACAGACTCTTCAACATAATGGATCTCTTCGTGCCGAATTCTATCACGCAATAAAATGTCCATGCTTTTGTATAAGACGAATTAATTATTTTTTTTTATGACCAAATGATCACATTAAAGTTTTTTTTTCTAACAAGCGGTAGCGTCCAAGCAATTTGTTGCTTCACTGGAGGCCAAGATCATTCGGTTGGAAAGCCGCATGATATAATTGTCGTTAATTTAGTTTAAATTTTATTTCCTTTGTTCCACCTCTTTTATACGTCTGGACGTTACGTTTTCTAGATAGAAAATAGCGTAATATTATTATGCTATTTTCTAAATAGATGTTGAATAAACAGAACTGAAAGGAAAAGGGACTAATTATTTAAATTGCTGTTCGGTAATAATTCACCGATAAGCTCTTATTATGAATTATCATCAACATTAAATCAGGCGTTGACTGTTCAATGATGAGCATAGGCCTTTCCTATGAATGAGACTTTTGCCAATAGTTGCCATGTTTGACAGGCGGGTTGGTAACAGCAGTTAGGGGTTAATGATGTTTTAAGAGCGACTCTGCTGTTTTTCCTTTGACTCAGTTAGTTAGACTCAGTTAAATTAGTTTTTACGACTCCTACGGGAAAGAAAGGGGTGGCCCATTCTATATTGGGACCATACGGCAACCTTATTTTGTCTATTTTGCATAAAAAAATAATAGAACAAAAATGTACGTCGTGATTTCATTCAATGGATGTCACTATTTAATAGCTCTCATGTCATTATTCACTTAATTTCACTACAATCAAGCGATTATATAAATAAATACTTATACTACTATTTTCACGTTCAGTTAAGGTTTTTTAGTTTTTATGTTGGGCTTAATTAGCTTTTTTCCTTTTCAACCGACTTCAAAAAGAAGAATGTTTTCAATTTAGTCGTAATTTTTGTACGTTTATTACCTCATAATTCCATTAGTTGTAAATTGCTTTGGATTTTTTTTTATCTCTGATAAAATATACTTACATATTGGTTTCATAGAAAATTGATTAAAATCCATTCAGCAGTTTCGTTTTAAAATCAAATTAAGTGGCTTTATCGCAATTGAAGTCAGTTTTTATTTTGTGGACCACAATAATGAATTGTTTCTTGATATGCGAGTCATCATCATCTTCTTACCCTTATCCCAATAATTTGGGGTCGGCGTAATATGATTTTGTCCATATTACAAAAAGACTTGGTTTTTAGTTTTACGACCGGCCACCTGCCTGACGTCAACCCTCTTTGGGTATATGGGATATGCGAGTATTATATTGAAATATCAAAAATGTATTGAACATATAAATATGGATAGGAAATTGTAAGCCACACTAATAATATAAAGAGGAAAGTATTATGTATTTGTATGTATTTGTATGTATGTATGTTGTAATAAATAAACTCAAAAACTACTTCGCCGACTTCAAAAATTCTTTCACCATTAAAAAGCTACATTCACCCTGAGTAACATAAGCTATATTTATTGCTAGAAAAGATTAGGGATCCTTACTAAAACTTTAGTAACGTAACTCGAGGTGTAAAAAATGCTATAAAGTATCTTTCGTCGCGTGCGCTGCGGAAACTATTGATGTTAGAACAAAAGTATGTCCTACATTATTGAAGAAAATATCAATAACTACAAATAACTTCGCGATACTGTATGTCCAACTAATATCGTTATGTCACGATAACCACTTTTTAGAATGTTGTAAAAATGTCCATCCGTGCGAAGTCGGGACGGGCCGCTAGTGTTATATATGTTTACTTATAGTATTATATTATTATAAATATAATAAAAAATAATAAATTCTTTACAGATGAAATCTGGAAGTTGATAAGATCACCTCACCTGAAAGAGAGCGATGCAATAAAACTAGATCAGGCGATAGCCAATTACAGCCTTCAAGATACAACATTCATTAACTTCAATAATACCGAAGACGCATGCAGCCTGACCAGTGGTTCTCAACATTTGGATCCATCCACTTTGATATTAACTTCGGCTGTGGCTTATACGCTGTTCAATAAATTGTATTAGTATTGTATTAGGAAAGTGGTTTGCAAAAAAAGACTTTTGGAATAATAATACTTTATGTCTAGCTACGCCAGTTCACACACGGTTCCTGCCTTTCGCTTCGGTGTGTAAAGCGTCTTAAGGACCGAGCAAATAATGTCCCACATACTGGCTGGGTTCTTTTTTCAAATTACGTTCCTTTTTTAAAAAAATATTTTTCAGATATTTTCTCTGCAGATAAAATTCCCTTTTTGTAAGCCGTGTTCTTTCATACAATAATCACAAACAAAATAATATGCAATTTGAGGTTTTTATCACAACTGCACCAAAATATTAGCCGATAAAATGTCTGAGATTGAGTCAAAAGCTTATATAGACAAGACGAGACTAAATATTGGCATGTAACAAACTTATCATTTAAATTTCTGGCGTTACAATTAACAAAGGGGAATAAATCTAAAATTTGATCACACGGAAATCTAACTATTATAAAATTGGTTAACTAAGTGATAAGGTTAAATGTACAAGTTAATTTATTGTAGGACATTGTAATAAATATCTCTGTAGTTAATGTATTGTAGTTAATAAATTAAACATGTTTTTTATTTGTCTGTTATTTAATTTGTTATCATACACGAGTAATGTGTACTCATTACATATTCCTTTATAATTACGTAGAGATGCAGCTTCCCTCAGTGACTTCTACCGCCTATTCCATGGGGAGTGCTCAGAGGAATTATATTCCCTCATTCCATCTTCCCTTTTCCAATATTGCACTCCGTGGGGAGAAGGGATTGTTAGTAACGGGGATTAGCAATTCCATTGCTAGCAATAAATCCTATCAGGTTGATCTCCACGCGGTTTTCCCTTGAAATCATCATGATCGATTTGTTGATGAATTTGTCACCATGGGCGAAGTGATTTGCTTCACCTTCACCTGTCATCTATCATTAGTATCCCGCCAGCGTATACGGATAAGGCAGGCGGGGATACCATTCTGTCTTCACTCATTAAAAAAAAATGCACTACGAGAATGAACTAGCAACTGTATCTTTAAATAGTAGACGGTCCGTGCTCGCGTATAAATATTTTTTTACAAGAATCGTACCGTAACACTGTGTGATCTTCCTCGTGATGTGTTCTTTTTATCTTGTTACCTTGTAACCTTGTAACCTGTAAATGCATCTTTAAACGTAGTGCGAAAAAGCATAATGAGTGCTTTTTCACTGAGGTGATCCGGCATAGTGCGACCAACCGTCGATAGTAGAGGGAAGTGATTGTTAGTATTGGGGAGGTTAGTCCCTATTGCTATCAATATTCCTTATCAGCTCGACCTCCACACGGTTCCCCCTGGAAAACATCAGAACTAATTTATCGTTAAATTCGTAACGATGGGATAACTGACCTGCCTCTACATCTTCACCAACCATTCCTCACTGGTACTTCATTAGTGTTTACTGATAGCAGGGGTTACCATTCCATTATCATCTATTAAAAAAAGAAACCGTCGAAAGTAACACTTTCTTTTTTCCGTTGATCGTATTCATGGACCATATTGCTCGGTTTTGTCTTGGGATAGTAGGGATACATGTCGTATTACTATAGAGAAAATTTAATCTATCCATAATATTTCTATACTATCCATCATAATTTTTTTTTATATTACTTAGAATGGCAAACAAGCTGACGGCCCACCTGATGGAAAGTGGTAACCGTCGCCTTTAGACATGAGCAGTACCATGGACATAACAGAGTATACTGTTTCGCCCATGATACCCCCCATGCGTTGCCATTCCTGAGGACTCAGGTGTTATTCCTCTGTACCCAAATGTAAATGTAAATTCTCACCATATCGTACTTGCCATGTCCCATTCGCGCTTCACGGTTGAAACACGAATGGGACAGAGGTACCCAAGCAATTGACTTTTATACAGTCTCCCTCTGGCCATAAATTATTTCAGCGCCATCTATACACTCGAACGTTAACTATACATTTCATCGTGCTCCGAAATAAAATCTAGCTCTACAATTTTACTAGTTTGCTTTTTATCAGAATCTATATTTCAAACATTTTAAAAAAATTCTAATATTTAAAGGTAGATAGCGTTGAAATTAAGAATTTTACAAGTCACAAATAAGCCGTTTGTATGTAGTTTAAAAAAAATAAAAGATATCTTAATAAGGATTATATCATTAAAAGAGTAGTAGTTGTGGAGAACGTAATTAGATTATTTGTTTTTATGACGAGGTATTTCTATTGAGTTCTTCGGTATAGTTCTTATACCCAGTATTTTTGATGGGTGAAAATGGTATGATAACCCCGCCTGCGCTAACGGGATACGCTGGCGGAGCATCAGTGAAGGGTGATAGATGAGAATGAAAACAGGCCAGTTAGCCCATCATGATGAATTCATCAGGCATTAACCATGGTAGTTTCTAGGGTGAACCGCGAGGAGGTTGACCTGATTGGGTATATTGCTAGCAATGGGATTCTCAATCTCCATTACTAACAATCCCTTTCTCCCTATACCCAGTATTAGATTAGACATGATAGTTGTTATTTTTAACATATTTCAATAATTAAATGCCGCGTTCGTGATTTTCTGTTTATCTCAAAGATTGACTTGAAGAGAATGCTTCTTGCATTAAGTCCGTACCTTATTTTATTTTGGACATAAAGTTATTTAAATAAATAAATAAACGATCACATTTTGCTGAGCATATTAGAATTCAATGTTGCGGGAGTGAGCCTATTGCCTTGATGTAATGGAATGAATGAAAGAAAAGCAATAGTATAACAATATACCAGTGCATAATACAAGAATCAAATTCAATTCACTAAATTACTGGTTAAAATTATTTAATAATTGTATGTATAAATAATTAATCTGCCCTGCGAGAAGCTGAAGACCGTGCAAAGTGGAATAACATCATAAGAGAGGCAACAGACACCTTTCAAGGACACGACCTTCAGTAATGAAGAGGACGAAGAGAGAGATAAATAATTATATTATATTACATAATAACTTTTTAAAACATGTTCCTCATCTCTGCGCATCACGTGCCCGTGCCATGACAGAGAGTCACTGCTTAGCTTTTCTATTACTGGCATTACTTTATTTATTTACTCTTCATTTCATAATAAAATTTATACAAATGGTGAGCATTTTAAACTTTTATTCGAATTTTCGTACTTTCTCAGATATACTCATTCTGAATTAATATAAAAACAATATTTTATATAAACTTATATACAAGGACAAAAGTACTTTTGACAAAAAACTTTTGTACAAAGTTTGCCTTTGATAATTAAGCTGATAAAAAAAAAGACTATCCATATCCACATGATAACCAAAACCTGTTTACCACAAAATATAAATCACGCCAATCGATTCCAACTGTTACTTATTAAGATTATCCCTAAGACTTCCAGCAATTTAGGTTTACTGCGGGCAGGAGTTCGGAGTTTTAGACGATCGTCGACTTTTATGGCACTTTTTACACCCACAATGTGAAGCCTCAGGGTATCGAAACTGCTTGGATCGTGTAACATTTTCATACGTCCCAATCTTCCAATAACACTTACCTATATGTATATAAAGCTTATTTTCGAATGGCACCTGGTTTTTGGGTTTGTAATATTAGATTGTTAAGTTGTGCAAGAGTTGATTACAGTAAGGCTCGTAGGTGAAATACTAGAATGTTCGAAGCGGTTTCCTGGCGCTTTCAGAGTTTTCTCAAAGTAAATGATGGGCCAAATGATGTCAGCGAGAACGAAGGAGACATTAGATTTGGTGCACTCAAATTTGACTCGTAAAACCGAGTTTCGGAGTTTGGACAGTTTTTAGATATGGAACAACGTATAGCCTTTTTATTTTTTAAATATCAATAGAAGTAAACGGAAAGCATTAATTTATTATTATAAATTATTATTATATCGATGGGTTCCCATAATTTCCTTTAACATAATGACGTTCGTTTCAAACATGTTCAGTTCCCGAACTAATCCCACGGGACAGCCTCTCACTGGGTACGACATCGGAGACCTATATCAAATTTGGTAATACAGAAGTCAAACGCTAAAATACGAGAGAAATGATGTAGGTAAGTACCAGTAACCAGTAAGTGATCCTTATTTTTTATTTCAATTAGGCTCTCTCGACGGAAATCTTTAATTAGGTTGTTTTTTAAGGTATAACTAAATTACTAGTAATACCTTAGTAAGTTGTAGCAAACTGGTATGGTTTTCGTGGGTATTTAACCTAGATGTTATAAGTGTTTGGGGGAGGGATTGTTAGTAAGGGGACTGGCAGGTTGACCTCTACGTGGTCTCCCCTGTGTATACATCACGATGGGCTAATTGGCGTGCCTTTTCATCCTCGCCTATCATCTCTCACTGGTGCCCCGCCAGTGTATACCGTTAGCGCAGACGGGTTTGTCATTCCATTATCATCCATTACAAAAAAGATGTTATATGTTTGTTACGTTTGTTATGTATTTACGTTGTATGATCAGGGGGATGTTAGAAGTGAAATAGAGCAGACCCAGATTTCAGTCTGTTTGTTTGTACAGGCTAATCTCCGAAACTGTTTGACCGAATTAAAAGCAATTTTGCATGGTCTTTACATTACAATTACAGAATATTAAAGAGTACCCGTGGGATAGTTAAAAAAGTATAGTAACTTATACAGGTTAGTTAGTACACAACCTACTTAAGTAAAGTCATTTTGATCTAAGGCAAAGAGTGAGAACTACTATTTTAGTACTATATTCCTGTGTTCTCTCTTCGTTTTCCTTCGTCACTTTTTTTCTGTTGTATGTGTGCTGTTAAATATGTGTATGTTATGTATATATTTAATCGTGTATATATTATATATGTATGTGTATGTATGTATATATGTTTGTAATATTTATATAATAGTGCCCCACCTATCCTTTGTCTTTTTCTCAATGTCCTCTACCCAAAGATTGTCTGGAAGAGATTGCTTAGCGATAAGGCCGCCTTTTGTATCACTTCTCATTAATATTTACTGTATTTGTTATTTCTCTTTTTACTTGGTGCAATAAAAAAATAAATAAATAAATAAATAAACGACACGTCATTTGTTAATTTTGTTTCCGTATACCCAAACATAAATGGGTAGGTACGTACATCGGTACATGCTAAACTCCTGTTTATATTTGTTATTCCTATAACAAATATCACGCGGACAAAGTCGCGAGCATCAGCTAGTATTATATATATATTGACTTTTGCAGTGTATGAAGTAAGCAATGCACTGTCTACAGTTTTTTTTTATATCGATTGATTACATTATATAACTCGTTAGGAATTAAGTTCCACCGTCGTATAGTGGATTTCAAATTAGTTCGTCGGCTAAGTGCAGTTAAAATTTAACATTAAACGGCTGTAAAACAGTTTAATGCACGTGTGGAGTTTCAGCATGGGTTTACGATCACCTCACCTGTTACGATAATGTTAGTTAATGTACAAAATACATATGTATAGATACTGATGGGTTTGCTTATTGCAGGCACGAAATGGACATTGTCATAGGGGTATTTAAGAGGGCCGGGTGGTCATGCCC